CAGAAAGCTAGATTCGGGCCTCTGGTCGGGTGAAAAGACGTCCTCGGGGGCCTGAGGGCTTTGAAATTCTATAGAATAATATAGGTGCTATTCTCTCATTCAAACCTCACTTTCTTTTTCTTATTTTATTACCTTTCGACTGTAATTTTACCACCTAAATACCAAAGATTCCTACATAATATGCATTAATTATACCTCCTTGTATTATGGGTACTCATGGGAGTATGGGAGTCCTATGGGTGGGTAGGGAAAAGGCCGTCCCACCCATGGGACTAAGGGTTGGTCCTATATCCCACCCATGGGCGGGACGGGACTGTCCCAAATGGGAATACCCATGGGAGTGTCAATGTCTAATTTTAGTAGATTTTATTAATCTTTCTATAGTTAGTCTTAATCTACTAATCTATCTACTTAATGTATATTATATAATTATAAAGTATATAACGTATTTCCCGGTTGACCTGCGCACCCGGTTGACCTGCGCACACCGCCCGAAACGCGTCGCGTTTCCACACCTACTTTCTTTAACCATCTACTATGCCACCAAAACGCGGTCAAAACGCTCCAAAATCACTAGAACGCGAGGGTAAAACCCTTCTAGCTATCTAGGCCTATAAAAATGGCCAATTTTCCTCTCTTCGCGCAGTGGCTCTTAAATACGGTGTGCCTAAAACTATAGCACGTACGCGTATAAATGGAACACCCTTTCGCGCTGATAAACGCCATCCACGACATCTATTGACCTAAACCGAGGAAGATTCGCTTACACAATGGATACTCTCTATGGATGCACGTGGAGTAGCGCCTAGGCCAGCTACTATAGGAGAAATGGCCAATATTCTCCTCGCAGCGCGTGGCTCTACACCATCACCTACAGTCGGCAAAAATTGGCCATTAGCCTTTATTAACCGTCGGTCAGAGCTTTGTACGCGATTCTCGAGACGATATGACTATCAACGCGCCTTAAACGAAGATCCAAAGGCCTTACGCGCGTGGTTTACGACTGTATAAAGCGTTATCGAAGAGAACGGTATCCAACTAGAGGATATCTATAACTTTGATGAGATAGGCTTCGCGATGGGCCTAATCGCTATAGCTAGGGTCGTTACCCGCGCTGAATACTACGGTCGGCGAGCTATTTTATAAGCTGGAAATCGTGAATGGGTCACTATAATTGAATTAATCAACGCTACTAGTAGGGCGTTACCGCCCTGTGTGATATTTAAAGGCAAAAACTATATTAGAGGATGGTTTGATAGCCTACCGCGTGATTGGCGTATTGAGGTCTCGCCGAATGGCTGGACTATTGATGAGATTGGCCTACGCTGGCTAGAAAAACACTTTATTCCTGCGACCGCTAGGCGTACGCGTGGAAAATATCGATTGTTGATTCTTGATGGCTATGGTAGCCATCTTACAGCGCAATTTGATCGAATCTGCACTGAAAACGCAATTATTCCGCTTTGTATGCTAGCGCATTTATTATATCTTCTACAACCTCTTGATGTAGGTTGCTTTGCTGTATTAAAACGCGCCTATGGCCGCCTTGTGGAGAATTAAGTGCGTCTTGGCTATAATCATATCGATAAGCTCGATTTTTTAATGGCCTACCCTGAAGCGTGTGCGGATATATTGTGGCCAGAAACTATTCAAAATAGCTTCGTAGTAGCTGGTTTAGTGCCATTCGACCTAGAACGAGTGCTTTTAAAGCTTAATATCTAGCTTCGGACGCCTACGCCTCCTAATAGCCGACTAAGCAGTAGATCTAGCGTTTTTACACCAAAAACGCCTAGAATAGCTATTCAATTAGAGAAATAGGCTAAAGCGCTTAAAGATCTACTTAAGCAACGTTCAAAAAGCCCACCAAGTCCTACCAAAACTATGCTTGACTAAATTATCAAAGGCCACTCTCTTGCTTTGCATCACACAGCACTACTCGCGAAGGAAGTTAGTGATCTACGCGCGCATAATAAGAAAAAGCGGCAGAAACGCGCACGATCAACTAGGCAGATAGCATATCTAGGTGGCCTAATAGTCGCTGAGGCCTCATAGATTCTACAGCCTTCTACACAGGCTATAGAGCGCATTAAATCGCCTACGCCTACGGCCGTTCAACAGCCTAATTTACTACCTCTGCCAGCCAAACGTACTCAACTAAAGTGTTCTGGGTGTGGAGATATAGGGCATAAGATCAATTCATGTAAAAATCGATAGGTTTTCAATATATTATGGCGTTTAGGTGGAAAAAATCCTAATTAAAAATACAGTGGTAGGCGGTGTGCGCAGGTCAACCGGGTGCGCAGGTCAACCGGGAAATACGTTAGTTCTTTCTTTAATTAAGGCTAACACGCTTTAAAATAGATAGAATTAATAGTTAAGCCTATAGCTAAATAAAGTCTTAATTAAAAAGGTCGAATATTTATTAACTACTAAAAGGCTTAAGGGTAAATAGCTATAGAGGATCTAATATAAGATATAGAATACTATCTATATTATTATAAAGAGATAATAAAAATATATTAGAATTCTAATTTTAAGATATAATATTATAAGATAAGGGAATAGTAAGGGATAAATAAGAGTAGAAGTAAAGACTTACTAAAGATTATTTATAGAAGTTAAATACTAAATATAATAGAATTATTAATTTATTACTATCTTAGATTAGAAAAGTACTATATTAATAGATAGTAAGAATATTAAGTAGAGTATAATCTATAAAATCTATTCATAATCTATATCTAACCTTTAAAAGTATATTTAGCCTTTAAAATTTTATAACTTAATTCTAACTTACTATATTTAATCCTATTTTATAAAACTATACCTAAATAAATTATAAATAAACTTATATTTATAATAAAATAAAGTATAAGGACTAATTTGATAGAAAGAAATAACAAAATTAAGATATAAAATAAAATAATAAAAGTAATACGTTTCCTTTAAAGGATATATTATCTTTATTCTATATTAGATATATATTTCTATAGAATAGAAAGGCTATTTTAATATTCTTACGCTTCTACTATAATAACCCTTTAGATAGACCCTCCTATATATATATAAATAACTAATTACTAATATTAATTAATTAATATATAGAGGAATTTTATTTTATTTTAAGTGATTAGAGCTAAAGTCAATAACGTAGGAGGACTATAACTAGAATATATATAAATAATAGTATTTAATTAAGATAGATTAGCTAAATTATATACGCTAAGACTAGGATTTTATATAAATTTAGGTCAAGATAGGTTATTTATAGGTTTCCAAATCTAAATTTATAACCCACTAGGTTAGGTTTAGGTATAGGTTAAAGGTCTTAACCTATATTGCGGGTTATAGCGTAGTCTAAAAGAGTTATTTATTCTACCTTGGTTAGTGTCTATAAAAATCTTATATAGTAGTATATATTTAAAGCGAGCTTTATTAAGATAATTAAATACTATTACTATTATTATTACTATTATAGGTAAATTTTTCTATAGGATTTTATTCTAATATTATTAAAATTTTATTTAGGAGACTTTATTTTATATAATAATTAGAGTATAATTGCTATTATTCCTAGGCTCTCTTAAATATAAAACTTTTACTCGTAGTGGTTTTTATTATAATTATTAGGATTTTAGGTGTCTGCATTTATAAATGCAGATTTCCAGAGCTTCTAATTCAATATGGAAGTTCCCGTTCAAGTGCCTATTCTACTATCTCTCACCGCCTTTATCTAATCTTCTAATTATCTCTTACTTTTCTCTCACTTTACTCTCACTTCAGCCTTTACTATACTCTCTCTTTCCATCAGCCTACCTAACCAAGGTTATTAGGCCTACCCCTCACTTCCTAACGTCTATAGCCTCGGATAAATAGCACGTTACCTCGGGTAAATAGCACACTCTTTTTATATAAACTAAATATTTTTATCTATAAATATAGCTCAAAACCTAGACTGAATTAAACAAGAGCTTTTATCTTAATTCTCCTCTGACTACCCTTCCTCTCTATTAGGGCAGGCTAGAGAGACCCTTTATCTCTACCTTTATCTTTATCTTCATCCATCTTCCCGGGGTAAGCTACTACGCTGCAGTAGTGGCCTACCTCTACGGAAGGGTAGTATTTCTCTCTCTGAATATCTGCCCTAAGGACTACCCTGCCGCGTAGGGACCCTCGGGCATTTATTCATCTCTCTTATCTTATATACTACCACTTCCGACAATAATTTTATAGCTTATCATTCTATAGTCATGTAGCGCTTAACTAGGTATATAGTAGCTATTACGCTATGTATATTTATAAAAAGATGAAATGTAGACGTTTAATTTAGCTAAACTTAGTAAATATATTATTTAAAAGAGCTATCTATTATTATTTATTTCTTAATAATAAATTTTCGGGGGGGGGATTTAAAACCTATCTACTATATTTTATAAGAAAGTTAGCTTTCCGTCTAACCTAACTTAGGTCGAAGGCCGAGCTCGACCCAAAACCTAACCTAGCCTAGGTCTAGGTTGAACTTCTCTAATCTAGACCTAACCTAGACCTAATACTAGGTTTTGTTAGGGCCTTAATATAACCTCATAGAAACTAGTATAGAATAATTATAAATTATATATTAGTATTACCTAATACCGCTTATATATCTCTCTATCTAAATTTTAGCCTATTATATTAAGAGAGATAGTAAAAACGCCTCTAGAATATAGGTAATTTTATATAATTTATATTTGCACTATTTGTAACCTAAGTTAGGCCCCGGACCTAATGCTGGGTTGGGTCCGGGTTGAGTTGGGTTCTGCGGAAGTCTAAGAATAGTCTCTTATTATCTACTTTCTAAATTGCTATTGATCCAATACAAATTGTAATTTTCGGGAAGTTATATTGGTATTGCTTGCTTGAGATGATCTGTGCATAACTTTAAAGACTTTATCTTTCATTACTCCAAGAACTATATTAAAGACAGAGCCTAGTATATTTAAATCCGTGAGGGGACCCGGCTAATCATCAGGGTACTCATCCTTCACGTTACTAACAAACGCCCGCGTAACTTCATCCCACCGTTTAAAATGCTTCCCTGCGATGGCAGTCAAACTTGGTGGTAAATCGGCGAAGCGAGGGAGAATGAGTTCGATATTCTCCTCGGCCACGTAGCGGACACTTCGATCCTCAACCCTAGACTTAATTAGCTCGGCGCCAACAAAGACAAATATCAGGAAGCTCACAGAACGTGATAGAAACTCTGATGTCGGCCAGCTTGCAGGCGATCAATTCCCATTCGCCTCATCCACTGTTCTCCCGCGCCGCATTCAGAATCCCACCCGGTGATGATAGCCCGATAGTGATAGCGACGATGCCGAAAGACCTGGCCGACCATATATCGAATGTTCTTATTCTCGTCAGTCCGCCTGCGCACCTGCTTGGGTATTTCATCGACTGCGCGCATGACGTGGAGACTTTCCAGTATGTGCTCATGCTCAAAAAGTCCGTGAAACAGAGGCACAATGTACTGCTCCACCAAGAATATATCGGACGGGAAATCGGTAGCGAACAGTTCCATTAGCCATGGCAATTGATGCCGTAGGTCCATCGGGCGCGAATCACCCGAGAGTAGCATTGAAGACCACAAGGCCGCGTACTTGGCACTCACCACGTCCATCGAGGTAGTTCCCACGCCCGGGTGAGTAGACGCGGAATGGATAGAGTTCAGAATGTTTTTGCTGCAGCGCAAGACAATATCCGAGGCCAAAGCATCGCCCAGAAACTCAGTCTGATCTGACACACCGAGAAAGACTAGTTGGTCTCGTAAATCGGAAACGGGGGTCTCTCTTGCTCCTCGGAATGGATCCAGATACATTGGCGAACCTTGCTCCGCATCAGCCAGAGCGTTGCCGCTCATATCATATCCCGGACGTGGGGTGATGACGACATGAACGTGGAATGGAAACCCGCAAGGATGGGCATTTAGACCCAGCTTCTGCGCTGCGTAACAATATATGGCAGCCGAGATCAACGGCAGCGAGTTGTGCGGGGGCCTCCGTAGAGCCAGTCCCAGAAAATTGTGCTCCAGGGAATGATACTCCCGTCCTGCCTCGATTCCGGTGAGATCGTTCACTTGCAGCCATCGCGCAAGTTCTAGAGCTTTCTCACGGGGGCTGAGGGTGTCAAAGTCGGGATGGGATGCAATGAAGTGGTCAAAAATCGTATCCAACATGTCCCGTATCTAGAAATTAGTCAGAAAAAAAGGGCCGTCGAAAAATTAGATTTCAGGGGTGATTGATTGACCTCATCCAAGTCTCCGTATCCGCTCTCCGGGATGAACAGATCGAAGGCGCCCAATGCGCGCTCAAGCGATACTGGTTCTCCGCGCCTGAGTTTAGCCCATTCGGGAACAGCAATGCTTCTGTGGAGGCAGGTCAACAGTGCTCGGGCATAATAACTGTAGTTAATGGTTAACAGCTTGCCGAGGCACAGCAACTATCGAATGGAACTTTGGAGCTAACCTGCGTGCAAGGTGATCTTCTCCGGACTCCACTTCGCTGTGTCGCAAAAGTGTATCTTTCGCATCGTATCCGAAATCAATGACGGCTCGGAATTTCTCGATACGCCCTGTTTGGCTAGCAAGAATACTATCAAGAAGCTGAGTGGCGGAGCGATCGATTCGGTATCTCAGGACAAACAGCGCTTTCCAGTCGACTGTCGACACGGGACTCGCAAGCTTTCCAAGAATTCCATGGTTCCTATCCCAGGACTTATAATGGATTTGGCAGTAGTGGCGCCATAGCAAAGGCTCGTTGGTCACATTTTCGAAGCGACGACTGGTTTGTTCAAGGGCAACACAGGAGCGAGGGTGCGAGTGGCATAGAATCGAATGAAGGATCTCGTCCGGAAGGTGATTCAGAGACAGAAGCATGCCTGGAGGCGAGTGAAGATTCGGGGGAAGTGGGAGGGAGGAGATGATGAACCCCTCACTAGGATCGACTGAGCCCCCGAGGGACAAGGGCGATTTATAACCATGCGATAGCAACCGTGATAGTCGTGAGCACGACTGCGAACATTCAGAAGGTATAGTCTAACGCCAGCATTGGACCTTCATTCGGTCTGGACGTGGGAACGATGGTGTTGGAAGGGAGAAACTTGGAGCTGGGGCTGCCGAGTGGAGGCACCTAGCACCGCCGCGGAGAAAAAGGTTCACACTCGCCTCCCACTAACCCTCCCGCGGTTGATGTCCGCAAAACTACACGGCATTTTGATGCTTGAAGGGGATTCGTGATCTTTCCAGTGCGATCTTCCTTCCTTCTTCCCTCTCTTCCCCTCATTCGCGGGGTATGGGTCAATCTCAATCGACTGGCTCAAAGGGCCCTAGTGCCCAAGAGCAACGTTCCGAGCGAAAGACGGACTACTACGAGTTGCTCGGTGTTACGCCGGCTGCTACCGATGATGAGTAGGCTCTCTACGATCACATCAACCCGTCAAAAGCCGTCAACTAATCTTCAACAGGATCAAAAAGTCATATCGAAAGAGGGCCCTCGAACTGCACCCTGATCGCAACTACGGAAATGTCGAGGAGGCTACAAGACTTTTTGCTGAAATTCAGTCGGCCTACGAGGTGCTCGCGGACCCTCAGGAGCGTGCCTGGTACGATTCGCATAGTGACGCATTTTTGGGCAATAACGGAAGCTCCGAGGGGGATCAACATTCGTATAACATTCGAGTCACAACCGCGGAAGATGTCCTTAAGGTCTTTGCGAAATTTAGCCCTCGCATGGAGTTCTCGGACTCGCCGAGTGGGTTTTTCGGCGGACTTAATGACCAATTTTCTCAGCTGGCGCTGGAGGAGCGACTGGCATGCCAATGGGAAGATCAAGACATGGTGGACTATCCGCCATTTGGGACCCATGATGATGATTTTGAAACAGTCGTACGCCAATTCTATGCCGCGTGGAGCGGGTTCTCTACGAGGAAGTCGTTCTCCTGGAAGGATGCTTATCGTCTCTCCGATGCTCCGGATCGCCGGGTCCGCAGGCTAATGGAAAAAGAGAACCGGCGCCTTCGAGATGAGGCTATTCGCGAATTCAACGACGCTGTTCGGTCCCTGGTGGCATTCATCAAGAAACGGGACCCGCGATACAAAGCTAATGCACTGAATGAGGCTCAAAGGCAGGAGACTCTTCGTCAGTCCGTGGCAGCCCAGGCGGCAAGATCACGCGCGATCAATCAAGCCAAAATGCGCGAGCATGTCGTTCCCGAGTGGGCCCAGTCCGAAGAACCTGTGGCCAACGATAGTCAAGAGAGCTCGGAGAACGAGGTGGAAAGCTTCGAATGCGTGGCGTGCCACAAGCATTTCAAGAGCCAGAAGCAATTCGAAGCTCACGAACGTAGCAAAAAGCATTTGAAGGCTGTTAAGCAGTTGCGCCGGGAGATGCTATTGCAGAACGAAGAGTTGGATTTAGAGCCGGCGGTCCAAGTTGATGCATCCAGCCAAACAGAGGCCGTCGATGATGAGGGATATGATGATCTTCATGAATCAACCCCGCTGAGCAATCAACCAGATAGTTATGTGGGCCGAGAAGCTGACGATTCAGAAGACATTGAATCATCAAACAAGGGCCAGGGCCATCTTTCGAGCTCCGGATCCGAGGACGAGAAGTCTATTGGAGATGAGGACTACGCACCTAGGGAAACGATCGAAACAAGGCTTGCCTCAAACTTCGATCCTTTGCAAAGCGATGACTCGATGACTCCAATGACTGAGCAACTGTCCTCTTCTGGTCTTGACGACCGACCAGCCACGCCGCAGGTTGGAAAAGCTAAGCAAAAGCGGGCTAAAAAGGCTGCTCGGGATACCGAAAACTCCGCCGGGTTGATTTGTTCGAACTGCAATGTCACTTTTGCCTCGAGGAATCAACTGTTCGCTCATATCAAAAAAAACCCTTCCCACGCTCAACCACTTGCGGCGAAGGGGAAAAGAGGATGAACTGCGTGACTGAACGATTCATCGATCGCCACGATTGAAGTCTCTACTCCCTTTTTTTTTCTTTTTCTTTTTCTTTTTCTTTGGAGGCATGGGTACATATAGAAATGCCATGTCACATCATCTCTGGGAATGCCCCGTTTCATTGTATCTCTCTATGTGCATGTCTACATCGTCGCCTATCGCGGACGATATCGGGCAAGAAATCATATCTTATCCAAGACCGGCCCGAGAGTTCTTCACCACTTGCGCAACGGGCTGAAGGATACCCTTGTTATTGGAGGCTCCGAGTGCAGTGCCGCTGCTCCATCCCATTTTCTCCAACATTGCTCGCCCCCGATTCTCTGCTCCGATCTCTGGCGCAGAGGCACCAACCACATCCCCCTCCATGTACGAGACGGCTCCACCGACGGCTCCTCGCTTGCTCTTGGTTGGTTTCGGCCCATCTGAGCCCCAGGAGTGGAAAAGCCGGCGATTCAGTTTTCGCCCGGATAACAGATGGTCGACTCTGGAAATGGTTTTGGGCGTGTACGATGGGGTGCGAGAGGTTTTGACGAGTATTGGGAACCGCGCAGGCCCATTGCCGCGGGATTGCGACTTCAGATTCAAGGCATTAGCCAGCTCATGTATCGTCTTTCGATGGTTCTTGCTCATGGGTGGCAGCGATAGACTAGGCAGTGTCAGTCAGATCGGTGCGAATGGGACAAATCTCACACACCTGGTCTTGGATGACAGTAGGAAAGTTCGCATTTCAGTTATCAATTCCTCCAGGTTCATCCCCTTGGAGTACTTGACCTTCAAGTCCGCATCCCCAGAGTCTCTGCCCAGTAATCCTTGAGAGCGAAGCTCTTCTCGTTCCTTCTTCTTAGCCTTCTTTTTCTTGCGGTCGGTTTGCCATGCCTCTTGCAGGTTAAATTCGAGATCGCTGTCGGAAAGCATTAGATCCAGCGCAGGTGCTTTTTTGCCTTTGCCCTTTTTCTGCAGGCTGGGCCTCTTGAAGTCCATGATATCAAGGCCATAATAAGGGTCAGCCTCGAGTGCGTCTGCAAATGCTGTCGCCGACGCGAATCCATGATTCCCCGGACGGCTACCATTGGTCCTCTGCGTGGAGTACCTGATGGCAAGCTCTTCAAGAAGCTCAGTGTCAATATCTCCTTCCTCCATGTCCAAATCGGAATCGCCGGAGTCTAACTCGGCAAGGTCGTCGTCTGAGCTTACGGCTGCTTCCGGTTCCGTATCGAGGTACATTCTAGACAAGACTGGTCCCTTCATGTTAGAAACACTCAAAAGACACCCTACCCTAGAAGGACGTATCATCCGGATGACTCACCATTGATCGAGCTTTGGACTTGAGCCTCGTCGTTCTCTTCTGCACGGGCTCTTGCCAGTTCGGCTTCGGGTTCAAGGATGCTGGAACTCAGCGACCCTGGGTCTGCAGGAGCATGGCGAACGCCAATGCCCCCTCCTGCTTCGATATGTACGTAGGAATCCGAGCCCTCGTTTGAATGGTAATGACGATCCATATTGGCGATATAGTCCGCTAGCGGATCGTTTTCCTCCTCGGAATAACCGCTTCTTTGTCGCATGTCTGGCGAGGTGATGTTTTGACCGTGTTCTGACAGGACGTCCGAATGCGTAGGTGTATTCACCTCCAGATCGACGGGTGTTAGACGGTTTTCGGATGCAGTGCGCAGTATTCCCTGGAGCTCATTGTTGTCGGTTTCTATCACAATAGGCTTCTGGTTATTCTTGCGCCCCATAAAAACAACTTCATCCTCGCTTGAGTCATCGGAGTCGCTCGGTTCTGATCGCGGCGTTGGGTTTGGAAGTCCTGTATCGATGGTTTGTTGCCCTGTTGAGTCGAAAAAGAAGGTGCCTTCGAGGACATCGTCGGTCGGGACCCAGGGCTCTTCTATCTCGGGCTTTGTCGCCTCCGGGCCGGCCTCTGTTTGACTAGGCTCACGACGATCGTCCGGGCTGGCATCTTCGGGTTCGCTCCGTTGCAATTCACCTGCGCTCACAAATTTGACAGCCTTGTGGCGAAGGTTACTATTTGACCATAGTCGAGTGTGTGTCTCGGTGTTGAGCGCCTCCTGTTGCATGGTAAATTGATGTGGCGATGGCTCTGCCAATGGTCAGTGGTCAAGTGGTCCTCGCGACTGTGAATTACTCACTGGACGCCATCTTTGGGCCCCGCTTGACGCGGGCCTTCGCTTTCCCATGGCGGGCCATCGGTGTTGGTGCTGGTCCGGGTAGGCGAAGAAGTGAGATTTCCTGATCGCGGCTGCATGAGCACATGGGTGGGCCGGGCGGTGGGGACCGGTGGACGGAGACCTAAGATCGCGGCGTCATAGGTCAACGGACACGCTTTCCTGTTTTGGCAAGAAGTAGACGGCATTCTATTCTGAGGACGTGTATTCAGATCTTGGGTATTCGAATCACTTGAAGGCCGAAAAGGAAAGCAAGGCGCCGGGTGTTTGTGTAGTAACGTCGTGCCTTGGCGATACCGAGTCCGAGTCCGTGTCTGGAACTGTGACCGTGGCCGTGACCGTGACCGTGACCGTGACCGTGACCGTGGCCGTGACCGTGACACCTGCCAGTATAGAGAGATCCCCTTTGATTTCTTTCGATTTCGATTTAATTCCTTGCTGTGTTTTTGCTGTCCGATCTCCGTCGTGTGGTGTCGCGCGGACGTGGGTTATCGGTGGTGATCTACAGATATACACTTCTTAGCCACGATATATATCCCTCTCAGCTGCAGTACCTCCCAACGTTTCTACACACACCGACCCCGCCCCCCTTCCCCAACTCCCACGCCACCGGGCACAGGAGAACAAAAGACGCCGACAGAGATGACAGGGGTGGACATAGAGAAATACAAGCGTATTGTACAATACTTCTGGGACCCTGAGCCCAAGAATGACATGGCGCCAGAGGCCGCGATCTGGTGCCTGGGTCAAATGTATACCCCCCACCCCCCGCAAGACGACAGCGTCGAAGCCGGTATGTCATGGATCTGAATGCCCTGCACCTCCCGGATACAAAGGGGGCGAGCCACTGACACCTCACCAGATAGACATGACGTCGCCTCAAGTCTGGCGCGAGCGGGAACCCCAAAGGACCCTGCCGGGTGTGCCTGGCCGGAGGCATTCCTGAAGGACTTTGAATCTAGAATATGGATGACTTACCGCTCCAACTTCACTCCCATCCCGCGAAACAACACGCCGGAAGCGACGTCTTCGATGACACTGGGGGTCCGGCTGCGAAGCCAGCTGATGGACTCGCAGGGCTTCACGTCCGACACCGGATGGGGCTGCATGATCCGATCTGGACAGAGCTTGCTCGCAAATACACTCTGCATACTACTACTTGGCCGAGGTGACTACGGGGACCGTCATACAGGCCGGAATAGAGCTGACTATAATTACAGACTGGCGAAGAGGCCAAAAACCAGAGGAAGAATCCAGACTACTTGCCATGTTTGCAGATCACCCAAAGGCTCCCTTTTCAATACATCGATTTGTCTACTGCGGTGCCGAGTCATGCGGAAAATACCCCGGGGAATGGTTTGGGCCATCAGCAACCGCTCGGTGCATCCAGTACGTCCCGTTTCAAGCCGGCTGCCTTATGACCAGAGAGCAAAGCTAACCAAAGATTGACAGAGCACTGTCAAACGAATGCCAAGACCCCAAGCTGAGGGTTTACGTGACCAACGACACATCCGATGTGTATGAAGATCGGTTTACTCGGCTAGCCCGCGGAGAAACTGGACGCATCCAACCGACACTCATACTTCTGGGCTTGAGGCTAGGGATCGAGCAGATCACCTCGGTATATTGGGATGGACTCCGAGCCGCCCTGCAGTATCCACAATCGGTGGGTGTCGCAGGGTACGTAGCATCCCCAAAGGACAATACGAGAAATGGCTGACGATTGAGATACACCAGTGGACGGCCCTCAGCATCACATTATTTCATGGGCGTGCAGGATTCACACCTCTTCTTCCTCGATCCTCATTTCACACGCCCCACGACCCCTCCGCGACGGCCCGATGAAGCGTATACATCGGAAGAAATGGATACTTATCACACCCGACGATTGAGACGGATCCACATCAAAGACATGGATCCCAGCATGCTGATCGGATTTTTGATTCGAGACGAAACGGATTGGGCGGATTGGAAGGAGCGGGTCAAATCCACACCAGGAAAGGCGATCATTCATATTGTCGCCAACGGAGCGCAATCGGAGGAGGGCCACGGTCGAAAAGAGGCGTTGGACGAAGTTGAAGCACTGGACGATTCGGAATAGAATGAAAACCGACAAGACAAACCTGCAAATGGAAGTGAGAGTGCAAGCGATTTGTACAGAAGCTAGAGGGAAAATAATGTTCAATGCAATCAAGCATTTGGAATTTCGCGTTCTAGTTGGAGAGGGTAAACCGTGCAACCCGCCCCAGACCCGAGTTATGTTACACCGCGCGCATCGAGTAGTAACCATCAGAAAAAGTCGCCCATCGGGGTAAAGAAAATTGAGACCATCCCATGACACATTAGAAAACCCGCAAAACACCCATAACCGACCGCCTCAGAGCCCAAACAAGATCAGGAGGCGGTGAAAAAAGCAATACCGCAAGAAACGAAAAAAACCCATAAACCGCTTATTTGGCGGAGGAAGAGTACTTGGTGACAGCCTTGGTGCCCTCAGACACGGCGTGCTTGGCCAGCTCACCGGGGAGGATGAGGCGGACGGAAGTCTGGATCTCTCGGGAAGAGATGGTGGACTTCTTGTTGTAGGCAGCAAGCTTGGAGGCCTCGGTGGCAACGCGCTCGAAGATGTCTGGATGTAAGTCAGAAAACCACGCGTTCCAACGCGCCGGGGAGAAATCAAAACATACCGTTGACGAAGGAGTTCAGGATCGACATGGCACGGGTGGAGATACCGGTGTCGGGGTGAACCTGCTTGAGGACTGAAGGAATCAAAACATTAGCGGACGCGTTCGGATTATGTGGGAGAAACCCGAAAAGCCCAACTCACCCTTGTAGATGTAGGAGGAGTAGGTCTCCTTGCGGGTCTTGCCGCGCTTCTTCTTCTCGCCAGAGGCGGCGGCAGTCTTCTTGCCGGCTTCCTTCTTCTCAGCGGGGGCCTTGCCGCCGACCGGGGCCTTGCCTCCGGTGGAGGGCTTCTTCTCAGCTGCCTTGGGGGCCATTTTTGATGGTGATCACAAAAAGTGAAAGGTTGGAAGGGTTTGAAAGGGTGTTGGAAGATGAAGCGTGGATGGAGATGGAGGACAGAGATGGAGTGGAAGGGAAAAGTAAGAGAAACGCGGTGACGAGGGAGGCGCGGTCTTTATACTCGGCGGGCACAGGGCCAGTTGATCCTGAGGGGTGCAAAGGAGGCGGAATTTCAATACCGTCACAGAGATGTATGATCTGTATGATTAAGAGGGGGTCGACGCGTCTTAAGGTGGGCGGGGCCGTGTCACTGGGCGCGGGGATCACGGTCAACTATGTGTAACGCGCAATACGGGCAATAGATTACAACGCCTTACCTGAAGCGGCATGCCGCGAGCCCCGTGATCCGCACCCTGATTGGCCGATCCCGCTAAGCGAGAGCGTGATCTGGAGTTGTTTGATGCGCCCCAACGTCACCCTCACCGCGTCCTTATAAATCCCCTCCGCTTCCACACGCTGCCCTCCCACCTGCTTTCGCAACCTACGCTCCATCTTCTTCGACATAACCACCTTTCAAACCAAAACCCCCCAAAACCCACCCACATCCATCAAAATGACTGGCGGAAAGTCCGGCGGCAAGGCTAGCGGCAGCAAGAACGCTCAGTCGTAAGTACCTTTGTTATGATCTCTCGCATCAACGCTTCATTCTGACATCAATCCGTTTCAGCCGTTCGTCCAAGGCCGGTCTCGCCTTCCCCGTTGGTCGTGTCCACCGTCTGCTTCGCAAGGGCAACTACGCTCAGCGTGTCGGTGCCGGTGCCCCCGTTTACCTGGCCGCCGTTCTCGAGTACCTCGCTGCTGAGATTCTCGAGCTGGCTGGTAACGCCGCCCGTGACAACAAGAAGACCCGTATCATCCCCCGTCACCTTCAGCTCGCCATCCGCAACGATGAGGAGTTGAACAAGCTCCTGGGTCACGTCACCATTGCCCAGGGTGGTGTTCTCCCCAACATCCACCAGAGTACGTTCCATCACCTTGATTGTCCATTTCGATCCGAAATCGCTAACTCGTCCTTTCAGACCTTCTCCCCAAGAAGACCCCCAAGGCCGGCAAGGGCAGCCAGGAGCTGTAGATGGCTTCTTTTCTTTCGCAGATTTGTTTTGTTTTTCCGGCGCGGGTTGGTTCATTGACACGATAATGGGGTTATGGGATGGGCACGTTATGGCTCTGCGTTTTCTATTTTCTTCAGTTTCCAGGTTGTACATTATGCCTGCGGGCATGGAATGATACCGACGAACTCAGTTTGTTCGAGGGATTTTAGTTTTTCGGATAACTAGCCCTGGGCACATGCCCGAATCAATCAAAAGATTCTAGGTCCAATCAGAGTCTACTTTTACTTATTTTTCCATTTTCTCGAGATTGTAGTCGTCGATGCTCGTCTACGTAGGTAATTTGTCGCTGCAATCATGGCGTCACTCGTTTTTACGTCGCGTCATTTATACTCACGTAGCCCTGCCGCTCGTACTGGAATCCATATTGTCAGGCACCATCCAATCTACTGATTTGGCTGGATCGATCAAAATAAAGGGTACTTCATTTGCAATAGGTCAAATTACATCAACATTGGGTTTGATACCCGGGAAATCTTCTAGTGGGCGCCGGGAGCTTCCGCATCTGCACGAAATTAGTACGGCACTGGTGGAATGATTCGGTCGATTTCATGGTCAACGTACAGGGCAGAATTCGAGCCGGCAGGTTTCTCTCCCATTTATTTCCTGTAGTCAAATGTAAGTGGTGCGCACGCGATACGGTCGGCATCAGGGACATACCTCCAGGGGCGGTGGGTGGCCGGTAGGGATCGGGGTGTTTCCACTCCTCCAACAACTTCTCTGTCTCGCGCAATAGGACCTGGGTTCGTCGTGTAAGTGCAAGGTTTGGTTGACGGATCTGACGGGTCGCAGCCCTACCTGTTGCTGGCGAGGATCGCGGACGTCTTTGTTGGCCTCGAACAGAGAGCGGATGTAGACGGCCTGTCCGCGCCACACTGATCGGTGGACGGCCCAGTCGAGGGACAGCTTCAGGGAGCGCCGGTACAATGAGCTATATACCAAGGGTCAGAAACATGACCGAAGTCGTGGCGGGTTCACTCACGTAGCGGAGGACATGATGGGCGCTCTCGAGTCCAATTGGAACGGGAGGATAAGAAGAAAGGTCGTAACAAGACGAGCGCGAAAAGTCTCCTAGACAATGCGCGTCAATCCGTCAATCCGTCAATCCGAGAGGGAGATGGGTGCGGGTTGACTATTCTCGGCTTCCTCATTCGTTGCACTCTGCACTGCGGGAGTCTGCGGTCGACCGTACAGAGCGTAAAAACATTACTCCGGCCGCGTTTTGCTTTCCGCATCTCGGCTTCGGGAGGTCTTGGGCTTCGGCTACGTAACAGCAACAAGGTCGACAAGGGCTTTTTTCTCCCTCTTTCTTCCGCCCCTTATACCTCCTCCCTTGGGAGATTAATTTTCTTGGTGTTTGATTGCCAATTGTTTCACAAATCATGGCTGCTCGCCTTCCTCTCGCCCGTCTTTCGGGCCAGCGCTTGACCACTTTGACCCGGGCTACTCGGGCTCCCAGCCGGCTTCGCGCCGTCCAGGGCCTTTCTACCCTCACGCGCGCCAATGCCTCTTCGCGGGCCTCCGGTCTGCTGCAGGCCTCTTCCGGGTAAGAACCCTACACGTCCATGCGGTTTCCGGCGCAATGACTGACTCGATGGACCGACAGCATCAACGTGTCGCGCAACCTCACTCCTTTCGTCGGCCTTCAGATCCGGACCTACGGTAACTATGGCCGCTCACAACACCTCAGAATAAGCAAATCGTGCTAATGCTGCTCTTTTTCAGCCGACAGCATCGTCAAGGTCCCCCAGATGGCAGAGTCCATCACCGAGGGTACTCTGAAGCAGTTTTCCAAGCGTATGCAATCCTCTTCTTATTTTTTCTACCGCAAATACTGATTCGTTCTCAGAGGTTGGCGACTATGTCGAGCGCGATGAAGAAATTGCTACCATTGAGACCGACAAGGTAAAGTGCTCCGTGGTTTTTCACCCGCGACGTATAAAATCCCTCAAATTTCTAACGTTGCATCTTGAGCTCTAGATCGACGTCTCGGTGAATGCCCCGGACTCCGGTACGATCAAGGAGCTTCTCGTGAATGAGGAAGATACCGTCACTGTCGGCCAGGATCTCATCAAGTTGGAACTGGGCGCTGCCCCCGAGGGCAAGAAGGATGCGGCTCCCGAGCAGCCCAAGGAGCCTGCCGCTGAGAAGCCCCAGGAGTCTGCTGCTGAGAAGCCCCAGGAGTCTGCTGCTGAGAAGCCCCAGGAGTCTGCTCCTGCGGCGGAGAAGCCCGAGCCGTCGAAGCCCGCACCCCCGTCGGAGAAGCCTAAGGAGACCCCTAAGAAGGCCGAGTCTCCCAAGCCCCAGGGGGCTGCTGAGTCCAAGCCTGCCCTCGGAAACCGTGAGGAGCGTCGTGTATGTACTGCCGCTCCTGTCTGCCGCGTCCCGAACTAACATTATCTGCAGGTGAAAATGAACCGGATGCGTCTGAGAATTGCGGAGCGTCTGAAGCAGTCCCAAAACACCGCTGCTTCCCTTACCACCTTCAACGAGGTTGACATGTCTTCTCTGATGGAGTTCCGAAAGCTCTACAAGGACGATGTGCTCAAGAAGACCGGCGTGAAGCTCGGATTCATGAGCGCCTTCTCTCGTGCCTGTGTGCTGGCCATGAAGGAGGTCCCCGCCGTCAATGCATCGATCGAGGGCCCCAATGGCGGTGACACCATCGTCTACCGCGACTACGTTGACATTAGCGTCGCTGTCGCTACTGAGAAGGGCCTGGTCACTCCGGTGGTCCGTAATACGGAGACCATGGACCTGGTTGGCATTGAGCAGTCGATCGCTGACCTCGGCAAGAAGGTGCGCTATCCTCATATCATTTTTCTGATGCATCGTTACTAACACGTCTCAGGCTCGCGATAACAAGCTGACCATTGAGGACATGGCTGGCGGTACCTTCACCATCAGCAATGTAAGCTCCCCTGTTTTCCAAACAATGTCCTCTTGAGGTCAAAAGAATGAATGCTAATCCGTCCGCTCAGGGTGGTGTCTTCGGCTCCCTGATGGGTACACCCATCATTAACCTTCCCCAGTGTGGTGAGTGCTTCATATGATCTGATTCTCGTCGACTTCTTCTAACCTCTTCGCTAGCTGTTCTGGGTCTCCACGCCATCAAGGACAAGCCGGTGGCCGTGAACGGCAAGATCGAAATCCGCCCGGTAAGATTTCCTTTACGAAGAGCTTCCTCTGCGAATCATGCTAACTTTGGGGCCAACAGATGATGTACCTTGCCCTCACATACGACCACCGTCTCTTGGATGGTCGCGAGGCGGTCACTTTCCTTGTCAAGGTCAAGGAGTATATTGAGGACCCGCGGCGCATGCTGCTTGGGTAAACGGTTACTCCGTCCGTACCCTGTTGGTTGATCTGTGTCTGTCGTGCCTAGAGTAGCCGTTGGCCGTCTTTGTAGATTATCGAATTTCGAAATATAACCGCCACATCACCGGCCAGCTCCTTCCCTTCACGTTGTAGTCTATGGCACAATTCGTAATGCTCTCCCACCTGCACCTTCCGGTGGCGTCGTTGGCGATGGTGAATGATCGTTTCGCGATTGTCTAGCGAGTGGCTGCAACATGTATTCCGGTGCGTGCCGAGTACGGGTCTCGGGCTTGATGGGGTTCTGCCGCAACTTTCAACACGTCTCGTTCATTGCAGCCCGACGCGTTCCTTGAGCCGTTGGGTCTCGTCGCGGCTGAGATTGCCGATTTTACCCCGTTCGAGTTGGATGAGAAGAGGTGGATCCAGGGTGGTCATCAGGTCAACCAGAAAGACCAGAACAAGGCATCTGAATTCTTCGAATGGAAACTTGCGATTGAGACCATTTCGTGCCGCTGACATATCGTTATGCTTGGGCAACTCATTGGTGTAGCTCTGACGAATCTTCATCCATTTCGAATTTCGCGCCGGGTCATCGGGTGCCCACGCACATAGTCTGGAAAGGATATCGGAGGGTGTGTTCCCGTCGCATTCCTCTTCTAGCACGGCCTGTACCATAAACCGGGCGCCGATGTCGAACCATCTGGTTTCAGAGACCTTGTGGACGGCTGCCGAACAGAGGTCCATGAATTCAATACCTATCTCTGACAGCACAGAACAACCTTCGCGAGAACGATGCTCCTGAGCACGCATATAGTGGCGGATATGATGGGCCACTGCGAGAATCCGGATCTTGATATCCAGGTCCTGGGGCAAGGAGGTCTCGGGCAGTGTTATTGATCGAAAGGCTATCTCGCTCGTCAATGCTGGTGTCCTGGCGATCATGTCTTGTCTTCCATGGCTTACCTCCCACTGCATCTACTAGCCAGTCCACCTCCTCTGAATCCTCCGATCCCTGACTGGTGTTCTCTGCGACGGACAGGGTCTGATTGATAGCAATGCTCGTAAGGTAGTCCAGGATCATCCAGTTCACGTCGGCTTTGGTTTCGGGATCGGCTTCCATCTCGCTGATATTGGGGTTAGTGGTGGGCCCGGACGCCCTGGCGGATGGCATGGCGAGCCAAGGTGATTGCTCGAGGAGGAATTTCCGTTCTGTGGATCGCCGGGAAGATCCCCGCAGTTCGCTGATGGTGGGGCGTTTGTTCTTCAGTCGCCTTCGAAAACACTACAGGGGATGCTGCCCTTTTCGAATTCGGATTTTAATCTGGAGGGGGGGGATAAATGTGTTTCCTGCCGACTCAGCTTCCTGCGTTGTTCTTGGGTTGGATTTCTGGCCGACTGAACTGATTGACATCTAAGCTCTCCCTTCTCTGTATAGATATATATACACCACACCCAGTCAAGACAAACCCACCGCCACTGATACAACCGGAAAATACGGGAGTACCGTAAATATGAATACGAAGATGACTTCCACAACCGGAGCTATCACGTGTAGACATTAGCAGAGGATGGCGTCACATCAACGAGACCGCGACACAGTCAAGACTTGCCGGTTTGCCACTCCCCAACTGTAGAGAAATCACGAAAACTACATGATCCGACGCCTTTCAAGCAACTTCTCAGCACCGAAGTGGCAAACAATCAGGGCCTTCTCAATGGCGTGGTACTGTTCCGGGTCCACCAACACTGAACTGGTGGAGAATCTATTCAAGGTCGAGCTTATCAAGAATGAACGTGTCAAGGAAGCTATGCTGGGCGTGAGCAGCCGTACCCCTTCACCGAGCGTTCTTCGTCATATTCACCTAACACCCGGCCAAGGTTGATCGAGCCCACTACGCTCCGTCGCGGCCCTACTCGGACTCGCCGCAGCCCATCGGACATGGTGCCACCATCTCAGCTCCGCACATGCACGGCCACGCCTGCGAGTACCTCATTGATCATCTTCACCCGGGCGCGCGAGTGCTAGACATCGGATCTGGCTCCGGATACCTCACCCATGTCTTCGCCAACCTAGTCACGGCTCCCGGTGCATCAGACCAGGGCCAAGTCATTGGAATTGACCACATCCCCGAACTGGTGGAACTGGCCCGGATCAACATGAACAAGTCCGATGATGGCCGGGAGCTGCAGAAATCCGGCAAGGTGAAATTCATCACGGCGGACGGGCGCCTGGGATGGAAAGAAGGAGCTCCGTACGATGCGATCCACGTCGGTGCAGCCGCCGAGAAGCTCCACCCCGTTCTGATCGAGCAATTGCAAGCTCCTGGACGACTGTTCATTCCGGTAGAATCGACCAACGACGGGAGTATCATGAGTAGCCTTAGTGGAGGCCAGTACATCTGGGTCGTGGACAAAAAGGCCGACGGGTCGGTTCATAAGAAGAAGGTCTTTCAGGTCAGCTACGTTCCTCTCACGGACCCGCCTCGATCATGAAGAACCTCCTACTATCACGACACGAATGTGGCCAATGCAATGCCACTTTCGGCATGAATTCGTGAGGCCGATCAAGCCGTACTACGATGGAAATGAGATGAGATAGCCAATGAAGCAGATACTGCAATTGATTTGTCCATTTGCTGCCAATGATGACCTAAGAAGGAAAAAGGTGATGCCCAGCGCGAAAGTTCTTCCACAGGCGACGAAAGACCCGGCGCGATACTCCAAGAAACACCGTGGTATGTTCTACAACGAAAAAGAGAGTAAATAGGATCAGCGGAAGGGGAAACCGCCGGAGAACTTGAACTGCGGTCCGCCGCCCTGTTGGAAAAAGAACTGCTGGCCACCGCCGTGACCAAAGGGACTTCCTTGGAATGGATTGCCTCGTTGCGCTTGCGCCTCGGGGTCGTTGGGATCGTCGCCATTATCGTACCGAGTCCGTAGTTCCGAGTCCGAAAGGACTTCGTATGCCTCGTTGATGGAGGCCATCTTCTTTTCGGCCTCCTCCTTCGACACCCCCTGGGAAGCGGCCTTGTCTGGATGATGCTGCTTCGTCAATTGACGATAGGCGCGCTTGATAGTCCGATCATCCGCATCACGGCCGACACCCAAGACCTTGTAGTAGTCCTTCTGCTTCGAGCGCTTCAAGAGCACCTGGGCCTTCTGGAGAAGGTTCTGAACCTCCTGGGAATGAGGATGGTGCTCCCTGGCTGTACTGAGAGTGCGCACAGCCTCCTCAAATTGATCCTGATCTAGCTCGATCTGGGCCTGGTACAACAGACCGTGAAGCGAGTACGGAACCAACTGGAGAGATTCGGAACAGTAAGGTCCAGCCTTCTTGACCATACGCATCTATTGTCATTCGTTAGAATGGACGGGGCCATGAGAGACGGAGAGTGTGAGAGAGAGAGAAATGAATAGGGCAAAAAGGGCCAACGAACCTCCCGGTATGCTTCGCATGTCTTTTCGATGAGGAAGACGTAGAGATTGTTGGACGCTGCATGGTGAATGTGGCCCGCCTCTTTCGCATCTGCAACATCGGCCTTTACATCTGCGACCAAGCCGCTTTCATCACCATCGCCAACCAAGAGCTTTACAGCGTTACTGAACTTGCGTGCCTCCAGGGCGCCGTGCAACTTTCCCAAGATCTTTGCCAGTTGCCGCTCTCGCTTGTAGAGGCGATTGCAGGGCTTCGAGTCCGGGTCTGCATGGAGACATTTGCGGATCTGAGCTAGGCCACGGTCACTGTCTCCCAAAGCATAGAACAACATTGAGGACATCTGCAAATGAGGCTCCACCAAGCTCGGAGACATCTGTAGAACATGGGCCAAGTCGCTGACTCCCTCTTCCACCTCGCCCCGCTCGAAGCGACAGTGTGCGCGAGCCTGCCGGAGAGCCATATCGGTGCTTGCCTTCATGATTGCGATTCCGGCCTGCGAGACACAAGCCTCCCAGTCACCTTTCTTCTCGGCGGCGAGGGCTAGGGTCGCCGCATCCCGTGCCTCCTCGACTTCCTTGTATTCCACCGATGCCTTCTTCCCAGCATGTTCGAGATCCCGTAGGGCTTCCTTCCAGTGTGCAGAGCGGGCTTGGAGGCGAGACCGCTGGAGAAGCGCGCCTTCGAAGTCCGGCTTTAGTTCTAACACCCGGTTGAAATCCTCTGAAGCTTGCGAGTTTTTGCCTATTGAAAGATAGGCTGCACCTCTTTGAAAGATCGTCACATAGTTGGTTGGGTCGCGCGAGACCGCTGCATCGAAGTATACCAGAGCGTCTCGCGGCGAGCCCTTGGCGAGTTGGACTTTCGCGGAGGAGATCAATTCGGAGAGCGGCGTGTCGGGGGGCACTTGAAGCGCATATCCGGTAGAAAGACAGGCCAGGACGGCCGTTAGCGACTCGAGCGAAATGTGCATATTTAAAGGTCGAGCATCGTAGATGAAAAAAGAGAGAGGAAGAGAAGGTCGCGAAGATGGAATGCTCGTCGGCGTGGCCTTTACGCGTACCGTACCATAAATTACGTGCTACGTCTCGGAACAAAAGTCCAGCTCCAATCCTTTCCCGTGCGCCCATCCCAAGGATGCTACGATGCGGTCGATTTCTCTCGCCCGTGAGATTCGGGCTGCGACCGTTTCTGCGACGCTCTCACACTGGTATGTCACTCACTCTATTCGGGCGTCTATGCACACTCTTAACCCCTCCGCCACTCCCAGATTCCGGCCTCTCTCCGGTCTTACTGACTAGAGCTCGATTGCTCGCCGCCGAACATGACAAACTATCCGACAGTCTCGCAGAATCGTTTGATACCAAAATCGCCAAGCGAGCCGGTGAATTGGCCTCGGTCACAAAGGTCCTGAAGGAATGGGATAATGCGAATGAGGTGGGTTCTTCTACCCTTGATTCCGCGAGAACCTGGCCATAACCCCGTATCCGAAGTCCATTGTCGAACTGAAGTCCCTCCTGGAGGACGCCGGAACCGACGCCGAGTTACGCTCTCTTGCGACGGAGGACCTGGAGAGCAGTCGAGAGGCTCTACCTACCATATCGGACCGATTGAAGAAGTCGCTGATTCCCAAACACCCGTTTGCCGATCTTCCCTGCTTGCTTGAGATTCGCCCCGGTGCAGGAGGGGATGAGGCGGGTCTGTTCGCATATGAGATGCTACGGATGTATATGACCTTCTGCTCTCGGAGAGGCCTTCGACCGACGATCTTGAAGCAGGATGTCGAAGACGGGCCCTCGGAGGATCGCCTGAGTGAGGCCGTGATTGAGATCGAGGCCGACGGTGCATATGATCTCTTGAGAACCGAGTCGGGTGTGCACCGCGTGCAGAGGGTACCGGCAACCGAAACCAAGGGCCGCACTCACACTAGTGCCGTCAGCGTGATGGTCTTGCCGAGTTTTCCGGAAAGTGGAAGCGGCTTGGACAATGCCCTGAACTTCGAAGACCCGAGCAGTGACTACTATATCGATCCACAAGAGGTGCGTGTCGAGAAGATGAGGGCCGGAGGCGCAGGAGGACAGCACGTGAATAAAACAGAGTCTGCCATTCGGTTGACGCATACCCCCACGGGCACGGTGGTTTCCATGCAGGACGAGCGGTCCCAGCAGGCGAACCGTCGGAAAGCCTGGCAGATGCTGCGGGCCAAGTTGGCGGAGGCCCGCCAGGAAGCTCGAGAGCAGGAGTTGGTTCAACTCCGGCGCGGCGTCTTGGGCGGAGTGGCTCGCATGGGCCGCGGTGACAAGATTCGAACGTACAACTACGGCCAGAGTCGCTGCACCGACCATCGTACTGGCCTTACGATCCACAACCTGGACGACGTTCTCGAAGGCGGCGATGGACTCGAGACGGTCATGGAGAGCGTGCGCACGTGGATGGCAGACCGTGAGGTCGAGGCCATGGTGGCCGAGGAGCTAGCAAAGGAGAAGAAATAGGCTCGGCAGCGTCCTCCGATTTGTACATTATAAAGGAAAGATACCATGTATTCTACAGCACATATTCAACGGGCAAACCTCTATTCTGTCCAATGTCAAGGTCGACGATCGACGGCTCCTCGACTTAAAGGTACTTTCTCTCCGGATCCGCGAGATCCAGCAATTCCATCGATTTCTCGTACCTGCCCGAATGTTGATCGTTAGCTTTGATATCAATGACTCCCGCAGCAAACGACCCGGAGAAGAATGGACGCACATGGTGAACACGATTCCTCCGCTCAGGATCAGTCGGGCAAGACGTGGCACGGCTCCGGACCAGAAGGTAAAGACGCCTTCGTCCTTGAAGATTTTTGAGGCACAGACAAAGCTATTTTTGTAGTTTCTGCTGGCTTCGAGGGATTGCATTCTGTTTCAGAACTTAGTAATTGATCCAGGTATTGATCTGTCATGGGTATTGACCTTGTCTTCACCGTATCCAGGGGCTGAGTTACGTATCTGGGTACATGAGCTGTCAGTAGAGTGATGCGATTATGGGAGATTTCCCAGCACGTACACGGTGATAAACCCGGCAACGCCTCCGATTGCAAAGGTACTCAGAGTTCCAAGCTTCTCCCCGGGAGCAACGTAGCCCTCTGCGAGCTGCTTCAAGGTGGTGTAACTGGTGAATCGCGTGGCCGAGTTGGCTGCCTGTCGAGCTGTGGTGGGGACAAAGCCCTGGAAGAAGCCCCGGACGCCTCTCTCTTGAAAAATGATCTTGCTTCCGTGCAAGAAGCCGCGCATGCGAGGCTTCTCCGACTTCCGGTCATCAATCCTGAAAGCACCACGTCAGTTCTACTTTCACGTTCAGGGGAGTGACATGGCGCCACGGACAGTTGAGTCTTGATACTCTCGAAGGGAGTCACCGCCAGAAGAGACTCGGTGACACCCGCGCCGAATCCAGCCACGACAGTCCTCGGTCCCGAGATCTTGCCATTCTCATCCTGGAGGGTTGCTTTGATCGCATCGAAGGCGACGAATCCTGGCGTAAAGCCGAGTCAGAGCGGAGGACTTGACCGGCGTATCAGAGACAAACGTACGAATTCCAGCCTTTAGAGAGTTTCCAATGATCAGTGTTGTACATCCTGCGTACCACTGCTTGCCGAACGGCGGCCACGGGAGCTTCTGGCCCTCGGCAAGACGGCGATTGAGTTGTGTGCGGGTCTTTGCGACTGAAGACATCAATTAGCTACGGGGTAGACATCGAAGGGTGAGGGAGTCGTCATACACTCAGCAGGATAGGTAATTGCTGCGATGAGATCTCGTTAGCTCAACACGGTGATACATGGTGGGATATCTTTTACCGATCTCCACGGCTCCGGCGGTGGAGCCCGCGATGATGGAGCGCAGGGCGCTAGGCTGTTCCCTTTGATTAGCTCGGAGTCTGCCGTGGAATCGAGAGACCAACCTTGGCCTTCTGGTCCTTGTTTGCCGTGGCCATGTCGACAATGAAGAGAGCGATGACGATCGTTAGACCTCGGGTCTTTCGTCGATCCTGTACGGTCTGCCGCAGCCCCCCTCAGCGCACTTTGGTTTACGATATCGACTGACACTACGAATACCAACACCAACACCGAGATTCAGAGGGAACTTGTCAATTCACAAAATGCTACATAAGTATGCCTAGCATCTAGTGCTCCTCCAAATTTTTTTTTTTTTTTTCGTCGTCGTGGGGGGTTTTTGGGTGATGTTGACACTGAGGTCCCATAATGCCATATGGTAGGATAAGATGTCAAAGAGATACCGTCCGAAGCCACCATGTCAAGTAAAAGGGGGACCTGGAGTTGGAAAAGAGTTGGAACCGAAGATATAGGGAAAACGTCGGTGAGAGGCTGTTCAAGAGGCGGGGATGAAGTAGTCGAGAAAGGCCGTAGTAGAAAAGAGAAAGGGCTCCGACTCAGTAGAAACGCCGAAAAGACAACCGAGAGATGCCAGAGAACGCCTTCCGCCCTGCAATCCTTCGTAATGCAACCGCGGACGAACGTATGTACACCTTCGCGCGGTAACCCAGAAACGTAGAGGACTCACGGCACCGGAACAAATGCACCCTTTCTCAGACCAAAAGCCCAACATGCCCCGTGACGATGAAGTCCAGGGGAACAAAAGAGGGCAAACCGGAAAAGAACAAAACATAGAGAGGAATTATGATACACATGTCGCGCCAATAACGTATCATCGTGGCGGGAGAAGAATGCACAAAAGCGAGGAAAACTCCGTCTCCGCTGTCGAACAACCATAAGCCCGCCCGAAAAGGGGGTGGAGAGGGAGGTGAGATTACCGGAGAGAGAGGGACAAATCAAGAAGCGAACAAGGAACGAGCCGTAGCAAAGATTATCGCAGATGGGCATGCCAAAGAGAGATGACCCTTAGGAGACGGGAGCCGGAGGTTTGGGAGCGATTTGACCCGGAGTCAGCGGGGCCCGGTTGGGATCATTCGGGGGCCCACGACGCGGACCTTGTCCACGACCCCCCCGGTAGGAGCCCCGGCCACGGGTGTTGTAGTATTGGCCGCCGTTTTGGGGGTGGTTGTGGTGGTGGTTCTGGCGGCGAGGCTGGCGATCACCATTTCCGGGATGCTGACCTCCGGCGGGAGGCTGGGGCGGGCCGGAGATCGGGCGCGGGATGTTCTCGGGAGAGTCGTAAACGTAGAGCTTCTTGTCGATGTTCTGAGGAATGGGCTGGATTTCAGTGCCAAGTTCCTGCTCAATCTTGTACAGATTGAACCGATCCTCCCAGTTGATGAGGTTGATGGCGAGGCCCAGGTGCCCGAATCGACCGGAACGGCCAATGCGATGCAGATAGGTTTCCGCATTCTTAGGAAAGTCAAAGTTGATCACGACGTTGACCGCTTGGATATCAATACCACGGGTCAGCAAGTCCGAGCAGACCAGGTTGCGACACACGCCGTTGCGGAAATCATGGAACACGCGGTTACGGTGCTGCTGAAGCATCCGAGCGTGCGAGTAAAAGCACGAGTATCCTAGCTCCGTGATCTTCTTTGCCAGAAGTTCCACGCGGTTGGTTGAATTGCAGAAGATGATAGACTGGTTGATCTGGAGCTTTGAGAATAGAGTGTTCAAGCAGTGAACCTTCTGCTTCTCCTCCACGAACGCATAATATTGCGTGATACCACGTAGAGTAAGTTCATCCATGAGGTTGATCTCATAAGGGTTGCGCATGTGTTTGTCCTGATACGAGTTAATATAAACGGGACCAGGTTTCTCGAGGGGTGTCGTGCAATTGGCATACCTTGAAAGACTTGACAATGAGCGGGAAGGTAGCACTGAAAAGCATGACCTGTCGATCCTTGGGATGGAAGGACAGCAACTGCTCAATGACGGGAGTAAACTCGGGGGAAAGCAGCTTGTCGGCCTCGTCCATCACGAAAGTGGGGCACTCAGAAAGATCGGCCACACCCTTGCTAGCCAGATCCAGCACTCGTCCAGGAGTACAAACAAGGATATGGACGGCATCGTTCAGTCGAATAATGTCATCCTGCAAGCCGGTTCCACCGGTGGTGACCATAACGTTGATACCCAAATGTTTCCCAAGAGTCTTGCAGACCTGCGATGTTTGAAGAGCCAGCTCTCTCGTGGGGACCAGGATCAATGCCTGAGTTTTCGTGCTCTTAGGATTGATGCGCTCCAGAGTGGGGATGACAAAGGCGGCGGTCTTTCCGGTGCCGTTCTTTGCTCGGGCCAGAATATCTCTGCCGGTAAGAGCAACGGGTATCGTCTCTTCTTGGATAGGAGAAGGCTTTTCAAACCCAGCCTCGAAGATACCCATCATCAGCTCGCGCTTAATGTAGAAGTCTTCAAATTCGAGGCCCTTGGTGGCGGTGACATCCTGCAAATCTTATTAGTGATGTACCACTTGACAAAATAAGGGATTTTCTAACCTCAGTCTGTGGCCGCGCATCTTTGGGGGGCAATTTCAGAGAGTCCTGCAGTCTTTGTTCTGTGTGTCCTTCCCTGGAGGGGGGTCAGATCTGTTTAAACCAGAGTAAATGAGATGACTGTGATCTTACCCAAGCTGGGTGTTGCTGAGTTGTGAGGCGAGAGCGTCGGCCATGGTAATGAGAGGGTATCAAAGGTATGGGAGGAAGTTGTGAGATGTTGAGACCGTCAAGTTGGAGCTAAGCGCCAACGGACGGACTGAGTAGGGAAGTAGGGTTCAGCACGTTGTGGGGCTCAAAAGGGTTGGCCCAGCGTGTTCTGATGAGGAGATTGTGGGAGGTGATAAGTGTGAATGAAGACCAAGAGTGGTAATCGCTTTTCGATAGGACTTTTGCCGAAGGCACAGCTGGAAATTGCGTACGAGATAGGGTGAAGTTCGGGCTGGCGGTGGTTCAGATTGAAGGATTTGGAGTCGAGGGTCAAATAGGATGCCCAATTGGTGAAGAATATGAGACCGAAGAGTTGGAGTCGGACGCGTGAAATAAAAAGTGGGATTGCAGAGAGGAGATGCGGTTCAGCGAAGTGTGAAGGGATTCCGAAAGTCAAGGCCTGCGTGGGGCGGGACCTGTCACGTGATATCTAGCGATGGCTCTCCTCGTTCATTTTGGGTAATTATTCTATATCGTGTCTGAAAGTATTGCCATCCGAGGCAGCCGGATTGCTTGTACGTGCCTTTGGGCCGGTTTACAGAGAAAGGTTGAGCTACCTGTCTCATATCTAGACTGTAAAGATCTTGCTATTGCTAAAACGGAAGAACGGTGGGTATTATCGCTGCAAAATCTCATACTAGGCATTGATCAGAAATGTTGGGCTGCATTTTTAGCGCCGAAAATTCAAAGTGGTTTGCCCACGCTCGGGTTCAGCCAACTCCTTTACCCGCACGTCGGGGGAGATGGTAATATCCGTCTTGGTCCCCGGGGTGATGAGGATAAACTGTCGCCCGATAGAGCGTCGAGCAGCAAGCATCTGCCAGAGATAGTCAGCAAGCAGAGAAGCGGATGATCAAAGAATCACCAAAGACCTACCAGCATGTCAATGGCCATCTTTCGATTGATATGGTCCATGTACACGTCGCTATTGAATCAAGTCAGTGAGGTCGGGGATATGAAGTGCAAAGGAAATATGACGCACAATTCATCCAGACAGCGGATGGGAGACCCCATGGCTTCCCAGAGAGCAAGCAATAGACACACTTGCGAGAAGGATTTCTCGCCGCCAGAGAGGGTCTTAGCACCGCGCCCAGTGCTGTCATCTTTGGTGATATCGGGTTCGACCTGAAAAAGAAACAAATGGTTCAGTAGATATCGAAACTGCTTAAAGGAAAGGCTCACTTACCTGAAGATCCAGTAGCTTCCCAACATGGTCTGTAAGCAGTCGACCGCGGAAGCTTCTCTCACTCAGTAGGTAAGTGAATTGGGCTTTGGCGCGAGATGAAATGTGTGATCTAAAGATCTCCCATCTTTTCTTTCGGCTATTGAGAGTGTCTTTGAGATACTGCGGATTTGTCAGAGTCAAACATTTCAATTCGTGATTGGAACGCTGCATACCTGGGCAAGAGTCTTCAGTTCATCGACCTGCCTCTTCGCTTGCAGATACGCGGCTTCTGCCCGACCAGCCTCAGCGGCAATCTCGTGTCGTGGTGCGCCCAGTCTATCGGTGGTCAATGATAAGATCAAAGTGGTGGAACGGAAGACTTACTCTGCGTGATAGCGCTCCAAGTCTCGCTGCAACCTCACCAGCTTCTGATCCAGGCTATGAGTGGTTTCGCCCTCGTCGACCGGAACTCGTGCTGAAACCATACTCGCCTTCTCGGTGTAATCCAGGACTGTCGATGACGCCTGATCTCGTCTCGCCTTGATCTTCTCTCGCTCCTTTTTGTCATCTTCAATCTTGGAAACGGCAATATTCTTGTTCGTGATGATCTCACGACGTCTGCTTTCCACTTGCGAGTTTTCGCTTTGAGCAACGCGTGAGTTTTGCTCCAAGATTTGGATGCTTTCATCCTGCGCCTTCAACTCTCGCCGAACCATCTTCAACTTGTCCATGAGTTCGGTCATTGCTGCCTGACTGTCGCTGTATGACCCTTCGTTGAGGATTTTCTCGTCTTCGGCTTCCTGAAGAGCAGTCCGTAGGCCTTCGATCCGCCCGTCTTCAGCATTGTCTTTGTCGAGGGCATCTCGAAGTGCTTCTACATGATCCTCCATTTCCTGCATTTCGATTCTCAGATCTTTCTCTCGTTGCAGATGTTGAGCAACCGCCTGCTTGCAGTTCTCGAAGCGGGTCCGAGCAGATTGCCATTCGTGTTCCAAATCATTCAGCTGCCTTTTCAAATCCTGGATTACGTCACGCTGTGCGCTGGACATTTGTAGAGATACATTAGCATATTGGATGATGTATCGCATTCTATGGAACTTACCTGATCTGCGAGGCCAGATCGGATTTCATGCGGGGATGGCCATGATACACTCCCACTGGTGCCTGGCTAGGCTCACCCATACGATTATATGAGAGATGAATTCCTCGTCGTCGATCCCTTGAGTCGATACAGAAGCATCGCTTCACATTTTTCGGTCGTTGGCCATCAAAAAGCACGGTCGAAGCTTCCTCCAGATCCTCAATCAGCAGCATTTGTTCTACGCCATGATTGATGATAAGCTGCCGTCGCACCATGGGGTTGTTGATCTGCATAAAAAAAAGTATTAGCATAGAGTCAGTCAAGTTACGAAGAGATTGCTTCACCTGTAATGTTCTCAGGGCCGTGTCGTACTGAGAATCGGGTTCGTGACCTGCGGTATCAATATCGCCGCCACTTCCAATGAAGATGGGGCAGTTGCTGCGATGGTGGTTAGATGCATTTGATCCAACTTATCGCGCGAAAGTTCGTTAATTCTCACCAATTCACCTTGCCCATGAGATTCGAGAGAATATTCATGTCTCTCTTGCAGCTCACAATGAAACTGCTCAGGGTGGCACCGAACGAGTTTTCGAGAATGGATGACCATTTTGGCCTGAGCAATGTGATATGATCACCAATCGGCCCGACTGGCTGACTGCTGAAAGACTTTTCTTGCTGAATGGCTCTCAAGAGCGCCGGCATCTTATCTGGAAAGCCGGTGTGCCGCTGGCCATCCTCCCTAGTCAGGGTCCGCAATCGGTTTTCCGCCTGTCCTATGTCGTTCTTTTTGGATTCGCACCGCTTTTTTGCCGATTCCATCTCCTTACCGGCGGTTTTGACATCTTCCTGCAAGCTCGCGGCACCTGGCTGATGTTCCTCGTATTCTTTGCGGGCAGCAGCAGCTCGAGTTGCGGCTTGCTCACACTCCTCCTGTTTTCGAGCGTATCCTCCGTCACTCACCTCCGCAAGTCTTCGTTCTTCATCAGCCATTCTTTGTTGCGTCTCCGAGATTCTGGATTTCGCCGCTTCGAGATACTGTTTGATCTGTCTTTGCTCGGCCTGTCATCATGTTAGGGATGCGGGAAGCTCTTGTGAATTGAGGGGCAAGTATTCTTCTAAGTTGCATACCTGGAGATCATGACGCTGGCTGAGTGCGTCGTCTTGCTTCTCCTTGATCTTTTCTCTCTCCCCTCGGGCTTCCTCAAGCTCGGAATCGGCTCGCCAAGCATGCTCCGCGGCCCTTTCAGAATCAGCCTCAACGGCCTGAAAATCATCGTCAAATCGGCCGAGTGCGGCTTCTGCGCTCGCTATCTTGCTGTCCGTTTTAGACATCTCATCGTTCAAGATATCGCGGGTCTGTGGTTGTCAGCTCCTGTAAAATTCATAGTTGCACCGGCACACTGACTCTTTCCACTTCCTCAACCTGTGCCCAGGCCATCTGCTGCTGCATGTTTCTGATGCGCCCTCTCAAGGAATCATGCTGATCAGAAAGCTCCAATTTCTTCTTTGTTGCATCGCTGCGGCTGGCTAGGAAGCCGAGGTCTTGTATTTTGCTTCTTAGCTTCTCCTCAATCTGGTCAACTGATTCTTCGATTAGACGGTAATCTTGATCCAGTTGCTCCAGCTGGACACCTCTGACGAAGAACTTGTACTTTTCCGCAGGACTCGAGGTGCTGAGAAATTGACGAGCCATGTCCTGGGAAAGAACATTCATGGGATTGTCAATCTGCAGGGAAAAGTAGTCGGTAATGGCGTCGAGCTCTGCTTTTTTGGTTGAAACGATGCGACCATTGTCTGCTTTGATTTTGAAACCACTCGCTCCATTCTTGGAGAAATGTCGTTCAACGATGATGGACTTTCCGTAGTCGTCCGGCAAATAGGCACCGTCTCCTTGGTTCTTGATCCGCACGATAATGGAAGCATTTTCTCTGCCTTCTTTGATGAAATTCTTTAGGCTCTGACCGCGATTCGTGGCAGACGCCTTGCCTCCCAGGCAGAGCGTGATGCCTGTCAAGATTGCGCTTTTCCCACTGCCATTTTTCCCGACAATGAAATTGATCAGCGGCCCCAATTCCACCTGAAAGTGATCGTGACACATGAAGTTGTAGCATTCGACGCGTTCAAGGATTCCATGTTCGGCGGGGACGTTTGATTCATCAACAAGGTGGGCGTATTTCTCTTGAATGATTTGTGTCTGGCGGAGTTCCAACTCGGCATCATCCATAGTCAGATCATCAGTAAGAGGGTCGGCCGCGTCGGAGTCATGATCGCTCGCTTCTATGTCATTATCGGAGGATGGCGAGTCGGTAGTCCGCTGTCGTTTCCGCTACTCTGTTCTCAGCGCAGGGTCCATGCTGCATCTGCTTCATTTGAGTACATACCGAATAAGATGGGGAGGCTGATCGGGCACTCTCAGAGCCTTGATCGATCTGGTCCTCGCCGTCCGAGGACGACGGTGCGCGTTTAAAGGACGGCATTAAAGGAGCAAAGGACCGCGAAGAATGAGAGACTAGAACCTAGTAACGAGTGTCACCCAGGCATCATGTCAAGAAAGTCGAGATTGACAAAAGTGGTCGCGTCGCGCCCACGCGCGCGGCTGGAAACCAGTTATTTTACTAAGCAAACCAGAATTCGAGTTAATTTAGTTACCGGCCGTCCCCTTTAAGTTACTACTTTCAGTCTTTTATTCTCTTCACCCCCTTTTATTGTTCATTAAATTAGGTGCCGGGTCCGTCGTTTAAGCCTACCTACTACTTTATTGATCAATATGGAAAAAGCAATTCCCCAAGACCCCAAGCCAACATCCACTCGCAGCCAGCTAGACGATAGCGTGTTTCCAAATCGCCTTATTGAGATCGCGGACGCATATCCTGACAATCTCATTGTCAGATATTTCGTTGTACCATTTGTCAGACACTTCTTTAAGTGAGAACTACGCGTTTGGCCTCTATATAAGGACTATCGAGCTAATTAAGTTAGATCTCTTCTAGCGGTCTACGTCTTGCTCTTTGGCTCGCTTATTACATGCAACTTTTGGAACGACAATAAAGTTTGTGATGGAAGATTTCTCTCAATGACATTTTACGTATCACTTGGATTTATGATATTAATCTGCTATACGGCTTACCTTCGGAGGAAGCTTGCGAGGCAGAGGCGATTATCGCAAGAGGCTTAAAAGCTAGTATAGCCGTGCAGTAATTCCCTTAATTTTAAAGTGATATAAAATAACCAGGCCAAATATTCCCACCGAAGTATCCGTCGTCCACGCGTGCCATATCTTGGTGCCGACGTGGAGCTTCGTTTCTCTCCTACCCTCCGGGCCCCTATAAGTTGGACATATACTGTAGAAGCCGCGCGACTACGTCGAATCTGCCATAGAGGCGCAATATAGAGGCATCCAACTTCTTCGGCCTTTGTCTTCCTTATTCGCGCCCGTCTTAAGCAGTAGCCGCTTCGTCGCGAGCATTCTAACCCTTTTGGAGACTTAATTCGCTCTCTATAAGACCAATATATAAAAGGTATAGGCTATACGATCGAAGCAAGGTCGTGGGAGGATAGTAAGTATATAAAGTGACTGCTGCTCTTCACACGTAGGAGGAACTCCCTTGTATGACTGTTTAAGATAATCCCTGCCTTGATGTATTAGTGTAGCGTAGTATATTGAATAGTGATGAAGAACCGCTGTAGCGTGAATTAGCTTCTAGAATAATATTCTTGCAGGAATAGATAGACACTCCGGAACGGTCTTACCGCTGAAGCACTGCATAAGCTATTGAAATAACATTCAATAAATATCTGGACTAAAGCTTTAGTGAAGGATAACTGTGTAGCAACTCTGCTCTTATTGTTATTATTGCTCTGAATGCTGACTGAGCCGAGTAGTCGATGAGTAACTAAGCGGGCGGGACATGTGGCGAGGCACGTCTTGACTTTTATAACTAAGGTTTGATCGCTACCAAGTTGGCGGCATGTCCAGTCCTGCCTTGGGAGATCAAAGGCTACCTATCTCCTGCGGTCCTTACGAGTATGCTCCTCGGTGTCTAAAGCCTGGTACGCCCGACACAGGGTCCAGGTTCATGCCGGAAGGTACGGTGACCCCATCGACAACTTCTTACTCCAATTATGCAAAGTCAAATAGTATAGAAACATACAAAGCTACAGTAAAACAAAAACGTAGCCCTTGTCTCTCTATGGCGAAGGTGGTCAATTAATGAGGGTTTCAGAATTTGTTCATTTATTCGGCTGAGAAACATGGTCCATTCAAAAACAGAAATATAACGCACCAGTTGGCTATCCCGTCTTGAAGGGGATATGCTTCTACATAAACATCCTTTTAAGCAGAGGTGGGCTCCTCTGCCACGTAGTGCAGATATGCGCCCAGCAATTTAGTTCCCTCAATGTAGTTTCTCCGATCCAGCTTCTCGTTGATGGAGTGGGCGGCATCGGTGGAGCTACCCATAGGAAGAAGCAGGACGTTCTTGCCGGTGGCTTGCTCGAAAGTCAATGTAACCGGAATACTGTGGATTCAGTCAGCTTTTGGATTCATCACCAAGGAAATGCTGGCACTCATGAGGCCAAGAACGGATCGAAACGTACCTTCCACCCTCACGGGTCATATCGGGCTCAACACCAAAGACTTGCTCCACGGCCTTGCTGGCGGCGGTAAAGTTCCAGTGCTTGGGGCTGGCAACCCACCACTTGCCGTCGTGCTGGAGCCACACATCTAGAGTGTTCTTGCTGTTCAACTTGGCGAACTCGGCCTTGATGTAGTCGAACACCAGCTTGTTTACATCCGGGCTCTCCATGTTGGGTACGGTGCGGATGGAGAACTTGCCAATCACCTTGGCGGGGATAACGGTCTTGGCTCCCGGGGCAGAGTATGCTCCCTCAACACCGTGGATCGACAGGGATGGGTACCTCCAGCGGGCCATGAGGGTTTGCTCCTTAGTCGGGTGAATGCCGGTTTTACTGCCGAGCGACTCGTGAAGGTTTTCCATGGTATAGCTGATGTTGGGATACAGAGCCTTCTCCTCTTCGGTCAGAGGCGCCACTAGATCCATGATTCCGGGGATGAGGATGTTGCCCTGAGGATCGACCAGCTTCGACAAAACGTTCACCAGGTCGGTCATGGGTTCGTGAGCAGAGCCACCGAAGACACCACTGTGGAGATCTTGGCCGGGACCCGAGATGCTCACGGAGTAGTAGTTGCAACCACGCAGACCGTAAGTCAGGCAGGGCTTCTCCGTGCCGAGCCAGTAGTTATCAGAAATGCAGACCGCATCCGCATCCTTGAAGAAGTTCTTGGCTTCGGCTTGGATAAAATCATCCAGACCTTCGGAGCCATACTCCTCCATCCCCTCGAAGCAGCAGAGCAAATTGACGGGCATCTCCACGCCGGCCTTGCGGTGGGCCTCGATCACATTGAGCCAGCCGAGCACGGGGCCCTTGTCGTCCGTGGAACCACGGCCGTACATCCGATCCTTCTCATCGATGGTCAGCTCAAAAGGCTCCGTGGCCCAGCCGTCCTCCTTCAGAGCGGGCTGCACGTCGTAGTGGCCGTAGACCAAAATGGTGCGCTTGTTCTTATCGTTACCGTAGCGAGCAACAACGACGGGCGGGAGATCGAGGTGCTCCTTGCCAGGTTGCTTGCCCAGAGGTCGTTGTTGCACCTCAGCGCCGAGGGCTTCGAGTTCATCGGCCAAAAATTGAGCCATCTTTTGGAGAGAAAGCGCGCAGATCAGTCACTGTCTCTGCGGGGTAGAGGCTTTATACAAACTCACGCGGAAGACATCCTTTCGGTTCTCATCCTGTGCCGAAACCGACGGAATGGCAACTGCCTTGCGCAGACCTTAAAAGAGAGTCAGCTACTTAGATCCTGATTGACTAGCCCGAGAGTCGGCGCGAAAAGCTCGTAACGAGCGCGGGGGAACGGGAGAGTCGCACGATCTATGAAGGTCTCCGACGAGGCATCGACCCTAAACAGCACGCATGTTAGCTTCATCCTTAGGTCAAAAAAACAAAAGACTACGTACTGCTTGAAAAAGGGCTCCAGCTGTGGCGCCATTTTGGAATCACTGATGTATCCGTAGAAGAAGCGGCGAGAGGCGAATGGACGAGGCCCGAGTGAAGAAAACCGGGGAAGAAAAGAATGCCCTGGTTTTGCGAGCGATGAGATGCGGCGGAGGGGAAAGAGGGGCATTGCAGACAGCGAGGTCCTTCGCACCGAAAAGTTATCACGTAATTAACTGTAACCTTGGAGTGCCGGCGGTAGCCGCCTATCACAGTTGTGGTGATTAGGTCTCTCGCCCGCGGATGCGAAACGAGACCTTCCTTATCAACCCGCCAAGGGCCTCAAGCTAAACCCTTCTAGTGCCACTAGGACTTATTGCCTACGTTGATTACCATAGTGGGTTGATCAAGAAAATAAATAAATAGCCATCAATCGAGCTCTACTAGCCAAATCGTGGAGAGCGTGCCTCCTCAGTGTGAGGGTCACCGGCAGGTTGACCCACTCTCGGTCAAGGACTTAACGGGGTTTTTTTTCTCTCTATCGATTGTGAATTCTAGTACCTTGTATCGATTGTGAGTTCTAGTACTTCATAGGAGATAGGCCGATGCAAAAAATATATGATAGAAAACTATGGGAATACATGGGTTAATGCTAACTTAGAATACATGGCGTTTTTACATGGGCGCCGCATGACCACATTTTCGCGCAACCTTGGGGACAAACCAAGTCTGACGCGACCTGCAATCAACGATCAAATCTTCAATCACTCATCCCGACCCCAGGCCTCCCGGCGAAGCTGTCGGTCTTCCCTAGCCATCCGTCGCTTCACACCCCATCGTGATTGTACCGCTTCCAACACCTGCTTCTGCATCTGCTTCTTCTCGGGGCTTGCCTCGCAAACCATGGCAATAAAGATTGGCGAGCACTCAAACCGCTTGGCCAGCTTGTATCTGCTCCAGGTCATAGGATCGTTCAATCGAAGTTTGCGGATTTCTTCGATGTCCGAGGGTGTCAGGTGGTACTTCCGCTCGGGCTCGCTCTTGTACACGCCTGGGAGTTCGTTGACATTGGATGTCACGGAGGTCAAGTTCTCGGCGCGCATCAATCTCCGGGAATCATCGGCGGGCAGGAATTTGTTGGGGGTGTGATAGGCCGTAGGAGCACTGGAGGGCGGATTGTAGATGATCTGGTCCTGTCCGACGTGTGACGGGCCAAAAGAGGCATCTGGCTTGACGCGTAGACGTTGCTTGGTACGCCGGTATGAAGATTGATAGCGTCGTGACCCTAGCGCCAGAGAATTTGTCCAAGAAGGAAGCAGAAACGGCAGGGTAAGGAAAGGCCGCTTCGGGGCCACGATTGAGGCAGCCATCGTATCGTAACCGCCGGTCAATTGAGGACCTGAGACAGAGCACGATAAGTAAAATGCCGATGAGACTGTGCCCTGGGGATGATGGGAACGTACAAGAACGAGAGCGCTAGGAGGACCGGGGATCACCAAACCGAGTGACGGGCCAAGGTGGACGTGTCGAAGCCCGAACTTTTTCCCCCGAGTCTCGTGACCCGTCCTTGGCTCGATCGGGAATGGGTTGGTATTACATACATAGAAGTACCAAGTACTTTTGCTTGATGTACTTACTCGCCTATAATCATGTACCCAGTACTTTACCCGTCATAAACATCCCCCGTTGATCACCTGGCACAGAATGTCATCATCTCCTGGCGAAAGTAAGATCATGGCCCAACAGTCTCCCTTTTGTCAAATTTCGCTCGCCATATTCTTGCGAGCTTAACTGAGGCTTCGAATTGTCTAGAGACGGTTCTCGGTCATGGACGGCATCTTTGAAACCCTTTGAACCTTTTGTGCCCGCGGTTTCCATAGCTTCACAACCCGTTATCTCTAGCAGTCTTCACTTGTCCCTCTTTCGCCATGGCAGAGCACCAGGACACATTACCTTCTCCCGTGGATGGTCACCCGCAACAACCCCGCTCTTTACCATCTCATTCCCCCGACTACAGACACATAACCTCCGATAAGGACGAACCGCTAGTCGGAAAGGCCGCGACGAGTGTACAAGCCCCCCGGCCGGCATGTTTGACATGGGACCATCTTCAGGAAGTCGAGAAGGATCAAACCGTGGAAAGGGGCTCTGGAGCCTCCAACAGCGGCCCGGTGTCGCCAATCTCACCCATCTCGCCCATCTCGCCCATCTCGCCCATTAGCTCTTCCGAAGCTTTGCGGACGCCGAACGCCCTAGAACGCCAGAAGTACTCGTGGCAAAGGCATCCTCAATCACCCGGGGCTACTTCCCAATTTTCTCCGCGCCTCTATTCATCTGCCTCTCAGATATTCGAGCGGGACGTTCAAGAAGATATCGTTCCGCCACAAGCATCGCCCTCGATTCCCGCGCACATTCACACGGAAAATTACATCCCACCAGTTCTTGAAGCATCTTCGGCTGCCATAACCGACGAGCAATTAAATCCAGACTCGGTTGAAATTGTCACACACTCTTTACACCAACCGGCTGCAGCAGGTGTAACTGGCGCCTCAACAGCTGAACATTCACTTGCGTCCTCTGGTATTGTTGATCATGCCGGACCTGCTCCCACTGATTCCGATGAGATATCATCTACATATGGTACACTTGATATCGATGTACGACGCTTGAGCTTCATCTCGTTTGCCGATGTTGTCAATGCCGAACATGCAGAGACCGAGGAATCTGTTTTTGGCCGAGAGCCGTACCAGGCCGCATCTGTCCCAAGACATCTCCCAGCCGCAGGGTCTCTCAACCGTTCTCCATCACCGCTTCGCTCACCTGCGTCTTCACATGGGCTTGGCACATCTCCGCCCACTAGCATTGCCACGTCTTTCAAGGGAGGGGAGATGTCTCCCCGTCACACCAACCGTGGTGCGGATGGCCCCGTCCCGATGGCCCAAAGTCCCGTCTCCTCTAGCTTTAGTGAACTCAATATCGAAACGATGCGACAGGCATTGCGAAGAACAGGTAGCGGGGACCTAAGTTGTGTTGCCAGTCACCCAATTGGTGCTATTGGGAATGATGAACCTTTGGACCGCTCTTTCTAAATGTCACATCCCTGACATGGTCTCTTGTTCTCTAGCAGCAGGCGTTATGATTGGTTACGGACAATGGAACTGTCATTATCGTGAAGATGTACTCGGGGGTTTGAAATAAGCAGTTGAACCACGTGATGACGGTGGTTGTCTACTTTGGTGATTGGTGATCGCGTTAAGTAACTCAATCTACGGATCTGGTTATCCTTGATTACGCGCTACGTTAACATTAGGGTCGTCTTGACACTTGACTTCGTTTGTATATATCCATGGAAATGTAGAAATTGACCATGCGCTCATGCTGGCTATTTCCCGCCAAAGTAGCCTCCTTGAATATCACCGGGGGAACTACTAGGAGTCTGAGGTGGTATACAAGGGGGTAAGTGTGATGAATACTGATAAATGCCTGGAGTCTTGTTCTTTTTACTTCCTGGCTTTTTCCACTGCATCCAGGGCCCGTTCAAATCTGGAGCGCAAATCTGACACGTCTTCCAGTCCGGCACTAATTCGAACGAGGTCTGGATCAACGTTAAAGGATCTCGCCTGGGCGTTAGGTGTTAGCTTGTAGCCACAAGGACAGCGAGTTATTATATAAGCTATTCAGAAGACTTACCCAGTCAAGCTCACCGTAATGAGCTAAAAGGACATAGGGAGAACTATAACCGAGGATTATCAGTGCTGTTCAGAAAGAGACTTTTGGCTGAGGCAAAACCCACCTGAGTGTGAAGTTAGTGCCGAGACTAGGGCCCTTCAGGACCTCAAGGGTATCATAGAATGCAATGGCTTCTTCGGTCGAGTAAAAGGTGACAGAAAACAGACCACCATAACCGCCGTTGGGGTTGCGAAGACTATCGTACAAGGGGCGCGTGGGGCTGTACTTGGGGTAATGGACATCCTTGACTAAAAAATGATTAGCTTGATCAAAGAACGAAAATCAACATCAGGATTTCATACTCAATGGAGAAGCCTTTAGCATCGCCGTGATCTCCTCTGAGGTGGAGTTGATCTTGTCAATTCGCGACACAAAATCACGACTATTGCGTTCTAGGAAGACAGCGTCCTCTGCCCAGTAGATGTCTTCGAAGTCCCGATTGAAGATTTCTTTCAAATGCCGGTAGTACTGCTCATGCGGGTTGAGCACTGCACTTCCACCCATGACGTTGCTGTCTCCGCTGAAGATCTTTGTCAAGCTGCTGACGACGATATCGGCATAGCGGAGTACATTAATATTGAGGAAGTTGCTGATGGTCTCATCTACCACCACGGCAAAATCATATTGGTCGGCTAGCGCTCGTATCCGCACAAGATCCGGGGTCCGGAGAAGAGGGTTGCCGGGAGCTTCAGTGAAAAGACTAAGGAACCGTTCGCCATTCTTCAGCCGAGATTCCAGGTCATCCAGATCCTCAGATGATCCGTGGCCATAGAACAAGCACCCTGGTCCCCACTTCTGGAGGATTTTCAGCGTATCGGTATACGGAAACCCAAAGCAGATGCTCTTCATGGGGCCCCGTGCATTCATCAAAGTCTGGTGTGAGTTGAAAATTGCGCTCATGCCAGAAGGATACAAAAGGACATCATCCTCCGAGATTCCAGCAACTCGGCCTTCCGACGAGGCCGTTTCAAGGGCCTCGGGCAACTCGACATCGGCCGTCAGAACACCAGCGATCCGCCTCCGTACCGCATCTTTGGCCTGATTTGCATGCAAGGTGCTGAGATTCCGGCCGAAGCGCTCCTCAATGAACTGGGAATAGTCCCGGCCGTCCTCAACGCCATTGGCCGTCGCCGAGGGTGTACCTGCTGACGACGAGGGTGTAGAGGGAGTCCGCGCGACCCCGCTCAAGGAGCCTCTTCCTTGATATCTTCTAGGGCCTTTGCAAGGTCGCTGGATTGACTCTGAAGCCCCAGAGCCTTTGTCCTCCACCAAAAACCCATCCTGCAAAGCACGAAGACAAAACTCACCCCGGCGACTGGAGATACCGTTACCGGAATGTTGCCACACCTGCTTGGCAATGGGTGCGAATTCTGTGGGATAAATCACGGCCGACAAGGTGGATGTGATCGCAGTTGATCCGGCTTCGGTATGTGGGGACGGGATAAAGTTCACAATGCGAACTTTCTGAGATTGCTCGACGGGGATTTTGGACACGATGAACGAGTGGCAGATGCGCGCGGTCTTGATCGATGCAAATAGAGTTGCAGCTTCTTGCTCCGAGTCTCCAAACCGAGAGACTATCTCCCGCGCAAGCTTCTGAATGACAGGGTGGACGAAGAACCGGGGGTAGCCGCATTGCATCTTGCTGATAACCCAATCTTCTCCCTCCTCGTACCCGACGTTGGCCCTCCATGTGGGAAGCGATACACTAACAGCCTTCGGAATTGTTAGCAGCCTATCAAAGTTTCAATGGAGAGATTATGCGTTGCAACGCCTTGACACAGTCTTCAAATAGTCATGGAGGGGCTGTTGGCGGGGGAGGGTTACTTAAACATACATGGTCGGTATTCGGGGGCACGGGGCCTCCTAGTGCTTGTAACATGGTGACCGATAATGGAAGAAGTAACCAAGGAAGACAAAAAGAAAGGAAAAAAGAGGAATGAGCTCAGAACAGAATTGAGGGTTGAATGGGTCGACTCATACAGCGACTTCGGCGGCTGACTCAGGCCCAGTCACGTACCTGGTTTAACTTACCGTACACGATACCAGAAGACCCGTTATCGCATAAAAAAATTTCGAGATAGTGAGCTCTCCGTCCCCAACTCTCTCTCGACGCACCAATTCGTCAAGATGTCGGCGCATACGGTCAAACGAAGGAAGCTTAGCCCTTCGCCAGATGCAAATTCCCAACCTCACACCAAATCTTCTGGCAATCCGGCCCCGACTAGCTCCAAGGAAGGCTCCGAGAAAACGCCTGCCGCGCGCAAAAATGACCATTCGACAAAATCCCAAGCCGGCGGCAGAGGAAAAGATGAGCGTTCGGCTGAGCTTGCCATGGCTAGCGGCTTCTACAAATCCAGCTTCTTCAAGTTGCAGATGGACGAGCTGCTGACCGGGCTGAGACCGAACTACGACAAGCGAATTTCGAAGCTTCAAGAAACCCTGCACAAGGTGAAACATGCGATCGAAACCCTTCCCGAGCACCCACCGAAATCTGTATCAGAAGCCGAGAAGGAGCTGCGCGGTGCGTCTGGTGTCGTGGTACCGTGGCCCGAGCCTCGACCGGCCAAGGATACCAAATATACCGTGTCATATGCGAAGCCAACAAACATCAATGTGGTGGGAAGCTTTGCTTTGAGAACAGGAGCCAAAACCTCAGACTTTCGCTCAGTGGACCTGGCGGTGACAATGCCCAGCTCCATCTATCAGGAAAAGGACTATGTCAACTATCGGTATTTCCATAAGAGAGCATTCTACGTCGCTTGCCTAGCGGCTGGTATACAGGAGTCCATGAGCGAACTTGGACTGGAGGTCAAATTCGGTCTTCAGGACGGAGACAGTCTTCGCCCGCTGATCTTGCTGGAGCCTCGGCCTACCTCAAAGGACGACAAAACACCCTCGCGGCCGCAGATCCGGATCTTGACTGCAATTGATTCGACGCTCTTCCCCATCACTCGGACGCTACCGATGAAAAGCAATGTTCGACAGGGCTCGTCTGCTGATCAGTCCGAAATTAACGAGCCGACTCCTTTCTACAACGCTAGCCTCCGGTCCGAGGCCACCGTCTCGCAGTATCATAAATATCTCCACTCAGCCTCTCAGAAATGTGAATCCTTCCGTGATGCATGCATCTTGGGGCGGACCTGGCTGCAACAACGAGGCTTCCATACCTCTTTTCAAAATGGAGGCTTCGGAGGCTTCGAGTGGGCGGCTCTCATCTCCCTTTTATTTGAAGGCGGTGGACCCACCGGTCAACCGATTCTCATGCGATCTTACAGTAGCTATCAAATCTTCAAGGCTACTATACAGTTTCTCGCTGGTAGGGATTTGAAAACTCCCTTGCTTCTGTTTGCCGGTGATGTCCCCGTTCCCGACGGAGGACCTGTTTTGTACGATGGCCACAGAGGATTGAATCTTCTTTACAAGATGACCCCATGGTCCTATGCGGCGCTCCGCCATGAAGCAACCATTACCCTCAAGATGCTCAATGAGTCTCGGGAAGACAACTTTGACAGGGTTTTCATCGTGAAGGTCGACGAGCCGGCGTTGAGATTCGATCGCCTTATCTCCTTCCCCAAGGCCTTTAATGGCGATACTCTTCGAGCTCTTCGCGAGCAGAACTCGTTGTATACCGTGCTTTCGAGAGCCCTTGGAGACCGGGTCAAACTCATCTCCTTTGCGAGTGACAGCGTCGGATCTTGGTCTGTCCGATCAAAGGCTCTGACCAAGAAAGCGAGTCACGACCTCACTGTGGGGCTCCTGCTTGACGCTGACAACGTAGGCCGGGTGGTCGACCATGGCCCTCCCGCGGAGGAGAAGGAGGAGGCAGCTTCCTTCCGAGCCTTTTGGGGAGAGAAGGCAGAACTTCGGCGATTCAAGGATGGCAGCATCTTGGAAAGTCTAGTGTGGTCCGATCTACCATCGGAGGACTCGATTGTGCATCAAATCCTGGCTTACATACTGCATCGACATTTCCAGATCGCCGAGGATGATTTCCTGCTTACTGGCGACGAATATGATGATCTGCTCCACGACCAAGGTGACGGTGTGCTGGCATACTCCAGCTCACCTTTCCAGTCGATCAACGAAGCGTTCAAAGAGCTAGAACGATCGATTCGAGACATGGAAGAAGTTCCTTTGGAAATTCGGCACCTGGCTCCGGCGAGCCCACTGCTCCGATACACCGCGCTTCGAGTGCAGGGCTCTGGTGGGGCCAACGAAGCTGCGGACGTTGTTCTTCAATTTGAAAGCTCCGCACGGTGGCCTGACGATTTCGCTGCCATTCAAATGACGAAAGCTGCATTCCTCATTAAGATCGGAGACTCCCTGGAGTCCGCGGGCGCTGCATCATCCTGTCGTGTTGGTCTGGAGAACGAATCCAGCAAGGTGCTCAACAATGCATACTTGGATATTCCTCACACTTCAGGCTTCCTTTTCCGACTAAGAATCCACCACGAACGTGAACAGACACTGCTTGAACGTCAACTCAAGGACAAGACCATCAGCCCTCGAGAGCGAGAGGAAGTTGCCTACGCTCTCTTTTCGTACAAGAAGCTCTTCGTGCAGACACCCCGCCTGACCCAGGCACTTCGGAGCCTCTGCACCCGCTTCCCGCTGCTGTCACCCACCGTCCGCCTGGTGAAATATTGGTTCACTTCGCATCTCTTTTCTGCTCAGGTCTGTGACGAAGTGATCGAGCTTCTGACAGTCCGGACCTTTACGCAACCCTATCCGTGGGACTGCCCTTCTAGTATCATGACCGGGTTCCTCCGGACTCTGCATTTCCTTTCCCGATGGGACTGGCAGCAAGAACCTTTCATCGTCGATCTGGGCGGAGATTTGAGCCCGGAGATTACCGAAACAATTCGCACTCGGTTTACCGCCTGGCGCAATATCGATCCTGCGATGAACACGATTGCTTTGTTCGTCGCCTCGGATCTCGATACTGATGGCGTGACGTGGACCCAGTACGGAATGCCCTCGAAGGTTGTGGCCGGGAGAATGACCATGCTGGCGAAAGCAGCGGTGAACTTGCTGCGGACAAAGAGCCAGGATCTTGACGTGTCCGATCTCTTCCAGACATCGCTTGCGCCCTACGACTTTGTTATTCACCTACGCTCTAAGATCTTGGGCGATCGTCCCACCGTGTCCAAATTCAAAAATCTGGTGGAAACAGGTACTTCCCGCAGCAGCAAGATGGCGGTGGTCAAATCGTTTGTTCATGACGTTCAGGCCTGCTATAGCCAAAGCGTCCTTCTCTTCCACGGCGACGAGCGCTGCGGCGTGGTTGCGGGTTTGTGGAATCCGCAGATGATGAAGCCGCGGACTTGGAATCTGAAAACGGCGTACTCGACAGCGCCAACACCCGAGAGCTCTCAGGAAAAGCAGGACCGGGTGACGATCAATCATCCGGCGATTTTGAACGAGATCTCGCGGTTGGGAGAGGGTCTCGTTGAGACAATAGAAACCGAGTAAGGTGGAAAGGAAAGAAAGGGAAAGACAGAAACCAAAACGTGAATTATATCTCAAAAATTTAACCCTATTGGCGAATGTACATTTACCTGCTAGCGCCGCTGCAATGCAAACTTCCACATCAACACAAACAAGCCGTCACCAGCATCAGCATCAAATTGCGTTGAAATCACATCGAAACGTTTATGACCCTCGCTCCGACTTGCCCGGGACTTGCGAGGAAAACGAACAGAACTTGTCCTTGATCGCCACGACCTCGTACGTACCTTCGTCGGAGGTCTTGATGGTCTTTTTGTGTTCGTAAGAAATGTCGTGCTTGATGTCAAGAACCTCCGACTTCTTCCCCTTGCGAGCATTGGAGCTTCGAATGTATCTGTGGAATGTTAGTCATGGTCAAATGCGACCACAGGGGCGCGTAGAGGATGTTAGAACGTACGTGAATTCAAATGGAGGCGTTCCCCAGAACTCAAAGTGAAGCTCGGCCTCTCCACCTTCGTGAATATCCACCACCGATACCTGGCCCTTGCTGATCCGCACACTCGGCATCTCGTGGATCACCTTAGTGATGTCTTTATGGGCCTTGCACTTGCCGCTAGCACCGTCCCCGACCGCGGTGATGCTGAACTCACCAGGGCGCTCAGCAATGCGGCGGAAGTTGGTGTTCTGAGAAGTGGCTTTTCGCTGGGCTCCGTTGAAGGTATAGAAGACTTCGAACGGAGCGTGTCCTGAAAGAGAGAACGAAAGCCGTTCGCCCACGCAGTAGTCGACCTTAGACTCAAGAGGAATAATGGTAGGCACGTCCGAAACAGCCACCCGGACAGAGGAGGCGTCATACTCGGTCGTCCGTTGGCAGCCACGCGAGTCGCGGACCTTGTGGATGCTGACCACATGCTGGCCGAGATCGAGGTGACGTCGGGGAATAGGCAGATTGTGCCGGTTCGAGTGGATCTTCGGGATGGTGACAATCTCTGGTTTGGCATTGGAGTGGTGCTTGATGCTGATCTCCAACGAGAAGGGCGGCAATCCCTCCAGCGTGACCGGAATGGTTTCCTCGCCGCTCACGTCTTCTTTGCAGAAACCGTAGATATGTCCGGGAGAGTCGAATCGGGCAGACGGAAGGGAGTTCACCTTCTGCGTCACAACGAGGCCATTACTCTTCGGGTCATGGTCGTACAAATTGTCGCCCACTTCGGTGAATTTGTAGGTATATTGACCAGGCTCAGAGGTGTCCATCTCCATCGACGCCACGTTAAGAGCAGTCTTCACATTGCGCGAACGGGAGGAAGAAACTCCCCGGTCTGTCTTCCGCCGTTGTTCGTATTGAAGATTGAACGGTGGGCTGCCCGAAAGACGAAGCTCAAGGCTATCGCCGTCGCCTTGGCAGACCTCCGCTTTCGCATACTGACCCGTTGGGCCAACGGAAGACCCATCCACGGCGGCGACATGTGGGCGGGGGATCCAGGACACTTCGAACTCCTTGGCAGATTGGTCCACGGTTCCCGGGCACGAACTATCGAAGACTTCGACAAGCTCATAGAGGCCTTCGCGGTCCACAGCTAGCACACTATTCCCATCCCAGAAGGTCTTCTCAAGGGGCGAAGGGTTGGTATCCACATTCTTGTACTTCACTGTCCATGGCCGCTCGCCGCTCAGCCTCAATGGAATCTCGATCTTGGAACCTTGCAGGGCAGAGACGCTCCTCTGCTTATCGATTTGGCCGAACGAGACGTGAGGTGGTTTCGATCGAGCATTAATCCTGAGACTGTCCTTGAGGGACCGCTTACAGCTCGACTTGTCTTTGATATTGGTCAGAGCGAGGGTGTATTCGCCGCCATTGACCAATTTGTCTGTGGTAATGGTCGCCACGTTTGTATCAGATTCCAAGACCTGCTTTTGTCTCTTGCCGTTGTGGACAAGTTCGTATTGCAGTGTCCATGGCGCCTCGCCCAGGAAAGAAACATCCACGGAAACAGACTCCCCGAAGCAAGCTTTACGAACTTGTCTGGTGCCAAGGAAGTGAGCCGAGGCTGGCGGCTTGACATCCTGTTCCAGGATAGGCACCTTATCCTTCAGGGATCGCGGAGAGTAAACAGCATCCTCGACGTCCAGGAAGCGGTAGCGGTAGAAGCCAGCCTCGGAGGGAGTGAAATCGAGCTGGGTTCGTAGTCCATCAATCTTCTGGGTTTTTGTGACTGCACCCTTGGAGCTTTCGATACTGTACCGGAGGCGGAATGGAGGCGATCCTGTCAGATCCAGGTCCACAAGCAAGCCAACGGCATTGTTTGCACATCGGTCGAAGATCTTCTCGGATTTGACAGAAATTTCGGGCTCGGGTGGGTTATGCAGGTAACAAGACGAGGGTTCGAGGACTTCACCGGGGCAGAACTGGCTTGAGACAGACAACAAAGAATACCAGCCCGGATCCTTGACGGGGGATTTCTGATCCAGAGTTTTCAAGTTAAGCGTCTTGGAGGCCTTGGCATCGCCATCTTTCTGTGTAGCATCGGCACTGCTAAACGAGTATACGACGGAGAAGGGACCGTCATTTACATAACCGTTTCCAACTTTTTGGAAGTCAATTGGTAGATTGACACTGTCTCCACGCGCAACCTCCAGCGGACGCTGGTCATTGCAGCCCGACAGTGACACACGAGGCCGCTCATGAACGGAGAACTGGTGCCATTGGGAGAGCGATTTAGTCGATGGACGCTCCGAGTCCTCGAAAACGGTAGAGTAGTTCGCAACATTCCCACAGGCATCGTGAACCTCTTCGATAGCGTAGAACCACTCTCCACCGATATTCAGTGACTCGTTCAACGGAACGTCGATCTTTTGACTCTGGGACCAAGAAATATCGGGCTGGTTGATGCTAAAAAAAGCGCCTCCTGGTCTTTGATTCAAAAGTGGCGAGTGTAAATTATCCGGCTGGATATTCTGGAAGGAAAATCCACGGTCATGATGGTTCACCTGCCGGCTGTACTTGATCTTCAGAGGAGGCGTGCCTTCGACTTCGAGCACCAGGTTTGACAGTTCTCCCTTGCATTTGTTCGTGTGGGAGTTCTTGATCAGCGCACGGGGACAGGCAACCACCAGCGCGTCGGATGTGCGCGTGTGAACATCAAGCTGGGACTCATCTACAACTCGCTGAAGACGGTATATACCGGTCTTCCGCACCGGGTAGAAGAGGTCCCTGTGGGGCACAGGGTCCAGGTTTGAATGTCTCTTGTCTGCCTGGCGCTTGAGCTGCTTCAATTGCTTTGCAGGAATGGTTAGGGTTTCGTTTTCGCCGGTGTTCAGATCAAGTCGCAACACTTCGATGAGAATCGGGTCCGTCTGATTGACTCGGATCGGGAGGTTCACAGTGTTTCTTTGAGAGTCCAGACAGAGTGGCTCTCGCTCCGGGTTAAGAACAGCGGATCTAAAACAGTCAGTAAGAAATCATTTACGTCAATATAATAGCCAAACTGACCCTTCGGGTAAAATGTGTACGATCTGCTTGCCCAGGATCAATGACGCATTGTGAATGATATCTCCCGGTTTGACTTTTCGCTCTGAGATTGACAGTTCGCGATCGTAAGCCACTTTAACAAGACCTGAAAGCCACACACCCAAGGGTAACTAGAACAGTCAGCAAAGAATCGCAATACACTAACACAGGGCAGCTCACCGGGATGCGGAACATCAAGAACATGTTGCCCACCATATGCACGAGGAAAACCGCCAGAGTGGTTGGGAAAGCCCACTCCAGCCATGGTATGCGCAGGGCCTGGAGGCCGAACAGGAAGATTCCATCGACCGACATCCACTTCAGAAAAAGCCAGGTCGAGTCCAGCTCGTCCGACGCTGTCCAGGATTCATATACTCTCCATGAGTTCAGAAGGAGCCAAAAAGCGGCCACATAAAGTCGCTGTGAAGGTGCATCGATCAGGTTGGTAGGGACGAGCGGTGTATTTGTATTGAGAGGCTGCGCCTGCGGTTGCGGCTTAGGCACCTTGGAGGGTGATTTGGAGGGGGACGCACGATCGCGCCCATCGCGTCCGTCGCGAGGCTGAGAACGAGAGGGAGTCTCAAAAAGCTTTCTCCTCCTCGAAATTGTCTGGGGCGTCTGAGGGAAGGCAGACGTAAGGCGGGGAGTGCCGTTCATGGCATGCTGTGGTCGCCAGGGCCACCTTACAAGCTGGGAGAGGGATCCCACGAGGCAGAATTGAAAGACACAATGGTCGCCAGTCCCCTTCAAAGGTGTAGAGATCGTGCGAGGTGACCGGTATGTTGTGCCGAGGGTCAAGCGTGGAGCAGTGAAGAGAGAAAACAGAAACAAAAAGTTGAAGCTGCCGAGACGCGGGAAGCGCGTCGGAGGAAGCTCGGTCCACCCCAGCGACATGCCACTATACATTCTACAAACTGCATCAGACGCCGACTCAATTGACTCTTAGCTTTTTCTTTTTGACTGTGCTCGCTGCTGAGCCTGAATTCCTCTCCTCCCAGTGTGAACAGTTCAGATATCCCCCACCATGGTTCCTCGTCCTAAGCGTCGGCGCCTCACCGATCCTTTGGACGAGGTTGCGAGCGAAGACATCTGCAAGCCAGCCACGCAGTTGGAAAAGAGCAGCTGGAATGGCTTCTGCGAGATCGAATCAGAACCGGTAGGGTCACATCAATATCTGAAGAGCTACGCTGATGACTTCTAGGCATTATTCAATGTGATACTCCGCGAGTTCGGGGTGAAAGGCGTCCAGGTTCAAGAGGTGATGTCTCTGGACGATGAAGGCGTAAGCTATCTTGAGTACGAATCTCCCCGTGCCATTCTTCACTGGGTAGCGGATTCACATTTCTTTGAGTAGGAAACCTATCTACGGCTTGATCTTTCTCTTTCGCTGGCGAGAGGATGATGCAGAGAAGCAGGAGGCCAGCTGCCCAGACGGCATCTGGTTTGCAAACCAGGTTGGTAGACACCGGTTCCTTTTGATCATGATCTTGGCCAACAATTCTCCAGACAACCGGCAATTCCTGTGCCAGTGTAGCACTGCTGAATATCGTCAACAACATTCCCGGTATCGACCTTGGGGAGAACCTGCGACACTTTCGAGACTTTACCATGCCATTCACGCCGGCGTTGCGCGGCGATGCCATCAACAACTTCGAATTTGTCAAACGCGTACATAACTCTTTTGCTCGGTATGTCTAGAATTTTGAATAGCGGTAGCCGTGCCGTGTTAACTCCGACTGCTCTCCGCCATAGGAAAATGGATATCTTAAATTCAGATCTACAGCTCCGGGGCGAAGCGACTTCTAAGAAGCGCTCCAAAAGCCAAGACTCCAATGACTTTGAATCAGGCTTTCACTTTATCGCGTTCATGCCAGCGATGGGCCAAGTATGGAAATTCGACGGTCTGGAGCGGCAACCCCAAGCACTCGGTGAGTTTTTGTGTCATGGCCTCCCTCGTCAGCTTCTCTGACCTCGTTAGGTGAATGTTCCGAGGGAGACTGGTTACAATTGGCAATGCCCAACATCATCGACCGAATGGCCGCCTACACCGAAGACAGTATTGAATTTTCTATTCTCGGGGTGGTTCGAGACCCTCTCTTGGATCTCGTTCAGCAGTTGGCAGTTAACGTGAGAAGCTTGGAAATCCTCAACGAGCGGCTCCTGTCCGGAGGGGATGGAGTCGCGGGAGAAGCGAACCTGGAGGCGCTCCGCGAGACAGTCATCGGGCCCGAACCATCACTCGGGCTCACGCGTGCGGACATTGAAGCCGCCGTCGTCCCCGACGCCATACAAACGTGCCAAGATTCGTCAACGGAACAACTACGGCAAGATCAGCGGGAACTCAGCCGAACCCAGTCGGGGCTGCGAGGGCGCATCCGAGAGCAGCAGCAGGCACAACGAGCAGACGAGGATCATGCGACCGGGCGACGCTATGACTACGGGCCAGCGATACGGACGTGGTTGCGCTTTCTAGCACGCAAGCAGCTGCTGGCAGAGCTGCTGCAATGACGGGAGACCGCCTCGTGGCACAGCGATTGGCCCACAGGGCGTAACTATATCTTAAACTTCGAACTGTACTGGCAGTACTTCGTGCCACGGTACATAACTCGTCGGATCCCCGTGAAGCAGTCAGTACGCACGTAGGAAGTAACGAGGACCTGACCACGCCCCTGCATCGCGCAGAGACCGCGGGTACTGAATACCTCCGGAACGCCGTCGGAAGAAGGCGAGTTGTACTTTAAGTTGTTGTACCCCACCGGGCAAAAAATAGGCACGTCACCGCCTGCTCTCGACTCTCTCCCTCCAAACCGGCTCACTTGTTCTCTCCACCTTCTCTTACCCCGGGCTTTTTGGTGGATTTGGTTCTCTGTTCTTCGGGAGTATTCACCAGCTTTTCAAGGGCAGTCGCCCCGAGCATTCCCCGTTCAACTCCCTTGCAGCCCTTTTTCGCCTGGAGCACAGAGCTTCTCTGAAACCCGCTTTCCCGCCACTCGAGACCATGTCGTCCGCCGCAGCTGCTGAGAAGACCCCCGATGACTCGTCCAAGCTGAAGACATTTCTGTCCATCCTGCGCAAGTACGCATTCCTCGCGTGGCTCGACTAGAAGTCCACGGAAGTCAACATTACCAGAGAGATACTGACGCAACTATGAACTAGGTTCGTGGGTGTGACAGATATCGCTTCGGTTCGTTTCTCCCTGCCGGCTCAGTTACTGGAGCCGCGACCGAATCTGGGTATGTCTGTCCCGGTGTGACTTTGGTGCGAGGACGGAGCTGACGGGCAGCAGAATACTGGAACTATTTGGATCGGCCGGAAACCTTTGCGAGGTCAGCAACGTGGCCCATCTTCGTCAACTTATGTGCTGACCCCAGATGTACAGCATCGGAAAATCGGACGATGAACTCGGTCGCATGCTGGAAGTGTTGAGGTTCTGGTTCACCAAGGACCTGGTATATTTTGACCATGGATTGTCACGAGAAGGAAGATGTGCTAAACATCCGACAGAAATACATTAAGGGGAAGCCATGCAAGCCATACAACTCGACATTGGGTGAATTCTTCCGAGTAAGTCAAGCAGGCCAAGAACGACCCCCGGGTGAAAGTGCCTGCGCGCTGATGACTTTGGACTGTACAGTGCAGCTGGGAAGTGCAGGACAACGTTCCGGAGGAAGTGAATCTGCCCGGTGTCAACGCAAACGGCAATAGCACTACCGTCGACGATGGAAATCAAAAGGTCAAGGTTTGTTACCTGACAGAGCAGACCTCTCATCACCCGCCGGTCTCGGCCTTCTACATTGACTGTCCCGAACGGGGAGTCTCAGCCCGAGGCTTTGATCAGATCAGTGCCAAATTTACTGGCACCAGCATTCGCGTGAGCCCCGGCCAACACAACCTGGGAATCTTCGTCAGTATCGACAAAAGAGACAATGAGGAGTATCAGTTGACTCACCCTGATGCACATCTCGGCGGCTTGCTACGCGGTGCGCTATCGATTTCGGTGGCCGACAATTGCTACGTCACTTGTCCGAAGACTCGTATGAAGGCAATTCTGCAGTACGTGGAGGAAGGATGGATTGGCCGGACCCAAAACAAGCTGGAGGGTGTCATCTTCCGCTACGATCCCGACAAAGATAACATCAATCGTCTGAAAGACGTGGCAGACGGTGACATTGTTGCTCGCATCAGCGGATCCTGGCATGGCAAGATCTACTACACCCCTGCGGGATCCAAGGATGCCATTCTTCTTATTGACATCACGCCTCTCTTTCCCGCGACCAAGATCTTACCCCCTGATGAGCAGCAGCTGTCCAACGAGTCGCTGAAGTTCTGGTCGGAGGTCACGAATTCCATCATGAACAAACAATTCACTCAGGCCACGAAAATCAAGCAGGACATTGAGGAGAGACAGCGACAGCGGGCGGCCGACCGGAAGGAGAAAGAGATGGAATGGAAGCCGCGTTTCTTTACTGGGGCCGTAACGCCGCTCGGGAAACCCGAGTTGACCGAGGAGGGCCAGAAGGTGTTGCAGGGGATCCGGGCAGGCGAATACACCCTGGATGAAAGCGAAATGCAGGGCGCATAGATCTATATTTGATTGATTCAACCCCCATGGCGTATCTGGCATGCGACCAACGCGGCGTGGCGTCTTTGCTGCTCCGGCTGCCTTTGTTGATATTTGGTTTTTGTTGTTTTTCTTCACATACTTAGACTTCGTCGGGGAATGTATTTTTTATTCTGTTCTCCCCAGACGTTTGTGAATAAGCGAACAATGATTTTTGTTGCAAGGGGGCTCGGTAATCATGGGCCCCTTCTCGACCAGACAGGATATCCCTCTACATGTGTCTTTGGCCCTGGAAATTATACAGACATAGATCGTCTCGAATAAAGGAGTACAGATTGAATGCTTCATTAATGATTCAAATATTCAAGATAAACAAGCCCTCACCAGCGGACTTCAACACCGACACCCCGAGTCCAGCGCCAGAACACACAAGGAAAAAAAGAAAGTCATCAAAAGCATAACGACATCAATCTATTCACAAGGCTACGCACTTGCGCTGACAACCTTGGTGAACCCAGCAGTAACCGTTTTCGTGATATCCTCGTTCTTATGAGGCAGCAAGGACAGAGCGTAGGCGACGTCGTTCCACTGCCGCTCGGTCTCGCAGCGAGGGAGACGAGCAGCCAGCTTGTCGGCCAGTTGGCGAGCATGTTTCTCCTGTGGATACAGCATAAGTACAAAAAAAAAACATAGAACGGGGAGCGAAGAGTTGACTTACCTTCTCGACGAAACCGATCAGGAATTTGACAATACGCCGCAGCGATGCTTCCTGCAGGTTTCGCTCCGCACTCAGCAGACTGAACATGTCGACGAAATGATTGTACACGGCATTATCCTTGGTAGCCAGTTCGGTGAAGAACATGCGCGCCAGATCGGCAATCTTCTTGTCGTCGTCTTCCAAGCATTTGGCCATCTCACCAAGCTGACCCTTGACCTTGACCTGACCGGCCAGAATAAGGAAAGTCAGAGTCATGAGACAGGTGCGCTTGACGGAAGCATCGTCGTCATTGAGGCGACGGTATAGGAAGTCGGTGTTTTCGTCAATGAGGTGGTTGAAGCAGACGGCCATATCACCGAGTGCGATGACGGCATTACTGCGCACGATTGGATCCTCAGATCGCTCCATGATGGTGATCAGAAGGGGCAGGTTCTTCTCACAGTATTCGGCAGACACGCACATAAGCTTGGCCATGCACAGCGTCGCTGCCGCCTGCAGGTCACGATCCGGATAAACATTATTATTGGCCAAGATCTCAGTGACCAGCGGACCAAACTTTGCGAGGAGCGAGTTCTCTCCATAAAGAAGCTCACGTTCCCGGATATGAGCCATGGCATCTTGGAAATCATCCTCGGTGGTACCACCGATAAGATCCAACTCATCGTCCTCGGCGTTTCCCCCGTCTTTCTGGGCAGTAGCCTCTGCGGTCTTGTTCTTCTCCTGCTCCGCCTTGCGACGCTTGAAATCAAGTTCACACAGCTCAAGATGCACAATCTGCTTGATCGCAATGTGACCAACAACGTAAAGGAGTTGAGAAAGGGCTGCCGACGAAGGCTTGGGTTTTGATCCCTGTCCATCCGTTGATGCAGTGCCAGGCCGCTGGTCCTCACCATCGGCAGAGGCATGCGAGGAAGAAGGACGTTGCAGTTGCGGTTGAAAGACAAATCGAGTCTTACGTCGTAGGATGTCAGAGCAGAGGACATCGGGATGCTTGGACAGGGTGTAGATGGCGCTGATTGCTTGTTCCGCCACACCGTACCACTCCTTGCTTTCGGACACAATTTCAATCATGGCAGCAAGTTTGATTAAAACCGAGTGATCATTGGCGAGCTTAGGAATGCCGATGTCCTTGGATTTGGCCTGGCGTCCAGGAACCATGCGCCGCAAGGCAATACAAGTGTACTTTGCGAGGACGAGGTCAGACCGGCCAAGGCCACCGAGACCAATGCGCAACATAGCCTCGATCTCCTTGACAACTACCTCGGGATCCGCCAAGGCAAGCATACCGAGAACGATGATCGCACCACGGCGCTGGGTTTTTGAGATTTCCTTTTTTTGAACCGCGTAGACCTGCCACAGCTTGGCGATCACCGCCTCTGATATATGCCCTGATTTCATCATGGTGCTCAATAATTGCTCGAGGCAAGTGAGCTCCGCAGGGGTCGATCCAAAGGTCAAACTGATCATGTTGCGAGCAATATAGATTGCGGCATCGTTCGGGCTGAACGAGTCCGGCGCATCAAAGAAAAGACCCTTGTAACAATCAATCAAGTGGCTCTGGACACCCTTACCTTCGTCGCTATTGCCTTTGGTCCAAATCAGACGAAGCATGCGACGAATACCACTGCGAGCCGTTTCTACCTTGTAGGCATCGAGCACCACGAAGAAATCCATGGCCTCGATCACCTCGCTCTTGTTTCGAGAGGAGAGCAACTGGGAGACAACGATGGATCCCGAGTGCAGGACTTCAATGAAACGCAGAGCCTCGTTGTAGTATTTTCTGGTCAGCTGCAGTCGAGTCAACAGCTCAGATGTCGCAGCCTGCTCGGCCGCCTTCTGCATGGCAACGGTTTTTTCCTCTTCCGTCATTCGAGGCGCCTTAGAGGGAGAGTCGTCTGGCATTTGAGTTGCTTCATCCAATAATTCACTGTCAACCTGGGTCATATCTCCATCAAACCCAGGTGTCTCAGGAGGCCGTAGAGCGTTCAGTTCACTGTCAACGCCATCCAATCTCTCGGTCCATTCCTTGTACGAAAGCTGCCCACCGTGCATGACGCTGAATGGATGTGTGGCAACCAACTTGGACAGCAATTTAATGGCATTGCGTCGTACATTGCTGCTCTTGTCTTCCAAGCTCCGAGCTGCCAATTCAGCGGCGGCTTGTCGTCTCTTGGGAAACTTCTGTTCCAAATCGCAGATTCGCATGAGAACTTGGATGGCGCGGCAACGACAGTAAGGGTTGATATCGAGGAAACGCTCTTCCAATACATCGAAAAAGGCGTTGATCTGAGTCTTGTAATTTTCACTGCGTTCTTCCTGTCGACTCAAATCGGAGATGAGGTTTCCGCAGACCTCGATCACGGCGCATCGAAGCGTATAAGCCTTGTGAGATCGTCAGTTCCAAGTTCCAGCAATTTTAAAGTAGGCGGAACGACAGTTACCTCGCTATCAAGTTGTTTAGCCAGAAGGGTCATTTGTTTGATGATCAATCTCGGCGCAAGCTCGGACAACTTTATGATGAAAGCAGAGACGGATTTCGGTCCGCGCGTGTCATTCGAGTTGAATTCCTTATTTCCAAGTTCCCTAGTCTATGTTAGTCAAAAGAGTTGGCTTTTCGGGTGGTTCTGGTTTGGTACTTGAGAATCTCATCCGAAAGCTGAGGATAGTCATATTGTTCTGCCAGTATATGAAGGAATTCGGCCATTGGTTCTGACAAGTGCTCGAAATAGGTCAAACTTTGTACAATTGAGGTTTGTGCACCTATCGCATGGGTCAGTTCTAGCCACACAAGCCTTTGGAAAGGGTACGCGACACATACCGAATGCATGACCATGATGCTTGACCGCAATACACAACACCTTGAAGGCGTGCATACGGATGGCCATGCTCTTCACTCGCTGTTCGCTCTCCAGGATCAGGTAGATGGTGCGCGTGAACAGAGTAATAAATGTGTCGCGATCCGAAGTAGTCAGAAAGATGCGCCCAAGTTTCAATTTCATCACCTTGCACATGGTCTCCATGGAGATCTGGATCTGGGATGTCCAATCCCAATGACCGTCCTTGGCCGACTTCTTGGATTTGGGTCCTCCTCGTCGTGCAGGCGCCGACTCCGCGGGTTTCTCTGCCGCCTTGACCTCTACTGCGGACAGAGCCCACTGGAGAAGAAATCCGTACATCTCCAGGAGTTGTTTGTGGTGCTGAATGGCATCTTGTTCGTCGGATTCGAGGTCGCCATGAATGATATCTGCCTCCACAGATAATCCGGATACGATCAGGTCGAGAATTTTGCTGAGGGATTTCGTGGGGAGGAAGCTCGGAAATCTGCAAGGGTTCCAAAGGTCAGAGTCGATTCCAGGCGGGCAAAAGCCTCCGTGAGGGATCTGGGAGGGGACAGGGGCGCACTTCAACAGCAACTGTAGGGAATCAAAAAGCGACGATTTCATCAATCCCTCTGGGTTCTCTGCCACCGCATCCACAATCGGGTTCAAAACATTGTCAATAAGCGCCGGCAACAGCGATTCGGGGTCGGTTTCGCAATCGAGAAGCTCCGGATCAGCATCGGGGGTCGGAATAGAGACGGGATCGCTCAAGTAGTACTTGAGCGACTCGTTGATGTCGAACTGTATTCTGTCCTCCATGGCGGGCGTGGGAAGACGAAGATGAAGAGGGGAGAAGCGGGTGTGTTGATAAGCCGCTGTTTGGCTTTTGCCCTTTTGGGGGATTTCTTAGGTAACCGCGCGTAAATTACGCCGCCCGCCACTCTCCGCCCGCACCCCTCGCGGGTCTGTATTGTCACGGCCCTGTAAGCTCGTGTTGCGCTTCGGAGGAAAACAACGGAGCTCTTTGCGCATGGGACCTGCTCTTCCTCCACCCCTGCACCTTCATTCCATGCCAGTCTGAGTCCGGCATTTCTAGTACGCTTTGGCTCCATCACCACTGAGCCCGTGAAGAGCCCATTGCCATCATGTCGGCCTTTCGAGGCGCTCCGTCCGGCGTCTTCGAGCTTCAACAAAGCAGTTCCTTTCGAGGTCCACAGCCGGCTAAACACGAATACTCGTTGGAGCGGGATAATGCAGGAGCTTCTGTGGACGAGATTCCTCAAGGAGAGAGTAACTACGAGGAAGAAGAGGTGGATGAATCCGTGCGGGAGGACATGAACAAATTGGAAGATACCTTTCCGGGCATCTCGGACAGATTCCGGCTGGTCAACCGGATTGGCGAAGGTATTGCTGACTTCTTTTGCTGTGAAGAGACCTTAAGATCAGACTGGCTGACATTTGCTTCTACCAAGGGACGTTCTCCACCGTTTACAAGGCGGAAGATCTACTCTATGATCACTATCACAACGATTGGGACATTTTCGAACAGGCGCAACAACAAGAAGCATGGGCAAGCCCCCCCTCAAAACGAAGACGAGTCGACGGTGAACCGGGCAGGCGCAAGCAAGGCCGATTTGTGGCACTGAAGAAGATCTATGTCACGAGTAGCCCAATTCGGATTCAGAACGAGTTGGAGTTGCTCCATGACCTCCGCGGCTGTAAATCCGTGTGTCCTTTAATCACTGCATTCCGATTTCAGGACCAGGTCGTTGCTGTCTTGCCCTACTTCCCACATACCGACTTTCGCATCCAGTATCGCACATTTATGGTGGCAGACATGCGCCATTATCTGCGATCATTACTGGTGGCATTGCATTCCGTCCATGAACACGAGATATTGCACCGAGATATTAAACCAACGTACGTGAGGCAGAACACCCAATGGGTTGGCTTGTAAGCTCACATATGTCTCACAGGAATTTCCTCTACAACCCTGACCTGAAAGAAGGCGTGCTCGTCGACTTTGGACTTGCAGAGGTAGGTTTTGCTACCTATTCGGTTGCAATTATTTGTATACTAATGCTGTTTCTTCGGTTTATACAGCGTCAAGGTTCTGAGTACACGAGCCAGTGTCTTTGCACCCATCAAACTTACGTCCGCCGTAGCCGGATCCTCTCCAGCTACTATTCGAAGAACCCTCCATCTGGAGGACTATCAGCAGGTTATCCCAAAAATGACTCTCGCCCGTCTAGGCGAGCGAATCGGGCTGGGACTCGAGGCTTTCGAGCACCAGAGGTCCTGTTCAAATGTACATCACAGACCACGAAGATTGACATGTGGTCAGTCGGCGTGATACTTCTGACTTTGCTTGGGCGTCGGTTTCCCTTCTTCAACTCGGCAGACGATATCGACGCCATGATCGAGATGTCGAGCATCTTTGGCACACGACGCATGAAAACTGCTGCAGCCATGCACGGGCAGATCTTCGAAACCAACATCCCCACCATTGGAGAGAAGGGCTATAGCTGGGAGAAGCTGGTGAAGTGGTCAAGCTGTGTCGAGGACTTGACTGAGAGCGAGCAACAGGCGACGCGTCTTCTATCTGGCCTGATGGAGCTAGACCCGTCGAAGCGTCTCAGTGCTGAGGAGGCTTTGCAACACGAGTTCTTTACCAGCCCAATACATCACGATGTGGAATGGGGCGGCCATCCGGAGGAGAGTGCTGATTCGGGCGATGACGAAGAGGGCGGAGAGGATGAAGCAGATGAGGTCGCGATGCTATGAGACCCAAGATTTGTACGATATATGCAGTTCTGAAACTACATGGTACCTTTAACAATGACTTAATTTTCTGTGTGTCCTGTAATCAGGCAGGGTCTGCATGCATTTGTCCACTTTATTCCAATTGCGTTGAGAAAGAGAAGGACTTCCAGTCCGTGCGCGGTATACCGAGTCGTTCAGACTCCCGATCTATCAAAATGCCCGCTAAGCTGCTTCTCCAAAATCGTAGTGGCCAGTTTCTGATGCATGCTTGGTGGCCCCCTTCTCGCCCGTGAAGGTGCCACCGCAGGTGTTGCATCGTACCAAGAACCCGGAGGTATCGGTATAGTAATGCTTACTTTGCAGGACTTGACACAACTCTTTGGCCTTCTCCAGAACAACTGGGTCGACGGCCTCAAAGATCTTGGTATCGCCTTGCGTAAACGGGTCGGCGTGAGTATATGGTGGATCCGACGGGGAGAGCGCGAGGACGTCGTAATGGATCCCCGAGTATACCACAATGCATCGCGTTGGAGCACCCTCATTGAACTGGAACATGTGGAGGGTTTGTACATCAATAGAGCAGATTTCGATGTTGAAGTACTCGCTCAAGATCTTCAATTCGATTGCGCCACCCCATGAATCCTCGTTTTGGATCCATTGGCAATAGTCGTCAGGGCTTTTGCCAAGAACGACCGCAGTGTACTCTGAAGGATTCGACTGAATGGCACCTGCAACAATGGACCGCAACTCTACCATGGTATCCATCTCGCCCATGACCGCGGCGCCCACCGCGCGGAAAAGACACGAATTGTCGTCGGGCATGACACGGAGCACAAAGGTACCTCCATGCTCAGGTGAAGCAATCTCTGGCGGATCGTCGGAGGTAGTTTCTGTGGGTTTCAACACGGAAGATGGCTGTGAAGGCTGCTGGAGGGCAGGGCCAGGTTGGCTAAGGGTGGGCTCGTTCGGCTGGGCAGCACTCTCTCGCGCAGCAACGATAAGCTGTTCCCCGTTCAGGTTGACACCAATATCAGACACTTTCTGGTCTGGTTGGAAACGGTCGAGATCTAAAGGCTTGAGGTCGGGGTATCCGTATTTGACATCGTAGGAGGTGAGACCAGTCTTCTCCGCAATCTGTCCTTGAAGGTCGCTGATGCTGGCGGAGTCGTCCAGCGTCACGGTGGATTGACCCGCGGGTCCACGTACTCGCATCCGCATAGTCGTCCTGACTGTATGTATTGCAATGCTCCTTTGTACACGAGTTTCGGACAAAAGCGACGAAAGTCGAGCTGTGGCACAGGTGGTCCCACCCTGATAGTGAGGGACCTATGACGAACTTTGGGACTCGGTGTGGGGTAGACGCGGTGCACCAAGAGAAAAGTTGCGCTTGCGCAATCGAAGATCGAAGGAGCTTCAAAGCTTCATGTAGACACGGGATGCCAACTTTGGACCAGAAATACCCCAAATCAAAGGTGCTGGAGCGAGGGGAATGCGATGGTTGTCATGCGGAGATCCGCATGGAAGTCCCCGCAGCGTCCGCGCATTACCCCCGTGGTATGAGCCAAGTCGTCGAAGCAAAGCAGACGGTCCATCTTTGATATTCATGGATTTCAATCGGAAATGGAGGTTGTCAACGCCCGTTACGGTCCATGATTCGATGTGAATTCCTCGCGACCGGCCTTGTTGGCCTGCGTAACGAGGCCAAAGTTGACAATACGCCTGTAACGAGGGCGTACATATACCGCTGACTCAGCGCGGCGCAAAACATTCCCAGTCTTGTCTCCCTACGACGCAACCATCGAGCTCTCCAACACCTCTCATCCCAACCTCCTTTGTACACGCGTGGCTGCGCGGATCGTGCACGCAATGTCGGAGCGAAATCAGTCGCAACAGCCCGAAGAGCCGGTCACGTCCATCGAGGATGACGGCGCCATTAATAACGAGCAATGGAAGGCCATGATGGATGTCACCATGGCCATCTACGATTTTCGCGAACCAGAGTAAGTCTTGCTCGCGCACACAGAACTGCAATATGAATTCTCACAACGTTGTTTTACAGTGGCCATGATCCGTCACGACTGTTCCACCGCAGTGTCAACAAGCGCATCGTTCCCGACTACTACGATATCATCAAGGACCCAATGGCGCTCAGTATCTTGAAGCAAAGGATCAACAAGCGCGAGTATAAGCAGTTCTCGGATTTTGTGCGCGACTGCGCATTGGTACGCGAATTCGCGCGACTCTCTTCATTCGCCAAGGCTGACGGTTCCCGCTTTCTAGATCCCTCACAATGCGCAGACCTACAATCGACCCAAATCCCAAGCCTACGAGGATGCGATTGTGATCAAGGTATGCTGGTAGCCGGCTGCCTGTGGCTTTTGGCTCACGCCTCAGAACATGACTGACCATCTCAACTCTCAATAGGGCGTTTTCCACGAGGAATTGAAGAAACTTGCCGATAAGGGCGTAATTAGTGCTGAAGAGGCCGAATTTCCGGACCTAGGAGAGATTCCAGAGGCCGATCCTTTGCCTGATGACGATGAGGAAGAAGAGGAAGAAGAGGAAGCGGAAGGGGAAGTTGAAGGGGAAGAGGACGATGAAGAGGATTCTGAAGACGATGGCCGACGGAGAAAGAAGCCAGGCCCAAAACCAGGCTCTAAGCGTGGAATCAAAGACCCCCAGAAGCAGGAGCCCGACCTCCGGAAGAAGCGCGGACGACCTCCGCGCGTGGACACCCCTATGGAAACCCGCATCAAGACCATCCTGAAAGGAATCCGCAAATTCAAGGGCCCTGGCGGTCATCCGAAAATCGTTCATTTCGAGAGGCTTCCCGACAAAGCCACCTACCCGGACTATTACATGGAGATCAAGGAGCCGATTGCCATCGACATCATTAAGCGCAAGTCGAAGCGCAAGAAGTACAACTCGGTGGATCATTTCATGCGGGATCTAGACCTCATGTTCGACAATGCCAAGGCATATAACCAGTCCGAAAGTCAAATCTACAGAGATGCCGTCGACCTGCAGAATGAGGCTCGAAAGCTGGCCGAACAGGAAAAGAAAAAACCCGATAGCGAGTACCTGATGGAAGACGGCCGTTTCCCCCTGCCGGATGGTATATTGCACCGAGGCGAGCTGTGGAAAGTTGGAGATTGGGTCCACATTCAAAATCCCAACGATGTTTCGAAGCCTATCGTCGCGCAGATCTACCGAACCTGGCAGGATGCAGAGGGCGAGAAGTGGATCAACGCATGCTGGTATTATCGCCCTGAACAGACTGTGCATCACTTTGAGAAGCACTTTTACCCCAACGAAGTAGTGAAGACGGGTCAATACCGAGATCATCGGATTGATGAGATTGTCGATCGCTGCTTTGTTATGTTTTTCACTCGCTACAGCCGAGGGCGCCCCAGAGACCTTGCACCGGATAAGGACATCTACGTCTGTGAGGCGCGCTACAATGAGGAGAAACACAAGCTCAACAAGATCAAGACATGGGCTAGCTGCTTGCCGGATGAAGTGCGCGAGAAGGACTATGAGATGGACCTTTTCGATGTGCCTCGAAAGATCAAGAAGGTACCCAGCCCCATCAAGCATCTCCTCAAGGAAGATGCGAAGGAGACAGATGATCTTCCGCGGCCGACGTGGGGAGCAGATAATGCGCCGCCGGTTGTGGGTGCTGTTCACCGTCGCCCGAGAGATGAAAATGAATCTCCGCCGCCAGAGCCCACCCCGTCTCCGCCTCCTCCATCTCTGCCCCCGCCTCCCATGGCATCCGCTACATCCCGTCCATCCATGAGCCAAAACATGTCCAGTGCCGGCATGGCCGGCCCGGGTAATGTTGGACCTGTACAACTCCAAGCCGCATCCACGACTCCAATGAACCAGACATCACCGGTGCCTGTTCCTTCGGCCGCTTATCAGACTCAGATGAACCCGCAGATGTATCAACCCAACCAGCGACGCACGAGCAGCTTTGTGCCACAGAGCCCGGTCGGAGCTTACCAGGCCTCGCCTGCGGCGCACCCGTATTCGGCAGCACAGCCTTCGCCGTCTCCGTACGGACCCTACTCCACCAACCGTCCCCAAACCGCGGCGGCTCCAGTCTACAACCCCAATGCGCCGCGCCCAGTTGAGGTTTTCCATCTTGTGGACGCAGCCAATGCTGCCATTCCCGAGGACATCCGAAAACAATTCCACTGCGACGAGAGAGGTCATGTTCTCTTCTTTTCTGCGCCGCCGTTGGACATTATCCCACCGTCCCAGCCGAAGCTGGGACACTCCCTCAAGTATTTGGCCGCGAAAGAGGAGCGCCAGAAGAACGTGGCAGAGAGAAAACGCAAGCTGGCCGAAGATCAGAAGCAACGGGATGAAGAAGCGAAGCGTCGACGAGCTGATGAAGAGACAGCGCTCGCGGCCCGTGTCGAGGCTCTTGTCCCGAAGGCGATCGAATCCATGCTCCAACAAGTCTCCTCTGGCACGGACGAACTGTACAAAGGATTTTATCAAGGCGAGGCAGACAGTGCCCGAGCCGCCGACATCAAAGCTCGCGAAAGCAGGATCCGGGTCGATCGCCTGGCTCGCCAGCAGACCGCGCAGATCCAAGCTCAGTCTACAAATGAGGGATTTGTGAACCTAAAGGGTACCGCCATGTATCTAGATGACAACTAAAGGTGACCGACGCTGACGAGGTTGTCTGTTTTCATTTTCATCTTGGCTGCGCAATTCATTTTACCCTGGTCGAGGCGTCTTGATTTCTTGGTTCTGGATAGAGGGGCGTTGGACGTGTATAACTAGGCGGACTATAATGCAATGGTGTTTTCCTAGCTTCAGAATATCTGCTATCGAGTCGCTACGGTAACTGTCAAATGTGTAGTTGAAATCGTGAACTGTTTATTTGCACATTTCCCATTTGTACATGCAGAGACACGGAAAAAGAAACCGGGCAAAAAACACCAAAACCAAAGGGTCGTGGACTCATGAGATAGAGCACGAAATAACGAGATGGGACAGCCTTGAGATCCCTTCCACGTAAGATCACAAAGAAGGCAAAAGGAAGAAGATTAATACAGGAGACGATCTGTCTCGTAAGGGGGAACTCCCCGGTGTTGAAACAATGCGATGGGTTTAGATGATCCAGAAACAACCCCTCGAATGTAAGATCTCAAGAAGATGAACGCGACAAAGTCAGTCTATAAAGAGTGGAGTCGAAGGGATTCTCTTGTATGCCTCATTTCCACTTAAACCTCAACCTCACGGCGAAAAGTAGTGGGCCAGAAGGTCGGGTGCACTTTTTTGGATTTCCTTTCTTCTGTTTTGTTATGTATGCTCCGTTATGCCGTTGTGCCCAGATAAAACTCCAAATGACCTTTTTTTCGCTCTTGATATGAACATGTCCAAAAGCTGGACACCGCTTGGCCCGTGTCGTCGTGATCGTAGAAGAAGCCGATTAGGAATCGTTGGCGCTCTCCTTGGTCTCGGAGTTCCAAGAAGAACTGTTGCGCTTGTTGCCTTCTTCCTCCTCCATAGAGAAGACAAGGTCGCTCTGTTCCTCCTCCTCAATCTTGCTCGTGGTAACTGATGAGGCGGTTCGCTCGAGGCGGCTGCCGGGGCCTGCGGATGAGTGACGGGCCAATCCGGGGTGAAGAGACATGCCACTAAGCTGCTCAGAGATCATCGACATGGAAGACTGTCTTCCAGGGCTAGAAACGAACGGCGAGCCATCATGTCGGCTGCCGATAGGACCCAAGCTAGGACTGCCAATAGGATTCAAGGAAGATTCACGGAGAGGGGAACCAATATGAGGGAATGAGGATCCAACGCCATCATCATCCTTCTTCTGACGTTGCTTGGCAAACAATGCTCCAAATCGGGAGGGACTAGATGCCAAAGGGGAACCGGTCTTCGAAAAGCTGCTGCTCATACCAAGACCGCTGATATCGCGGTGGTTGGAGCCGATATCATGGTCCGTTCGAGACAGCCGGCGAAGCTTCTCCTGGGGTGTGAGAACATCGTCATGCAGATTCATAGGCAGGTAGTCTTCTTCCATGGGGAAATTCTCGTCCCAGTCATCGAGTGCGGTAGGGCGAGGAACGCTAGCAGACAGCATACGAGGCTTGACGGGACGGGAGGAGTGGAGGAACCGGGGTCCGATCGAGTCTTCGGGTGCCGGAGGTGATGATCCGACAATGGACTGTTTGCGCAGGTCGGAGGCATAGCCAATATCGCGCAGGTTTCGGAATGCGGACTCCGCTGGGCCCGGTCTCTGAGCCGGCGATGATAGTTCCATCCCAAATTTCGAGGGCACCGAGGCAGCTACTGGACCATAACGGGCAGCGTGAGAGATACCCTGGCTGTCAAAGGATGCCGGAAGCGGCGCATCAAGGGCCGTCAGATGGTGGTGGTTGGGCGACATCGGGAACCGCACATCCTCCACGGGAGATCCATACTTCGAACCGGCATCGGAGGCCAGGCCCGCATCAATTGTCGGAATGGGGTCGTAGGGGGGCTGCTGCTGACCATGGAAGACCGAATCGTCCTGCGAAGGGACTTGCGAGGTGTATCGGGGTTCATGGCCGTTCATGCGCTGCTGCGAGAGAACCGAGTTTGTCAAGGCGGAATCTTGGTTGACGTAGGCCTGCGGATTAACTCGGCCACCCAAGTTCAGATGGCTACCGCCCATTCCCATACCACCACCACCACCACCAGTGGGACGGTTCACTCGGCGCCCGTCCGGTAGAATGTGGGCTAGTGCGCATTTTGCGCCGAACTTGCAGTTTCCCTAAAACGAACCAAAGGGGTGTCTCATCAGCACCGGTTCGCCGTGGATCAAGATCCTAAGGCCCAATAAGACCTTCGGTCACTTCCTACCTTCGAAAAGTATTTGCAGGGTGTATAATCGACTGCTGAATCAGTCGAGTGCAGGAATGGACAAGCGGGGCCGGCCTGGCAGGCACCCTGGCGGAAGAATTTGCAGGGAACATGTTTGGTGTCTGCGGAATGGCCGGAGTGAGATGATTAGCATTTTATTAAGAGGAGGAAATAAGGACGACATCGGGGCCGGCGAGGAAACGTACTCTTGTTGCTAGGGTTCGGCGGGCTGCGAGCCATGTCGAGGCTGGAGGGGTTGCGGGAGTGGCCATTCTGAAGCTCAGAAGCCACCGAAGGAGGCGCACGACCTCTCATTTCGGATCGATTGGGACGAGAAGAAGGGCGAGAGGCCGACAGCATCGCCGAGAGAGATGGTGGAGTCACCGGAGGGGTTTATCGGAGAGAGGGGAAGACGTAGACGGCGGGCGGTGTACCCGAAATCTATGGAAGAACAGTAGCGTGACTTTATGATTTGGTGCAGATGACGGGGAAATCTTGGGTTTCAAAGTCCTAAGACTGATCATCGTCACAAGGCTGATGCTCCGTTCACCTGTTCATCTGATGCCTTTCGCCGCCTTCCAGGTTGCCTCCATTCCGGGTGCTCGGCTGCATATCTAGGAGTAAGTGTCTGCTCTCCCAAACCTTTGCGCACTTCCATAATATGTACCAGGGCCATAGCTTTCTCAACGATCTTACTTTATACCCAAGCTCCATGCACCTGTGGATTTTACGGACCGGGCAATTACCATGGATGTCGAGAATGGCATTACTCTGCTGGTCATAGTTTTGTACCGAGATATATATTTGCCATGGATTCCGATGACATCCGTACGTTTCCCGGGGCTATCTTGGCCATGTCTACTAGACCTGTAGCCATCTTATCAACCCTTGCAGAGATATCCGAGTGTAGCGACATTTATGGGATGCAGTGCTAGTTAAGAAAAAGTTAAGACTATAAAGTATCCATACATCTCTCGGAGAATAGTGAAATGCGCGAAGTCTGAGTGCTAGTATCGATGCCCTATCCCTCACACCCCGAATACTCCATGATACTAACTCGAGCGATCGCCAGAGGGACTGAGTTCCGCTCAGACTCGCGAATCACGCCGAATGATGTGACTGGGTGGAGACCGGAGATCACGAATGTACATACTGTAGCGTCGATACCCGACCGTTTCTCATTGGAGCGTTCCTTCAAGCCCCAGAGACTCCTGGTAGCGCCGTTAGCGGGCTCTGATGCATTTGCGTTAGAGAACCGGGCTTACCCATAACTCCGGCGAGCTCGTATTGTCGGGCAAAACCTCCGTGCATCGCCCCCACAAATCACGACAGATACGACGGCGGATGGCGGCTTGTCGCTGCCACTGTCGCCTCTCTTCTTCAAGCTTGGACCGTTCTTCCAGGGAAATCTGGACGGTGTCGCTATCATGAAGAAATCCTAAACGAGCTTGGATTTCCTCCTTTTCTTCTTCGAGCCGTTCAATGTCCCGTCGAAGGGCAGAAAGTCGAGGCTTGGCCTCGAGAGCTGCCAAGGAAGCCCGGGCTTTTTTCTCGTCTCCTTTGGTGGAAGAAAGCTGGCCTTGAAGCTGTTCAATTTCATGGCGGAGTGCGGTGAGCGTTTCTGGAGTTGCGTCCTGCGATGGACCCTGCAAAGCGTGGTAGACTACTTGCTTCCCTAGAAGTAGCCTCAATTTCAGTAGATGTCCCAGATATCGGGACGCAAATGGGGATTGACCTGCCACTCGTTCCTTAATCTTATCGTTCTGGTGCAATTCTCGCAGGAGCTTTACAGCTTGCGCTGCAAAGATACTTCAGGACCATGCTGGATCGAGAGAGGAGTTGATTACACTCACCTTTGGTAACCCTGTTGTGTAGATTTGCGGACACTTCTATGGCCTTTTCAAAAAGATCGTCAGCAAGTTTCGTGATGGCTTGAGGCCGGGGACAGCTAGAGGACATACTGAATAGGGACGACTGGACGATCCGAAAAGTCAACATTGCTCCAGCTCTCAAGAAGACGGGAGGAAACACACTTTTGTTCACCTGGGAGCCGCCCGATTGAATGAGCATTCCGATCGCCGGTCAAAGGAAACAATCTCAAGATACTCACGAAGATAGTCGAGGATCATTGTCGTGCCTAGTCGCCGTCAGTCCTCATCCCGCCATCACCGCCGTTTCTACTACAAACTTACCCTCAGCACAAGTTGAGGCGTCACTCTTTGCCTTGCGGGGACCCATACTGGCCTTGGGTCTCGGCCGTTGAGAAGGAGAAGATGAGGAGGGCCTTACAGCAGAGATGGAAGAAGTGGGCCGAGACGAGAACGAAGATGAGAGTTACTTGAAATGGAACGCTTAGAAGACCAGATGACATAACAACTACGCAGAATGCGATTGCAACGTGCTTCATAACGACGCCTCATATCTAGAAAAACCAAATAGCCCACCATATGTCCAAAGGCCCCCGGTAGCCATAAAATCCGGAGCGTAAATGCAACTATGTGGAAACAAGAAGCCGAGGCGGCGTCCACGAAATTGCCTCCCGGAAGGCGAAGGTGAAAGTTTTGATTTTGAACCCCGGGATTAAGAAAGTATAGAAAATGCAAAGTGGAAGCGCCAATAAAAATCCATGGACATCCAACAAGGCGTTCGGGGTATCACATCACGATCTATCAGTTCGGTTAGTTCGTCATTGGACAGTACGACAATTCAGGGATACGTACGCAATCGCTATCGTTTTTGGCGCTTGGAACCCCCATTTCTTCGAAGGTCTTGGGACCCTTGCCCGGCAGTTGGCCACTTGGCTTGGATGGCTGGGAGGGTTGAGAGTATTTCGAGGAGGTCGTGGATGGTGGTCCGGAATGCGGCTGGGGGGTGGAGGAAGCCGAGCCCCTAGATGGCTGGCGAGACTCTGTGCGTGGAGGAAAGTTGGCAGATGAAGGAGAACCCAGTGGCCGGGGAGATGGCAAAGATCCTCCGTGGGCAGAGACAGGGGTTCGTGCGGGCCTTCGGTCTGGAGGAGGGACCGCGTCGAGCCGTGTTGGACGTTGTCGGTCACCCGGTCGTGGAGCCGGCGCAGAGAAACCGACGTCCACTCGGGGTGTCCCGTTGGGGCTGGTCGGCCCTGCAGGCGCACCGAGCGGTGTACCTGCACCCGAGCTAGGCTGGCGATAGTTCATCGGCGGTTGACCATAGGTCGGAGTCCGAGGGCCAGGCGGGCCTTGAGGGCCACCGTAACCCGGAGGACCATTCTGACGAAGGTTCGGATTGACACCAAATGCCGAGCTTGGTCGAGGATCGGGCATCTGGTAACTTGGCTGTCCCGGTGGACGAGGACGAGAAGAACCAGGACGATCGGGATATGGGGCAGCGGACGAGGGTTGGTCGTTCAGAGTCATCCGCGAAGGATCAGGCATCTGTATGTTTTCCGGTGTGGACTCCAAAGAACCGCCACGCTGATGAGCGACATAACGGGTCGACTTGATGCGAGAAATCGCAACCTTCTCATGGTCCCTTCGGGACAGAGTCTTAGAACGCGAGATACTGTCGATTCGACCGGACGCGTCTTTGTTACCGCTGGCGGCGGCTTTGGCGTACCAGCTGCGGGCCTCTTTGATGTCGACCGGGACGAAGATGCCGACTTCATAGAAGTAGCCCAAGGCGAACTCCGCCGTGGGGAGACCGCTCTGAGCTGCGCGCTGGGCATAGGTGAATGCGAGCTCATCATTCTTCTCGAAAACACCCTCGTGTCCACAGAGGAACCATTTACTGATGGCCATCTCGGCTTCGGGCTCACCCTGGCGCGCCGCAAGCGCATTGTAGTGCAGGGACAGCGCGGGATTGAAATCGCAGCCAAGTTGGCAGAGTTCATACGCAGCACCCATCTTCACTTGAGCCTTGGCGAATCCATGGTATGCAGCCTTCTCGATGTTGACGCGGGCCACGTTGAGGTCGAGAGCCAAGAAGGGCTCGGGAACGCTGACTTGGGGAAGCTCCCGAGCGAGGAGCATGCCATATACCTGCATCTCACGTTAGGACTGCGGCCGGCAATTGCACCCAGGGGAAACTTACATAGGCACCCTGCGGCGCATTCTGGTCACAGGATTGCGCCGCGAGCCGGATGTACTCCAAGCCTCTCTGGAAGTCCTGGCGCTGGCCATGTTGTCCAAGAAGGATCATCATTCCCAGGCGCTAAAATGGAAGTCAACAAAGCCAGCTCTCCTAAACTCGGCACGACGGGGAAACATACGTAGTATGAAGCGGAATCCGCCCTGGCGACACCCCGTTCGTAATGTTTGATTGCCTTCTCCGGTTCTCCCGAGCTCTCAAACTGCATTCCAATTCGGTACTCTGCGCGCGCATATCCTTTATCCGCTGCTCTGGAATAGCATCGGAAAGCTTCTTTTCGGTCCACCCGATAGCCAAACTTGCCGAATTCCAACCACATACCCTTGATGAACTCGGCTTTAGGGTGATGCTGCTCGGCCAAGAAGCTGACGATATTCAGCGCATCGGTCTTCAACTGCTGCTCGATCTGCGGTGTGTGAGGGCGCGGAGGCTGCGTCAACGCCAGACGAGCTTCGTTCTGCGCGGCCACTTCGACGAAGGCCAAAGCATCCTGGGCCCAGGACAATTGCATCTCCGGGTCGGTGGTCGACAGAACGCCCATGCGGTGGTGTTCCAGTTTGGCTTCGCGCTGCTCATCGGTAGGAGGGACATTCGGCGGCGGACTCCGCAGGATGGGGAAAGGAGAGAAGTTTGGGTGATCCATACTGTCGTAGGTTGCGGACTGCGCGTAGGCACCGTGATCATAGGCCTGGGCTTGTTGCGGCTGGCTCTGGACGGCGCTAGAGGTTCGCTCGGGGAACTGCTGTTGTTGCGGCGGTTGCTGCTGGCGATACTGCGCTGGAGGCTGCTGGGCGCGGCGAGGGTCGCGGGCGTGATGTTCCATCTGCGCAATGTTGTCCTGCATGTTTTCGGGGACTTCAGGCATCACCCTGCCAGGACGAATCAGTACTCGAACCCTCGGCATCTTGTGGATGTAGAGGAGAAACCGGGGATCGTGACATCTCGTACCTTTGGGGGGAGGGGGAGATGACCTCTGGCATGTAGAAGTCATCCTGGCCCCCTGGATACCAAGTCGCACCCAGCTGTGGCTGACCACGGCCCTGCGGCGGTCTATTCATCCCGGTGCGTAATGGTAATTCAAGTTTAAGGGGGAATACAGCATTCGGCTGGAAATCGAGGGGGAGAAAAAGAGAAGTGCCAAGAGGGGTGAGAGACAGCCCACTTTCTCCAGATGGAGAGCGGATCTAAATAAATCAAATTCCTCGGGCGAATTACAAAGCGTCGTCCCTAGTTATGTAGGACGAGTACGGAGGGCCGGGTTCTACGTAGAAGAGAGGATAGAAGCATACCATATTAAATGCCAAATGTAAAAATAACCGGTACTCAGCCACTGCTCTCAGCATGACTCCGGGGCACGAGTGCACGAGTGCACGATCAAGCGATCAAGACCCGCAAATTATTTCCCCCTGAGGGTTGCACCGGCCCTGGAGCCCTGGCTCGGGTGCCTTACGGGCTGCGCTTCTCCACCTGACGGTTTATTTTTATCCTGGACAAAAAAGACATTGTGATGTGCTGATCTCACGCCATGGACCGCCATGATTTCCATCATCCGTTCACTCCGTATGAGATTCAGCTGCAGTTTATGCGCGCGCTGTACGCTTCTCTTGAAGATGGAAAAGTCGCTGTATTCGAGTCCCCCACTGGTAAACGCGCTAGCCCCTCCTCTCTTGGCCCCGGTCTAACGTCGGTGCAGGTACTGTAAGTGTTTTTCCACCGTCTCCACAGGCAGGTCATAGTCCGGGTGATTCAGGTGAGACGCAATGTCTTGCGGTCATGGGTTGCGATTCGGGTCTACGCGATTGCGCATCGAACTAAGCCACATCTCAGGGCAAATCACTGAGTCTGATCTGTGGCTCTCTCACTTGGCTGCGGGATCACAAACGCAAGGCCTTCCAGGAGTCGCTCGATCAGGCAGCAGGTATGCTCCGTGCTCGTGGATGGCCCCCCTGTGATGTCATTCATTTCTTACTTGTGTTTAGCCGATGATGATGAGCCGGAATGGATGATCGAATATGCCAAACAGGATTTACGGCGTGCCATTGCCGAGAAGAGACAGGAATTTGAGGCCCGACTGGCCAAGATCAAGCAGGAGGAAGATCGTTTAAAGTCGGCCCAGGACAATTCGGAGCGCCCTCGGAAGAAACAGGTACGATCAATTCAATCTTAGATTCCGAGGTCACATACCAACGAACTCGATTCTAGCGATTGGACGAATTATCATCGCGGCCAGATACCGATGCCGACGATGCTCAATTTGTACTTGATGACTATGACAGTGAAACGGATGAACGAAAGACACAGAGTGCGTCAGGAGGGGCAGATGGCCTGTCTGCCAGCACCCTGGCCCTATTAGAACAGTTTCAGGGTCAATTCTCATCCAAAAAGCAGAATGAAGATGAAGACGATGACACGGTCAAGATCTTCTATTGCTCTCGTACCCATTCCCAGCTGAGCCAATTTGCGGGTGAGCTGCGGCGAGTTGCATTCCCGTCCAGCGTACCCAATGACCCCGATGCAGAGGGCCAAGACGACCTCTTGAAGATCGAGGAGCGCACCAAGCACCTTTCCCTGGGGTCCAGGAAAAACCTTTGCATCAACGACAAGGTTCGCGCTCTGGAGAATAGCACCGCTATCAACGAGAGGTGTTTAGATCTGCAGCAACCCGGCGTGCCCGCGGACAGGAAATGCTCCTACCTTCCCTCCAAAGATGACGAGGCGTTGGTTCTCCAATTCCGAGATCATGCTCTGGCCACGGTCAAAGACATTGAGGATATTGGTAAAGTCGGGAAAGAAATTGGGATCTGTCCTTACTACGCATCGCGTTCGGTCATCAAGCACAGCGAGGTCAGTATCAATGACTCTTTGCCGCGATGTATGCAGAGCTAAGCCTGTTTCAACATAGATTGTGACGCTCCCGTACCCACTGCTATTGCAGAAATCTGCCCGTGAAGCCCTCGGTTTGTCCGTCAAGGACCATGTTGTCATCATTGATGAGGCTCACAATCTCATGGATGCAATAGCCGCTATCCACTCCGTGACGGTCTCGTTAAATCAACTGCAGACTGCCGTCTCACAGTTAACGATCTATGCACGTAAATTCAAGAACCGGTTGAAGGGGAAGAATCGGAACTACGTTGCTCAGGTCATCCGACTGGTGAACTCCATTGCCGACTACCTGCGAGGCATTTCCCGGCAAAAGGGGCCTCTAGAAGGTTCAATTCAAGCTTCAGACTTAATGGCTGGTAAAGGAGTTGACCAGATAAACCCTTACAAATTGTCTCGGTATCTCCAGGAGAGTAAGCTGGCCCGCAAAGTAGATGGCTATGTCGAGTCGTCGCAAGATCAGCAGCAAGGACGACCCGAGGAAAAGACAAGCATGCCCGTTCTATTTCACATTCAAAGCTTTCTCTTGCCTTTGATGAATCCATCGGAAGAAGGGAGACTCTTCTATCAAAAGGATCAGGATAACGTTTTGCTGAAATACATGCTCCTCGATCCTACCAATCATTTCCGTGAAATTGTTGAAGATGCCCGAGCTGTAATATTGGCCGGTGGCACGATGTCTCCGGTGAGTCTCATCCGCCTTGGATTTACTGGTACTCACTAATACCTTGACTAGATGTCGGATTACATGAACCATCTGTTCTCATACGTACCAGCAGAACGTCTCGACACGTTCAGCTATGGCCACGTCATTCCAAAAGCCAACCTCGTGGCACAGTCGCTTACTCGAGGGCTCCTGGGATCGGATTTTGACTTTACATATGAGGCACGAGGCTCCGAGAAGATGGTGAGTGCCCTTGAAGCCATCAACGCAGAGCTATCTTGGATCCCACTGTTTTTTTCTTTCTAATCGACGACATAGATCACCGACCTGGGTCGGACAATAGCGACCCTCTGCCAAGTCATCCCAGACGGCGTCGTTGCGTTCTTCCCGAGTTACGACTACCTGAGTCAAGTATTGACTGTTTGGAAGAAACCCATCCAGAATGGCAACGGCCAAACCACTCTCAGCCTGATCGAACGGAAAAAGAAGATTATTTACGAATCGCGCGAAGTAGCAATAACCACCGATGCCTTGCTTCAAGAATACACCGAAGCCGTTGAATCAGGGTCGGGGGCTTTGCTGTTATCCGTGGTTGGAGGAAAGCTCTCGGAGGGCATCAACTTTTCCGACCGACTAGGGCGTGGAGTTTTGATCATCGGTTTGCCTTTTCCGAACATTCGTAGTGCTGTCTGGCAAGCCAAGATCAAATACATCGAGGAGAAGACCCTCAAGCTTAGTTCGGGGACTGATTTGGCGAAGAAGGCAAGCGCTGCGGCAGCTGGGAGAGACTTCTACGAGAATTCCTGCATGCGAGCCGTCAATCAGTGTATTGGGCGCGCAATCCGGCATGTGAATGACTACGCAGCCATCGTGATGATCGACCGGCGATACGACTCGTCGCGCATTCAAGGCAAGTTGCCTGGCTGGATCCGAGGGAGTCTAGTTTCTTCGCCATCTGAGCGTCCTGCACAAACGACGGTACGGCGATTGTCCAAATTCTTTGCAGAGAAAAAATAAGTTATAGTCCCCAGCAAATAAGGAAGCATACCAATACGATCAGTAGTGCTCACTACATCATGGAAAGAAGTAAAAAGCATGGAAACGTAAGGCGGTGGCAGAATGCTTCTACATATACGTATGTAGAAGGCGGTGTAGCACGTGACCAAACCCAGCCCCAAAGCAGGGTTTGACCCTATCACGGGACAAGCGAAGTGCTTAGCGCACACTCCGCCTAGTGCAAGCGTGGATTTCAACATCTGAGTCGGAAGTATCCACGACCCTTCCCCCTTTCAACGCCCAACTCTCAGACCGGTCTTGTCGAGAATACACCGCCGACAAGATGCCTACCCGTTTCTCGAAGACCCGGAAGCAGTGAGTCGCCTCCTCCTGTCCTATCCCCGAAGTTTTGGCCGTGATCTACAAAAAATCGACCTCGCTGGCCATCGCATCCTTCCCAACCGCCCATCGCTAACATGAATCTCTCACAGCCGCGGCCACGTGTCCGCCGGTTACGGTCGTGTCGGCAAGCACCGCAAGAGCCCCGGTGGTCGTGGTATGGCCGGTGGTCAGCACCACCACCGTACCAACATCGACAAGTACCACCCTGGTTACTTCGGTAAGGTCGGTATGCGCTACTTCCACAAGACCCAGCAGCAGTTCTGGAAGCCCACCATCAACCTCGACAAGGTACGTTTCGAACGAATCCGCCCACCTGAAAAAGTCGGAAGCACGGGAAGCACAATTTGTGTGCCAGGACATTCGACGACAGTGAACCGTGCACCGGCTTTAGACCGAATCAGGAGGGCTGAACGGATACAATTGTAATGGATAGTGTGACTGATTGGAATTTTTCTTTGGTATAGCTCTGGTCCCTTGTCCCCGCCGAGAAGCGTGATGCCTACCTGAACGGCTCCAAGACCGACACCGCCCCCGTCATCGACCTCCTGCCCCTCGGCTACTCCAAGGTCCTCGGCAAGGGCCGTCTGCCCCAGATCCCCGTTGTCGTCCGCGCCCGTTACTTCAGCCGTGATGCCGAGCAGAAGATCAAGGAGGCCGGTGGTGTTGTTGAGCTTGTCGCATAAGCGTTAAATTCGGTGTTTTATTGGAGAAGACGGATGAATCGGGGCAATCGCAGTCTTGACTGCGTTCGGTCTTGTGGAGGATTCTAAGTCTTTCCGCCCGTGAGGAGGACGATCGGAACTCAAAAGCTGACCGCCACGAGCCGAAATGGTTGGTTCTGGCGTTCGAAAAGAATAAGGGTTTGTGTGTATGCAATCTGCATCGCATGGCCTCCGAATGCCCTTACGATTTCACATTGTGTTAAACAAATACCACAAGGAGGATTTTTCAAAAAGTTTCCCTGTTGAACACGCAACGTATATGGTGGAGATTGTGAACGATTAATATCCGTAACGGTTGCTCTCCATACGGCTCTGATGGTGGTACTATACCACTCATCAGTACCTGTTTTGAAGCCATACCTATGGATGTAAAATTTGTACAAGTAGTCTCATTGATGTGCCTATTTACAGCTGGCCCTCGTGATCGTAGTCTACATCATCGCGCCGGTCAGATCTTGGATTCCCGCACTGATCCCCTTCGCCCTTGGTTGTCTACGCTGGCTAGCGTCTCACTGATGAAACGGACGGCCTCGTCAACCATCTTGGCCGTGACTTCATGCCCCGCACTCTGGTCGATGATATCCTCAAATGTAACCGCACCATCACCAAACCAGCCATTGGACGAGATGGCCTTCTTGAACCAGGCCAGGAAAGCCTCACCCCGGTGATACGGCACAAGTTTGTCCACTCCACCAGACAAATTCAGAATTCGCTTGCCCGCCAGGCACCGGGTCAAAAGTGGCCGGAGCTCCTGCTGTTCCTTGGGCGTTGGGTCGGGCAACGTGTCTGCACGCATTGGACGGGACGAGCCAGTATCAACATGACTGAGGAAGAGGCTAGCCGGATCGTACTGCTTCACAATATCCACAAAAGAAGCTGGAAAGGCCTCCGAACCTAGGATTTCGGACCCAGGCGGGTTGCTCTTCGTCCACGATGGCAACTTTGACAGCCGAGCACGGTCTACCATGAGATTAAGATAATCCGGGCATCCAATGATGACGACACCGGCGCTGATGCGAGGCTCGTGCAGCAGACAGCTCCATGCAGCATGACCGCCCAGGGAAACACCCAGAACGAGGTTCTCCGAGATCTTATGCTCATCATTTGGGAAGACGAATGAGGCTAGATAATCCATCAACAGCGATGTGTCCCGTGCAGTACCCTCTAAATTGTTTGTCAGCTCGAGGTATTTTATCTGCAGTGGTTTATCCAGCACTTACGGAAGATAGAGAACATGTCCTGAGCATGGCGAGGATTTCCCTGCCTCCACGCCTCGTTAGCCAGCGGGTCGACCATTCTGGTGCCATGGTTCCGCTGGTCAAAAGAGACAGCAATCAAACCCTTGGCAGATGGGTTGCTCTGGTTTCTGCCGTTCCAGTCGTTGATAGCGGACGAAGCAATGCCGGTCATGCGTTCCTGCGTCGCCAGTCGAGGATGGAGTAGCCACAGACATGCGACGTCTGTCGCCTGGGGCTGAAGCTGCTCGAGTCCGAAGACAGTCACTGAAATTCCGGCAATAGCGTAGACCTTCTGAGACACGGCAACCGGCTTGGGACGACCCGATGAGTCGAAAGTCTTCAATGGGTCGGTCATTATGACTGCGGGGTACCTGTAGAGATGTAGAAACAATAGAATTGAAGCGGGATTGAAATGGGAAAGAGAGATAAAAGATAGAGTCACTTCTATGTTCCGAGGACTCTATAAACCAGAATGACGGGGAACAATAGCAATTGTAAAGGCGACTCGGGTACAACGCGAGCGTGCCGAGGGCCCCGTTGCTGGTGCAGGCCGAAGTCCCGGAACCCCACTGGAGCTCACATAATGTACCAAATCCTGGGACTAGCTATTTAGGCTATAATAATGGCACCTGTCTACATAAGGGTTTGCTATCTTACACTATCATTTCTATATCTCGCTACATATCAGCTTAAACGTAGCTGATATGTGAGGTCTTCAACAATGCCTGTCTCACGTGATCAATGCCTGAGGCTACAGATCCGTCTTCCCGAAAGGGGAAAAAGGAAACCAACCTTGGGAAGGGACTCGATCCACGATGATTATCATTGGTGACCCCTGAAGGAATCTAAGGTTGATTTGATGATTGAATCATATCCTGTACCATCACCACGAATAACCCCCTTCCCCTTTTCCTAGGACTTGACCGCCCGCTTCTTGGCTAGCTTGGCGGGGCCTGCTCCGGTCGGAGAGATTTTGATGGGTCGCAACTCCACCGCTGTTGTGAACTAAGTCAACCTCAAACGCTCCTTTATATCAACAGTCGCGTGGACGCCACCTGTTCCTCTCAATTCACTCCGTTCTTCTCACGAGATTGATTCTAGGATGACAGCGAGAAGAGCCGACCATATATGACAGGATCTCGATCCATCCTGCATGTATGCACCCCAGAATCTGCTAGCACTTGCCCCAAGCTGCAACTGACGATCCCCTCGCCGTAACAGCATGACCGACACTCTAATACCCTCCTCTCCTCAGATGGAGGCTGAGCGCAACTTCGAGAGAGAGAAATCGAAGAAGCCTGATCCCATCACGGTCTCGAGTGGCTCCAAACTGGCCTCGCCGTTCCCGTCCCCTACCGAAGCCAAACGACCCGCTTCACTCAAGCAGCCCCAACCTGCCGAAGCTAGCGAAGAGAATAAGGCCCCGGAATACCTTCAGCTGTCTAAAGAGACGGAGGGCTCTTTCGGGAGCAAGGATAAAATATCCCCTACGCAGCATGGCTCGCCGAGAGAGAGGCCACCCGTAAACACGCGGCCACCGAACAGGTCCACCGACGAGAGGCCGCAATCAGCAAGCCAGCAAAGGCAACAGGCATCCGCTCCTGGGTTGTCTCCTCCGTCCGGCCCTCCCAGCGTCCAATTTCGCGACCACGATAATGAGGCCGTCGAGGTGCCCTCGTCACACCCGCAGTCTCGACCCTCCTCTTTATATGGTGATGATGGGGACCAATCTAAAGGGAAACAATCTATCCTCCATCGGTTAAAGTCCCTGGCCGTTTCTCCCTCGTTTGCCTCGCACGCGCGATCCCCTAGCGGAGCCACGATCGGAGACTTCCGGCCAGGCCCAAATGATGTGGCCACCCCGGGCTCTGAACGAAGCGAATTTCTCTTCCCCGTCGCTGAGCCTCTGGCTGAAGAGGGAAGTGACATCGACGCCGATGCCGAGGAGAGCGGCGGGGAGCAACGTGATCGCCCCAAAAAGAAGAAACCCCTACGGCGGCGACAGCAACAAGAAGACGAGGCTGGGGCTCGTACTGCCCCTACGACGCCAAAAACCACACGCAGACCCTCCTTCCACTTTTCATCCTCGTTTGCTCCCTTCGAGAACTATCGCAACAACATATTCCCCCGAAGAGCTAGCACCACTGAGTTCACGCCTCAAAATCGGGAGGGCGTATCCGAGGACGAGGGTCGCGACAGGCTCAACCGGCGAAGGCGATCTGCCTGGGGCGGAACCCGTGGCTTGTCGTATGTAAGACGGCAGGAGGACAGAACCCAGGAGGAACAACCACGGCCGAGTAATTTGAGGAGACTCACTGCCCTTGCTGGCCCATCTGAAAATGCCGAAAGTCTTGCAGCTACCTGGAGACGGCATCGGAACGAGCGTGGCACCAGTGCCAGTGGCCAGCGGTGGAGACAGATCAAAGCTGGCTTCAAGCTCATGGGTCAGCGTCGCAAGGGCGACAATGCAGTGGATACTAAGAAATCTGCGGAATTGCTTGCCGAGCTGTCCTCGGCTGTCCCAGCTGCCCTGATTCTGGCCAGTTTCTTCCAACGAGACGAACACGGAAGCAAACGTATACCGATCCTCTTAGAGCAACTGAAGGTCCGTGTTACGGACAGCCGCATCGACTCGCATTCAGGCGATCGCCATCTAGTGTTTCGGATCGAGCTGGAGTATGGAAGTGGCATGACTCGAATGAAGTGGATCATCTACAGGACTCTGAGAGATTTTGCCAACCTGCACTTGAAGTACAAGCTTCATCTCGGAACCCAGAAATACATTCAGCTGCGGGCAACTGAGAACAGCCCCAGCCTTCCTCGTTTCCCGAGAAGCGCTTTCCCTTACATGCGAGGTGTGCGAGGGCTAGAAAGCGAGTTTGAGGACGAGGAAGATGATGGTGGATATGAGACTGGCCCTGAGGCCGTGAGTGGCAATGAACGATCCGGAAAAAAGAAGGCCAAGAACCAACAACACCAGCGCCGACCTTCTGGGGTTGGTCCTCTGGCTCGCAGGAAGTCCAGTATCACTAACCAGGAGGGTGAATCTGCCGCGGGACCTTCATCTGTTCATGATGGAGTGGGTGGCAAAAGGGAAACTTATCCAGAGAGGCAACGGAAGAAGCTGGAGATGTACTTGCAAAAGATGATCCGCTTCCTGATATTCCGGGCTGACAGCAACCGGTTGTGCAAGTTCCTTGAGTTATCTGCCCTCGGAGTTCGTCTCGCTGCGGAAGCAAGTTATCACGGCAAGGAGGGATTTCTGATCATTCAGTCGTCGAAGGGTCTTGACTTCCGAAGGGCCCTGACACCGTCTCTGATCAAGAAGCGACATTGGCCCAAGTGGTTCCTTGTTCGGCACAGCTACGTGGTCTGTGTTGATTCACCAGAAGAGATGAACATCTACGATGTCTTTTTGGTGGACTCTCACTTCAAGATCCAGACACAAAAGATCAGCATTCGTAATCAAAAGGCGAAAGACCTAGCCAAGTCGGCGAAGCAGTCTGCAAGACACCCCCAGCACCACACTCTGCGGCTTGAAAATTCCGAACGCAAGCTGAAGTTGCTGGCCCGGAATGAACGCCAACTACAACAGTTTGAGGATTCAATTCGCTTCATGGCTGCAAATACGCCGTGGATGCGGCCAAACCGGTTTGACAGTTTTGCCCCCGTCCGGCAGAAATGTTTCGCTCAGTGGCTAGTCGATGCACGAGATCATATGTGGGTGGTCTCGAGAGCTATCAACCAGGCTAAGGACGTCATCTACATCCATGATTGGTGGTTGAGTCCAGAACTGTATATGCGACGACCTGCGGCCATCAGCCAAAAATGGCGCTTGGACCGTCTGCTTCAGAGAAAGGCTCGTGAAGGTGTGAAGATCTTTATCATCATGTACCGAAACATCAACTCTGCGATCCCTATCGACTCGGAGTACTCCAAGTTTTCGCTCCTTGAGCTCCACCCCAACGTCTTTGTCCAGAGGTCTCCGAACCAGTTCCGTCAGAACACCTTCTTCTGGGCACATCACGAGAAACTCTGCCTCATCGATCATACCCTCGCTTTTGTGGGAGGCATTGACCTGTGCTTTGGGCGTTGGGATACGCCTCAGCATCACCTCACTGACGACAAGCCCACTGGTTTTGAAACGTCTGACACGGTCAAAAATGCAGACAACTGTCAGCTCTGGCCGGGCAAAGACTACTCCAATCCACGTATTCAGGACTTTTATGACTTGGATAAGCCATACGAGGAAATGTACGATCGCAATGTTGTGCCGCGTATGCCCTGGCACGATATTTCGATGCACGTGGTGGGCCAACCTGCCCGAGATCTCACTCGGCATTTCGTTCAGCGCTGGAACTACATCCTGCGTCAACGCAAGCCAACGCGACCAACGCCCTTCTTGCTACCTCCTCCAGATTTCAACCCTGCTGATTTGGAAGCTTTGGGTCTTGATGGAACCTGTGAAGTTCAGATACTACGCTCTAGCAGTATGTGGTCGACTGGGACGCCCGACGTCACGGAGCATAGCATCATGAATGCCTATGTCAAGTTGATTGAAGAGTCTGAGCGATTTGTCTACATTGAGAACCAATTCTTCATCAGCACCTGTGAAATCGAGGGCAAGAAGATTGAAAACTTGATTGGAGACGCGTTGGTGGAACGTATTGTACGAGCAGCCAAGAATGAAGAAGCGTGGCGCGCCGTTATCGTCATCCCTCTCATGCCAGGCTTTCAGAACACCGTTGATAGCGAAGGTGGAACCAGTGTGCGCCTTATTATGCAGTGTCAGTACCGCAGCATCTGTCGCGGCGAAACATCGATCTTTGGTCGTCTTCGTGCACTGGGTATTGAGCCGGAGGACTACATTCAGTTCTTCAGTCTACGTGCCTGGGGAAAGATTGGGCCGACGAAGCAGCTGGTGACGGAGCAACTCTACATTCACGCAAAATGCATGGTCGTTGATGATCGTGCTGCCATTATTGGGTCTGCAAACATCAACGAACGATCAATGCTGGGATCGCGCGATTCCGAGGTTGCAGCCGTGGTACGGGACACGGACATGATTCAATCCATCATGAATGGCAAACCTTACCTCGTCGGGAGGTTCCCCCACACTCTTCGTATGCGCCTCATGCGGGAACATCTTGGAATTGACGTCGATGAGCTTCTGGAGCATGATTTCGCCACGGAAGAAGAGCTGCGTAAAATTCAGGTTGTTGAAGAGGACGCTCGACCAGCCGGTGATCGCGAAAGACGGGGCTCTGAATCGTCGATGATTGAGCGCCAAGACGAACGAGAGATGATTGACCGTCGGCATCGTGTCCAGGATGAATTCCTGTCCCGCTCAGAAGACCTGCACAGCTTCAATCATGATGTTGACTGGGAGCAAGGCAACAATCCCAACCTCAAGAGCAATCGGAGACTCACCTCCGATCCACGAGTTACAGACAATCCCGATCACAGGAAGGACGTGGATGGCGACGGCTTTGATAATCTGAAAGCTGCTGAGCAAGCTGGTCTGGCAGTTGCCCGCGACTCGCAGATGACCCCGGATGGTAGAGAGTCCCTGGTCTCGCCTATCTCTTCCGAAGGCAAGGGTACTGTCGATCAACCGAAGCAATCGCCTCAGCGCAAGCCCGCTCGGCCATCATCGACCCCCAAGAATGGACAAGGGCCTTCGGGTGAACCCCCCGGGACTCCGAGACCAATACCGGCTCTGATACTCCTCCGCACCCACATGGTGTCTCCGGATCATCTAGCCGTGAATCAGAGGTTGACAGCGTGGGTCTGATGGTGTCCAAGGAACACCACGACACCTCTAGACATGGACATCTATTCACGCCAGATTTGAAGCGTATCTTTGTCGACAAGGATTGTATGAAGGATCCTTTGAACGACGCATTCTACCTGGACACCTGGCTAGCACTTGCTGAAAAGAACACGAAAATCTATCGTTCTGTCTTCCGGTGCATGCCCGACAGCGAGGTCAAGAATTGGAAGGAATACAAGGAGTATGCTGCATATGGAGAACGTTTCTCCGAGATGCAGAGCCAGCAGAGCAGCAAGCCATCCGACCCGCCTAATCAGAAACAAACCGGCCCTCCTGCAGCTGCCTCTTCTACAACTGGAGCTTCGCTTGCCTCTCCCGTATCCCTCGTTTCCCCAAAGACCGAGGGACTAGTGGCCGAGCAGAGAACTCCTCAAACAATTGACGAGAAGGCCGAGCTTGTGACGCATGATACCAAGGGGAATGAGTCCGATCGACCGCAGTCCGAGCTCATCCAACACGAGACCTTGTCACCTCTTGATGAAAAGTCTGCCTTGAAGGCGGCATCTGACCCACACCTGTTGAGCACAGCGCAGAACGGCAGCGACGACAGTGTCGCTGGCGGCGAGGACGCACAAAAGCCTCGCTCGAACTCTGCACATGTCGATTATTCCGAGGCAGTGAATCTGAATGCATCTCAATCTCGGAGACGCAGACGCAGAGCAACCACAATTGGCTCCAAGCGCGATCTTCATGGCCATGACGATGTGATGGATAAGGAGCGCGCGGAGGATCTTCTGAACAAGGTCCAGGGTCATCTTATTCTCTGGCCATACGACTGGTAAGTACCGATGTCTCTACGATCCAATGTCTCTCGTATTAACTGTACTACTTTAGGCTTGAGAAGGAGGAGCAAGGTGGAAACTGGCTCTACGCTTTGGACCAGATTTCGCCTTTGGAGATCTAGTAAGTTCAACCCCCTGTATTACATTGCAGATTGGAATTTAGCTGACATGGTCATAGCAACTGATTCGTTTTTTTAATTCACTTTGTACTGGATGACGTGTTTGCGTTTCCTCATTTCCAAATCCCAAGCACTTGCATGCACTTGCTTAGCATTGTTTGACTGTTGGAGGCATTTCTGTGCATTGTCATGCATTATTGAGCGCCACTGTTGCAATTGGAGCGTCGCCTTTTCGTTGGAACTCTTTCTCGCCCCATGTAGGGCTTCGTTGGAATATCCTCTGCTTTCGACTAGTGACGGGCGTTTGGATGGCTTCGTACGTGGAAAGTGAGCGCTAGACAAAATAATTTAATGTTTTCCGAAGCTAGAGAAGAGACATGTATATATACAGGGTATCTGTCAAAACAATTTACACGTGGTTGACCGGCCTCCGCTGTCGAAAAGTGATCTGCCGTCGTCGTTCCTCGAAGCCATCAAAACTCGCTCGCAGAGCCGCCGCCAGGATAGAGCCGTCTTGACCCGGACCATCCCACTTTTTACATGCTTCAGACAGCTGCTCATAGGCAGTTTTAAAAACACTCTGCAGTTCTGTCGTGCGTATACACGTGTGCCCCAGATTATTCATGAAGTGAGTTGGATCCTGGATGCACAGCCTTTGAGCAGCTGATAGGTTCCCTTGCTTAAGGGCAGTGCGCTTAGTTTTCATGAGAGACCGTTGACCACGTCGCCATGCGGGCTCGTGATCCTTAGCATCAGTTGCACGAAGTGCCTCATTATCAAAGAAGCCCGGAGGATCTACTGCAACTCCGACCGAGCGAAGGTCAACCTCAATCCCATAGAGCTTCAGGAAATCCATCAACTGGTATCCGAGGGTATGGGGGCCGGTGAAACGTCCATAGTTCATCTTGAGAAAAGCAACGAGCAGCATGAGCAACGCATTGTTCTCAATGACAAGCCCATATAAACCGCGCGCCTCTAATAAAGTTCGGGTTCCTAGAAAGAGAGGTCGAAGAGCAGGAAATTCGACCATGTAATCCTGCAAGTATTTGGTGATTGCTGGAACGCCTTCACCACAATAAAACCGCAGTTTTAAACCCGTGGGCCGATGACAGACCTTTAGAGAAATATTATTTCCCACAAGCCCATACCCATAGAAGGCCCCGCTGCTCTTTAGGGCAGCCTCGACTCGAAGAAGCAGTTCCGTGTGAGCCGCTCGAATCTCGGGCCGGGTAGCACTTGGCCTTCGAGTCCGGCCTAGGGACCGCGGGAGGTCAGTGAATGGTAGGATAAATTCGATGCTCGCATGTGCCAATGCCAGACCCGTTGGACGAAGCCCGATGAGCTTCGGGGGATATGGAACTGCTTCTTCCAGTAGTGAGGCAACCTCCGTACTTATCCGAGTGACTTGGTTTTGCTCCTCAGGGCTTGGGGCCAGGTAACAGCCTAAGGCCTGGATCTCCGCATCCAAGAACGCAAAGGCATCGCCGGTGGCCTGGGACTGCGGCATGTATCTCAGCCACGGCCGCTGTCCGAGTCGTTCATATATTGATGGGTCCGCGGTGCATATTATTTGACGGGGGGCATTATCCTTCGATCGGAGCTTTTTTCTTCTCGATCGTCCTTCGACTGAAGATTGCTTTTTCGATCATCCTTCGAATGGAGCTTTCGGGTGCGGTTGCGTCGGTGTTCTTTGCTTATAACCTTCTTGGTCTCGGGAGTTTGGAGTACTGGTGCCGGCGGCTGGTAGCCCGCACGGTTTTCAGGCGGAATATAAGGTCGAAATAGCCCAGGTGAAGGAGCATCGGGGTACACCTTGCGGATGAGACTAGCCCGGTTCGTCGACCGATGCGCCTCTAGTGTTTTGCGGAGGCTGTTGGCGAAGACGTCGGGGTCTTTGGTGGACGGGACAGACGAGGAGATTCGTCGAACCGGTAGAGGGAGGCGCGGCATAGCGCATTGAAGATGACATGGGAGGAATGAGATCTCCGTGGTGGGAACCGCGATAAACGTCGTAGCCTGAGGCAGCGAGTGTTGGGCGCGTTGGGGCGCATGGAGTGCATTGAGCGCAGAATGCCGGACTCGAGGTTTCCAACTGTACTGGAGATCGCATCAATCCAAATGTCACGACGCTACACTGACACGAGCCGAGTCCAAGTGACCATGACGTAGCGTTGAAGGCATGGAAGGGAAACCCCACCGATTGTCCTGAAGCGTCCGGGTTCCTGTTTCGGACGGTGGTTTCAATCTCACCGCTTGCCCCTCCGTCTTCTACTTCTTTCTATTTCTATTTCTATCTCTACTCGCCTGCGCCATACTTGATTCCCCGTCTGTTCTATCCATGGCTGTCGAGTGCCCTTAGTTCACCCCTAGTCGATCTGCTCATCGACTCCATCCCGCTCCGAGGTACGTTCTTCCTTGTTATCCCCCCAGTCCGACGTCAGGATTACTCCCGAAGTTCCTGCATGTGACAATTGCAGATGTTCTGACAACCGGCGCAGCTGATTTGTGTCGCTCGTCCTGAATCACCAACCCCACGTCATGTCTGATACAGAGAAAGAGAGCCCCGCGCGCGTGCCCGAGGGGCAGCCAGATCCGGTGCTCGTTGGCCCGGGCTTAAGGGCCTTGAAGACGGAGGCTTACCAGGATGCCACAAATGCGACACCGAGCTTGGATACCGATAAGAAAAGCCAGATGGATAGCGATGCACCCTCATATTTTGCCAACATCCCGGGAATCCGGACCGAGCCATTCGACCCATCGAACTTGGCCTCGGCACCGCACAAGTCCGGAAGGAAAACATCTTCGGGACAGGAACTGCTACGCCGTTTGAGTCTGGCAGGGGATGCTTCCCCGATGTCTCCTGAGGTCGATCCGCGTGCACAGCATCCAGGACTCAACTTGAGCGGGCGTTTGATAAGTGCCGCCTTTTGTATTCCGTACAAGCTCTACTTCCAATCAGGTTCCGACTGGGTATGTGTTGCAATTATTCCATCTATGTGAATCCTGAATGGCCAGCTAACTATTGTCCGAGAGAACAGACGCTCAAGCCGCGCTCCGGCACTTCAGCATTGTTCGATTCATTTGCCCACCTGGCTTCTGACGAGACCCAGTGGTCACACACCTTGGTGGGTTGGACAGGAGAGGTTCAGCCCATTATAGACACGAAGGTTCCTTTGCAGCCGATCCCCGTCAATGCGGCGGGAAAATTATCTCCTGGTACCAACAACCCCACCCCGCCTACTCTCAATAAGGCTGCGGCGCCAGTTCCTGTGGATGCAACCCAGCAGCCACCATCTCATCCACTGGTAGAAGGACTCAGCGTCGGGAAAGAAGATCGAGAGCGGCTTGATCGCCAAATGGCTTCGGGACGCTATGGCCGGATCTTACCGGTTTGGTTGTCGGATGCTTCGGAAGAACCAGAGGACGCAGTTCTACTCAAAGACCAGGGCCGGTGGCGGCGGTATGCGGAGAGAGAACTGTACCCTCTTTTGCACTACAAGCAGCACGGCCCGACCGACGGCCGCTCCGAGCGGCGGTGGTGGTCGGATTACGTCCGGCTAAACCAGCTGTTTGCGGACCGCATTGTAGCGGACTATCGGGAAGGTGATGTTGTGTGGGTTCACGACTACCACCTGTTTCTTCTTCCCAGCCTCCTGCGACAGCGCATTCCCAACATCTATGTTGGCTTCTTCCTCCACGCACCCTTCCCTAGCAGCGAGTTTGTCCGGTGTCTTGCAAAGCGCAAGGAGGTATTGACGGGGGTTCTCGGTGCCAACATGCTTGGATTTCAGACCTTCTCTTACTCACGGCACTTTTCTTCTTGCTGCACACGTGTTTTGGGATTCGACTCCAACTCGGCCGGAGTGGATGCGTACGGCGCCCACGTCGCGGTGGATGTTTTCCCCATTGGAATTGATGCTCGGTCTATTCAGAAGGCTGCCTTCGGCGCCTCGGATATCGAGAAGACCGTCGCTGGTATCCGCAAACTCTACGCTGGGCGGAAAATCATTGTCGGTCGTGACCGGCTGGACAGTGTTCGAGGTGTGTCGCAGAAGCTGCAGGCGTTTGAGATCTTCCTGGAGCGATACCCTGAATGGCGCGACAAGGTTGTTCTCATCCAGGTGACAAGCCCGACCAGTGTGGAGGAAGAGAAGGAAGACCCAAACAACAAGATCGCCGGCCAGATCTCCAATTTGGTCTCCACAATCAACGGCCGTTTCGGATCTCTGAGCTTCTCTCCCGTCCAGTATTATCCACAGTACCTGTCACAGCGCGAGTACTTTGCTCTTCTGCGTGTGGCCGACGTCGGACTGATCACCACCGTGCGAGACGGCATGAACACCACGAGTTTGGAGTATATTGTCTGTCAACAGACAAATCATAGCCCGCTCATTCTCTCGGAATTCTCCGGCACTGCGGGCACATTACCCAGCGCCATCCATATTAACCCTTGGGACCTGGTCGGTGTCGCTGGCGCCATCGACCAGGCTCTCAAGATGCCTGCCGAGCAGCGAAAGGAGCAACACCTGAAGTTGTACAAGCACGTCATTACCAACACGGTGGCGACGTGGTCGAGACTGTTCCTCCATCGTCTGCTGACCAACCTCTCATCCTTTGATCAGTCCATCGCCACTCCCGCCTTGGATCGCGCGAAAGTCATCAGGCAGTATCGCAAGGCTCGGCGACGCTTGTTCATGTTCGACTACGATGGCACGCTGACGCCGATTGTCAAAGACCCACAGGCGGCCATTCCGTCCGATCGGGTTCTCCGCACGCTCAAGAGCCTCGCAGCAGACCCGCGGAACGCTGTCTGGATTATCAGCGGACGTGATCAAGCTTTCCTGGACGAGTGGATGGGCCATATCCCCGAACTGGGGCTCAGTGCGGAGCACGGGTGCTTCATCCGTCAACCCCGCTCAGACGACTGGGAGAATCTAGCAGAGAGCACCAACATGGGCTGGCAGAAGGAAGTGATAGATGTCTTCCAACACTACACGGAACGAACTCAGGGTTCCTTTATTGAGAGAAAGCGAGTGGCATTGACGTGGCATTATCGCCGCGCAGACCCTGAGTATGGGGCATTCCAAGCTCGCGAGTGCCGAAAGGCTCTTGAAGACACTGTTGCAAAGCGATGGGATGTGGAGGTAATGGCTGGTAAAGCCAACTTGGAGGTGCGCCCAACGTTTGTCAACAAGGGCTTCATAGCCACGCGGTTGGTAAATGAATACGGCACAGAGCCCGGCAAGGCGCCCGAATTCGTCCTCTGCTTAGGGGATGACTTCACGGACGAAGGTGAGAATTGAAGCTCATTGATTTTCAAACAAACGTACTAATGATGGATCTTGCAGATATGTTCCGTGCACTCCGAAAGTCCAACCTGCCGCAGGACCATGTGTACTCGGTAACGGTGGGTGCCAGTTCGAAGCAAACGGACGCCAGTTGGCACTTGCTCGAGCCTGCCGATGTCATCAGCACCGTGCAGATGCTCTACAGTAACTCGAACCAGGACTTCTGAGCTCTTTCCTCTGTGCTCGGCCCGACTTGACGCCGGGATGCCGGGGCACTGCAACGCCGGAGCTCGGCTGATGCCTTTTAGCTTCTCACCTTGTTTTATGCTTATACTCGTATGGAGACCTGACCTCATTGGTAAACGGGGGTATTCCAGTTCCCCGTTTGCCCCTCGCTGTCTCATGCTTTCTTGCTTTTTTCTAGCTTGCCATGAAAGGGTGGCATTGGCGCTTCTGAGCGATGTCCTTTGGTCCTAAAGGCTTACTCTATTATAATCTTGTTTATAGACGCATGAGCCTTGCACACTTGATTAGAATTGATTGATCGGGAATTTCCTGAAAGTCCGAGTTGATAATGATATCATGCCGACTTAGCCGAGCACGCCTTTTGGCGGGGAAATGTCTCCGGGCAGATTCCCCGCGGAGGATATAGATGAATTCAGGGCTCGTAACGATGGCAGCTGATCAAGCGCATACCACGCTATAAAAACTCTTTATCCAGGGTGGAGTACGCTCGGAAATGTCATCGGAAAGGCGTGTAGGATTCGGCGATCGGTGCGAATGGCCGTGATCGGCGCGAAGCCCGTTTTGCTCCAACGCGGAGCCTTCTTCTTTCTCTGGGTCCCCGGCGCTCTGAGTCAGGTCAATCACCGGCCTTCTTGATCTTGACCGATCATCCTCTGACCGCACTTTGCATATCTCTTGGTGTTTCTTGTTTAAAGAGTGGTGGTTGCGCGAAGACATGACAGACCGTGCGGAGAATTTCTAATTTACATCCGGTTTCTTTCCAATGACCGAATCAACACATGCTGCCGTCGAGAAAGTCCCGAGTATGATTGAGGAGAAGGACTTCCATAATGAGGACTATTCCGGTTCTCTCGAAGCAAATTGTCCTCCGCGGAGCCCAGTATCCGACGAAGAGTCCACTATCGGCGAGCCTCACCATGACCTCTCTCAGGTCCCCACACATACCAGCGCCGTAGCACGTACGCTCTCTATCGTGCGTACGCGTGGGTCTGGAAAGGATATCGGCCCGCCGCCGGACGGGGGCTTCCAGGCCTGGCTCCAGGTTGCTTTGGGACATATGATCATATTCAATACGTGGGGCTACATCAACAGCTTCGGCGTCTTCCAAACATACTACACCTCGAAGTTGAACCGACCTCCCTCGGATATCTCCTGGGTGGGGAGCATCCAGATCTTCTTGCTCTTCTTCATCGGGACCTTTTCCGGCCGCGCAACCGATGCAGGCTATTTCCGAGTCACCCTGATAGTCGGCGCCACGCTTGAGGTTTTCAGTATCTTCATGACCTCGCTATGCACTGAATACTGGCAACTGTTCCTAGCACAGGGTCTGGGGCAGGGCATTGGATGTGGCCTGATGTTCTGCCCGACGCTGGCGTTGATTTCAACGTACTTCGTCAAGCGTCGCGGCATTGCTCTTGGTCTTGTTGCCTCGGGTTCGGCCACCGGTGGTCTAGTCTTTCCAGCGGTCGTCATGCGCATGCTGCCAGAGGTCGGATATGGCTGGACAATGCGAACACTGGGCTTCATCACGATGGCCACATTGATTCCCTGCTTGCTATTCTTTAAGCAGCGACTGCCACCTCGCACCGCCGGGCCGCTCGTCGAGTGGGCTGCTTTCAAGGAGATGTCGTACCTACTCTTCGCGGTGGGCATGTTTCTCAACTTCTGGGGCCTGTACGTCGCCTTCTTCTACATCGGCAGCTTCAGTCGTAACATCATCGGGGTTTCGGAGACAACCTCCATCCACCTGCTCATGGTCATGAACGGAGTCGGTATAGCAGGCCGGCTGGTGCCCAATCTGATGGCCGATCAGTTCACGGGCCCGCTCAATCTTCTGATCCCCTTCAGCTGTGCAACAGCGATCGTGTCCTATTGCTGGTCAGCCGTCCACGACATGTCCAGCCTGTGGACATTTGCGGTGTTCTATGGTCTTTTCGCCGCTGGCATCCAGTCGCTGTTCCCCGCCACGCTAAGCACGCTCACCACGGACTTGAAAAAGATCGGCGTGCGGATGGGCATGGTGCTCAGTATCGTGGCAGTCGCGGCTCTCATCGGTTCGCCCATCGCAGGTGCCCTGATATCGACCGACGGTGGCGATTACCTCTATGCGCAGATGTTCATGGGTAGCGCCATCATCGCGGGCAGCGTCGTTCTGATCGGAGCGCGAGTGACCAAGGTGGGCATGGGCCTCGCACGCGTGTAAAACAAAAACGTCCCTTGCATATAGATTGTAAATAGCGCTATCGGGCATCGCATTGGTCGATATGATATAATGTTAATGGGAAAGCCGTATAAATACCAAGTGGCGCCCTAAATGACCAAAATTACCCACATTTCGACTCGACTGATTAATGCGAGCGCGGTGACTCGTCCTCGCTTCCACGGTATTTTCTCGATTTCGTTCTTGAGATTATTCCAAGATCTCTGCTTCTGCCATTCGCGTCATCTCGTTAATTTCTGCGAATCTCGGCGTTTATCGTCTATCGCAAGCGCCCAAGAGGGTCCCCCACTTTGCCCCTCTATTTCTGATTCGACCTGCAGGGTCGGTGTATGCCTCACCCGCCTTCTGTGACTCAATCTGGATAATTGATCTCGACTCGATACGCAGACGTCTTTGATTTAGCGAAACCCGTCCGGTCTTCCCTCAATTCACCTACACACCTTCATCATGGCGCCCCGCGGTCGTGGAGGAAAGTTCTCCAAGCCCTCACGAGGAGGTATGGTCTCATGCAGAAATCCCAGCGCACAATACCGGAGATTCGAAAGCTGATTCATTTTCGTATGACAGGAGGAAAGAAATTCAGTCGCGATCTCCAGCCCATCGACAAGGACGGCAACCCAGTCGGTCTCTGGCGCGTACGTTGAACGATACACCGGAGTGATTTCACTCGACTCTCTTCAGTCTTCCCCAGCTCACACATCTGTTTCCCACAGGACCCCGAAGATGAGATCAAATCATCCAGCGAGGAGGATTCATCGGAAGAGGATTCCTCTGAAGAGGAGAGCTCAGACGACGGCGTCGCCGCCGCAGGATCCGGCGTCCAGGCCGCAGCCACCTCAGAGGCGACCCGCGAAGCCCGTAAAGCCGCTGCCAAAGCCAAGAAGCTAGCGGCGATCGCCCGACGAAAGAAACAAGCCGCCCAGCCCGGTGACCTGCCGCCCTCGGACTTTGAAGAATCCGAGGTGGACGAGGTGCTGCCCGCGAACCCCAACCACACAGCCAAGTCCCGCTCTCAGCTGACGAAGATCGAGGACGAGGACGAGGAGCCCAAGAAGGAGAAGAAGGACCTGTCGCAGCTCTCGCGGCGAGAGCGGGAGGCCCTCGAGGCACAGCAGGCACGCGAGCGGTACATGAAGCTGCACGCGGAGGGCAAGACCGACGAAGCACGGGCTGATCTCGCGCGGTTGGCGATTATCCGTGAGCAGCGCGAGGCGGAGCGAGCTCGCAAGCAGGCTGAAAAGGAGGAGAAGGAGGAGCAGGCCAGGGAGCGAGCTGCGGCTTCGAAGGAGCGCGAAGACAGGATGCGGGCTGCTGCCATGGGTAAGCCGAAGAAGGGAAGCAAGAAGAAATAAATTGCTTTACATATGTAGAAGATCTGAAATACAATCCTATATATGCATCATCCTATTATGTGCTACGCATTTGGGCGTGGCTCGACCCTAGAAATATATCCGACCTTGGACCTAGGCAAGAGGGAATCAATTTTGAGATTTGGTATTTGGATCTATGAAGACACGCAGAGAAATGGAAGATGTCTGATCCTATAGAGGAAATATCATGTACACCGACGCCCTCCCAAACGCAGCAAAGACATGGGAATTACTCTTCAATGCATAGCCAAGAGAGAAACAAGGAGAAAGGAAATGAGTTTCGTACACGGGGTTCAAAATCTGGATCCCCCAAAGGGGTGTGAGTGATGGAACTGACCGCAGCCAGGGAAGTTTTTAAAATTGGGTTGCGGTATTTCACACGCCCCAGAACAGGCCTTCGACGCTTCGGCCTTGCATGACAACACCCCAACCAGCGATCAGACTAATCAGCCAGAGGACAGCAAAGATCAAGATGGGGACGAGCAGTAGTTCGGTGTTGTGCAGGAAGGGCAGAGCGTTGTATCCCAGGAAGGTGATGTAGGTGTAGTAGATCAGGGCGGAAAGGTAGAGCGTGTTGCCGAGGAACGTCGCCAGGAAATTGCTCGGGCTTCGGGTCAGAAGAGGGAGGAGGAGGAATTGCACCACATAGAGATGGAGGTAGAGAGGGAAGAAGGCGCGGTTGGAAACCTGTAGAGCACGGGGTTAGAGAACGAGTTCGTCGAGACCGATAGAGGGCAAATCCTACATCAAAACAGTATCCAAACTCCAGCTGGTCCTTCTCGCCCGACTGTACAAACAAGCCCTGTGCGGCCCCGCGTCGGCGGCCCCGGGAACCGCGCAGACCGGCCAGAGACGCGGCGGCGCCGTTGGGACCGAAGAGTCGGCCTATAACGAAATAGCCAATGGCTGAGATAAACAGGGACGAGCCGATAAAATGGACGAAGATGAACAGCAGGGAAAGGCGCACAATGGCCCCGAAGGAGGGGGTGTAGGCCAGACCCCAGGCGAGGGCTGTGAGGAGCAGGAAAAACGAGAGGAGGTATGTGAAAGACGGATCGGGGCGATGCCATGTGTTTTTGGTTTCTGGGAACAGGTCAATACAATCGTCCGATCAACGGTCGAGATTCTCGATGTATTCGGTCGAGCGCAACGCGACTCACGTTTCTATATCAAAAGACCCGACGCGGTTAGCAATGGCACCAACAAGACAGGCCCGGTGCAACTTACATGGTAGTATATGGACTTGAAGACCTTTTTGGGGGCGATCAACAGGGATGTCATTTCCCAGATGGCCATCTCAAAGTCCATCTGGGGAAACTTGAAGAGCCTGTGGATCTGGTCAGCCAACGCTCTCGCCGGGGAACGGGGAAGACCGACCTCTTGAAGAAGCGCGGCATGCGGACGCTGGACCCGCGACTGGGGGTAGAACCGAAATTGGCCGGACCGGCATGTTGGCGAGGGACGGAGATGTGCGGGTTCATGGTCGAGGCCCTGGTCTGGTCAAGAGCCGGGGATCATTGAGGGAGAGACTCGTTGCTCCTACTTCGTGGCCAGTCCGGGGTTATGTCATCGCTCACGTGAATGGGGTTTATGTTGGGTCCAAAAGCCATGATCACTGTGAATACTCTCATACTCTGGAGTTTTTTCCGTCCTACAGTCCAGCATGTTCAACACTGGGACGAGCGGGACATGTTCAATTGTCTTTAATCAGGTGTTCGGCGTCGTCATTCCCTGACAGATTTGCTTCGAACCGAGAGTCTCTTTTGGATCGTTCGATCTCTCGATCGGTCACATCATGGGCCTTCTGCAAGGGGCATGGGGTATAGTGCTTGACAATGGCACGCTTTGTAGGCCACGCAGTTCAGCTTATCAGATACATGGTACATGCCTGCAATGGTTACTGGTGGTGGTATATCTATCTATTCCCGATCAAAATTGAGTTCCAGCCAACAGTGCTGATCGTATTTGCCTCCGAACTGGCGATACATCACATCGTTGCCCACAGATAAACCTGATTTGTGTGGCAACCAAGTGGCCACCATTGCATGAAGTGCATGAAGCCGCGAGAAACTCCCGGCGTTAGCTCCGTCTCATGAGAAAGCCGTTCCTCCTCCCCACCTGCGATGGGTCCACTGGAACTTTCGTAAGGATCGACCTGTCCCCAAGGCCGCCCGGCGAGGGATCGGAGGGGGAATATGAATGGCTGAATAGAATGGAGAAATAGAGCAGAGCGATCCTTCACCGTCAATTGGGGGAAACGGGGACGTCGTAGTCGGGGTACACCCCCTGAGCGATGCAGCATATAAAAGCTACGGCGATCAGGGATTCTCCGATTCCCTGCAGTCGATAGAATTTCCCCTGTTTCGAGTCACGTTTCATCCTTGACACTTTGTTACTCCCATCTCCCATCTCTCAATCTCAACTTGAATTATAAACCCTTGGTTCTTTGCCACTCGATCAATTAGAATTCCACGGTTCCCGCGAAGTTTGGTACCTGACTTCCGCTCCACTTGGAGCCAAACCCGCCCACCGTTCAGGAGTTCGTCCCGCCCCCGGAATCTCGTCCTCGCACTTTCTTGACTCGGGCCACTTGCCAATCGCTCGGGTTTTCATTCTGCAAGCAGCCGCTGCCTCACCCCTTACTTTCTCGGACATGCGATGACTGCCTGAAACTCCCCCGTGCCTCGAATCACCCGGGCCTTCCGACCTTGTATCTGGGGCAAATCCGGCCCATCCCACTTGACGGGTCGCTTTTGGGCAACGGCAGCTGTACACGAGCCTTGGGCATTGTCGGTGCGTAATTCATGCTCTCTACCCAACCGAACACTCTACGACCGCCTCCGCGCTTCATTCTGCTTCTCCCTGAGTATTAATGACCGAAGACGAAACTCGAACTAACTCGGTCCGCCAGCGCGACGATGTCTTCACAGCGCGAAGTATATACCTCTCCTCCTCGGACACCTCCCTCTCAGACATCGACCGCGAAATATCGACCCAAACGGGGGCATGCCCGACCTTCCATTCGCGAAGCTTTCCCGGACGCGGCCGTTGATGCGCCGCGAGCCAGCGAGTCCGGAGACGATCGAGATCCCCACGACCTGTCTCTATCTCCCAACCATGCCGTTCGCACGTCAATCGTGGACAATATGCTTCTCTCCCTCGACCAGTTTGGCGCCCCCGATTCTATGTTAGACGACTATCGTCTCTTCAACTCGGCCTTTGAGAATGAAATGAACGGCCGGTATCGCGGTCATACCTTTTCTTCGTCTCCGGTGTCCTCAGAAGCGGACTATGGATTTGAGGATGGCAGTGGTCGCTATGCAACAATTACGGCCACCAAGGGCCGTCGAAGCAACAGCAGCTCTAATTACCAAACAGGCACCCTGCAGAGGAGAGTCAGCAGTGCCCGCAGTCGGGACGCCGTGGGCTCTCGGAGTGGAATGGTGCCAAGGCCCGGCGACGCTCGGAAAGGCAGTAAAGGCAGTTCGTCTGATTATACCTACACGGTGCCTAGGGGGCGAGCAGACTCGGGGGGCGTGAGTCGGCGCTCGGAAAGTTTTGACTGCGGCCCTAAGAAGTACAACATTTGGGCTGAGCCCAATATAGCGCAGGATTCGCTACTATACGATGACGAGGCGGCACCAACCCCCAGCGTGCCAGCGGGACCGCGCAAAATCCATGACTATGGCCGAACTCCTACAGCTGCTGCATCGAAGACCCCCGTGGCATCGCGGCGAAACAGCATGAAATTGAATCACGCTCCTCCCCCTCAGGTCCGAAAGGCTCGCCCAGACAACATTGGCACTGGAGCTCTCAAGATGGGAGATGGTGACCATCATCTACACCGTGACACAGATCTCGATCCTCCTCCAGCCATCCCGGCATCATTGGATCCGCCTGCTCCGAGTCCGACTATCTCCTATAACAAGCCGGCATTTCCTCACCCGGAACCGACAGCTACGGTTACAACTACCACAATCAGCGCGAACCCCAACACAATTTCAAACGCGAACACCAAAGAGCGCCCGGGATTTTTCCGTCGTGTTTTTGGCTCAGGCAAGGCTGCCTCGCCGAGCCCAGGAGAATCCAGCTCGAATGTGAACGATCTATCTTATCTGCAAGATAACGAAATCAAGGATTCTTCGGGTGCGACTGCCAACTTGAAGCTGCGAAAGGAGCAGCCTCCCAAGAGCTCAGCTGGCACACCTACCAAACGCGATGGGCCTCCTCAGGTAGTGCGGCAAAAGTCATCGTTCTTCCGCCGGCGTAAGAAGTCCGTGACTGACAGCAACGTTCCTCTGCCGATTGTTCTACCGCAGGAGCTTGCGTCCCACATGATGGATTCCATGAAACCAGAGCCGAGTCCGGTGAGCAGTCTGCGGCAGGTCATGAATCCGTACCTTGATAGTGTTCCTGGGAACCGAGAAGCTAGGGAAACCCGCGACGGACAGGCACAGGTCCGCGAATCTGTTTCTCTGCAGGCCCAAAGGCCAAGAGAAAGTGTCTCGGCTCCAGGAGGAAACCCAAAGGCTAAGCAGCAAAATCTGCAGCCTCCCAGCTCTGTTCGTTCGCCACCGATCGATGGCCGTGGCCCTAATGATCACACCCTGGGAGCGGGAGAGGTGGAGCCTACCGCATCCACCGATTCCCCCTTGCAGGTGAAGAGCTCGAATGCTGCCCCCGCCGCTCTGTCACCTGTCGTTGAGGGTTTCTCTCGCAATCTGAAAGTATCGACCAAGGTAACGTCCGCGGATGCCTCTCGCGATAGCTTGACAGAAACCAGCAAGTTGGCAATTCCATCCGATAGCAACGTTCTTGAATCCCCTGCCGCCTCGGAGACCTCTCACTATCAAACTGCGTTCAACACTCCAGTGATTGAAACAGAGGAGCCGGAAGCAATTGACGACCCCGAAGATAAGATGGACGGACCGGGCGAAGCTATCGAGGATGGAGCTACCCCGACTGACCGAGAGCAAGCCCAAAAGCTTTTTGATAATCAAGACCAGGTGGGGGGCAATGAGCCGGCAGCTGCTTGGCTTGGTGATCCTGATCGGGCTACGATCCGGGAAGCTTACATGCGACTGTTCAACTGGTCAAATCTCAATATCTTGGCCGCTCTGCGTAGCCTTTGTGAACGTTTAGTTCTGAAGGGAGAAACACAGCAAGTGGACCGAGTTTTGGATGCTTTCTCAAGCCGATGGTGCGATTGCAACCCGAGTCACGGGTTCAAAGCTACTGGTAAGTTAGACCTTTCGGTATCTTTGACTTGAATATTGCTCTAACAGCGCACTAGATGTTGTTCACACCATCTGTTACTCCATACTCCTGTTGAATACCGACCTGCATCTGGCCGACATCGACCAGAAGATGACCAAGTCGCAATTTGTTCGAAACACGATGCCTACAATTCATCGCGTAGCAATGGACGCCGCCCCGGAGGGATTCGAAACATTGCGACCCACCAACCGATCCAAGACTGCGACTACTGGTTCGGATTCGACACCTTCAGCACCCAGCTCTGCTCGTTCGCCAACGTTCCCCGGGGATGTCAGCCGTAGCTCATTGGATAATGCGGCTGAGGGCGATGCCGGTCCGTTGGTCAACAACCCCTTTATTGGCACTGTCAGAGCTTGGGAACAACAGGTAGAAGCTGTCCTAAAGGATTTCTATACCTCCATTCAAAAGGAGAGGCTTCCTCTTCATGGCGCACAGCCAGAGAAAGAGGTTTCTCGTATGGCTTCTAGCAACTTCCTGGGGCCTTCCACAAGTACCCTTCGCAGGAGTCCCAGCACCATCAGCAAGAGCGGATCGGACATCTTCCCCCGTGGTCGGTCATCTGATTCTCGTCACGGAGCTGCAAGATGGTCATCCAAGCCACGTTCTCGCGGGGCGAGGCTCTATCCCTCATCCATTATGGGCTCCAGCCGAACTAGTCTGGATGACCAGTCTTCTGTCTGGAGTCCCACCGCGTCGAGCACATGGAGTAAGTACTCGTTGAGTAAATTCACATCCGCCTCTGTGGACTCCTTCGGGTCCGATTTCCCTCGGGGGGATTACCAGCAGTCTATTGGTTTTGCCAATGCGCTGAGCCAGGCAATCATCCGTGAAGATTCTGCGACCTCGATCTACAGCTATGATGAACCGGAGCGGACAACACCCCTTCTCGAGGATGAGACCCTGGCTCTGGCCGGTGCCCCTTGGGCCAAGGAAGGAAGCGTCAAGCACAAGCATCACCTGGATGCAGTGGACAAGCGTGCTAGGGATCGCAATTGGAACGAATGTTTCGCTGTCATCCAGCAAGGTTGGATGCGGCTGTTCTCGTTCTCGAACGCATCCAAGTCCATGCGCCAGAAAGCGAAGCAGCGCGGAGGGGTTGTGGTTGGCGGCGGCAACTGGACGGAGAATGCCGAGGAGATCTGGAAATTCATGCTTCGCCAGACAATTGCCAGCGCTCTTCCACCTCCTGGATATTCCAAATCTCGCCCTCATGTTTGGGCCTTGAGTTTGCCCACTGGCGCAGTCCATCTCTTCCAAGCTGGCACGCCTGAAATTGTGCGTGAATTCGTCTCCACGGCAAACTACTGGAGCGCACGACTCTCCAAGGAGCCTCTTGTTGGAGGTATTAGCAACATTGAATATGGCTGGAGCGATTCAGTCATCAACAGCGCCCTGGTGGGTGGTGAAAACCGATCCCCGCCGCCTTCTTCGGGGGCACACCGACCCAGCATCCAGAGCTCGATCCGAAGCTCTATCGATCAGCAGAGCGTGCGACCGAAGCTCCCCGCGGACCGGGTCAACATCAGTGACTGGAGTCCTCCGCAGCAGAGCATGGTGGCCTCCAACCTGACCGAAGAGGACCAGCTGAAGAAGCTGCAGGCGTACGTCAAGAACGTCGAAGATGATCTCCAGAGACACAATGAGCTGCGTTCTGCAATGACACTGGCCTTTTCGCCACGCCACCCCAACTCTGCGAAGGCAATGGCCAACTGGGAGCGGAAATCGTCGTACCTGTTGCGCGAGATCGTTAAGTTCCGCACCTACATCGACTCCCTCCGTAACGCAATCAACCAGAAGGACAAGATTCATGCTTCGCCCAACAACTACTTCAAACCTCCTGCCGACGACGCCACGAAACCCGAGCAGGCTACTACCACTGCTTAATATGCACCGTATATTCTCTTTCCCTCCTCTTTCTCTTCTTTTTTTTTTTGCAGGCCGTTGTATATACCCTCCAGGCTGTGGGAGCCTGGCATACATACTTTCAAAAGCGATTGGTCGGCTTCTTCCCATGTTTGCTGTATATCTTCCCTTATTTTTCTTTCTCGGTATCTTTTGTCTTGCCCGGATTACTTTGTTTTTAATGCTAGGGACTACGATGCGACTGATGATATGGATACCATGATTCTTTTTGTTAAATGCAATGTCAATGAGAAATTTTCCTTGTTTTAAAGGGGTATAGAGATATAGTAAACAGTACTAAAGTAAAGGTAAAACAATAGGGATGAGTGGTAAGAACTTCTACTATGTGATGTGCAGTGGCAATAGCCCGTTCGAGGGTGTGCCTGGCCGTGCCGATACTGCCGCCTGCCACCCCTGGCACGCTGTACCCTGGTACATCCCTGACAAGAGAAGGGGAGAGCTCCTGTTCCTCTGGTGTCTCAGCATTTGACACATCGACCTTCGACCTGCATCCAATGAGAGCTATCAACCAGTCCTGCACTGGGCCGCACTCATTTGCCAATCGCGGTGGGTAAACTGGGTGGAGACCCAAAACACGCCTGGGGCGTCACCATGTCGACCAGGGCGAGAGCCCCAGTTGCGACACCTCCGATCATCACAGGCTCGCCTTCGGTGCGCACCTCCCACTGCGAATCTGGCGCGTTCCATACCCCAGAAACACTCTCGCCCCTGGATGCCGATTTAAGCGCTTCAGACTTCTTCATGGCCGACGACGCGCGGAGGCTCGTCTCCCCGAGTATCGACGACTCCATAACACACCCCGAACACGACGCGCACGAAACCACAGCACCCTCGGACAACGGGGAGAAATATGAGCACGAGGCGACCGCCACTGACTTACAGGGCCCAGAAGATCACAGTATCCTGCCCCCCTTGACCGACCGCGACGATGACAGTTTATTTCCCTTGTCCGAAAATGGCGACCATGAGCGCGGGAACAACCAGACGCTCATTGAGGAGCGCGAGATGCGCCGGAAGCTGATGGACATGGAATCGAGCTTTTTGCCGGAGCCCTCGACCATTGACGTTGCCGCGACTGGCCCCACGGCCGGCGCAGATGATACTTACCTGGTTGGAGTTGGTGGTGACTACGAAGCCGACTTGACACAGCAGACCGAGTCTTCTCAGTTCTCTTTCATACCGCCGTCGGAGACCTACCATGATCGAGAACAGAATCAAGATGGCTCCACCGAGGGAACAGAGCATGCGCATTATGACACTACGCCGGGCGCACATGCGCAACAAGAACAAGATAATGATACAACATTTGATACCCTCGCATCATCACCTACAGCATCGGCCGCGGCTCGATCTGCATATCGCAATCAATCTACTCTCTCCGAAAATGTTCCTGACAGCAACCAGGTTTTGCAGGATGAGCGGCCTTTCAGATCCCAAATGTCCCAATCAGATAACGAGTCACAACTCACGCCCTCTAAACTCCGTCACACATCTCCCAGCCCGTCCCCGGGCCCTTCGAGGCTATTCAGTGATCAGAGCGGTAGCGCTGGAGCTAGTCTCTCCCGAAAAGGAAGCCGGCCCAAATACTTGACCAGTCGCCAGTCCGCCCACCGTCTCTCACACTCTTCGGCTGCAAGTAATAACACTGAAACTACAAACAGCGATGCGACACTGGGTGCCGACTTCGCGCTCCAGTCTGGAGGAGCAACGTCAGAGCACTGGGGCAGCTTCAATGCAGGATCTCTCAGCCACAAGACCCGGACGACTAGCCTCGGAAGTATGGCATCTGGCGTTTCAGGATATAGCGAGGAGAACTATCTGGAGAGGCGAAATGCCGTGCCAGGCGATGGTGGCCTTCAGACATTGGAAGAGGAAAGCTCGCCGAAGTCCTTACGACAACACTCAGGCTTCGATGAAATATCAGCCCCCGAAACACCAAAGGCCAGACCCCGGGACAGCTTTCCGACTGACACCGCAATTGCAGAGCGTGTCAAAGGCATTCAAGTTCCCACCAACTTCGTGCAACGGTTCCGAGAAGACTTTGGAAACACGGGACCCTCTCCAGAGAAGCGTGCTGGTGCTTCAACCCCGGCATTTGGCCGAAGTGGTCGTACGATGACTCTCAAGGAGCAGAGTAGTACCATTGATCGGCTCTCGAAGGAAAACTTTGATCTGAAGATGCGCATTCACTTCCTCAATGAGGCTCTGAACAAACGATCTGAAGAGGGCATAAAGGAAATGATCTCTGAAAACGTCGAACTCAAGTCGGACAAGCTGAAACTTCAAAAGGATAACCATGGGCTCAAGCGCAAGATTCGCGATTTGGAAAAACAAATGAAGGATCAACAATCTGACAAGGACTCCATGGTGAATCACGACCCCGAAGCATCGGAAGATGATCGGGACTCTGCGCAAGATGGAGAAATAGTGTTTTTGCGGGAACGCGTTGAAACGTATGAAGTCGAAATTGAGCGGTTGAGATCAGAAAGCATTGCCCGAGAGGCCGAGAAGCGACGGCTCGCTGAAATGGTCACCTCGCTGAGTGAAAACCGGGGAGGGTCAGATTCGGGCGCACGAGAAGAGAGGGTGAGTAAAAGAACCCGTTGCAGCTTATTCCAAGCTAACACATTGCGCAGAACATGTGGAAGGATATGTTGGATGCAGAGACAGCAGCTCGTGAACAAGCCGAAGAGGAGAACCGCAAACTACGGGATGAGACGCTTCGAGGTGCCCTGAATACATCCAGCAGCAGTCCACTCATGATGGAGCTTGAACTCTTGAAGCAAGAGAATGCAGAGTTGAGAAAGGAAGTCAGCGCACAAACTTCGATGCTCACATCTCGCAACCGAGAGAAGGAGCGTCTATACCAGGAGATTGAAGAGTTGAAGCTTGGTTCGCGGCGCGATGGCAGCCGATCTGTCGCCGGAGACAGCATTCTTGATCGCTCGGCGTCACGCGCTCAGATGCGGCCATCTTCTGAACACAGCGACGGGACTGGATCGCACGGTTACATGGATCGCGATGAACTGGAAGCCCGGAACGGACAGCTTCGTGACCAGTTGTCGACACTCAAGCTCGAGAACCAGGCCATTCGAGCCCAGCTTAACGACTATGTCAACGAACTAGACGAACTTGATAAGGCGTACCAGGCTGATGTTGACCAGGCCGAGGAGGAAATAACGAACCTGCAGCAGGAGCGAGACCAAGCCATGCAGGAGCGAGATCAGGCCATGCAAATGGCTGATGAGCGTGATTCTGCGTTCCAGGATCTTCGTGCCGAGGCGCAGGAGGAACTAGATGCTCTCGGCGAAGAGCTTGACCAGAAGATCGTTGAGTGTCAGCGCATGAACGAAGACCTGAGGAATCAAGATGAGAGCCTCAAGATTCTACAAGCAGAAATGCGTTCGGCCAGCGAAGGCATCATTCGCTTGGAGGAAGATGCGCAGAACAACCTTGAGAGATATAAGGCTGTGCAGCAGGAGCTGGAAGAAACCAATCGCGAGATGGAGGAACTGGAGAAGAGCCTATTCGAAGCCAATACCAAGGTTCAACGCTTGACCGTGCAGATCGAATCGAGCCAGAACGAGATTGCCTTCCTTCGGGAAGAACAAGATAGCGATAAGATCCGCATCGGTGATCTGGAGTCTGAATCGAAGATGTACCAGATGATTTTGCACAGCGAAAAGGAGAAGACCAGAGAGCTGGAGCAGCGGTTGGCAGACGAGCGACACCAACGTGAGGTTGTTGGAAGCAAGGAGAAGCAAGAGGTCCAACGGATCATGAATGAACTGAACCGTGAAGCCTCAGCAGCCAAGGAAGATGTTCGCAGGTTGAAGAAGAGCCTGTCCACTCAAGAGATCGAGACCACTACCTGGCGCGAACGTCTTATGGATCTCGAGAATAACCTCCGAGAGACCCTGGGAGATCTCAGCGGCAGCCGATCGAGTCTGATCTCCAACATCATGAAACTCCAAAAGGAGCTGGAGTCCACCGCCCTTGAATTGGAAAGCTTGCGGCAGCAATTCGATGAGAAGGACTCGTTGCTCCGAAACCGTGACGCTCTCCTGGAAAGTCATGGCTTGGAGTCCCGCAAGCTCTCCGAGCTGCTGGAGCGTGAGAGACAAGCTCGTCGGGCCGACAAGCAGTCCTTCGAACAATCTCTCAAGTCCCACCAGCAAGCGTCTCGCACCATCACCAACAACAATTCTCGCATTACCGAGCTGGAGAACGCTCGAAACCAGGATCGCAAGCGATTCGCATCCCTTGAGCAACAGTTCCGGGATCAACTGAGCGAGCGTAATACAATATTCCTTGCGATTTGGAAGAGACTGTCCTCGATCTGCGGGCCGGATTGGGCTCATTCGAACAGTCTGATCAATGGCAATCTTCCCAGCCAGGAAGTCATTGGCAACATTTTGTTTTGGCCCGGCTTCAGCCGCAATTTGTTGCTTGCTGTCAAGACCGTTGAGGGTGTAGTCAGCGGGTTCAAGAGCCGGATCAAGAGCATCGAACATGACCTGACCAAGCAATACTCAAACCTCGAGCATTCCTTCAATCAGCGAGCCCGGAGACTCGAGCGTGTTGAGGAGGCCGTCAAGAATATGCGGTCTGGAAGGGGCCACTCGATCTCTTCCTCGTCATCGGAAGCGGCCAAGTTGCGAGGCGAGAACCGGCTCTTGAAGGCCGAGATCAATCTCCTCCAGTCCAATACAAGGCCTCATGGGTCGGCCTCTGCGACAGCTGCGGCCGTGATGTCCCCGCGATCCCCATCCCTCGGTGGAACAGAGAATGCGGAGCGATCGTTGTCACGTCACAACTCCACATCTGGCGGGGATAGATCGCGCTCGGAGAGAACTCTCACACGCAGCTCCACGGGCCTGCCACAACCCTCTCACACCTCGTCAACCAGCACGTTGACCAACAATGCCGGGGCCATGACGCATCGCTCGCGCAGTGGAACGGCCAACTGGGAAGGCACCGATGACAAATGGGTTCATCGACTGCATGAGTTGGAGAGGCGGCTCAAGGCTGAACGAGAGGGTCGTCTTCTCGACCGCAATGGAGCGCGAAAGCGGCTGGAGGAGCGTGATGTCGAGAACCAGAGACTTCGCGATCAACTTCTGCGAGAACGCACACGGCGTGGCCCGTCTGGGACAATTACCCAGCCTCCGCATGGCCGTGTCCCGACCTCCGATGAAGGCCAGACCTCGAGTGAAGGGGAGGGCATCACGGTGGACATTGAAGTATGATGTGGTGACTCTTGCTTTGTTAACGCAGTTATGTCCGTGTACTATATACCCCTCCCCCCCCTCTGTCCCTGTTCTGCCTCTGTTTTCAGACCTGCATTCACTTCTCGGTATGTGTTAACTGGCGCTTATGTATGTGATGATCGAATCACGACGGTCATGGAAAAGGGGCGTTGAGCTAGATTTTGATCGATTTGTTTGTTCGTTTCCTACTGTATCTTTTATCTACATACATTTATGGGTTGATTCCCCCATATACAGATGCCTACCGCAGCGAGACCTTGAGAGAAAAGTCCACGATGCCAGTGCCCTGGTGAATAGAACTGGTCGACAGGATATCCACGTCCGGGCACGTATAAGCCGGCGCATTCTCCTCCGTCAACCCACCGCTGACCTCGATGAGGAACGCCCGACCCTTACCCGCCCACTCCTGCTTCAACTGGCGTGCAGCCTCGCGGACTCCCTCCGGCGTGAAGTTATCCAACATAATCACATCCGCTCCAGCACCAATCGCCGCATTCGCCTCCTCAACACTTCGACACTCAACCTCAACCTTAGTTGAGAAGCCACCCGTTGCCTTCGCAGCCTGCACCGCACGAGGAATAGCAGCGGCAATCGACGCAATCGACGAGACGTCCTTAACACCCCCATCCGCCGCAGCACGGTTATTCGCGCAAGCCCAGACATGGTTATCCTTGAGCATAGTCATGGAACTCAAATCGTGGCGGTGGGGATCGGCACCACCGACAAGAATACCGTACTTCTCAACGATGCGGAAACCCGGTGTAGTCTTGCGGGTTCCAGCCAGGATACCCTGCCAGCCCTGGGCGCGGAGCGCGGCGAGCATGCTAGCGGACTTGGAGGCGATGCCGGAGCAGCGGGCGAGAATGTTTAGGGCGACGCGCTCGCCGAGGAGGATCTTGCGGATTGGGCCGCGGACGGTGGCGCAGTGTTGGACAGGGCTGAGAGTGTCGCCTTCTTTGACGTGCCACTCGGTGCTGTACCGTGTCAGATATGGGAAGTCTGTAGTAAGTAATAAAGTTGATTGACATACGTGCAACCCAGTTGCGAGAAGACCTCATCGAAGAAGGGAACACCTGCCACGATGCCCTGCGCATGATCAGCATGCTGCCTACACGATCTGGGTTTGATCAAACTCACATTGCTCTTCCCCAATAACCGGGCCTCGCCGTCAGACTCGCCGACGACGAAGCCGCCGTAGTCCATACTGGGACAGTCCTCCTCGAGCCATTCGGAGATGAGGCGCTTGTAATTGCCCGGCAGAAGATGCCGTAGGTCTCCGTGTGCTGCAGCCATGATGTGTACAATTGAATTGAATTGAATTTCAAGTGGGGGAGGAACAGGAAGCAGCAGCCCGCAGTTCTCCCCGCGTGGGGTCGGGGGGTTCCGGACGGTCACGTGGTGATATGGATTCCGTTCGGGGCTTTGCGGATGTGTTGATATAGTTACGAGGTTTATGTAGTAGCGATGAGAGACACGATGCTTTTTTGACTTGGCTAGTATCCCAAAACCATATAGTTACTGCAGGTTCTGTAGCAGCGGGAGTGAGATTGACGTCGGTATCCAGAAGTATGGCCCGATAAGAAGAGGAAAAAGATCCAGAAACAGATCCAGGAACTGGTCCGATAAGCTAACGATTCATTTCAAGACTTGATGAGTCTAGAAGGAGATGCTAGCCTTGGTATAACAAGCGCAGAATAACTTCTGGCCGAGAGAATAGTATTGATGACGCATCTAGTCACGCTGTGACGTACCAAGCACACTGCCGAGGTTTGTTTTTCATCGAGTACTCCAAGAGTCTACAAGACCTCGGGAGTAGTTGTACCCAGTATCAGCAAATAATACGATACACTGATACGCATACAGTGACACAGCAAAAGTATTAACACCCCCCTAGACCCACCCCCCCTTATTACCTAATATTCTGCCGGCCTAAAACTCCATGAATTTCTATCTAGTAGGGCGTATACCAGCCCTGGCTCTCAATAATAGCTTCCACCCGGTGCGGCATCGTCTCAGATAGATGCGTTAGGTGCTGTATTTCTAGTTCTTCCCATGCTATCTGTGCTGTCTCCACTAGAATAGCGTAGGACGCGCTATTATTACGCATATCAATAAGATCCGGCCGTAACTCATAGATTTTAGCCTTCAAGAGCGCCCATAGGTTCTCAATAGGGTTTAAATCAGGCGAATGAGGCGGCCATTCCATTACCTCAATTCCTAGCTCGCGTAGAGTATCGCGGACAACGTGTGCAGTATGTGTAGGCGCATTATCATGCTGAAAGATACCACCCTCATGATTCATTAATGTAGGCAGCATTCGGAGATATAAATCTCGAATAATAAAGCGATCAACGCCTCCGCGAGGTGCTTCAGGGTTTCCAAATAGAGGGATAAGGCCAGTGCGTCGTGTGCTGCCAGAAAAAGCCCCCCAAAACATCTGCTTAACTTGGTTTCCTTTTATAGGAAGACCTTGACATTGTCTCTCCTTAGGCTGATCTCGAGGGCGAATAAAAGTCCATTCACGACGAACACTAATACCGCGCTCAATTGTACATTCGTCAGACCAATAGACACGAGCCCAATCTTCAGCAATAAAGTGTCGATAGCGATGCGCCCATTGAAGCCGTTTTAGCGCATTTTGTTCGGTCAAATAGGGCCGCCAGCTACAGCGCCACTTTCGCATATTCTCGGCGTTTAAAAGGCGTCGGATCGAGTCATATTTAACCAAAAATTTAGGTCAGTAAGCATTTAAAACTAAAGGAATATAGCTAACCTTATTCGACACATTTGCAAGCAAATCAACGCGGGTAATCTTAGGATTTTCCTCAATAGCGTTTAACAAACGCTCACGATCAGCTTCATCAAGCTTCCGTGGGCGTCCAGAGCGTGGTTTAGAGACACCATCGAGTCGTTCGCGGTCCTTTTTAATAGTATAGCGTATACTAGAAAGAGAGACCCAAGGATAGCGCTTTTGAATACGTTTATAGCCCCATCCCGCAGCTTGGGACAGCTCACATATACGCTCACGTAGCGCAGGTGTCAATTCAGACCGCGGTGCCATAATAGATAGCAAAATAAGGAGATTCAGGAGGTATAAACAGAATAACGCGCAAAAACGCGAGATTATTGAGCTACTACTAGCGTGTTCCTAGGTAGGCGGTGAGAGGGCGGTGTAGGCGTGGGTCCAGGGGGGTGTTAATACTTTTGCTGCGTCACTGTATCTTTTAATATGCACAGATATATGCAGACCAATCGAAAATACAAAGCACAACTCATAACCAGCTTCCAAGTTAAACGGTATAAACCATGTAAATCTAGCCCACTCGGCTTCACGCCCCCTCACAAACCAATAATTGCGCAACTAATAGCAATAATCAACACCTAGCCCCTGGGAACACCCCTAAACACGACTCATTGCCCAAAGTAGGGACCAAGCTAAGTAAGCGGCACGAAACAGGCAACTCGGCATCCGAGCGGCACGCTATTCGCAACTATAAACCCCCATCGCACGATCGACAAGATCCGCACGATGGGAACCCAAAATGCCTCAAAAGGGAGTTTCCAACTAGCGCCCAGTGTCAACGCCGGACACGGGATCTCCAAGTCCTTTCCAACCAAACCACTAGTGCATTACTATGCTAACTCCGTAACTCGGCACAAAGGCTCCGAAAAGGTTCCGGGAAAACGGCAGGGCGGCACAAGACACTAATCCAGTAGAGGAATCTCTTGGCTTAGGAAGTCAGGGTGGGAACCGGGACTGCATCCGTATTTGCCGAGTTCTCGAACCATCCTGGAAGGTTTTCTGAGGGTGGCGCAGGGGCTGGGCTGGGTGGGTTCAGGTTCTGGGCAAAGTCAAGTTTTCACGCGAGAATCGATCCGGTCTGATATCCACTTCTTTGCAGAATGGAGCTCAATCGTGGACTTCTGAATCGTGAATATGTCTTCTTCGGAAGCACCGAAGACTGGGGTGTTTTCCCAAAATCGAGTTTTTCTTTCTTTTCTGGCTCTTGGATGAGATTCCGTCCTATCAGGTTATGTCTACAAGGTACATGAGGATATTTGCATAAAGAGGGTTGAATCGGGGACTCGGCACGACGAAGGTAAATTGACGGGCTGCCGAGACAGTAACCGCGGATCGGCGTTGTCAGGGAACCAAAGTCCTGTCAGCTCGGCGAAGCGGGAATTCAAGCTGAAAGTCGCCGAGGCAGGTACCATTCTACTTTGGGGCCTGGGCATTATTCTAGAACACTTGGAAAGGTAACGAACATTTCAAGACCCCACTCGTGCTGTATCCATGCCTCAGGCCGGTTATCAATGGTAAATCTATGGAGATCGGACCCAACACTCGGATATAACTCGGCGATCGTAATTACTCCTTCCAAGCCTTGTACACATTCTTGCAGCCAAAGACCTGACCCTTTTTCAAGAGCACCATGTTGCGCCACTCGGGCTCGTTGATCGCATTCACGTAACGACTGGGCTCAACGCAGAACCCGGCGCCCTCGGTGTGCGCCGGGGCACCATCGATCGCCGGCACGTCGATGTACTTGCCGGTGTAGAACTGGAACGCGGGCTCGGTGCTGTGTACCTCGAGGTGCAGACCGGTGTTTGCGTTGCTGAACTGAGCCAGCCGGCGCACGGGCAGGCCGCGCGTGTCGAGCGGGATCTTGGACGGGTCGGTCTCCATGACGAAGACGTCGTCGATGTGCGCACCCGTTGCGGTCAGCTCGAAGGGCTCGGTGACCTCGCGGGGGAACTTATCAATCTTGCCATGCGGGATGCCGGTGTCGTCTAGGGGCAGGTATTCCCGGGTAGCCAGCTGGGCGGTGGTGCCAGAGATGGTGGGGCCGTCGCCGATGTTGAAGTAGCTGGAATGAGCGTGAGCATGAGCATGAGCATGATGGGGCCCGTTGAAGTGGCTGACTCCTCCCGGGGGAAAAAAGCTTACCTGTGGTTGGTGATGTTGACAGCCGTCTCCTCGCACTCATCACCGACAAACTCCACCTCGTACTCAGCCGTCAGGACCGTCTTGGCCTCGCCCTCCTTACTGGCGGTGTACCAGACGCGCACCTCGACGGTACCGGGGTATCCCTCCTCCCCATCGACGTGGCGGTACTTGAAAAGCAGAGCGTCGCGGCCATGACGCTTGACGTGGTGGGGTCCATCGAACACGCGCTTACCCCAGCCCTTTTCACCACCGTGCAGGGCATTGGGACCATTATTCTTCGTGAGCTGGTACTCTTTACCGTTCAAGCTGTGAATGAGGCCGTTCTTGATACGGTTGGCGACGCGACCGATCGTGGCGCCGTAGTGCGGGGTGTTGTACTTCTCATAGTGGTCTTGAGTGGGGAAGCCCAGGACGATGTTCTTGCCGCCAACGCGGAACTCCTGGATGATGGCACCCAGGGGCAGGAAGGTGAACTCGGCCTGTTCGGGAGCGGACATGGCTGTGATCTGGGGGAGAATTCGTGGAGTCGTGGAGTTGAAAGTGGGATGGGGATTTAAGGATCTGCCATGACGTCCAGACCCCGCATTAGGACGGAATCGTCCACCGGTAGGGTAAATTGAGAAAGCAGTTGAGGCAACTGAAAAATGGTGTTCGGTGTTTAGGCTAAACAGTAGTACCTTGACGGTTACTTAGGGTTGGGATTTCCCGTGACGGTTGATTCTTTGAGCCTGACAGCCTCGTGGCCTCTTCAGGCTGCCAGGCCATCAGGCCGCCAGGCACGCATCCCCTTCCGATACGTAAGCGGAGTCTCAGTTGACGGGAAAGTTAACGGTAAAGTTAACTGTACAGAAAACGGTACGCCTAGAATCCCAACGGGGCAAAGATACTCCCAGCATAAAAGTGAATCTGCGGGTTTAGGATAACAGACATCCGTCTCGGAGACAACCCAGTTCCGGTCGCCGAAAGGACTAAAACTACCCCGGACTTGGCGCGCACGGTCTCTCCGTGTGCACGGTGACTTGACCGAGCTGAGGCTGTGAAGGCGAGGCTGTGCCTGAACTTAGTTCACAACAGTAGAGATGGCAGTGCGAGCTAACTAGTGCTTTATTGAAATCTATCGATGCCCGGAAAATCGAAACCCGCGGGCCATTTGGCCCAACGCGGCAAATCGGCAAACGGCCGACTGAAATACTGAAACCAGTGGATCCCAGTGAGAAAACAGGGCTCACGTAAGGAGGTCGCCCCGTTCTCCACCACCGTTCCGCTTCATCATGGATCGGTTTTAGGTTGGAATTCGGGAATTGTAGGAAACGTTGGAAATCAGAAGTCAGCGATCGCAAATCAGTCCATAGAGCTCGAACGGGACCGAAGAACCAAGGAATGAACGCCAAGCTCGTACCGTCAAATGGTGTTCGGGATTACGGGGCCTAACTCCGCGCTTACGAGTTCTGTTGCATTAGTCAGGTGGAGTCGAGACCAGTTCGGCTCCGATGTTGCAGTGTGCAGTGTCTGTCAGAGTCAGCGTCCAAGGCGAAAGGCAAGGGGATGTGAGATGTGTGAGAAGAAAGGTTTCGATTGAATTAAGCCGTTTGAACGCCTCTCCGTTTTGTCCCCAACGCCAGCAGTAAAGAAGAAACTCGAGCCCAACTCTGTACAGGATGAATTAGGATCCCAATTGCTCTCGAATCCAAAAGTGGGGGATAATAGCTCCAACCCCAAAGACAGTAATGAACCTCTCCCAGAACAAAAAAAAAGAAAGAAAGAAAGAACATGTATAGTATACATGCATCACGTCATACGGCGTTAAGATTTTCGAACAAGATTTTCGAACCAAAAATGGAAGGCGAGGCTTAAACCGAAGTGATCTCCGTCGGGTTTGGATTCAAGAACTGATTGAAGTCGTCGTAGTCATTGCCGACACAGTTCATAGGCATCTGGCGATTAAACATGGGCGAAGACATGGGTTCGTCGAAGGACAGATTGGCGTAATCGGAGCCGGACATCATCATATCCATGTCGTCGAAGGAGCTGAATCCACCGTTCGGCCACTGCTGCCCACCCTGTAGAGCCAGTGGGTTGACGACGCCTTGCATGGGCAGACCGTTGTGCATAAATTGGGGGTTGCTGGGCATGGATTCCTGCTTGACGCGGGCATTGCTCGTTGGGCTGTAAGCCGGCGGGGTGGGCGGCATGGTCTGGGTCTGCGAGAAGGCGTCGGAAGAGAATCGAGTACGAGCAACGGGGCTCTGCGGGCTCTCGGTCCCATCAGAGGATTCCTGGCGCTGCATGCCGTTCCGCCACAGATCGTGCTGCATGGTGTCGGGGTTGTCCTCGAAACGCTCACCCTTGGTGTGGTCGAGGGCGCCGAGACGAGTAAGAAGGTCGTGGGTGAGCGGGTGGCCGTTGGGCTCGGTCTTCAAACGCTCACCGGGCCATCCTTCGCCCTCGGTGGTTCGTCGGTAGAGTTCCTGGAGGCCGTGCACCAGCCAGACTTGTTGTTGCTCGAGCATCTCAACGTATCTATAATCGGCGGGAGTCAGCTTATGTGTCCGGATAAGTTTGTCGACAGTGCCAGCTCACCCCTTAGGGTACACTTTATCGTGGGCCTTCTTTCGCTCTCCGAAAACGCAGACGGCATTATCTGCACGACAGCGCGAGCACGGGCTTGCTCCGTCACACTTGTTCGGTCAGTGTATGGGACGATGCGCCCGCCGCAGTGCCACATACCTTGGACTTTTTCAGGCGACAGCGATCGCAGGCCTTGCAGACACGCTTGCGAACATTGTCGGAGTGCGAGTGATCGGAACCTGGTGTTGATTGTCGTGCTGCCATAATGTGTGTTGTGTATGGGAGGAGGGGGAGGAGGAGGAAGGATAGAAGAATAGAATAGAGTACAGCAATCGCAGGTATTTCCAGAGCAAAGCTATACTTCCAAATCCGGAGGGTGCACAGAGAAACGACGTCAACCACCACGATCTTATGATGTCGTGACGAAAAGAGGATTGAGTTTGTAATTCCAGGTGTAACCAAGTTTGGTGGTAGAGTAGTGGGATGGTAGAGTATTGTGCAGGGCCCAAGGATCATATAATCAGTCTTTCAGTCCAGAGGGAGGGGGGGGGACTAGGGCGCTTTTTTAATTTATTCTTTTATTTTAATATTTTTTTTTCGAGGAATTTTAAGGCATATCTACTCTTGTACGAGCATGCGATCGGATCGAATCATAACATGTGTATGCGGGCTCCACCGTAAGATGATCACAGGGCCCCGTTTTATGAAATCTCTCACTGATTACACTATCCCCGGGTGGGGACCGCGAAAGGATGACTCGGCATTTCGCGCGAAAAACGGAGAACGGAGCATCCATCGGCCTTCGGAGACTTCTGAAGCGCCCTGACGTATATCCGGCTGGACTGCATTTCCAGCCACTCAAATGGGAAAAAATGATTTTAAATTTGGAAAATCAGTCTAATGAATCATTATGATTCCCCTTTCAGGGGCAGTTTGAATACGTTACTAATCATAGACTTCTCCCACCTTGACACGTTACACCTGGAAGGGAAATGCATAATTACTAACGTAGTGCGCACGGAGTCCTGTATAAGCGCTTGATCCGTCCGGCAAGCCTTTTCCGTGACTGCAGACAAGTCGAAGAGTACGAACACGAGCTAGCAGCAGGCAGTCGGATCGCCCTTCCAGGATCATGTCACGAATAGTCGTGATTCATGACACCCTTCTTTCCAATCGACGTTGAGTGGCTTCGGACTTTCGTGTGGCAGTAATCGACCCGCCGGAAACAGTCATGACGTGACCGTCTCGGCATCAAAGAAACCATCGAACTTTCTATAGTGGCACTTGACTTCTCGTATAACTGAGTCTAATCATATTGTGCTGATTACTCTGGAATTGGGGTGGGTTCTATGTAATTCTGATCAAGCACCTCATTAAGCAGCGACGATCTGCCGGCCCAGCCCAGCCCAGCCCTAGTTTCTGTAATTCTTCATGAACTACGGGTACTACCTGAATAAAGTAATCTACATGAACTACAAGCTTGGAAGTACATTCAGGTACGATGGCTCGGCGACTACGACTTACTAGGTAGCATCTCCCTGGGCTATGACCTCATCTGAAGCGGGAAGCTTGATCTCGGGATTTACTATCACCACATCTGGCAATCCTGTTTAAGGCAACTTGCTTCCCCCCCCCCCAATTGAAGAGACCCCAGACCGCGGTCGCTCTACGTGCCTGAATGTCACGTAAACCGTGGGTTCTGGTCCCCAGGCCCAGGCGCAGCTCTTTTGAGTATCCCGGAGGCCCATTCCGCGGCCTTTGGCCCAGCCGATTCCATGTTTTGCATCTTCGTCGCCGACCGAGGTAGTCAACTGTCTACCCAAGTTCTCTATTTGTACGTCCCGAGTGTTGCAAAAGGGGTATATATGAAGCACGACTATATCACATTATACACAGTTCAACACCAGCAGCATAGCCGGCGGCACAGACGCCCTCGCGGCTCATCGTCCTCGGGGTTCGGCACGCTCTGTTTCGGTTCCTCGATCGCTTCTTTTTTACATTCCTGTATATCAGCCGTGATCTCGGTCAATTTTCGGTCCTTCCCAAATGCGAAAAACCGACTTGGCCGAAACCGAGCCCCGCGCCCAACGATACTGGCGTCCGCAGTGGTCGGTGGCAGCGCTGTTGTGTGAACTGAATGTCCAGCTCGCGACGGCGGTCGCAGTGCACTCACAACCGGCTGATAGTGAACTCGGCGCGCCTCGACTACGCGACGGATCAAATCTGTTTACCCTCGTCAGCAGCAGTCACAGCCCCCCAGCAAGCGGACACTCTTACGAGCAAACGTCTCCTCGATATTGACCATCTCGCGCGCGCTGGTCTCCATGAACCCGCAGCCATTCTTGCGCGCATATTCCAGCCCTTGTCGGGATGTGACTGCGCGTGCATCTTTCAGATCGCACTTGTTGCCCGCAACGATCTTCACCGGCGGCGGGAGGCCGACCGGGGTTACTGCAGCGCCGGCACCGAGTTCCCTTCGTAGTCGCTGGTTGTCCTCGACGCGCTGTTCAGCTTCCATGTTGATCATATCCATGAAGTAGTTCAGGGTCTCCAGGCTCGAGGGGTTCGTAATGTCGTAGACCAGCAGAAACGCGTCCGATTTCACAGTGGATGCCGTCCATAGCCCGCGATATTCCTCCTGGCCTGCTGTATCGGTGATCGAAAGGAAGTACGGGAGACCATCGACCGTCCGGGTGACCGAGTACGAGTCCTCTGTGTTATGCGCATTAGAGAAGGGGCGCGCGCCCGTGCTTTCAGGGGGTTGGTACCGATAGTAGGGTCATATCTGGATGTGAATGCCCTGTCAGCGCCTATGCAATCCAATTGAAGGGGGAGGAAGCGTACTCGTGAATCCATTGACTACGGACCAGCCGTAGGGTGATGGATGATTTGCCTATTCCCCGATCTGATCAGATCTCGATCGCGAATGATCCCGCTGCGATGGCACCGAATCACGGTCTCTCGATGTTCCCAGCAGAAGAGAAAAGGTTGAAAAGAAGGTTGCATTAACGTACCGCACCCGCCGTCGCCGCAGATGGTGATTGAGATCTTGTCTGCCATCGGGTGGCCGAGCTGTCCACGATGCGCGGTACCTCGAGGTCGGCGGGAGGACACGGACGAGGGAAGCGAAAAGGCCCGGGCTAGAATCAAAAGTACGAAATGGAAAAGAGGGGTTGTACAAGGTAGCAATGGAAGACTTGAGATGTGTTGAAGAGAGATGGAGAGTCGGGTGCAGCCCCCGTTTATGATGACCAGAAAGATCACGAACCATCTCTACTTCTCATACTTTTACCCCTTACACTGTTCCAACTGAATTCGGCGGTTTCTGTCTCTTTTCTCGCACAAAGTTCAATATTTTGCAGTATACTCGTATACTTCCCTACGTACGGGTGGGCCGCTCCCATGGCAATTTGTGATAGATCATATCCTCTACCCGCCCGCATCCATTTGATCTCTCCATCAGGGTCAAATAACCCGGCGGGATTGCAGCTTTCACGGTGAAAAAGCACATGAAACAAAGCAGCCCGAACGAGATCAGACATTCTCGATTGCCCACAGCACCATTGCAACGTCCGGGGAGTCCTCAAACACGGGATGAACCAACCTGTCATCGGTCTCGTTGGTCGCTCATTGGCCCCGAGTTGCGAGCCGGCGGGGTCCACAATGACATCGGGGATGTTTGTACTTTTTGAGAAAAGAGGAGAGCGACGGGGGGGGAGGTTGGAGGCGCTTTCTTTCCCTCCTCTTCACCAGTCCATAATCCACTCCGGGATCTGATGCTGAATAGTGCTTCGGGTCTCCCAAGGTTCCCTCCCCCTTTGGCCTCATAGAGTCGTCCACAAGTGGAGTCCCCGTGGCTGAGAATACTGGATTCCGCTCCGTTGGTCCCTACTTCCCGGGGATCTGGAACTCGTCCGGGCTTTGCATTCTGGACCCCACGCAGGCCGAGGCCTATTTCCCTCTATTCCTAGGGACATGGCGAACCCTATGAATAACTACTCTGGGAACTACTCTACCGGTCATCGTGATGATGACTTGCAGGACCCAAACGATGGCGACGCGTCACAGATTCCTCACGATCCCTCCTTGATGGGGTTCGCCAACAACTATGCCTTCAACGCCTTGCTACGCCAGGAGGGCGACCTGCCTCTGCAGTCCTTTGACCGACCCGGACCACCCCAGGGTGACTTGGAAGGCCGTCTTTCCAATGTGATGCTAACCTACGACACTGACCCGAGCGGCGGGGTATCTCTGCCCATGAACCTGGATCCAAGCCACGCCTTCGCCTTCGACGTGCCCACCACCTACCCCGCGACATCCATGGGACTCACCCCTTCACTGGACCATTCTCAACTTCACAACTTTTCGCCCTTCCTACAGTCTCTGCCCCAGACTGACCAGTATCTTCAGCACCCCACCGTACCTCAAGCCCGCAAGGATACCTACAATACCAGCACCAACTCCACGGGAAGCTTTGAAGATTCCGATTTCTCGCGGGCGAGTGATCGGTCTCAGTTGCCTATACATCGCCCACCCCTTGAACAGCACTACCAGCAATATGGACAGCCGGCCTCTTACCGTGCGCCGCAGCCCGTTGTCATCCAGCCCAAAAAGCCCGTCGCCATCAAAGGTAAGTTGTGTACTGAGGATTTTGGATTCGCTCCCTTTTTTTCCCCCGTCCCGAACTGACGTAGATCCGGTGCTCCAGAAGCTCAATCACCGGGGCTGTCAACGCCTGATGCCGGCTCGAATGAGCACACTGGCATCTACTCGAACAGTGGCTTTGATGTTTTAGGAGTTCTCGTACGTTACCCGGAGATGTCTTCAACAAAGTCCGGCATGGAGACCTAACGTCTTTTATAGAGCCGAGTGGCCATGCGACCGAATCCCAAAATCAACATTGGTGCGGTTGATCTCTCCTGTGCCTTTGTTCTCTGTGATATCCTGCGGGAAGACCACCCGATTGTGTACATCTCGGATGCCTTTGAGCGCCTGACGGGCTACACCAAAGATGAAATCGTCGGCAAGAACTGTCGATTCCTCCAGGATCCCAACGGTCGGATCAAGGCTGGATCCAAGCGGACCTTTGTCGATGGACAGACCGTCTATCGCCTTCGATCAACCATCAATGACCGCAGCGAAATCCAGGCCAGTATCATCAACTATCGTAAGGGTGGGCAGCCTTTCATGAACCTCATCACGATGATCCCCATCCAGTGGAATTCGGAGGAGTATCGATTCTACGTTGGGTTCCAGGTTGACCTGGTGGAGAAGCCCGATGCCGTCACGAGGAGAAATCCCGGTATGTGAACTCGATCGTTTACCGCCCGGGTCTGTACTGACGTCTACCTAGATGGCACTTATAGCATCAACTACCAGCGTGACCAGTTGCCGCAATACGTGGTGCCGCCGCCAGATGTGTACAGGTTACGGCCAGACCTGGTGACTCAATTTGGCCACGATGAAGTAACTGCCATCCTCAATGCAGCAGGTGTGCAAGGCTCTGGACTATCACAGCAATATCTGGACCGTATCTTGGTTGAAAATACCGACGACGTGATTCATGTGTTGTCGTTCAACGGTGAATTTCTGTATTTGTCACCATCGTGCAAGAAGGTCTTGGAATACGACCCGATCGAGCTTGTAGGCAAGACGCTGTCAACCATCTGCCACCCGAGTGACATTGGACCCGTGATCCGTGACATGCGAGCCAGTACGACCCCGGCACCTCTGAGCGTTGTCTACCGTATACGTCAAAAGTACCAAGGGTACATGTGGTTTGAGAGTCACGGTGCGTGGCACATCGACCCCAACCAGGGTCGTCGATATCTCGTCATGACTGGCCGCCCTCGCCCCGTGTATTCGCTGGACCAAATTGCTCGCCTTGGGTCTTCCGCTGCCTTGGCTGAAAACGATGTTTGGGCCAAGATCTCCTTGTCTGGCGTCTTTCTATTTGTGACTTCCAAGGCGAAACCGGTCCTGGGACGTTCACCCGATGACCTGATTGGCAAGAGCATCCATGAGCTCATGGAGCCTGATGATGATCCCAACGCTATCACGGATGCCCTGGAGGCAGCCGCCAATGAGCAGGATCAAAAGGACAAGCCAACCGACCCTCCGTCCTTCCGACACCAGATGCGCCACAAAAAGGGCCACTCATTGGCTGCGCACACCACTTTATACGCCGGGGACGAAAAGAACGGGAACAGACCTTCGTTCCTCGTCGCCCAAATCCGGTTTGCACGAGCGTTCCCACCCTCCGCTGCAGCCGTATCTGCAGCCGAAGCAGACGAAAGCGCCAATGTTCCCGGCACGGCCAGGAGGACCACCCTTACCACCTCCGACCCTAACCCGCCTCGTCAATATGGCGCTCTTGGGCAAAACTTATCTCAACTCTCAACCCTGATCGGTCTGAACGGACTACCCACCGGGAACCGTAGCCTCTCGCCATCAGACGCACCCGCCACCTTCTTCACCGAGCTGAATCCCACGCGCGGATCTAGCTGGCAGATTGAACTGCGCGAGCTAGAAAAGCAAAATCGAACACTAGCCGACGAGCTACAGCGGCTCCTGAGCCGACGCAAGAAGCGCAAGCGCAAGCAGAATGCCGTCTCCGTGGAGAAGGCGTGCACCATGTGCGGGACAAAGAACACGCCCGAGTGGCGGCGTGGACCAAGTGGGAACCGAGATCTCTGCAACAGCTGTGGTCTGCGGTGGGCAAAACAAAACCGTAGTCAGGCGCAGCCGGCTGCACCGGCGAATGCATAGGTAATTGCGCCGTGACGAAGGCTTCCCGGTTTTGCAGAGCACATCATTCGCCTTTTATGACATTCATGGGTCTGTTGTCGATACCCTCATTTGGAAAGCGATGTTTTCGAGCGCCTGGATTTACATTCGGGTTTCTTATCTTTCTGCACATAGCCTATTCCCAGAATGCATGGATCAAAATGCTTTTTTTTCCTTTCTACATATCTAATGATGCACTTCACGTCGAGTAGAGCACAGCTCATCTATTCGGAGCAAGACCTTCTAATATCATACACAAGCCCTGTACAAAGGGAAACATCTACTATACAAAGAACCTCTCTCTCTCTCTTACAACACCCGACTCTCCCCCGTCGTACTATGCACCTCACCCTCCCTAACGTCCAACCAGCTCTCCAACCACTTCCTCTCCGCCCTTTCGACCTTCTCCCCAGCATACAAAGCAGCCACATCCCCGGCACCACGCTCATCCAACGCAATCCGCACCTCATCAGCATTAAGCCTCTTCACACCCCCACCAGCCCTCATCATGCCATCATCAATAGCCAAATACTCTACATACCGCTGCAACCTAGGCCGATAAACCAACCCCGCCAACGCCACGCCCCCCAACCTCTCATGGCTTTTAACGAGTCCGAAAACCGCACAAGCCCTCAACACAGCATTGCTATCCGCCTCCTTCACCCAGCGCGGGCTCGCAAACTCCGCAAGCAAGCTCAACTCTTCCTTACTACCCACAGAAACTGGGTTCAACGCCGAAGGCTCCACGACTCGCGCATGCGCTCTCATCGCCGCATTCTTGCGTTTCGACGCACTCTCCCGCTCCTTGGCGACCTGGCCGGGCACACGACACGTAGCGGGCGTGATCGCCGAGCCGAAGATGGGGATGACCAGAGGGGTAAATTCCCCGCAGATAATCAGGATCAAGGTGAACGGGATCATGCGGCGCACGTCGCGTGCGGAACGGCGAACGAGTTGGAACTGGCCGCGGCCCATGTCGAGGCCTTTGCGGGACGCATTGTGTTCGGAGGGTTTGCGCGGCGGAGAGATGGGGATGTAGGCTGGGAGACCTAGGGATGCGCGCAGCGGGAGGGAAGCGCGGTAGTTGCGGAAGACGTTTTTGAGGCCGGTTTTGTAGAAGGCCAGGTATGCGCGGCCGATTGTGACGAGGCGTTTTAGTTTGTCTGCTGTCTGGGCTGTTGCGGGGAGGATGATCGGGAGGTCGAGTGGGGCAGGGAGGGTGCTTGAGGGTGCGTTGATTTGGTTTGCTGGTGGTGTTGTCACGGTGGATGGTTCATCTTTGGGTTTGGCGGCTTGCGATGCCGCGGAGGTTGAGAAGAGTCGAGGCGCGCGGGAGAAAGGGTGTAATTGTCTCTGGGTGGCGATGTGTGGATTGAATTGGGATCGGAGGGCACATCGGCCCCTAGTAAGAGACGACATTGTCTTTGTTCAGGAGGTGGTGATGTGGGTGGAAATGGTGTGGTGTTGCACGCGAAGTTGGCATCGGGGCCGAGGTGTGGATACCTGATGCGACACCTGAGGCAGGACAGAACTTGATACTTCTAAACTTGATTTTTTGGCATTGACAGCTACCCGGGAACAGTATTTGATGCGTCATATGTAATCTTTTATACAATTTTTGCTTCCTCTGAGAAGACAATTGCTCCTGCACAGGAACGTACATCTTCCGTCATAACACTATAGACAAATCACTTCCCCCACAAACTACAGATCTACCTTGACGGCAATCATCTTCTCCGATAAGAAGCCAGTCACAAACAACCAGGCCTTCTTCTGTCCCATTTTAGGTTCAATGGGTACCAAGACCGCTGCGCTAGCTGATCGAATGCGCGAACCATCATCCTCGAACAAGAGCTTCTTCTCCCAGCCACCAGCCGTCGGGCGAGCATACCAGACCTGACACGGATCAGTAGCGTCGGGGTCCCTGGCAGTCTTTGCAAGATAGATACCCTGCGAGACACCGGCGACGACGTAGCCGCTCGCATCATGAGCATCGGTGCGGTAGGGATCCGCATAGTAGCTAGGGTTGTCGGTGACGGTATCGAAGGGAATAGTCGACTTGATCGAAATAGTGTTGTTGGCATGGCGCTTGGAAACATAGAGCTCGCCACCAATGGCACTAGAAATCACGATCTCGTCGTCGGTGCGACCGTGGCCGAGGCCGTTGTTGTTCCACAGACCGGAGTGTGCGACAGAGGCATCCAGTCCCGCAGAGTCCTTTGCTTTTAGGTCCGTGATCTGGACGTGAACCACGGTGGACCACTTGGCAGAGGGCCAAAGATCCTCGACGAGGCGCATGGGACCTTCGCGGTAGAAGTGGTCATTGGTGATGTAGACCGAGTTGGGACTGTCGGCGTAGACGTCGTTGGGGGTCTCGATCAGCGGGTGCTGGATAGAACGCACATGCTGGATTGTCTTGGACTTCAACACATGGTGGAACAGTTCGATCTGCGAGCGGGCCTTGGGGGTATCCTGGGCGCCCTCCAGCCAGTGGTCCGGGTTCGGCAGGTGGTTCACGGCGAAAATGTAGACAGCATCGGCCTGCTTGGGGTCCTCGATAACGTCGATTCCATGGGTAACGAAGGATCCCTCGAAGTTCTCAAATTCCAGACGGGAAGATTTCAGAGTCTAAGCAGCACACTTTCCAGTCAACAAGGCTCAACGATATAGCCGAATACAAACTCACCTTCGGATTCACGACATGAATTGAGCCCCGCGCCTCAGGCTGAGGGGTCAAGTGTCCCAGCGGAGGAAACCAATCAAACCGCGTGCTCTTAGAGTCCTCGCATGCAGCAAAGAGCAGGTTCGCAGGACGGTAGTGGTGCACATCCTCGCAATGGATGGTATCCTCAATGAAGATCGGGCCGTGGCCTTCAGCCAGCACAGTGGGATTGGGAGTCAGAAAGGGACCGCCAATTCTGATGAGGTGGGATCCCCAGGGAACCAGAATGGCCGCAAGGGCGGCGAATAGGCTCAGACCGAAAACCGAGCTGAGGAGGCCCATGGCGAAGAGCTCTAGACTTAAGGGCTATGAGCTATGGAAAAAATTCGTGCAAGGAAGAAGAAAGTGAAGAGGGATGGAAGCTCGGGTAATAAGAGCTCCATTGATGCCTCGGCCTTTAGTAAGATCGTCACCGCGCGGGGAAATGTGGGGGTCGGTGGAGACCCGAGGTTTGACTAAAGGTACACAATGCAGTCATCGTAGAAGAGCAGCAACGCAAATGGAAATGGAAATCTGAGCTTGGAAAATAATCCAAAAAGGCCACCGAGCAGGCAAAAGTCAGTATTCAACAGGGACTGAGAATGAAGATGAGTTTGCATCGCCCGACAAAGACCATGTTTAGTATATTGATATTGCGATATCTATGTACGACAAAAAAGTAAAACAAGATGCGATGAAGTTGTAGTAGTTGAAACGAGTATGCAGGTCCATGTCTCAGGATGCAGGCTGCGGCATCTTCGGTCTCGGATCTTTGCTTATTTCTCGAGCGGCTTGCCGTTGTCATCCAGAAGCTCACTGCTCTCGTCCATTCCCTTCCACTTTTTGATCCCGTCCGGGATATCCCTCAATCGGTATTCATAGAAAATGTGGCACCTAGAAATTTCAATTAATGGATTGAATGCTTCCAAGGTAAGGCGAGGTACTCACGTTGGCAAGAACGTTGAAATTCGCTCCCGTTGCTCCTCCGGCGAGTGGGAAAAGTCAATCAACTGCGGAAACACCAGACACATGTTGCGCCCTTCATCCATGATCGGAGTCCGACAGTACGAGCACGACACCTTCGTGGGTGTTTGGTATCTGGTGGTTTTTTCTGTGGCGGCATAAAACGACAGACCGCCAGTGCCGTTATCGAATCGCATATCATCCTTGGGGAAAATAGCTGCCCACTGGAAGGGCGCGCCGTGCATAACTTGACATCCGCGACAGTGACAGAACTTGGCCTTCAATGGCCGCTGGCGTCTCAACGAGTATGATATCCTGCCACACTGGCAATGGCCGCGCCATTTGGTCTCGCCGAATTCATCGAGCGGCTGCTGCGAATACGGCGGTCGATGACTCGGGTCTTCGTTTTTGAACGTGTACTCGGGTGAGTTCTCGGGAGTCGGCGCGGGGGGAGAGCGATTGCCATCAGGGGAACCCGTTTTAGTAGCCATAGTACGGCGATAATAGCGATTCGAATTGACGAGATAGAACAAAAGATGGGGTCTGTACACTCCGATTTTCATGAGGGCGGTTCTTTGTCTCTAGGAATTTGGGATCGTCATGCGATCCCTTGCCTCGTTCAGCGGCCTTGTTTTATGACGTTTCGTTCTATGACATTTTTTTCGATCGCTAGCATGTTTTTACATGATTTTCACTTTCCTGGGCTTTCCAGTTTCCGCCAATCAGTCTCCATGTAACTGAATCGCCGTCATTTTGAAGTTTGGCCGATCTGGATTTCGGTGATGTCATGAAAGAGTCAACCTCGTGAACCCCCAGTGGGCGGTAACTGGACCCGACCATGAGACAGGGCAGGCCAAGGAGTGTGTCAATGATCAGGCGTCAACCTGTCTTGGATCTAAATATCTTTTCCGCTGTCGCGTTGTGAATTGTGCGATAGGCTGATCGGCTGATCTTGAGAATCGAGGTGACGGCAATCACGGTGACACATAATTTTGAATTAAATAATTTTTCGGATTTATGGGTTGGTAATTTCGATATAGCTATGGCTACCGTAATGATTCAAAATCTATAAGCTATTGTACGTATGATGAGACCCTTGCTAGCCAAAGGTCTTGTAGTAGATCCATCCTTCCCGGCTTGCATGGTGCGAACGAGGGTGGCCGACGTCTATGGAAGAGTGGCTTGACTGGTTATACTGGAAGCCTTTGCTTTCAAGTTCAGGGGAAGAAGAATTCTACGAACGACTCGCTGATTGGATCATGAGCAAAAGACCCCTCGCCAACCCCGTGTCCCGCTGCTGAAAATGGAGGATTTGTTCTCGAACCAACGGAAGGACCTGCCGGAGGCATGGACAGGGGCCCGTAAGAGCCTTCAACAGGGTCAGCCATGATAAACTCCGGTATCGGGTTATCATCGACCGCCGTAACATGTCCTTCCATGGCCGGGAAACCAAGAGGATCCAGATGAACATGTTGCCCCGGCTCATAGTGAGGCGAGGGTAGATCGCTCACGTCGAAACCCAGGGGCTCTGCCAGCCGGCGGAGGGCGCTGTCACAGAGCTGCCACGCTCGATGGGAGGCAACACTATGCTTGGACGTCCTGGCGAGCCATCGGATACATTTCTTGGCCAGCTGTAGTAAATTGCCCTCTTCCTTCGGCATGTGAACGCTGCTAAAAGAAAGTTCAAGGATAATGACCGTTAATGTTTGCATGACATAATGGAGAAGACACCACCAGGGGCGAACTTCAGCCGACAGACCGGCGTCCGATTCATCTGGGATCAAATGAGCCATCTGGACGGCAGACTCGATGGTTGATACAGCCATGGCTTGGGTGAATGCCTGTTCTTCGTTCGAGTGTTTCTGGGCATCGTTCTTATGGTGTCGACAAAGGCATGGACGACCCAGCATGATTCGTGCACTGTAATATTGGAAAGCCAGTCGTCTCTTCTCATCGGATCCTTGATCCGCGTCGTCCGTGCGGGTAAAATCCAGACCGCGCGGAAGTGAGGAGATCCACAAATCGACCCTTGCTTGAATCTCACCAATCCGGTCTTTGAGATTCCTCCACGGTTGATGCACGGCGTTGGCCGCGTATACACGGTCTAAAAGCCCCTGCATCAACATTGTAAGGTCACAAGAATAGAGGAAATATAGTCCGGGAGAAACGGGCAGGCGGTGGAGCCATTCGAGAGTCGAGGGTATATCCCGTTCGTTGTTAGAGTTGCCAAAGTGCGTTTTTCGAAGGTACGAGCTAGCCATGGCATTATTTACATGCTTGTCCCGGAGGCCAGGATCGTTGAGAAGCGAAGTGGCCGGTTGCTCCTGCAGGTTATTCTCTTCGAACGGGAGCGGTAGCGGTGCAATACACATGCTCACCGAGATACAAGTGGGCCGGCCGGTCATGAGGCCGAGTTTGTTCTCCGTGGCAATGAGAGACCACCAAACCCGGTTGCGAATCTCCTTGGAGACATTGCTGATCATTTGATTGCTGCTCTTCAAATTGATTCCAAGAGATATCGCGGAGCGGATCGCCAACGCCGATATCCTCCATGCCCTACATCATCCGTCAGCGTCCATCACAAAGAAAATAGGTCACTCTCTGCATTACCTATGAATCTGATCCGTAGAGACCAGGTAGAACGCCATCAAGCCCTCCACCTGGACTTGCTGAAGATCCGGATGGCGAAACACTTCGTCTCCACTCATGCTCAACATTCGAGCCCGGGTCAGATAGAGCAGATGATCTTGGGGATTCCCACGCCACTCCAACTGGGCGACGTGGGCATAATTGGCGGCAATGGCGAATACCATGTTCAAAATAGCCATCCATTTGTCACCGGGCAGAGCAAAGCTGTCGAAAAACCTTCCGTACTGATCACAAAATAAAGGACGGTTGATGATGGGAAAGTAAGGATGAGCCACGCGCAGGTAAGTCTCGAAAAGCTTATCCGCTAGCGGCCGAGATGGCACCCAGTACATCTGCACTGGCTCTGATACCCCGATGTCGAAATCGTCAAGATGATAGTTCATCTCGGGAGGGGCAAACACATGGCTCGTAGTGTTGTCTTCGTCACCTCCACTGGGATCAGGAAGCCCCGACTGGCTCCTGCGGCGTTGCTCGGTCTCTTTCTGCACCCGTTGCATCCAAGTGATCTCCGAGCCTTTGCCAATATACCCCGTGGCTCGCGATTGATTGTTGAGGTTAACATCATATTCGACTTTGTCCAACGCGTCCAGTGACCCAACGGAAGAAGGCTCGCTGGCTTGTTCGTCTGCTGCTTCTTGGAACTTGTCCGCGGGCAAAGTTCTCTCGCTAGAAACGTCGTTGGACACATAGCCCGAATCTGATTCCAGCTATAGAACCCGACATTCTGGCATTAGCCATGGCGTGCACGACGTGGACCCAGCCATGTAAGGTCCTGGGTACATGGAAAAGGGATGGCTCACCAAAAATTCCTTGATTCGTTTGGCTGTGCGCCCGGGTACAAATGCCTCTGCCTCCTTCAACAGGCTCTGGCAGTCTTGCAATCTCTTCGAAATCTCTTCTTGTTGCCTGGTGATCGGGCCCGTGTGAATACTCCTGAGCGAATATGGAATGGTACTGGTACTCGCCTACCTCTTCATTCTCTCGCGCATCCCCGGGGGATATACACAAATCGCTCGTACATCTCGGCATTGTCTACAAACCGGGGTATCGCCACTGCATTTGGTTTTTCTTATCCGGCATGATTCACATGCCCGCGGGACACGTCTACTGTGCTTCTGTGCGACATTTGAACGTTGGCGAGGAATCGCAATCTTCGCATGAGGAGGAGGAAGAGGAGGTCTAGCGCCTAGCGAAGCCGCTAGTGCGCTGGTGACAGGTGCCTCGTTCGACATGGTTGGGATGTCCGATACGTGGGGGGGGAATCGCAGTTGTCGAACTATCGCTTTCCACGGTTCGGAGAATGGTTCGGCTGTAGATAATGATATATCTTGTGCACCTCCTAAGATACTTTCGAATTCGTTCGTAATAGCTGACGGGGAAAGATAGATAATGATCGTGTAATGACAAGAAGTCATTTGGGGGAAGATCCACGGCGCCATAAAAATTTAAGGGGTTCGTGTACCACGTTACGCTCCTGTAAAGGATAAATTATCCGTGATATTCGTTGGACATCAATTTCAGTGCTAGTCACTTGATTTTCAGGGTCGAGTGGCTAAAACCAAGTCGGCTGTGACCGCTTCGGGAGATGCTGACCTCATAACATGGTCATGTCAAAAATCAAGGTTTCCCGCGTGTATCGCCGATACTCACTATATAATACTGGGGTAGGATTAGAATGCCCTTTCCACAGTCGTTGAGTTCTATCAGGCATTAAGATCTTTTACGAAATTGTTTTATCATGTCCAATACACCGGGGAAGACGCCGTACCTCTCTGGGCCAACTGCACATCGGGATGAGCAAAATGTAAGCTGAAAGAGGCATTTGAATCGTGCTCAAGATTGAGCAATGACAAGTCGACCACGAATTGCATATTAATAAAATCTTTATCAGGGTCGTGAGAGCTTCGCGTTCAGCGAGAGCAGTGATGGCCGCGAGCCATCGCAAATGAATCACTTTGATGGTGAAGTTAAACGAGCTATCGCGACCATACCAAGCGAGTATCGTGACCTGATTTTCGAGCTGTATGAGGCAGCTCGGCTGGGAGATCGGAGTCGTGAACAGAAATTGTTCGGGATGATCCCGGATCGCAAAACTGCGCAGCAAGTCCGTACATTCCTCTACGGAATGTTAGCGAATGCAGAATTATCTGAGATGAACGAGCAAATCGCCGGTGGCTCATACGAGACTCGATCCGAAAAGGACATGGAAAACGATTTGCCGCGAGCTCGCCCCAGTGTTATGGACATCCAATACCTGTGTAGTTTTGCTCCAGTGAGGGTCCCAGCAAGACCGTGGACCACCGTTACAGATAGTGACGACCTGGTCTCGCATTTAGTATCACTGTACCTGACTTGGGGATACCCATTCTACGCTTTTTTCTGCCATGACACATTTATCAAACACATGAGAATGGGGCATCTGAACTCGGACTTTTGCAGTCCTTTCTTGGTGAATGCCCTCCTCGCCAACGCCTGTGTAAGTTGCAAGTCTTCGTCAACGCTACCACCATCAACTAGCTCTTAACCAAACGCAGTTCTACTCAGACTACACGGAGGCGTATAGCTTACCCGGAGACGTGAAAAGGAAGGGCGCCCATTTTCTAGCCGAAGCAGAATGGCATCTGAGATCACACCAACTGGAGGGCAAAAGCGATACCCAGCTGGTTTCCTTACAAGCAACTCTTTTATTATATGAAAGGTAACGGTATCCAAAGTAATGGTGGCAGCTTTTCTAACTCTGTGTTGTTTGATTCTCAGATACTCCCTCTCGGGTTACGACAACTTTGGATACACCATGCTCCATAGGGCAATAGGGATGGCCGAGTCACTTGGCTTAGTGAACAACACTAAGAAAGTAAATCTGGAAGCACCACACTTCTCCAAGGACATGAGACGCTCTCTCAAGCGAACTGCATGGGGGCTGTTTCAGATTGATACGTGCGTTCATCGTCCATTCGGCAAGTCAGAAGAGAGTAAATTGACATGGCTACAGGATTGTCCACATGAATTTTCTTCGACAAAGCCAAATCAAGAGCGTGAGCCTCGATCGCATTTCCCGTGATGAAACGTCCACGGACGAAATGTGGACGCCCTATCCGAAGCCAAGTGCGCCCCGCCGTTCTAATATGAGCTGGTACTTTGATGAAGCATGCAAGCTCTCTTATATAGCAAGGGATGCCTCTTGGGACATCTCGCGTACTTACAAAGATGAAAGCCTCAAGCAAGAGCTTTACGGTCGGCTGTGCAGGTGGGAGGAAGAGCTGCCCCATTCCTTTAACCTGAAAGAGACACCAGCACCGTATATCATTATCCTCAGGTATGTGATGGCCTTGTCTTTGACTGCTTCAAGTTTTATATGGCCTAACGGGCAATATCGCGACAGGATGCGCTACCACACCCTAGTCATCAATCTATGTTGCCACGACCTCCAAAACGACATGTCATTCATGAGAACCAACGAGCATACTCCTGGCTCAGCTAGCTCAAATAACGACTTCAATCCCATCAAGACGGCTCTCTTATCTGCACGAGAAATCGCCTTTCTCGTCCGGAAATTCGGAACTGAGTACGGACTGGAACATAGCCATCAGTTTGCTATGTATGCCATTAATGTCTCGCTGTTCTGTCTGCTTGCGCAGGAGGACATTGATATCCTGGATCCCGATTTCTTGAGCCTCACGCAAGCATTTTCCATCATTGCATGTCGCTCACAGGTGGGGAGGCATCTATTTCGGGCATTTAAAATATCAGTTCGCTCCCGAAACCAAGCCGGGCTAATGAAGAGCCCAGATGATGTCCCCCTCGGGATCAGAGAGCTTTTGGGTCCGCGCGAAAACTACAGTGAGCCTGACAAGTGGGATCGTTACGCAGAATACTTGGCAGAGGTGGACGGTGAGGGAAGCTACCTCAAGGATATTGGGATGGACCCCGCGGTACCTGGCCTGCACGAGATGCTCAAGTGGTACGAAAGTCTGAGCATCGGCAGAGAAGTACGATGGAAAGGGAGTCATGAACCTGCTTTCTGATTTTATATTCCCACAATCCGTTTATTGACTGCGATGCTACACTCATAACAAGGTGCTCGAGCTTGATCCGATTCGGTTCCTGCCATGATGCCCCGATACTATCCGTGATAGGATTTGTATAGAAAAGAAGTAGAAATTTGACGACTAACTGAGTGAGCGCAACAAAACGCCTGCTATATAGTAGCCGCCAATCATGTTCTGCGTGTTTAGGCGCGGTGGAGTCATCTGATAGTGAAGCTGAGGACGTGCTATTACCTTGGCCGGGAGTCAGGCAACTTCCTTTTGCTTTGACTGCAGAGAAACGGTATACCCCACTTAGATAATGCCATTCGCTAATTTATTAGCGAAATCGGTGATAATAGTCGGGGCGAAGCATTTATTTCTTATCGTTGGAGGTATAAGTTTCTGAAGTCATTGGTAGACCACCAGCCACGCAATTATCTAGGAATAGTGGAGAAAAATAATGTATGAGTGACCAGTTTACTCTCCTAAATTTGTTCTAGGTTTGACTAGGGCAGGGATTTTATCAATATAAGATCGGAATAACAAGGCACACTCTTCGATTGATTCTCCGACCCTAATGCCAAACACACTAATCTTCATTGGGAATCGCTCCGGAATACTCATCCTAGGCGGACGTGTATTGTTTCTTACTTATAATCACGTTGTGTTATGAAGCATGTATTCACTTGTACTTCAATACATCTCCCACCTCCAAGCCCGACCTTCGAAACCCTGAAATTTAGTCTCATGCGAATGGTGGAGAGTTGTAGTTAAATGACATCATCGGTGGCGCCCCCTTGCCGGGAAGCGAATCTTCCACCGCGGAGCCCCACCGATCATGCACAACGCATGTCACCGGAATAGCAGGGCCCTCGACTCTTTCGTTCTTTACCCACCCGCCAAATCATCTCAGCTTACTCCATACCGATCCACCCTTTAATTGAGTCTGTTTAGTGCGGAGAGAAGGCCCAAACACGCTATCTTATTGGTCCCACGTTCAAACTCACTCTCATATTGTATATCGGGACTGACATCGCCTACTCTGCTCTCTATATCAACTGGTAGCTCGGGGATGGACGGCGAGTATGGCTCTCACTAGCGGTCTTTTGACTCTTACTATGGACGATGCAGGCATGCCTCTTGGCACAACGTCTTTGAGAGACGAGGGAGCGGCACTAGTAGAACCTGAGCAGGACTCGAATTCTACGGGTGAGAAAAATATGGAGCCGCAGAAATGCGCTGGTTTTGACGCCTCCTTGAGTCGAATTTATCGTTATTCCCCGGTTCCTACCTTGATTCTTGATGAGAATTTGTGCGTCGTGGAGGTTTCAGACAGCCATTGTACCTTCTCGGGCCAATCTCGGGAGGAACTGGTAGGCACTTGCGCCTGCGATGTTCCGGTCCACATCATCCCTGCGCCAGACACTCCTACTTTATATGGAGCGTTACGTGCAGCTATCACCTCGAAAGAGGTTCAAATCATGGAGGGAATACACGTCAAAAGCAAAATTTCGACTTATCAGCTTCGTATAACGCCAATCTTCGAAAAATCGTCGTTGATCTATGTCATATTAGAGGCTCAGAACACTTCAAAAGATCACTGGGTTGCGACTGATGAACAGCACGCCTACATGAACGAAACCTACAGGATTTTGGTCGATACTGTGAAAGATTACGCCATCTTTATGCTCGACACTCAGGGAATCATCACCACGTGGAATCCTGGCGCTGCGATATTAAAGGGATACTCTCCCTCGGAAATCATTGGCAAGCACTTCTCTATTTTCTATAGTCCTGAGGACTGTAATATAAAAAAGCCGGGTAAAGGTCTGGCACGGGCTCTACAGGAAGGACGGATGGAAGACGAAGGCTGGCGGTATCGACAAGATGGATCGCGTTTCTGGGCCAACGTGATGATCACGCCAATTTATCAGTTTGGTCGTCATGTTGGCTTTGTTAAGGTCACGCGCGACCTCACCGAGCGGAAGGCTTCCGAGGCACGCATGGTCGCGGCCTTCGAGGAGTCAGCGAAGATGAAGACGGATTTCTTGGCCAATATGTGCCATGAGATACGGACCCCCATGAACGGTATGCAGCTTGCACTTTCGATGATGAAGGACACCGATCTTACCGACCAACAACTGGAATACGCTTCGATCATTGAGGACTCGACATCGGTCTTGCTCCAAATTATTAACGATGTCCTCGACTACTCGAAGCTCTCATCTGGGTCTTTTTCTCTTCACTCCGATGTCGTGGATATCAGGAGCATTCTTGATGCTGTCATGCGCAACTGCAGGTCTCTCTTGAAACCCGGCGTTGAGCTGACTTGTTCGATTCCACCCGATTTACCCAACGTTGTATGTGGTGATCCTTTACGGTATCGTCAGGTGGTTCATAACATGCTCGGAAACGCCGTGAAATTCACCGGGTCGGGCTATATTCGACTCTCTACTACTTTCTCTCCCGTCGAGTCGGATCCACAGGCATACACAATTACGACGGAGCTTGCAGACTCTGGAGTTGGAATTTCCGATTGTGCTCTCAACACTCTCTTCACACCTTTTACACGATTTGCCGATTCTGCAGCCCAAACGTACCAAGGCACCGGCCTTGGTCTTTCGATTTGCAAGAGTTTAGCGGAGCTTATGGACGGCACGGTGGGCTATAGGCCTGGTCCACAAAGCCAAGGCAGTGTATTCTGGTTCACAGCCAAAATGGGTCACATGGACACGCGCTTTTTGAACAAGCAGCCTGCTACGCCTTCAACAGATAACCCAAAAGATCTCTTGAACAGAGTGCGGGAGATTGCGCCGCGCAAGCATATCTTGCTCGTCGAGGATAACCTTGTCAACCATATGGTCATGCTCAAGCTTCTTCAAAGCCTTGGGTTCGAGCGCATTGATGTCGCCTGGGACGGGGCGGAGGCCGTTCGACAAGTCAAGCAAACGCCGTTGTCATACAATGTGGTTCTCATGGATATCAGCATGCCGGTGCTAGATGGGTTGGAAGCGACATCGCAAATCAGAGCCATGGGCATCGACATGCCTATCGTTGCCCTTACGGCGAATGCGCTAAAGGGGGATATGGAGACGTATCTTGCCAAGGGGATGAATGATTATATCGGAAAACCGATCCACCGCGACCAGTTATTGCAAGTTCTCTGGAAATGGCTAGGAGCTTGACAAGCCTTGAACTGAACCTTATATATGGTACAGTCGGATCGGTCTTCTCGTTCATCGAGCATCCGCTGTGACAGAATATTTCCTTGTTCTCCCTTTCGCGTCCCGCCAGGGCTTGGAGGAGGAAGAAAAAGTGTGAGCGTCCACATACTTGAAATAGGTGCAAATGTTGCGTGCCTCGCCTCGACATATGTCTGGACGACCTTTGGTCTGCTTTTCAGTGGCAGCTTGTTGAAGCGCTTGGTGATATCGCAATGAAGTCGATCGTTGAGTGGCATAAGAACCCAGTGTCATTAACTTGGCCCTTATTCTGTGGTCCTCAGGGCAATTTTGTCAAAGAAGAGCCTACAACCTCGATCTTCGCTTACATGATGAAACGACGGTTTGATCATGACCGAAGAGATTTAGGGTTGGGCCATTTCCTGCAGTGCCGAAGAAGCTGAGCTATGAAGCTTTCGAACAAAAAAAATCGATTGAAATGCGGAAAATAAGCGACAGCGTCTTTTATAGACCATCCTCAGGCGACAAGAGCCCTTCTAATGCTAGAGGTTGTTATCATGGTGGGAAACTCATGCCGGAGGAAGGCAGCCATCTCATCGAGGTACAGGCCGGCCTTTCAGACAAGCGAACACAAGTTCATCGGCCATCAATGGTGTTACGGTGTCTCCGGCCTATACTCAGTTGTATTCCCTAGTCTCCAGCGAGGGGCACTTACATAATTGAATAATGAGCATGACTCTCATAATTTTTATCTTTCCCAGTCACGAGGGTTTATTTAGCTGTTATTTTCCTTCTAGTAATAGATCACCGCGCGGGAGAAGGTGGTTAGGGGCTTGGCAGCCGATGGAGCTGACCTCATCAAGGAGATATTGGAAATGGGCCTCAACCCTTTATTCTCCGAGTCCTTCTAAACCCCCTCCTAGGTATTTCTTTAAACGTCTTGCTAAACATCTCTTGATTCCATTTTTCAAGGTACCTTTCTGAACGTATTTTTGCACATGCCCGGATTGAGAATCATTACCGCCTAGTTAGGGCCACTTACAATATCTCCTTCGTATTTTTGAGCTATGGTGAGGATTCTCCAGAGACTCGCCATTGCTAGAAGCATATCACCCATTCCCTATTTCCGTGAACCGTGGGTCTGTTCCGGGCAGCCTGTTTCATCCCGCCGTCACTTATCCACCAGTCCACCAGCACTCCGCGAGGAATTCTTTCAAAATACAACACGACGATGGATGTAAGTTAAGCCTGTTGTGGCTTTGGTCTCACCCACTGAATACCGGCTAGATTCAACGAGACCGACCGTTTAAACGAACGATACGTCAAATTTCGACCAACAGAGCTCCAACGGATTGCCGGTGAAGCAGTACAACAAGACTATTGCCCTGATATTGCTAAGCTTGCAGAAGGGGGCTTCAACAAGGTGTTTCTTCTACGAGAAAAGAACGGTCGTGAAGTGATCGCGCGAATTCCTACTCCTATTGCCGGGCCTCCTCATTACACAACTGCCAGTGAGGTGGCTACGATGAACTTCTTGCGAAATGTCCTCAAACTGCCAGTACCTGAGGCCCTAGCATATTCGGCGTCATCGGACAATCCCGTCGGAGCAGAGTATATTCTGATGGAGCGGGTGGAGGGAGAGAGTCTTTCCTCACGGTGGTTATCTCTCACGACCGACGAGATGAAAGATATCATAACACAAATTGCAGTCATAGAGAGGAAGATATTCGATTTTCAGTTCCCTGCGTATAGAAGCTTATATCATAAGAAGGACCTTGATGGGGAAACCCAGATACCAGTCGTGGAAGATTTCTGTATCGGCCCTGTGTCTGCGCGGCAATTTTGGCATGGCGAACGGAGCGAAACAGATATTGACCGTGGGCCCTGTAGGCCCCTCTTTCCCCGTTGTTTATGGTTATTAGAAGAACCGACATAACAGGGACTAATCATTGCCACAGGGCTTTCACCCTTGGACTGTGTTACGTCCGCGGCTCGCCGAGAAATGGCTGTCATTCAGCATCACGCCAAAGCTTAGCCTCGCCAGACATTTCTGCTACCAACTAACTATAATATTGACCCCTCTGTGCATACCTCGTTACTTTCGCGGTTCCTACAATTGGCACCTCATTTAATCCAGCCGGGTCCTTACAGCGCCCCGACGCTAAGACATCCCGATCTAAGTCTGAGCAACATTTTATTAGCACCAGGATCAACCAAAATCATCAGCATCATTGATTGGCAAGATGCCGTGATATCCCCCCGCTTTATGCAAGCAGGCTATCCCGCGTTTTGTGAGCGCGACTCCTCACAGCCTCAGAGTCTACAGATTCCATCTCTCCCCGATGATTTCGATGAGATGGATATCGAACAACAGAGACAATCCAGAGCCGTCTTTCGCTTAGAAGAGGCCAACCTCTACTACACGGCGGCGACAGGTGTACACAATGACGAACATATGGATCTGCTGAAACTTCCTCATCTCGGAATGCGGCAGTATCTCCTCCGCTAGACCGGGTATCCCTGGGACGCCGACGTAATTAACCTACGTGCTGCATTAGTAGGCATCACAACTCCATCGGTGTGGAGCAGCATCTCCTCTGCAGTTTGTCCGGTTGTGTTTAGCGACGAAGAACGAGAGGCTGCCATGGCGGAATCGCAGGAATGGAATGAGTCCGAACAGCTACTGTCCCGGGTTAGAGAACACCTCGATATCGACCCGGAAGGCGGGACCGAGCCAGATAACTTCGAGAGGGCGGTGGAGGGCAATTGACAGTTTCGTATGGAAATGGTTCGGCAAGCAGAGGTGGACCAGAGGGAGATCTGTTGGCGTAATTGGCCGTATAAGGATGAAGAGGATAACAGCATGCCTCCCGGGAATATTTAAAAGTGCCTAGACAAAAAAGCAATGAGTCTAATCCGTACCTGAATCATTTAGTCGTTTAGAGTCTAGGAAAACGACATGCTACACGGGATACGAACTAAATTGAAACAGCAATGCATTGACTATCCTAAGCAAGATGCAAATCTTTTTCTCGTTTTGCTCGATTTTGAGAGGCATCGATCGATGCAGGTGCTGGTCGGCCTCGACAAAAGGAAAAGAAAAACAAAGCGGAAAATAGATAAGGCGAAGATAGGGATAGAAAGGTGCCATCAAATTCAAGGATACAAGTCATTAGTTGGCCATGGCGGAAGTGGCCAAACTATCAAAAAGAAAATAAGAGTTGAGTACTGTCCGAAAGTTCCCAGTGTGCAAATTCCCATTCCATCTTATGTAGGTCATTGTCGAGACAGTCATTTAGTGCGTGGACTGCTTGGCGTCCAAGAATTCCTGGTCGCTGGCATCGAGGATCTCAAACTCCTCGTCGGTGAGGTATCCGGCATCGGTGCTCGCCTCGTCCAAGGTAAGACTCTCCACGTCCTCGATCACGTCTGCCTCGGAAGCCGTCGACACGGTGGGGGCATGGTGAGCCGGTGCAGCGGATTCGTAGGTGCTGGATTCGGGAGACTCCTTCTCCAGCTTGGGGAAGATCATGCCACTGCCAGTAAGCTTCGCGTGGTCGGGGATGGTGGACTCGGATTTCTCGGAATCTCCAGCCTCGGGAGTGGGCTCAGTCTCGGCATCCGAACTGGCACTAGAGATGGCGGCTTGCACCTGAATGTCGCACCACAATCGGTGACCAATCGCCTCGCCGTTGGGAAGCTTCAGGCGCCAGTAAGAGATGGCAGTGCCCTCACGACTGGGGGTTCGGAGAGTCACAGTGAAGTCAGCACTCTGGCCGACCTCCACGGGAGCATTCAGCTTGTTGCTCTCCATAGCTGCGCGGATTGACTCCACACTCGATGGGTGACTGGCGTCAACGTTGAACATGGTATCTCCACCAACAAAGCGGACATCACTGCCAAGGGGCCAGGCGCTCGGGCCGGGGTTGTACAGGGTCCATGTCTGCCGGAACATTGTGTTCGGAGGCAGTCGGGTACCATCAGGGATGGCATCGCGGACAAAGTAGGCCTGGAAGTTGTCATATACACTTTTCTTGGCAGAGACTGGCTCATAGGTGGGGGGCTCTGGCACCACTTCAGCATCCGCCTTCTCTGGCTTGCTGGCGTCCACCTCAACGGGTGCTTGGGCGACCACGGGCTTCTCCCCGGTGAGCTCATCGGCAGTCATAATGGCTTCAGAGCGAGAGCGAGCGCAGGCATCATCGCCCAGGGCGACAGCGCCGTTGAAGCCATCGTCGTTCACAGTGCTCACAGTCACGGTCCGAACAGGGGTCTTGAACTTGACCAGGGGGTGAGTGTGGTTGTGGTTGTGAGTCGGCAGGGCCTCGCAGTTGGCACAGAAATCGAGGTCGTCACAGACGGCACACTTGTAGCGAACGCCGCTGATGTAGCTCTGGGCGGGCTTGTCCTTACAAAGAGGTCCGTCGCAGAAGATGCCATAGTGGATGTTGTGCTCGTGAGGCTGCTCACCGATGGCCTCATAGATAGGAGCAAATCGGTGACCAGGGTGGTTCTGGGCGGCATTCAGGATGCAGTCAGGGCAATAATCCCAATCAGGGCAGGACAGACACTTGTGGCGGGTGCCAACGATACGCATTTCACAGCCATCGCAAATAGCAGCGTGTTTGAACTGGCGGCCAGGGAGACAGCGAGACATGATCAAATTCTTCAAGCAGAAGTTGCGGTCTGAGCCGAGGGAGAAGGTGTGAGCAGGGTGGTGACCATGCTTGTTCCTCAAAAGGCAGCGGAGGCACAGGTCATAGTCCTCGCAGTCGTTGCAACGAACGAGGTTGGTTTCATCGGCTTCTGTGTAAAAGCATTAGCTAGAACATCAAGGACATCTAAAAAAAAAAGAAATACATACCACGGCAACATCCATTGCAAATGGGCTTGTCCTCTTCCTGAGTAGCCATGTCTGAGTGATTCACTTCGGTGGGAGGGACAGTGTCCGCCATTTCGGGAACTGTCTCAGGAATAGACTCAGGCATGGGCTGCACATGAACCGGGGCAGGCTTGATCACCCGCTCCTGCACACGACGAGGGGGGATAGTCTCGGTTGTGCTATTGGTAACAACGCCGTTGGCCACCACACGCTTGATCAACCAGTGACCTTCACCCAGGCACGATGCACCATTGTCAACACAACGCGGGCACAGGTCATAGTCTCCGTGCTCACAAACACTGCAGTGATAGTGTTCATTTGCAATAGAGCGGCCACAGTTGTTGCAATCAATGCAGAACATCCCACCAGGGGAGTTGTGGGAGATGACCGGGAAGCGGAGCTTGTCCTGTTCCATCTCGAACTCTCGGTAGCGAGGCTGGCCGATCGGCAGCGTCAGTTGGGAGGCAGTGCCGGCACCAGCGGGGACGGAATCAGCTTCAGAAGTGGTAGGGAGAGTTTCAGGGAGTGCAACGGTGATGGGGGAGCTGAGAACGGTTTCGAGATAGTTGTGTCTCGAAGGGAGCATGTGGTTGGTCGGTTGAGGCCGAATGGCGGTGTCGGTGGCCGGCGCCGAGGGATCGACCGTGCTGGCCTTGATACGAAGCTTGGATTTGGCCTTAGCAGCTCGGAAGAGTTGCTTGTAGACAACGGCGTTGTCGCAGTCAAGGTGGATGTAGGAGCCGGCGCTGTCGGAATAGCGTTCGAGGATGACGTTAACATCCGACGGCACGCCGAGGAGGACGCGGAGCTAAACCCAACGAATCAGTTAGCCAACAAGAACAGCAGAGACTAGTGTTGAAATCCATTATCAAAGATTTAATAAGGGGAATCAGTATGACCCATCGAGATGGGCGAGCCGATTATCGTGATAAGAGATTGGGGGGGCGGACTGGAGGTCCGGTCGGGAGCTCGGGTGGAGACTCTTACCTTCTGGGGGAAGACCTGCGCCTTGAGGTCTTTCAGCGGCAACTTGAACCGCCGATTACTGTCATTGTAAAGGACCTTCACCGTCACCAGTTGCTCTGGGCCCGGATGAGTGGGAAGGGCTGGGGTAGCCATGCTGCAGGTGTTGGGGAGTGAATTGTCCAGCAGTACTTGGAACTGGGATAGATAAGAAGTACTGGGGGAGAAGGAGAGGCGAAATACGAAAAAGGGGGGAGGATGCAGAAGTGAGAAGGGGGCAAGAAATTTTGATTATGAAGATGAAGATGATGAGGAATACGGCGATGGAAGAAAAGGCAGAAGTGGAAGTAGAAGTAGATGAAGGCAGAGCCACGGAAGACGCTTGGGCGTTGTACAGCCGTGGTCAGCTGCTCGCTGCTTAGGTAATGTGCGCCTCGCTGTATGCATTCACCACCACTCCTAACGTACGGTACTCTGAAGACTCTTAGTAAGGGCCGGGAATTGTTACGTTATATGTTTCCGTCGTACTTTTAATTTCGTAGCCCGCAGAAACAAGATGAAGTCATGCAGTGCCTAGATTCATGCAAAGTGATCCAAGTGCCAGTGATGTGGGGGGCTTTTGCGGGGGGACATGAGAGGGGAACAACGCTGAAATGCATCCGAGTCCAAGTCTAACCATGGAGAACAAAATAACAAAGGCAAAAAAAAAAGAGGATTAGAGTGAGGGGTAAAGGACAGGTAGTTAAGGTGAGAAGAAAGAGAATGAACCATCAAACGGGGTGTATCCAACGCTCTGATCACTGCCCGTAGTACACTCCCCCGGGCCCCGGTGGCTGCCCGTAGTAGTACGTAGCGCCTGGAGGCGTCATCATCCCCCCCATCCCCACTACACCCCCGGCTCCGGGCCCTGTCCCGTAATTGGGATTGGAGTACCCTTGGCCTGACGAGTAGAAGTATGTTGTGCCTCCAGACTCGTGGGCTACCGTGTCAGCCTGCGAGGATTGCTCACCGGCGTACGGCATCGCCTGCTGACTGGGGTTGAAGTTCGGGACGGAGGCACCAGGGCCCATCGGTCCGTTATAGGCAGGATACTCGGACCCGGAGCTCGGATAGTACATGCCACCAGTAGGATAGCCCGGGTAGAAGACAGGCTGCTGTGGATAACTGTATGGCTGGAAAGGCTGGGCGTGGATCGCCCGCTCCGGGATCTGGGAGAGCGGAGTTCCCGAAGCCTGACTGGGCGGGCCGCGGGCAGTTGGATCTTGGCCCGGCCCAGGGACGGGTCCAGGAACTTGATGATGGAACGGCTGCTCCTGCTGGGGCTGCGGCGGGTTGAACGGGAAAGTCGCTGGACTTTCAATATCCGCCACGGACACTGTTTTCTGAGGGCGAGGTTGATGTATTGGGATCGGGCCAGCGCGGCTTTCACGATACATAGGATGCAGCGGTTGCATGGGTGGCATTGGTGGCGGAACTTGTGGCATCATAGCGCCAGGCCCCATGGGCGGAATGCCAACTGGAGGACGCGGTGGAGGTGGCAGACGAACAACGGGTTTGCCAATGTCGGGTGGGACCATAACTGGCCGGGAGTAGACTGAGCCTGCAGGCGATGGGTATCCATCTTGGGACGCAGGCATACCAAGAGAAGACCGACGGCTAAGAACACTGGGGGTATAGGTGTTGGAATAATAGCTGGGCCGTCGTCCACTGTAGAATCCACCGCCGCGGCCACGGCCCCGATAGCCTTGCTGGTTGGGGCGCAATGCGCGGGGAATGAAGATGAATGAACGCTCAGTAGACGGGAAGATATAGCGAGGAGGTTGACCTGGAAGAGAGATTCGCACCGGCTTATCACGGCGCAGGGGAGGACGATGTTGAGGGAGCCGGGTGTGCTTCTTCAGCATTACGGGGAACGGCTTGTCCTGGGCCATGCCCGGTAAGAATACACGGACTGACACATTTCCCATCAAAGTTGTGCTAGAGAAGGATCGGTTTGGCGGTGAAGATCGGGGCGCTGTCGGCACGGTCATTGAAGTTTGAGGCACTGTGGAGGGAGACGAGTGTTTCGGCGCAGGCTTGTCATCGCCGGCAACGGTATCGTGGAGATCGTGGGCCCACTGGCCCTCACTCGCATCGGGCTTTGCAGAGTTCCTATGTGGCGTTAGCAAGAATGACCGGGTATGGAAGATTGGTGGTATCACTGTACCTGCGAGCATTCCCATCGACGATGAGACCAACCGGTCTCGATTTGCCCTTGTTGAAGGGACGGCCGTTGCCACCTTCATTTGTCCGCTTGTCATGAAGGAAGAAGCTGCCACGAGTTGGCACAAAGGCCGGGTTCTGATCTCGCTCCTTCACATATTTATCGTGCTCACGGCGCTTCTTCGCAGCCAAAGTTTCCCGCTTCGGTTCGGTGGGCGGAGCCGACGGCGTGCGGCCGGTCTGGAACACTCGACCTTCCGCCATCTCGTCAAAGTGAGACTCCTCGCCAGCGTGGTCAGAGATCTTCAGTCCCTTCATCATCGCCTCGGTGTCCGATACCGTTGTCTTCAGTCCTGGCTTTCCGCGTGATGAGGAGCTGCGTCGGGGCTGAACCGGATTACGCCCGTTTACCTGGCCACCGTTGGCTTTGCCCGCATCTGTGGCTGTCGCGGTGTCATCCTCGCTCTCGCTGCCCTCCCCATCGGCATCCTCATCCTGGTGACTGTCTGCTGACCCTTCACTCAAAGAGTCATCTTCGACATCACCGGCCAGCGAGCCCTCGTCCTCGCCCTCGTCTTCCCTTCTCTTCCTACGGCTAGCCCCGATGTGGCGTTGACGAGGAGCCATGAGTGATATGAGTGACGGGGCCTGCTGAAAGGAGCCGAGGATGTATCCTGCTAGAGAGTTGGCGTTGGGGCCAGCCAACTGGGAAGGGGCAAGGCAGGAAGTGCGGGCAACGGGAAGCCCGTGTTTCAACAAAGACCAAGGTCAAAAGAAACCAAAAGGAAATGCTAGATAAAAAGGACGGAAAGTAAAAAAAAAACACCTTGTGTAGCTGGACCCAAGGTGACAGGGATCGAAGAAAAGAAAAAGAGCAAGGGGGGAGAGGGAGAAGAAGGAGTAGGATGAAAAGTAGCGAGACCTTCGAGACCGGAATGACATCGCAAAGAGACGTCACTCCCGATCAGGCTAGCTTTGGGCGGTGAAGGCGGTTCTGCCCGTCTTTGTAGATCATCATTGGAAGTCTTTATATACTTCCGTAACTAATTTCATTGCTGTGTTGTACCCAGATGTGCCTGCTACACTTGTCAAAATTTGACTTTGATTGAATTGTTGCAGTATGTGCGAACAGTAATATTTCCGATGCATACGGGTGCGCTGTGCAGCAAAGGGGTGCAGGGTGGTTCTAGAACTGGTGCATGCGACACCCTTGATTGATAACGCCGTACAGAAAAAAATCAAAAAATGTACAAGTCAGGGTATCGGTGGACCGAATTGTGGCCCAAATTGGCCCAAAGTGGGCTTCCTCGACCTCGATGCCACGTCAACACAGCTGCAGACAGAGTAAATCACTGCTAGAAGCCCAAAAAATCCCCCAGGTATCTGCAGATCCGCTGCAAAGAACCGGCAACCAAACCCTATCACAACAGGCACGCTCATGGAGCCGCGTTTGGTTTGATGTGGCGAAAATCAAAGAACTTTTTAGTCAAACGTGGTTTTCTTGCCCTGGGATTCAACGATGGCACCGCTGAGTTTTTGCACGGTCTCCTTGGAATACCGGGTCTCGTCAATGACCTGTTGCTTGGGCTTTCTGGCCCAGGGTTTATCCTCGGAATCGCCGTTGGTCTCGTTATTCTCGGACTCAGGCTTGTTCTTGCCAAAGCGCTTATTGTACCGTGTTGTCGCATCCTCTGCAAACTCCATTCTCAGACGGCGGCCCATGAGCATGTTCACCCACACTCGGCGTTGTCTGGGCTTCCTTTGTTTCTTCTTCTTCTGTTTCTTTTCAGACTCTGAGTCTGAGTCACTATCGGATTCTTCCTCATCCTCGTCATCCTCCTTAATCAAGACGAAGCCTCTCACCGCTGCTTCCGCGGGAGCAATCTCATCGAACTCCACCCAAGCATAACCCTTGCATTTTCCTGTGTCCTGGAATGTCGCCATATGCACACTTTCCACGGTTCCGCATGGTGCGAAATGTTCCTCGAGACCTTCCTTGGTGACATCGAAGCTCAGGTTGCCCACGAAAATTCGGCGAGACGGAGGATGGCCGGACTTGGCCACGGGGCCTGAGTTGCTTTGTTCTTGAGACTTCTCGGGACGTCCTTCAAAGCTCTTTGCGTTTTTAATTAGCACGCGGCGACCAGTCAAAAGCTGTTCACTCAGCCCCATGGCCTCTTTCAAGGCCTTTTCAGTCGAGAAGTCCACGTAGGCGAAACCCCGGTTCTGGGACTTTCCGAATTTTTCTGGGCCCTTGGGAAGATGGATGCGGGTAACAGTAGCATCGGTGAACGTGCAATTGCTGACGAAGAAGTTGCGAAGGTCGTCCTTGGTCGTCTGGAAAGCCAAGTTGCCGATCCAGATACCGTAGTCGGAGCGTTTGGTCGAATCAGCGATCTCTTTGGATTCAGGCTTTTCGGACTTGGACTGTTCATCATCGGCAGCGGGTGCGTCCTTCATCTTTTTGGCTTTGCGCAGAGCTTTCTTAGATACAGGCTCCGGCGCATTCACATCGATCTCCAGTTCGGGGCCATCTTGCAGCTTGCGCTTCTTGTGGACCTTGTCGGTTTTGTCGACCTTGTCGACCTTGTCGGTAACTTCACCCATTGTTTGATGCTGTTGCAGCAACAAAGAAATCAGAAATTTCGAAAGGTGGAAGAATGATGTCGAGAAAAAAGAAAGGTCATCAGTTTGCAATAATTTTTTACGGCGGCCGGGACCCGCCCCTCGCGCAGCCCGGGCTTGGCGCGCCTTGACTCTCCAACTCCTCTCTCCATCTCATCGAACCATCTTCCCTTTGTCCTTTCTCATCTCAACTCTGCAATCATGGCACAGGAACCCAACATTGCGATGGCCCCCGAGACCCTTCCCGATGCTCCCGCAGCTCCCCCTGCGAAGCAGTCCGTGCGCTCTTTCAAGTACGATACCTTCCCAGCTGATGGAGCTCTGGCTAATTGTGTCCTAGAAAGAAGTACGCGAAGATGAAGGTTAAATTTGAGCTAGGAACACGAGAGAGTGAAACTTTGATTCGGGAAGAACTGCGGATTGAGGATCTATCCAAGCGCATCCAGGAACAAAACGAGTACGCCCGACGCCCTCTCCCCGAAAGCCGCAAGGAGCCATTCGGACCATCGCTAATCTATCTCTAGTCAATTGCTCGAAGTCTTGCTCGAGTTCAACGAGAGTATTCATGTCTCCCCTGCCATGCGTTTCGACCTAAACATGCCCGGCGACATCCCTTTCCTTCCCGCCTCGGAGCAAGAGATCGCGCCCCTAGTCAATGACGCGACGCTCGCCAGAACCGCATTGAAAGAAGCCAAGGCCGAACTTGCAGGGGGCAATCTTTCAGCAAGCGCCTATCGTCAGGTCGAACAAAGCATCAAGCGAAACAAAGAGTTTGCACCGTCCATGCAGTACAGCACTCTCAGCCAAGTCCCACATACCAGTTCCGTCGTTCCAGACCAAGAGAAGGGTGCTAATGGAGCCGAGCGCAAGCTTGGATACTTCACTCCGGAACATGAGACCGAATACTATCTAGCTCTGGACGCGAAACTTGGCGATGAAGCTGCCGCGTTGCAACTGGAGCGTGTGCCGGATCCGCCCACATTTGCTGAGCGAGAGCGGGATGCTTCCCTGCGAAACCCTGCCTCGGTGTACAACTGGCTGCGACGCAATCAGCCCCAGACTCTACAGGATCACGAGGTCGCATCCGAGAAGTCCGCATCACGACCGTCGAACCAGCGGGCGTCCAAGCGAGCACCTGCACAGCGCAAGGAGGAGGACAAGGAAGTGTTGGAGGAGGATGGGGCGGACGCGGAGCCGACCCCCAAGAACAAGCGCAAGCGCGACGAGGATACAGGATACCGGCCCAAGGGGGGCAGCAGTCGACCAAAGAAAAAGAAGGAAGAGTCGACGCCCACTGCCAATCGCAATGCCAAAAAGGCTTGAGATTGAGCATTGATTCCATTCCGCTTTTCATTTGATGTATTATTATTATGGTATTTGGGACCACCTACATGGTTTGCATAGGAATAGTATACCGAGATCTTGAGATTAATTATGGTCCAGCTGTTCTGTAACATACCAAAGAAAGTGTATAACTAGTGAAATGGTTGAGGTTTACAATAGGAATTTGAAGCCATGGGAATTCATTGACGTACGACCAACAGTAGGGCGATCCGAAGTGGTGTGCTTTGAGCCGCAGTTTCACATGAGGATCCAGAAGCTCGGGATGTCCAGACTTGCACCAAGACAGTTGCGTAGATGAATACACTTCTGACATTTCGGCCACTTGACATCCCCATTGAACCACCTAGCGAAGCACCAAGGACTTTGGCCCTAACGTCTAGTCTGCACAGTAGAGTTTTGTGACACCAGAATTCTTATACCACAAAGCGAATGGTGGCGCAGTATCAGAGGCGAGGGCCTGGTGGAATCAGGTACAGTGCCGACCGTAATTGCCTTCCATACATTGTGGGAGATGGCCGGAGCCAAATTCCGTGCTCGTTACGGATAATGCATCTTTCCATCATTCCGACCGGGTCAAGACCTTTATGTGCTGAGGCGGGGGTCAAAGTACCGTACCTGCCGCCATATTCACCAGACTTCAACCCCATTGAGGAATTCTTTGCCAAGCTAAAAGCCTATATCAAGAAAGCTTGGTTAGCATACGAAGAGAGCCCTGGCGAAGGGTTTCATGCCTTCCTTCGACGGTGCGTACATGAGGTTGGTGTAAAACAGCAGAGCACCGAAGGCCACCGACCTTTCGATCCAGGGGGAAGGAAGAGCCGGTATTTCCTTCTCATGTGCGCTAGAGTATAAGAGTATTCAAATCCCATATCAAAACGGGATGAATTACGACGTGACCATAGAGGATATCTGCTTCGGTATTCGAAAGAGTTAAAACCACTTGTAACAGTAGCCCTAAACTTCACGCATCCACCTAACTTCCTCGCAGAACTAACTAATCGTCAGGCCATCGTTCTCGCATACCTGGCTTTATCCTTGGGATCGTATGCGCAAATTCGACTTCGAGCCAGGGATCCCAATCCCAATCAATCCATTCTGAAAAATAATCTCCTTTGCCTCTGATTTCCTTCCACCGAAGGACAGGCGAAATGTACTCTCCCAAAAAATGATCCAACTGTAACAAAGGGGGATCGTCTCGCCTGCGATTGAAAAGAGCATGGGCGAAATCAATGAATACGACACCGGGCCGGTCGCTATCTGGAGAACCTATCATCACATTTCGCGGTTCGAGATCGGTGAGCCAAATGTCCTTCTCAAAGATCCGGCTCTCAAGGTCCACAATCGACTTCAAAATGCTTTTACGGATTGTTTTTGCGAAATTTACCGGCTTCGCATCTGCCATAGTAATACCTTCTATATGGTCGACCAAAATCATTCGAACTGTCCGTGTGTGTACTGAATTCACAGATAGGCTCAAGGAATATGATCCGTAGTATCTCGGAATCCCTTCACCTTGAAGTTCGCTTAGGGCCATGTATGCATTGGCCTCATGAGTGTAGTATCTGTCCACGCAGAGGAATGGGTTGAGGTGCCCTTCGTCGTCATCGAAGTAAAGTGGGTCGTATACTTTTGCAACAAGCATTGTCCCTTTCCGAGGAAGCAATTGTGATGATGACTCAAAGTCTAGTAGTCGGACCGTAAATACCTGAGAATTATGGCCATCGCCTCCTTTCAAGAGGTCAACGACCTCTAAGCTGACAGTGTCATATCCTTCTTTGCCGGGTAAAGGGGGATGCCTTAAGCATCGGTCGATTGGACGTAGTTTCCTTCTCTCTGCCCTATCACTTTCACTGTTGATGCAGCAGCCTCGCACTACCGGTGTTGGGCTCGAAACAGTGTGAGATTTTGCGGTGAATCTCCACTTGGCAGAATATGGCAAAGGCGGCTTAGGGAATTCCGTCGATAGAGGTCCGAACGAAGACGTGAGCGCTTCAGAGATAGGCATAATAGTATTCGCTGTCACTGTAATGGACCAGTCGAGTTGAAGGCTTCTGCGACATGTGAGCGCATTTCGAAGTTGGCGCTGGAAATCTGAAAGGAGAGCGGGAAAACTTCGCCCACGTATCGGAACATCAATTTTCTGAGCGCATGGACACATGACTTTAAAAGGATGTGAGCTTTCAACTTGTTCATACTTTAGAGGCGGTGGATGTCTATAATTTTGATATTATGTATTAGTCAATCAAATAATCAAAACAACTCTTCCTTGACAATAAAGTTCTTTTGGAATTAAAGGGCTCTTGACAAAAGAAGAAGAGAAAGAAAAGGAAAAAAAAGTGGATTCCATCTGTGGAATCCTTAGGTTCCAAAGAATTCCCGTGTTGCCAGTGCGACCTCACCAGGACATCCCACGGTGCAGGCCTCAGAGAGATCAGTGCGGTATGGGTAAGACAAGGGTTTTGGAAGACCAGAGTGACAGGGGCTCTAGGGTAGTGCATACGTGCATGGTGACAACGATGTTACCGCTAGGCCACGGAGTGTCCCTGTTGAAAATCTAGGACTGATTGTAAAATATAAAGGAACAGGCTTTCCCAAATAGCGCTCGTTCAAATACCCCAGACCTCAACATTATTTTTTCGACTACTATCATATTTTTTCGGTTTGATGGTACTTTGAAACTGTTCTGCAGCGATATCAAAGATGTATACTTCGGGCTCCGGTGGGTCCCTATCACGTGATCCAAAAGAAAGTCTCCGCTGAAAGTTGAAGCTGCAAGTTTCGACCTTCTTCAGAATTATCTACGCCGATTGCTCAAAATCAACATGGCAATCACCATTCTTCCTCCCGTGGTAGAGGACTTTGGTCCCCGCCAGGATGATTCCGAAGACGAGATGTCTATGAACTCCGACGAGGACACCGAAATGGGCGGCGTCTCTCTCGGCCGGCCAACCAAGCGGGCCCGACTTGGAAACAAGATTGGAATGGGAATTGTGACACCCGGTGAGGTGGTCACGGATGACCCTCAATGGATGAGGTGAGTGCTCGATCTTCTGTCACTGCGGGGCAAGAAAGCTGTGCAGAGGGGAACGGAACTAACATTCAGCAGAGGCCATGGCACCTATATGAACCCCCTCTCTACGTCGATCATCGCCACAGTCGCCGGTACAATCAATAAGACCAATAAGCTTCTTTCGGTGCACCCATTGCGGGCCCGATACACACCCGAGATCGGTGATCTGGTAATTGGAAGAATCGTGGAAGTGCAGTCCAAGCGGTGGAAAGTCGACGTTGCAGCTCCGCTGCTTGCCGGACTTCCTCTTTCAGCCATCAATTTGCCCGGTGGTATCCTCCGTCGACGAACGAGTGCCGACGAGCTCCAGATCCGGACTTTCTTCAGCGAGGGCGACTTGGTTGTTGCGGAGGTGCAGAGCGTGCACCAGGATGGATCAGCCTCGCTTCACACCCGTTCTCTGAAATACGGCAAACTTCGAAATGGTATCTTCCTTGCTGTTACAGGTACCGGTGGCAGCGGAGCGTCCAGCACCAGCACCAAGGGCGGCGTTGGCTCCGGATCGACACCGGCTGCTTCGAGCGGGACTGGAGGTGTAGTGCGATCACGACGACAGGTGTGGACTGTGAACACCGCCAACGGCGGCGGTGATGTCGACGTTATCCTCGGAGTGAATGGATATATCTGGATCTCCAAACACGCGGACGGAGCGGCTGCAGCCTCTTCGACCACCGAGAACGTCTCCATTACACGCATGGAAGAGATGGTATCGAGCTCGATCTACTCCAGTCAAAACGATGACATTGCGCCGCAAACACGCCGGGAGATTGCCCGCCTGGCACAATGTATTCGAGTCCTGGTACAAGGCGGCGTACGGGTGGACGAGGAAACGGTCATGGGGGCCTACGAGGCTAGTCTCCAGGTGGATCTGGAAGTTGGCGACGATGAAGATGACGAAGAGGAGTTACGCCAGGAGGGACGGGAGTATTTGGAGGGAGCCAAGGCACGGCGCATTCTGGAGGTGGTGATTCGTGGGAATTAGCATAGTGATTTAATTGTACGATAGGCGATACCCCAAAATAAATCATGATAACTACCACTACAGCCGTCTATTAACTATCATGATAAAGTAGAATAGTCCAGGCTATGATCGAGACCGGACGATCAAATGAAAGACCAAATCATACAAGCCCGAGATAAATCCCGCACTGGCGGTCAGCGAGCCACGGGCGGCGCATTACGCATGAACTCACCTCACCTAAGCAGGGTTCACAGCCCGGGGAGGCAACATTTTTTTCTTAACTCCTTCACTCATCTCGAGGTTTCTGTTTTACCCTTTATGTTTCTACTGCAGGACTATGTGCTATTCTACACTTTTCAGCCCTCCTTTTCATTTTACCATAGCTCCGTTCCAATAGGGTGACCTTTTTCATCCCACTTTACTACCTCGGCACCTCGAGCTTGAGGATTACATCGAATACTTTCTGAACTCGAAATACGTCAAGCACCCCTCTTTCCATCATGCCTGATCTTCGTCGCCAGATCTTCGAGAGCGGCAAGACCGTCTCGCGCAAAGCAGCTTCTCGTGAAGCTTCCCGTTCCAACTCTCGCACGGGCTCCAAGCAGTCGTCACGGGCTGCGAGCAGAGCTGCATCGGACGATGAGGATTCCGGTTTCCTCTCTGATGATACCGCTATGAGGTGAGCTATCATTCCGATCCCTTTTTCTCCTTTACGCGATTCTTTCGTTGTGCATTCCAAGTCTTGATCATGGTCCCACATCGTAGCGGGATGATGTCACCGCTGTCGACGGTGTTTTTTTTTTGTGTTAGCGGGGCGCTAATCAACTATCGTATAGTATCGGCTCTCTTGACGAGGAGAACCCGGAACAGGATAACGTCGATTGGCCCCAGGAGCTAGCCGATCGCATCCAAGAGATACTCGACCGCAAACGCAGCAGTGTGCAGGGCCGCGAGGAAGCGTATGCTGCTTTCTGCCGCCTAACCAAATACCACTATGCCGAAGAGGAAATGCGTGTGTCGGTTGCCGACCTGCTGAGTGCGTTCGTGAGAAGCGTGCGAAATGAGTCCAGTGCACGCGAAACGACCCTGGCCCTCCGCGCCATCGAGTTGCTAGTCATCACCTCCTCCGACGATAAGATCTACGAAAATGCCGAGCCCGTCCTGACACGCATCATCCGCGACTCGACATCCAACGCAATCAAAGCAGCGGCGATCCAGTGCCTGGGCACTTGCACTATATTTGGTGGTGCAGGTGAGGATGGCATTCTTGAGCAGATGACTTTCCTCCTGGACATAGTTGCCTCGGACGGCCAGTCCATCGAGGCCGCGGACGACCCAACCAGCGTGACCGCCGCATTGCAAGTATGGGGCTTCCTAGTAACCGAAGTCGACGATTTCGAAGACGAAAGTGAGGAGGCAGTGCAGATCTTCATGGACCAACTAGACAGCGGCGACTCCGGCGTACAGATCGCAGCCGGCGAGAACATTGCCATTCTCTACGAAAAGAGCTATACGCCGCAAGAAGAGGATGAGACCGACAGCGAAGAATCCGAAGAAGAGAGCGACGAGCACGCCAACGAGCCCGCATCCGGACCGAAGCTCGTTAAGCGCTATAACGCCTACCACAACACACCCGAGCTTGAGCGCTCGCTGCAGAACCTAGCAACAATCCACAACAAGCGCATCAGCAAGCGCGACAAGAAGTCCCTACACAGCAACTTCGCTTCCATCCTGACAACGGTTGAGAACCCACGCCGCGGACCGCGCTATAACATGGCCATTGACCAAGATACAAACCGCCACTATGGCAGCACACTCACCGTCAAGATCGGCCGACACGGCATCATGAGCATCGACCGGTGGTGGAAATGGGTTCGCTTGGGCTCACTGCGTCGGATCCTACAGGGTGGTTTTGCAGAGCACTATTTCCAGGGCAATAGAGCTGTTCTCGATAACTTGCCCGTGATGATGCGGATGCCGGAGACGAGCCAGACTACACCTGACCGTACTAGTGCGCGCAAGGCGGCGAAGATGCGCAACTCGAAGCGCTGGACTGCGCATCAGGACTCGGATGAGGAGGATTAGTTTATGTCCTATGGCTTTCTTTTTCTCTTATTACTACTCGGCGTGATCCATGGTCTTTTTGTGTTCAATGTACACAGTGTGTTTTGTTTTTTTGTTTTTTTGCTTACCCTCTTATACAGAAATGTATTCTTTGCAGTAGTAACGTTCAACGAAGATGCATGTTTTGTCTTTATGCGCTATCAGGAGAGCTTTGTCAATAACGGATTAATTCACGCGAAAACCACACTCCATCAATCACAACAGCCCTAGTAAGATCTCAGATCTCATAATTCTGGAAGTAATGTCAAATGCAAATGTAATTGACACTATTCTAGAGTGGAGTATACCGAAACCCCCCAACACATCTAAGCTTCTAGCCTTCTTCTCATCCTTCTCAAAATCCAAATATCCTCCAGGGAAATAAGAATAAAGCAAAGCCAAGCCAACATATGAAACCATATTAATCCTCAAAAACAGGCACAACATCAGACCAAGTACCCCGCGCGCGCTCATCCCAGTAACCGTCCTTACCACCCTTCAAACGCCAAACGGTCTCGCCATCAGAGTCGTCGCTGACCCGCGTAAACCAGCGCGGGGTCCAGGACTCGCCGGAAGCTTCCATGTCACGACGGCGAGCCCGCTGACCCTCTTCTAGCTGAACCTTGACTTCCTCGGCGCGGTCGAGGTCACCGTCCTCAAGAGCGCGCTGGTCAGGACGTAGACGGGAGTCTGTGGGTGGGAGGTGGGAGTCCTCGATTGAAGTGATTTCGTTCAATGTGGCGGCGAAGGAGGTGAGGCCGTAGTGCTTTGGGGCGGAGGGGACGAGGTTGCCTACTGTCCAGATTGGTTTTCCAGTTGGGGAACCGTCGTTGGTTAGGGACAGGGAGGATGGCCAGGTTCCGGATAGACCGAGGGATAGGGGCTTATTGTTCGAGTCGACGGCGCGAGTGGAGACTTCTTCACTGCGGCCGGAGAACATGCCACCTGCCTTGAAGGTGGAGATTGTGCGTTGGCCGGTAGACTCATTGTATATTGTGAGTTCGCCGACTGGCTCGACGTATTTCTCGCCTGCGATGATGTTGCGCAGGAAAGAGGTAGCTGGGGTCCAGCTGAAGCGCTCGCCTGTGGCGTGGAGGATGATTCGGACGCGGCCCTCGGTAATGATTTCGGCGGACTTGCCCCAGAATTTCTGGCTGGGCTTTGGAGACTGCGCGAGACTCCATTCCTTGCTATCGGCCTGGTAGGCCAGTTGGACGGGTCTGTGGGAGACTTTCTCGGCGATGAAGCGGAATCCGCAGTCTTCGCGGACGAGTTCGTATGTTTCACCCAGCATGGGGTTGAAGGGCTTGCGGATTGCACGCTCGCGGACTCGGTTGCTTGAAAGCGAGGATACAGCAAATGCAGTGACGTACATCAATCGTTCAACGCTGTCTGATATCTGGGCAGCTTGGTCCAGTAGCGACGAGTACTCCATGATCTCTGCTGCACGTTGTAGCAGGGAGAGTGGCTCGTTTGCAGACACGGGCATGGATATTTGGGATAGATCCTTGCCGACATTCTTGCGGAGGAAACCAATTAGACTTGGAGGCATGACCGTGGGAGCCAAAATATTCTGGCGACGACGAATGGTATCCAAAGGGAGAGGGGACAACGATTTCGGACGGGCTGGGAAAAGCGGCGAGGCACTGCTACTGTCATGAGGAGCTTTCGACTCGGATTCACCATCACTGTCCGATGGCGCATCGTCTTCAACCTCAGCAGCACCGCCTACCGTATCGCCTTCGTCTTCGCTGTCCTGGATCGTCAGGAGCGGAGATGCGGCACCTCCGTCCGTAGCATCAAAGAATTCCTGCGAGATATCCGACTCCATACTCTTACGACTTGCCATTGCTGGCCCGGGCGGGTATCGCCGTTGCTTACTCTCAGCAATGAGGGTTGAAAATTCAGACACGGCATTGTCGAGATCACGTAGGACCGCCATCAAATTATCATGAATCGCGTCCATTCCATCTGCATGGCTGTGAACGCTGGCCGGTTTGCCGGTCCCATTTTTCGTCGGAACTACCAGCTGGGAAGAACTAGGGTTGGCCTGCTTGCCGCTATGATTGGAGTTGCCGCTAGTCTTGCGTCTCCAGAAAGGAGGCCGCTTTGGGTCAATACCAGGCGAATCATTCGCAGGAAGGTGAGGACTAGGAGACCGGGCACGAGTTTGCTCCGAGGCAGACGGGGGCGGAGACGCGAGATACTTTGGATCTGTGTCCTTGGCGAGGCGGCGCACTGCATCTCGCGACCCGGAGACTTTACTGACGAGGCGCTCGACTCGAGTCCATTCATGCTCTTCCGCCGGGGAAGGCGTCGACGGGACGGACAGCCGCAGCTCGGGAGGACGGGGAGCAGCGAGTCCATCATCCTTGGAAGAAGCTTTCTCCAGGGCGCGCTTCCAGGCCACGAAGTCCTGCTCGTTGCTCGCACGGAGATGCCAGATCTCCGTGCCCGAATCAATGGAAATCTCGCGGGATTTCTCGTTGGTCGCGACAGCCGCCAAAGATAGCGGGATAGCACCCCGCAGCGCAGACGAGTTGGGGTCATGGTAATACGATAGCGTGCTCGAGGTAAAGTCCAAGGAGAAGAATCGACGGGCCCATCCCTGGCCCCGCTTCCGCCGTCGCTTCTGGAGCTGGCCAGAGTGTACGGAGGAGTCCGACAGCTGCGCATTCAGAGTAGACCGGCTGTTGCCGCGTCTACGCGTACGCGGCTGCGTGAGTGACTCGCTCGAGCCGCTAGGCTGGGAGCGTGCAATCGAAGATGCTGCGGAGACGTGAGGCTGGAAGCCGGTCGGGTAGGTCAGGAGGACGAGAGTGAGGGTCTTGGAGACTTGTTTGGAGAAAGTGTTGTCGAAAACGAGCGCGTAGTTACCACCTTCGTTGGCCGGCACATCGTATGTCCCCTGCAAGACCGTGTTGGCTTCGCACTTGCCAATCCATTTGATAGTCTTGAGGCCAATCCCGTTCAACTTCTCCACGACATTGGACTGCTGGTTGCGCGAGCCGGAATTCGCGGCCGTCGCAGGGAGGTTCTCGTTTGAATCGGTGCTTTGGGATTCGGAGCTGGGTAGGTGGGAGCTCAGTTGAGTGGACTGGCCGGGATGCTTGAAGAGTCCGAAGTTCACGGACTTCTTGTGTGGCTGGATGCTCCACGAGATGGTGTGGTTTGCGCTAACATTGATCCAGCGTACGAAGTACGACTTCAAGAAGATTAGCAGAGGATATAGAGCAGGTTGACCCTACTTACCTTGCTATGGATCTCCAGCTCCTCCATTGCCGCCATGATGCAGAGTTGAAGTGTGTAGCCGACGCGATCCGGTGGAGTTGCGGCTGAAGGGGGGAAACAAACGCGGGCGGACAGGGCTACGTAGCTCTTCAGGACTCTTCAGGCACCGAAACCTATACAGAATAGAAAATGGGGAAATGGGGTAATGGGAAATAAAATGAGGACTAGGAATTAACTCAACCACTTTATGACGACAATCTCAGCCTTTGTAGATCCCCCGCCAGGGGAGAAGAGCGATCAAATGGCCCGAGGCCGAGGAATTGCTGGTTGTTGTTCACATGGGGATCCACGCTGAACCAGCGGACGTATATATGCACGGTCCCTCCCAAAATTAGATTTACTAGTTGCGCGTATCATGGAAACGTATTTTGTCTGCCATGGGGTGTGACCCACCGAAGTTCTAGAGAATTGATTCCGAGCGTATAGTTGGCTTCGATGAATTCAAGCCGTTTTGACGTAGAAACACTGACTGGATAGCCCGGCCTGTAAGCTGACGCCCACAACTCATTTTCACGTGGGTTTCCTGAAAAACGTAAGCTGATTTTCATCATTGTCCTTGTAAATTGTCGGAACCCCCGTGGCTTGTCTTCGATGTCCTCGGCAATTTCCACGCCAGGCTGACCTTTCAGATATGCGTAATAGTCAAGCTCAGAAATCCCCAGTAAACGTTAATCTAGGCAGCTACATTGTCACATGCGGTACAGTACCGACCGTTATCGCCTTCCATGCCAAATAACATGGAGGTCTTCTTTCAACCCCTAATCACATGATGCGTTAGTCCGCTTATATGGTTAAGTGTGTATTGAATGATACATTCCAGGCTTGAACAGTATGATTCAGAACAAATAGAATAACTTACTAATGTAACGTATTCAAAAAAGTTCGGCTTGGATATCCATTAAATACAGAGATTTGTATATTCTGCCTCACATTTGGAGTAATTTTTGGTCATGCAGCAATTTATGTTCTAGATTCAATTTAAATTCAAACATCATTCTTACTATGCCTATTTATTGATCGCTGTCTATTGTACATACATCTTAGCACCCTTGCTCATCTATCAAAAACCCTAGCAACCTGTTTGGGATCCCTTAGCTTTGTGGGGTCCAACTTACTTTGATTCCACTTTTTTTCACAGTATTTCTTGAGTCCCGTAGTTGACGTCTTTCGGTCAAACCGTTGCGAAACCCGATCAGCAGTGTGCATTTCTTTTCTTATGAGACTATGCAACAAATCCTTCTTAACAGATTGATCACAATAGAATGAAAGGTGGATAATTTAGGCTTTCTGCGAGTAGTGGATACAGTACACCACTGGCGACAGTATCTTGATATCCATCGAGCAATCAACCAGCCTGCTCTTGGGCAGTTATTCCGATCACATGTCTTGCTACCTAATCGGCTGGTTCCCCCTGTTCTCTTGGTACCTAATCAACTTCCATACTTCATCAAGATTTTCACCCGGACACTCTGTATGTTTCTTCGACATTTCTGATTTCGTTTTTTCGCTTTCGTAAGATGAATCCACGTTTGCCCTTCGATGATGCTGCCTGGGAAAAAAGCGACTAGATTGAAGACTCCTGGCTAGATCTTCTCTTCGACGAAGACATCTACAATGAGATTGGAATTTTTCTCGCTAAACATCATTGCCCTCGCCAATGGGCCGATTTCAAATTTTTCAAATCCGGCGGTTTCAACGCTAGCTTCCTTATGACATTCACCGATACCGATACTGGCGGCGCTGTTTTAAGACTCCCACTGCCTGGCGTTTATATGTTTCCCGAGGAAAAAGTTCGTAATGAGGCCTCTATCATGCAATTCATCACGGAAAGAACTTCACAAACAATGCCGATTCCAGTTCCTATGGTCTCCCGCTGGGGAGAGAGAGACGAGAGCCCCTCAAATTTGGGTCCCTTTATAATCATAGGCTATATTGACCACGAGAGAAGCATATCTGATCTTCTCGAGACGCCGGCACGCCAATCAAAACAACGTCCAGAACTAAATCCGGATATCAGCACAACAAAGCTAAAAGCTCTCTATAGAGAACTAGCCAATATTGTCTTTTCTCTATCTACACTATCTGCGAACCGGATTGGGTCTCTAAAACAGACCGGCAAATCAGCGTGGGAAGTGGCATATCGACCATTATCCATTTCTATAAACGAAATTGGGCGTCTAGGGACCCTACCTCGATCGAAACTCCCCACCGCGATGTACGATAGAGCGTCTTTGTACTTTGAAGCCCTAGCAGAGCTACATATTTCACACCTCAAACACCAAAGGAACAATGCTATAGACTCGGCCGACGACTGCCGGTGCAAGTTTGTCGCTAGATTCTTATTCCGGAAACTGGTTCGAGATCGGGAGCTTAGGGACAAATAGATATCTTATGAGCATAGCCCATTTCCAGTTTGGTGCGACGACTTTCGACCACAGAATGTTATGGTCGATAAAGCTGAAAAGGTCGTTAGGGTGGTGGATTAGGAGTTTACGTATACCGCCCCAGTTGAATTTACTCATGCTCCACCCTGGTGGCTTCTTCTCGAAAAGCCGGAATATTGGACCAAAGGTCTTGATGACTGGTGTGCACAGTATGAGAGACGGCTTCAGATCTTCCTTCAGGCAATGATGGATTGCGAAGAGGACGCGTACCAGACTCGGAACGAACGACTCGAAGAAAGCCAGCGACTCTCTAGTCGGATGCGACATAGCTGGGAGAGCGGAGACTTTTGGATCATATATGCTGCAAGGAACAATTTTGCCTTTGACGCCATCTATTGGAACAAGATCGATCAGCGATTCTTCGGGTCCAATAAATCTGACGACAATATATGCGATGTATGGAAGAAAAGACTTCATCTCTTGGAACCTGAAGAAAAGGAAATGATGGATAAATATGTGGATTTGAAGCTTCAGGAGAATGAGACAAGGCTTCTCTCTTGGGACCCAGATCAGTATACCCTGGAATACATGGCCAAGATGGAAGCTTGATCGCTCTTGTTGGATGATTTAGGAAATAAATATCCTGGTTTGCCACGTGCATTTAAATAGAGTGGATGCTCTTGTACTAATGCTTCGCATTCAATCCAATTATTGTCGCTTACTAATATTAGTCACCCGCTTTGAAAGAAACAGCCCTCTATACATCTTCTCCTGTCATGACCTGTCAGGAGAAAAGTGGACCTATTCTACATGCACGACCTCTGCGGGCTCTCGTGCTACAGAGACCCTACCTAGGGGCCTACATTATATATGCATTGCCGTCGCTCGTAAAGCTGCGGAAAAATTGGGACCACCATCCTGTTGCGTACGTCTTTCTACACGTCTCTTTGAATATGCCCGGACAGATAATCATGACCGCCTAATTAAGCCCAATTACAATATCTCCTTAATCCCGAGGTACGCTTCGTTCCCATGCTGAATGCTGTCCATTGTAAAGTATAGTGGTTACAGGATGCCCATCCCCCCAAACGACCAGAAGGTGTATCAAATTAAAAAACAAAACAAAGAGAGGCATAGGAAGAAAGAAACTCGAGAAATGCAATGCCCCATCTTTTGTTTTTGATCCGCTTTTCCTTGAAATTTCCCATAGATGAATAGTACACTGTACAGACGACGCGTTCACCTCCGACTGGCCTGCATGTTGGTGAACATCAACTTGAACCCGTTGCACAGGGCCTGCATGTCCGGGTAGGGATTCTTTTGCAGCTCGAAGCCCTGCGGAATCACCTTGACGGGCCAGTTCTGGAGTTTGGAATGTTCGCCGGCCTTGAAACAAAGGTAGAAGTAGCCGGGATATTTGGGGTTGATGCAGAACGCATAGGCCGAGCGACGGGGGTTGGCCTTGGTGTAGGTCTCGAGCCATTGATCTGTCGATAGTGTTAGTGATATGGTAACATTGAGGGATGAAAGGAAGCGTACCAGTCTCGGTCTTGCTGCCGTCTTGATACTTCTCGTTCGCCATCATCTCCTCCACCTTCTTGGCCATCGCCTTGACGTGGTTGACGATGAGATCGTCCAGATCACTGTAAGTATACCTGCCTCCGACCTTGAGCACACGGCCAACCGAGAACTCGTTCTCCTTGTCCAACTCGAGCACGTCGATATGCTGATAGACACCGTGCGCCACCTTCCAAGTAACCGCAAGGTGGTCGGGTCCACGAGAGGAAGGACGGATGACTACATCGCCGCGGCTGCGAGAGCCCAAATATTCCTCCGCTTGGGTGGAGTTGAACGGCCGGAAGAGCGGGTGCTTTATGACACGCTGGGCCTGGCCACCGCGTTGCGTCTTCTCTTGCATCGACTCCCGATCCTTCCGTTCCTGAAGTTCGTCCCAGTCGTTGAAGCCGTGCTCGGGGGTCCGGCGAACAGGATCAGATACTTGGTCTTCGCGTAATGAAACATTGCAAGTGAAGCTCTTGCGGTTCAAAAACATGATCTTGGCGGGAACAGTCTGATGGACTGAGAAGGAAGAACGAACAGGCGTGTCAATAGGCACACCGAGCTCGGTCTCCGAAACTAGCGCATCAATTCCACAGTCTAGTTTGGCGTCGATATGATCCTCGAACACACGCTTGATGGAAATAGGTACCACCATGCCGTTGGTCAGGGACTCTGGCGTTTCACCTGTGAGCATGGTGAAGATGTCATCGGTGCTGAGGAAGACGAACTGCTTGCGCAGTTCTTCGTATGGCTGTTGCAATTCTGCACGGATCGTTTCCAAAGTAGCACGCTTCCGCTGGTTGAGGTTTTTCTCGAGTTGCTCAGCGTACTCCTCGAGAATCAGATCGTTGACACGATCCTGTTGTTCCTCACGGAACAATTTGCGCACAATTGCACCCGAGCCGTTCTCGTCTGTCTCGGCCTTGATATCTTCCTCATCCAACTCCAAGGCATCGGCGGCCATTTTGCGCGCAATGTCGTAGTCTTCAGGGTGTACACGAGTGTTGTCCAGCGGGTCGGCATCTGGGTCGGCGTTCTCGAAATCAATGAAGACGAAGCTGGCGCAGTTGTTCCACACCTTGACACCCATAGCGGGATACTGTGCGTTAACACCCAGAAGCTCCACACGATTGTTCACCACTCCGCCGTTCATGTTTACGATCTTGAGCAGATGGGCAGCCTTTCGAGGTCCAAGACCGCAGACATACGGCAAGAGATTGGCGCTCATAGTGTCGGTAACCGCTTCGTTCAAGTCGACGCCCACCAAGTTGACCATGTCAACCAGAGCAGTCTCCAGCTGCTTAAGCAGCAACTCCTGAGAAACCAATTGCTGGCCGGGCTTGAATTGGATTGAGATAATATCGCGGCCCAGCGAGGCATACTCCTTGAGCGGAGACTGCAAGTATCGACCCAAAGCCACACAGTAGTGGGTCAAGGGACCGAAGCCCGGGTTATCTTGACGAGCGCGAGGGCTGTTGTGATAAAGTCGGGCAACCTCGTCATTAACAATGACCACTTCCAAACGATCGCTGACTTCTTCGTCGCGGTCATCTGCGTAAGTGGCTCCACGAATGTCCTTCAGGTCGATAAGCTCAGACAGGTACTTATAGAGACGACGGGTCTCTGGTGTCATACCAGAGACGCCAATGACATCTGGTTTACGGCGGTCCACCAGATCCACAAAGGCAGCTACATCAGCGCCATCCGAGATTCCGCGGCTCTCGTCACCAACTGACAAGTCCTTAAACTTGCCATTCTCGAGAACGCGACCATCCTCTTCGATGTAGGCCCAGTGAATTGGGTCTCTGCCCACGACACCGGTTCCGCAAGACAAGGCGATGACCCGCGGCACTGTGCCCAGGACCATTCCCTTGGGCTTGTAAGGGGCCTGATCCAAGCGCTGGGAGAAGGCCTCACGGCACTCCTTAGCCACGTGATTCTCACACTCCTGTCGTATGTTCTCCTTCACGCTGCGGTTGATAACCCGCTCTAGCTTGCCGAGGGCTAGGTCGAGCACTTCACGACGAAGACGGTTCCACGCATCAGCAACCTCGGAGTAGTTGTCGGATTCGATGTCAGCGTAAAGGCGCTGACGGAACTGTTCGAAGTTCTCGAAGCGGACTTTGACTTCCATTAATCCTTCCTCCTCAGCCTTGAGCATTCGCAAAAACATCTCCGGGCGTCGGGCAATGTCCATGAGCTGTTGGTTCCGCAGGTACTTGAACTCGTAGTACGGATGCTGCTCGTCGATTCGGCGTAAGCCCTTTTCGGTGCGGAAACAGTCGACCACTCCGTTCATATAATAAGCTTGCCGGATGACTTTTCGCATTTTGGGGCTCAAAACAAGCTCCTCGGAAAACATGCTTTTGGCAGCCTTCAAAACGTGTGATGTGTTGGAGAAATCGGTGTCGACGAATTGATCTGCTAGCTCCTCTGGGCCCTCCGCTGGGTCCTCGGTGTATTGCCGGCGACCTTCCTTGGAGGCATTCTGCGCAAATGCGTCGGCAGTGATACCAAATGCGCGCACCATGCCGTAAGCCTTGCCATTCCGTACCCGTTCAAAGAAGGTCTTGCTGGTGGCCTTGCGACGATGCGGCTCCCCATTTGCATCACCATTGACCGCTGCCATATCACGCAGCTGCGATGCATATTGGAAATGGATGTAATCTTGTACGTCCTGGAGTTCTTCCATTGTAGCGGCCGAGGCCAAGAGGTCCTCCACGTTGGCATCATTGACACTGAAAAGGTTCTGCAGGTTGTCGTAGGCTTTCTGGATCGTGTTGCGCTTGTCGACCAATGCGCGGAATTTCAGGTCGTAGTCAAAGATATCCCACAGATCTGTCATGTTCAAAAGCTTCTCGGCGCGAATGCTATACTGAGCGGACTCATCGGCAGGATCGGCTCCATTGACGGGCTCCTTAACAGCATGAATCATGTAGTCTTTGCGGTGCTGGAAAATAAACGGAACCTCCCAGTCGTCTGTGATGAGGAATTCCAACATCTTGGCCACCGAACGCTGGAATGGCTCGCGCAGCTCCGGCTCCATGCGCTTCTTGAGCAACATCAAATTGGAAATCCAAATGGCCTCTTCTCGGAACTGGTCCTCTGACAGTATGACATGTTTGTAGGGCTTGCGAGCGACCTGGTGACGCTCGGGCTCGTCGAGCAGACGGATTTCGTTGTCCTCTTCAGTTAACATCCTCTCGGCCAACTCGGACGGTTCGAAGACATCCTTCAAATCCAGGCGTCTGGACTCTTCCTCCTTTTCATCATCTTCTTGGTCTTCGATATCGAGTGCGAATCTGTATTCTGTGCCGTCACCGAACGCGGCGCGCATATCTTCCAATGCGTTCTCGTCCAGGCCTGCCGCTTCAGTGGCACCAAGTCCAGGCATGCTCGGTCGGGCTGGAGGAGCAACCTCCAGATCGTCTCGCTCGCGCTGTCCCTCTTCGTCGGAAAAGGTATCCTCCTCGATGAAGCCTTCCATCTCGTCGTACGCGCCGCGACGGCGGGATCCGCTATATCCGGGAGCTTGAGCCTCCTCTTCGTCGTCTGAATTGAACATATCATCGATTCCTTGGGGTGATTGCTGTTGCTCGCGGTCCTTTCCTCGCTTCAGGCGCTTAAACTTGGACTGTTCCGTCGGAAGAGTTGCTGTCAGTTAAATTCACCACACCCGATCCCCATTCAAGGATAGCGGGCCAATGCAATTGAATCCACATACCTCAGAGGCTGCTCCTCTGTTACCGGGAGCAGTAATACCTATCAGCTCCAGATCCTCCTCATCGAGGTGTTCCTCTTCGTCGGCGCGCCGCTTCTTAGTACCCTCGCCGCGCCGACGACGTTTGCGATCCTCGATTTCTTCATCCTCGTCAACAATGAAGCCCTCACGAACCTACAATGGCAGTTACATGTCAGCGCACAATTCATCATCCAGAAGCTCCAAGCTACTCACGGCGCGCTGGGCCTCCTCGTCGTCTTCATCTTCATCGTCCTCATCACTGGAGTCGTTGTAGTGATTGACGGTCCCGGCACCCTCGCGAACCTCGCCGTCGTAGTCGTCCATGCCCTCGTCGTTCTCATCGTCCATCAGGGCCTCGCCTTCGACCAGGTCGCGGAGACTCATTGTGGCTGATCGGAGTAGCTACTCCCAGTGAATAGGGAATAGCGGGTTGAAGGAGAGTGCAACAGCGCAGGGCACCCGGCAGTGCCCAAGGCGCGGAGGTGATAAGAAAAGGGGTTGAGTTGGGGGGAAAGAGAGGCGAGCGCAGAGAAAGGAAGAAGCACGACTCTCCGAAGGAGAACGCGGTGGCGCTGACTTCGCGCTGTGGCTGCCCGTGGCTGGTGCAATCACGTGATCACATACTGTGTCTCAGGTGTTGTGTTGCAGTAAATGGCTTTTGTTTCTTGGATTGATTTCATGATTCAAGTGAAATGAAATAAACAATACGATGGAAAGGAATCAAGTTGAAATTGTTATTTTCGATGTTTGATATGTTACAAATCTTCGAGAACGGATGCCCAAGAGGGAGCAGTTCGGGGCTCAATGGGTTGAGGACTAGTGGAGAATCAGGAACACATCTGTTTCAGTACGAGTAAGGCTGCAAAGGATCGCCAGCTTCCCCCTGAAAGATCAAATAACCAAAAATTGGAAAGCCACACGATTCTCCCATTTGGCGCCGACTGCAAATCCCTCGGTTTTGTTGGTCAAGTCGATGCGCCCGCAAGACCCAATCAGCGCCGCCAAGAACCACCACCGGTGATATCGGGTTCCCCGCCGCGCTTCTTCCTTTTGTTCCCCCCGTCAGCGAGGTCGTTAAGGCCTGGTGATCGCTTCTTCTCTTTCTCCCTCCGAACAATATTCTACACACCTCCGCCATGGCGGATCAGTTCAAGGCCCGGACGTTGAAACGCAAGAACGTTAAAGGCCTCGCCCTCAATGCGACCCCCAAACCAGCTGCCTCCAATCCCTCCGATGGCGATGCTCAAGTCCCCGGTGCGATTGGAAACTCCGATGGCAACCGCACAGATACTCTGGAGATTGGACTAGAGTTCCGACTGGATCTTCGCAGCGAGGATCTGGTGACGTTGAAGGAGCTCGGAGCAGGAAATGGAGGCACCGTCTCCAAGGTCATGCATGCCTCGACCAAGGTCGTCATGGCTCGAAAGGTGGGGTTTAGCTATTCAAGCTGATACCGCGAGCAAATCAACTGACTGATTATGCCCCGTTCCAGATCATCCGAGTCGATGCCAAAGAGAACGTGCGGAAACAGATTCTACGAGAACTTCGGGTGGGACACGACTGCAACTCGCCCAATATCGTGACGTTCTACGGTGCCTTCCAAAATGAGGCCAGGGATATTGTTCTGTGCATGGAATACATGGACTGCGGGTAGGTTTTGTGTGATGGATCCGAGAAAGAGGGGGTTGCTGACGCCGTCAACTACAGGTCCCTCGACCGCATCTCTAAGGATTTTGGCCCGGTACGAGTCGATGTGCTGGGCAAGATTACCGAGTCCGTGCTGGCCGGTCTGGTTTATCTCTATGAAGCACACCGGATCATGCATCGTGATATTAAGCCCTCCAACGTCCTGGTCAACTCACGCGGTGATATCAAGCTGTGTGATTTTGGTGTCGCCACCGAAACCGTCAACTCGATCGCCGATACCTTTGTTGGTACCTCGACCTACATGGCACCCGAGCGTATCCAAGGAGGTGCTTATACCGTTCGCTCGGATGTATGGAGTGTGGGTTTGACTGTGATGGAGCTGGCTGTGGGACGATTCCCATTCGATACTTCAGACTCCGCAGCAGGAGACCGCGCCAGTGCTGGCCCCATGGGTATTCTGGATCTGCTTCAGCAAATTGTTCATGAAACTGCACCAAAGCTTCCCAAGAGCGATGCCTTCCCTCCTATTTTGCACGACTTTGTCGGGAAGTGTCTGCTGAAAAAGTCGGAGGAACGACCAACTCCGCGAGAGCTATACGTAGGATTGACCCATTCTACCGATGATATTCATCACTGACCTTTTCAATATAGGACAAAGATGCGTTCTTGCAAGCAGCCAAGCGCACCCCGGTCGACCTGCAGGACTGGGCCATCAGCATGATGGAACGACACAACCGCAAGTCGTATCTGGCACCCCCGGCGCCAAAGTCACTAAGGGAGGGTCCAACACCGTCATCGAACACTCCATCCTCAGCTGGAGCGGCATCAGACGTACCACCACCGATCTCCAAGAGCACCCCCACCACCAACAAACCACTTCCACTTCCACTTCGTCAGCAAGCGCCATCTCCGTATCAGCAGAACCCGCCCTCGGGCGAGATTCCCGTGAACAACAGCAGCGATGCATCCACATCTCACCGCTACTATGGCCCCTCGAGCAGCCAGAACCACCACTACTCATCCTCGCGCTCCACGCGGTCCCCGCCACCCCCATCCTTAGAGCACCTCTCGCTGGAGACAAAGGATGACAATGATCCAAGACCGGGCCGTATGCAATCACGCTTCCTCGGTGACCCTGTTTCCGCCGTTGATGCACCTCCTCGTCCATTTATGAGTCCCCGGTCTGTCAGCTCGCATAACACAAAGTCTCGCACCAATTTGAACCCCGCCACGATGCCCATCCGTTCCGTTCCCCCGCCGAGTGGGCCACCACCCCTTCCCCCTGTATCAACGGGGGGAAACTGGCGCGTTTACCCCGGCCAGATGCCCGGAACGAACTCTTAAGGGAACTTACCCGAGAGGGATGTTGATATGCCATCCAAACGACTCATCGTGATGTCTACTCAGATGTGAATTGCATATGCACATGATTTTGCGACTCGCCCGCACCATTCCCCAGACCTTTTTTTTTTCTATCCGATTATCTGTCATTTGCTCTGGTTCCATTTCTTGTTGATGTTTGGCAATCTGCCTCGTTTTCCATTTCTGGCGCTGTGTACGGAAAAAGACAAGGCAGGGCTGAGCACATTTTCCTTTCCATGATCTATGGAATTTTTTTCCTTGTTTCTCTTCTATTCCCCTCCCCACCTGTGGATGTTTCTCTCCTTTCCCCTTCATTTCCTTCTCGATGATTTTACTCCGGCAACGACAATGACTTTGCCCGCTTTCTGTTTTCCTTGCTTCGATATGTTCCTGCATGACACGGCGTACATAAATGCAAGTATTTGATGCTACAATATCATCTTTTGATCTGAATATAGTTCTCGTCCGTACCAAGGTTTCAGCCTGTGTGTCGTCCTCGCATAACTACAGAATACAACCTAGGATCAACCACTGTAACTTAGGCATATCATAAGCAAATCAATGCATAAATAGATGTACTCTCTCATATAGATACAAAACTGATGCAAAAAGCAACAGAAACGCGGTCCCAGGAAGCTGAGCAAAAATAAAATATTCAAAGATGAACAGAATGAAACGCCAATTCCGAAACACCCTGACATAACTCCTCAAAAAAAAAGTATCTATTTCATAACGAGCTCCGGCCCAGCCAGCGGACTGGGACCTGGCACAGGGGCGAGATTAGTATTCGGATTGGAAGTGGGTGTCGCTGGGTTGGAGGGAGGTGCTGGAGCGAGGTCCATCATCGACATCATGGATGAGCCTGAGGAGGGTCCTGAAGAGGACTTTGCTCCGCGGGTGCTTGAACTGCCCCCACGGCCCCCACGGCCCCCACGGCCTTCGTGGGTTGCAGACGCATTGGAGCCATTACGCTCGGGGGTGCCCTTGTCACCCTCGGCGGCTTTCTTGGTCGTTCGTGCGCGGCGTGAGGTGCCGCCTCTTGAGCCGGGACCGCGGAGTGGCAGACCGGTGTCTTGAGAAATGGGCACGGCAGCTGCAATAGGGACGTGCGGGTGAGAAGTCAGACCTCGGCTTCGGCCTGTTCCTCGTCCACGGCCACGGCCACGCTTGATAGTTCCGTCGGCACTGGGAAATGTTAGCGCCGAAGCCTCAAACTTAGATAGATAAGATAAGTACCGTTCCACTTGGACTTTCTCCCCCACTGGCACCAACGGCCCACTATAGACAAAGAATCCATCTTTGCTTGCGGCAGCCTGCTCCTGCCACGCCATCTCACTGTCGTCGACAAAAGGATCATCACGGTCGTACTCTTCTACCTTCTTGCGGCGCTTCTTCTTGCCATCGCTAGCTTCTGAAGGTGCACCGTTGGTTCCTGTTCCAGCACCACTCATGGGAACATCCCCATCCATATCACTGTCACGATCCGCTTCAAGACTCAGATCCTCGTCGGCACTTTCGCCTGCAGAGATGCCCTTGCTCTTGTCATTGCGTTCCAAGACAGCGCCAGCAGCCGCAACACGTGCCAGACGCTCTTTATGCGCGGCCAGGCGGGGATGCAAGGCAGCGAAACCATATTGTTCTTCTGCCAGTTGAGCGAAGTTGACAATGTGGTTGCCCTTGTGCAACGGAACGTGTACGATGATGTTGGGGGTGCTAGGTGCATCGGCTGACTTGGAGTCGTCGGCTCCACCAAATAGTGCGTTGGTGATCAGACCGGAGCCCTGAGGGAGCACGGGGGCTTCCTTGGCTGCGCGAGCTGGCTTGGGGGAAGGCGCCTTTGACGACGGCGCAGTGCCCGTGCCCTTCTCTTTCTTTGCGCTGGGTGTGGGTTGTTCCTTCGAGTCGATGTCCATGGCATCAGAAGATTGTTGAACAGATCGCTGTGGGGTGGACGCTTGCACAGGGGGCTGAGCTGGCTGCTGAGATTGCGCCTGAGGTTGCGACTGAGGTTGCGACTGAGGCTGCGGTTGAGCAGTTGGCGGAGGATGTTGCTGATACTGCGGTTGTAGTGCCGGCGGAGAAAGCTCCAGTTTTGGAGGCTGTGTTTGCATTTGGCGCTGTTCGTTTGGTGTGTAAGGAGCATAATTGCTAGGTGGCATGTGCTGAGGTGTATGGCTAGCTCCATGGGAAGGAGAGGACACTGGCATTGGAGAAGGGGCTAAGGAGTGGTGCGTAGGTGTCGGTACCGCGGCAGGAGGCGCTGGAGAGTGTACGGTCGAGACATGGCCGGAGGAAGAGCGATGCAGCGGCGTTTGGAAAGTGTGTGTGTTTTGTGCCGGGGGGTCAATGATGCTGGAGATCGCGGGTGATGCACTGGCGCGATAGTTATTCCGCGGTGATACCACATGTTGAGTAGATGGACTGTAGGCAGGCGCAGGAGAAGGGTTATCAAAAGCCGATCGAATGGGATCGAAGTTTTGGCCGCTCTTGCGTGGAGGAGCTTGCGTGGGTCGAGGTGGCGGAGGTTGTGACTGTGGCCGAGGCGGGTATGGTTGCGACAGGGAGTAAGTAGAGATAGGGCCCGGCGGGGGATGAGGAGTTTGTGAGTAGGGCGGAGTCAGAGTTGGAGCAGGAGCAGGAGCAGGAGCAGGAGCAGGAGCAGGAGCAGGAGTAGTTTGAGGAGTAGGCACGGGCTGAGTCTGAGGCGGAGGCTGCGTCGGAGTCTGCGTCGGTACCTGGGTCGCCGGTGTGGGTGCAGGATTGGGATCTGCCGGAGCAGCAGCAGGCCCAGCGGTGGCTTCGTCACCAGCAGCCTCCAGTTTGGCCTTTTTCCGAGAAGCAGCTGTCGAGGTCGATTTTTCTCGAGGGCGACGAGGAGCGCGGGCGGGCTTTTCCTTGGGTTCTTTTCCTTTTGGTTTGGGGGTCTCGGTAGTTTCGTCGTCCTTCTTGCGACGCGACCGTCTGGCGGCGGAGACACGCCGGTTGGAAGCTTCGGGTTTGACGTCGGCTTCGCCGGGCCCCTCTGTGTTGGGTAGGCCCGGTCCAGGGGGATCCGTGGACATGGTTGAGAGTCAAATGGCAAATGACAAATTGGCGAGAAGTTGACGATGAAGTTAGATGGGGATGAAAGTGGCCCAAGTGGTGGATACGGTCGGGGCTGACCACCCGAGTGGTGTATCACCAGAAAGTTGGGGAATATGGGAATGGAACACAGAAAACCAGTGTGAATAGATAAGACAAGACTAGTGTGTTTGGCGGAAAGCGGGTGGAACACGTAAAGACGAACACCCGACGAGAAAGGATGGAGATGGGAGTTGAGAAGAGGGGAGAGGGATGAGAGAAAAGCTGGGAAAGGGATTGCAGGGAAAAGGGAAAAAGGGCAGGAAAGGGGAACAGCGAACAAGGAGCCCGTCTGATGTGCCAGAATTTGGGTCTGCAATCGTACCTTAGTATGACGAGGGTTAATTGGTACTTTGATATCGAAAGTATAGATCGGAGAAATTGGCTGGTGAAATTGAGATGTGTAGATAGAATGGTAGTTCAATGATCGAGTGCTCTATTCTACAGTGGACGCCCTGATGGCCCGGCGGATTGCTGAAGCAATGCATTTTCCATGCGCGCGGATCTGGCGTCAGTGGAGTTGCAGTATTTTCCCGCGCATAGTTTCCACATGGAGATCCCCCGTTCCATCTCGGTTCTGGCATCGTCATTGGTATCTTGCGATCAACTTACTTGATTGTGCCAAATAGAATCAAGTAAATTATGAATTGTCGGACTACTGCTTTTTATCCTCCATGATTCGATCTACCTGTCTGGTGACCGGAGATTTATTCCTGAACACACCCGGTCTTCAAGTGGACAGGAGATCGCCGGCTGCTGATCCCTGTCAAATACATGATCTAAGCCCCGCTGATTCCCAATCGATACCCCATTGTTTTCTCGACCTGCAATTATACCCTGTAACTAATGCCTATATCCTTCGCTGTAGTTTAAACATACCCGGATGGGGTACTTGCCTCTTTTGGCAGAACAAGATTACTTCTTTGGGCCTAGCACATCCGCTATTCACACTAACTACATCGGGCTAGTGCCTGCATCCCCATTTTTAGCTTTTTGAGCCGCAGGCCCCGCGCTGACATAACTTCACCTTCGTCTACGCCATGGCTTTCCCCGGCGAGCGTTTCGTCCTTGATCTGGATGACGAGCCTCCTGAGGAGACTACTCCCTCTCCATTTGACCTCATAGGGGAGATCCGTGAGAGGGAGCCGACCTCCGCCAACTCGCCCGCGCCCGCCCCTCCGACGCCCACCGCTTCTTCCACCGGATTTCCCGCGCACCGACGACGCAATAAACCGTCCTCCTTCAAACAGCGACGAGCGCAACAGGAGCAGGCAGCTGCACCGAGCACAGAACCATCACCGCAATCTGCCCAAGATGACAAGAAAGCCATCGCGGAGGAGAACCGGCGGCATCTGGCGTCCATGTCGGAGGCGCAGATTCAGCATGAGCGGGAGGAATTGATGGCGTCGATGGACCAAGGGCTGTTAGAACGCTTCCTCCGTCGAGCCAAGATTGATGATGGGCAGGACAGCTACGAAGAGCCCAAAGCGGCACCCGCATCAGAAGGATCGGGGCCATCAAAACCAAAGAAGTCTGTTTCCTTCGACATCCCGGCCCTAGCACCCGAACCTTCCTCAAAACCACCTACCCAGGCGGCAGAATTGCCTGAAAGGTCCAACAAGCCGCGTGGACGTGATGATGCCGCCCCTGCACAAACCCCAGCCGACCTCCATCCCGCCTCAGAGCGGCCCTCCCTCGACCCAGCCATGATCGAGCCCTTTCACTTCCCGCAACCGAAAAATCCAATGCCAACACTAGATCCATCGTCACCGAATTTTCTCTCAGATCTCCAATCCCACTACTTCCCCGAGATATCCCACGATCCCACCGCGCTCTCTTGGCTCCAACCCCCGCCAGATGACGAAGAAGATCCCGACTCGACCTCAGCCTACCACCCGGCCAGCAGCGCCATCTCCGTTGCACCATCCGCAATCCGCTTCTCGCTACGTGGAGCCATCATCGCTCCCAATACATCTCTCTCCCTCCCGACAACCCTTGGCCTCCACCACCACGGTGAAGACCCCCATGCGGCAGGATATACGATCCCGGAGCTGGCAATCCTCTCACGCTCCACATTTCCCGCTCAACGCTGTGTAGCTTGGCAGGTTCTCGGACGGATCCTGTTCCGTCTTGGCCGTGACGAGTTCGGTGAGCGTGGTGGACAGCTATCAGAGGGATTGTGGTTCGTCATTGAGAAAGAAGGTGTCGTTGGCGGCATGTTAGCCGAGGCGGAGGGTGTACAGGATCCCAGTAAGAGCCAGTCTGGAAAGGACGAGAAGAAAGATGAAAGTAGTTCGAGCACTGTACCTCTGGCCTCGGGTATTGGACGGCATGCGAGTGCAACGGCGTGGGCAACTGAAGGTGTTTGGCTGTGGCAGAAGGGCGGCGGCGGAGATCGAGGATTGTTGAAGGAGGGCCAGACTCGGCCGCGGTAGTCTGATATCCTCAAACTGGCGTGGATTTCAAGATTTAGTATCTTGAAGAATTACTGATTTGGCATTGAGAGCGTCTTGTACCTTGATAGGTATAGCACCCTATCAAACAGAACACAGATGCCCAAACGGATTTTTTTGAATATACAAGCATTGCAAGCATTTACGATGAATTGAAGAGAAGATGTGGTCAAGTTGCATTGCATTATCATGCCATGGATATCACATATCATACAAGAACACCAGCCTAAGTCCCTAGGAGGAACAGTAACCAACCACAAACCATCATAACAAACACCTCGAAAACCAGAAATATTGAACTACCCACAGCCTACTCCTTCGCCTAACCCTGATCCTCAATCTGCACACCCCAAACCTGCCACCTCGCCTCCTCAACAAAGTCCCTTCTAAGCCACAGACTCGAAGCCTGCTGCATTTGCTGCAACTGCCCAGACAAAGCATCAGGCTCATCACCAGACTGAACCCGATCCAACCAGTCAAACAGCAGTCTAAGTTGCCAGACACGGTCACGGAACTGATCGGGATCAGCGCCACGGCCACGAGCAGACTGCACGATATTGCGAACAGTATTCGAGAGCGCGAGTCTAGCGTCGACGGCTGAAGTACGGAGCCAAGGCGGTGCGCTGACGAGTTGTGTGCTGATGCGCGGGAACGGGGATGGGAAGGAGGAGGGGAGGACGAGAGAACGTTCGCGGATGTCGAGGCCCTGGAGGGAGAGGAGATGGAAGATCCAATCCCATGGGCTTTGGGAGGGGGTGGTTGCTGCTGAAAGGCTGCCTGAGAGCTGGGCTGTGCGATTGGGCCATGCTGAAGGTGGAAGACCCTTTGCTGGGTTTGAGGCTCCTGCGGCGGTTGTCGAGAGGATGTCTTGTGCTTCGCTCAGGCCAGTGAGAGTAGATGCGAAGACGGACACTGAGGTGCCGGAAGGAGTGTAAGTTGCTTTGCGGCGGAGGTAGACTGATGGGTCGCCGTGGCGGAATTTGTCACGGAGAGCGTCGTTCTGGCTGAAGTCTAACACGAGTGGCCAGTGGTCCGGGCCGCGAATCTCGATGCGCATGATTCCGCTGGGATCTGGGAGGAGGCATGGGGCGGAGACGGTACGGATGGAGCCGTCGTGAGAGGTGATGTTAATAGGGATGGAGATTGGACGACGGGAATCGAGGTCGCGGGGGACGAGACAGCGGGGCTCCGCAGCGAGAACCCAGAGGTGACGGAAGGCTTGGAGGTGGCATTTGTTGTCGAGAACGGTGGTTGGGAAGATGGGATAGAAGGCGCAGAGTAGCATAGCCACTGCTAGGTCGGATGTGCCGAGTGTGTAGCTACCGCCGCCGAGGAACAACATGCCAATGGCCATGTGTGCTGCCATATGACTACCGTAGGGAGTGTCTGGATCGATTCTACCGTGAAGCGAGCGCAAGCGTCGGAACAGAGCCAAATCACCCGTACCAGCCATGACAGCTGCCGCGGATAGAGATACGATATCCTGACAATTTCGGACTGAGTTGCGTGCGAGTTTGGCATCGTAGTTCATCATTGGGAGCCGACAGATGCGAATGAACTGGTCCAGGTAGAACAGCAACAAATCCCGTGCTTGCGTTTGACCAGAACCAGCATATCGAAGACCAAGAGCAAAGCATAAGCCGGCAAGGATGTTGAAGAACGGCATGTCCTCGCTACGTAGCTGGCATACCTTTGTAAGGCGAGCACGTCGCCGGTACACCTTGGGAAGGCTCGCGTTTATCCATTCGACATTTGGTTCGATGCTATCCCACATGATAAGGTGTCGTGCCAGCGTCCGCAGGAGGAAGAGATCAGGCCGCACGTAGTCAAAGCGCACAGTAGTGTCAGGGATATCGATCTTATGAGCCAAAACGGAATCGTTGGTTTTCATGAAAATGATGGCTATTGCAACTGTTGCGCCTGCAGTGGCACGATCAAGAACATGTGCCAGGTCAACATTCTTGGTGCCCACAGCGATGGCTAGCAAGCGCTCAACGATGTGCATGTCACGCATTCCTCGCAGGTCTTTGCCTTTGCCTAGGTTGATCAGGCCAAGCGCAAAGCCTGCAGCTAGACGATATCCTTCGTCTCTCAAGTCTTCCTGTGAGGTTGATTGCTCATCTTGTTCGGCGTTTTCGATTTCAGAAAGCATAACTTCACTCATACGCCGGTGCTGAGAGCCACAATAGAGGAGCCCGATACCCATAATACCGGCGGTCTGTGTCAACGACGATAGATTGAGCTCTGCTGCACCGAGGGGCAGCATCCGCGTGACATGAACAGACAGCAAGCGCGTAATGAGCGTATCCATCGTACCCAGGTACGATGCAGAAAGACCGAGCAAGAGACCAATGGAGGTCATGGTGTGCTTAGGAGTCAAATACTTGAAGGCAACCCATTTGGCCAGTGACTTGAGATGACCGTTCAATCCCAGAGCCAAAAGGAAACCAGCATGCCTGTTCGTGAGGTCTTGAGGTTTGTTGAACAAGATCCAAGAAGTGTCGATTCCCTTGGACCCCTTGGAGATTGCCAGGCCTGTAGACACACCGTTGTGGAAGAACGCCCAGCAGACCTTTTCCTCGGTAAACGCGGTTCTTTCTGCGCTAACTGTCACATTGGAGGGTTTCATAACACATTGCAGCGAGAAAGATGGAATGGGCAGCTTTTCGGTCAGCAGAGGTAAGCGGCCACTGAAGGAGAGCATGGCACGGCCTGCAGGAGTAGACAATGTTCGGAAGGACACGAGCTGCACGATTTCTTTCTGCGCTTCGAGGAGATCAGAATCCGTCCAGTCAGGTTCAGGAACACAATCTGCAACTGGCGCTTTAGATTGATTCAAAAGACGTGCAGCTTCCAGGAAGCGCTTGTCTTCACGGAACACTAGTCTGGTGACCAAGAAGCGATCAGCCTCTGCGGATGCCTCAAAGGCGTTGATGGCATCTATTTCCAAGGCTGAGCTGCTGATGTGATGGAAATCGCGCACAGACTCATGGGAGACAGCAGAATGCTGTGGCGGCGCAAATGTATGAGTGTGAACTGGGTTCATTGACATATAAAGATCCTCTCGGTCGATCAGCTCGAGAAGTGTTGCATTCCAGGAAGTTGAAGCGTCAATCTGGCACTGCATAACGGCCTCATACAGTGGTGCGCTAACACCTTCAGGGAAAGTGTCGATAATGCTCTTGGTGAAACCCCAGCGATGCAGGAGCTTGATCTTCTCCAATGGAGTCGTTACATTGTGAACATCGACGAGGAAGCCATTCAGTGCTAAACTTCGAGGTGTTATATTGAAGCACTCCTGCCACATCCGTCCCTTTCTGGGGGTTCGGTCTGATGCGGAAACGATATCGAGAAGAGTGATAAAGGGTGTAGACACTTGACGTGCGGCTTTCATGAGGAAGGCAAAAATCGAAGGGGGAGGGAATGGCTCAGCCGGGACATTGAGTTGGGAAATCCGAGTGTCTTCGAATTGCCATCGTTCCATACTAGCCATTTCGGTGCCAAAGTAAGAATCTTCGGTCCATTTCCACGATTGCCAACCCAACCAGCCACCAAGCTGTGCGAGAATAGGGATGAGTAGTCCGAGAGGGCGTTGGGACTCTTCAGTGTCACAAGTTGAAAGCTTTTGTTCTTCTCGCAGGAGCTGTAGACCAACGAGTACGGTACCCAGTGCAGTACATCTTGTGTTCTCAGGGAATGCGCCAGAAATAGGAAGATAGCCATCGCGGCCGGAAGCCCTAGCACCTTGAGGACTCTGTAAGAACTCACGAGTCAAAGAGATGCATCGGGTCAAATATGAGTTGTGGCGATAGGTGGACCGGTTTGCATTGGGCTGTTCGCTTTTCGGTGTACGGGATGCATCTCGAGCTGCCAGGTCCTCAATAGCATCTTGTTCAACAATCCAGCCCCAAGAACTGCCCATCATCCATGGAGCAGTGACACCGGATGGACCCGATTCCAGATCGAGCATGGCCTCCCAGCTTTCCAGGTCCACATAACTGCCACTGCTCGACCTCAAAAGACCTTTCTTTCGGCGAGTTCGCTTAGCAGGGGTCTGGGGTGGCGGCTGTTTGGTAAAAGGCACCGCCAAGGAGAACAAAACCATGACCATGGCAGTCCATTCCAGATCATTCTCAACGTCTTCTTTCTCCTTAAGCCACTTCATGACCTCCCACCAAGCCACCAAGATGCCATCTCCAGCTTTCTCTGCATCACGAAGGGCAAACCTGCAAACCCTAAGGACTTTCTTCACGAGGTCGTTTCGTGGTTCCATTCGAATCTGTATGCTGTGTCGCTGCTTCTTTGTATCCACCAAATCGATCTTCCCTCTCGAGCAGCCGTGATCAAAGGCCGAAAGGACGAGATCAGGATCCGCCACGACACGGTTAACGCCACTTTCCCTGGGACGGCTCACCAGTTTGCCGGCGGAGATCCCATGGGGCTCGTAGAGCTGTAGTGGAACTGGGATATCCACTTTTGTAGGGCTGCCCCAAAGAGTCTGCAAGGACAACTCCCGCTGCCCATTCTCAGAGACACTTAGGGTGAGGATACGAGAAGTCTCGCCATCACTAACTCGGGAGACATCCCAGACATTAGGGACATGCTGGATGCCTGTTGCATTAACCAGCAATGGCCGTCTCTCTGAGGCCGTCTTCTTGGAAGTGGCCATTCTTTGCTTCTTCGAGACTGCCACTCGCTCTGCCCGCAAATTCACCACAGACATGGTTTGCGAGTCCTGGTCCACGATACAGACTGCCACCGAAGCTGCGTTTCCATTTTGGATATTCCCATAGTCGGATGAGCACAGCGTGCAGACTTTAAGATGGCGGGATGATGTTTGCTGAGAGGAGCCACGGAAGTTGCCCGAGAACATGGAAGAGAAGCTCTCTACCTTGGTGAGTAAAAGCTCCTCCGGCAGCCCGGATGCTGATTCCCGAAGAGCAATGTTCTCAAAGCCTTCGGACAGAACATCATTATTAAGCTCTTCCAGCAGTCTATCTACCGGCGCGTCAATAAAGCTTCCTGCAGTGCTATAGACAGATCCTGTGGCTGGAGGAAGTGAAGCACGAGGGTTGAAGCCAAAACTCCCACGCATACTACCAGCCCCAATGGATTGTCTAAGTCCGCCATGAGGCGCAGTACTAGACTGGCTGCCGGTAGCAAGATCTGAGAAGGTTATTCGATCTTGGCCAGTGGCCAGATCTGTTCGTGCAAGCAGCGAGCTCACTCGCCTGGAAGTTTTAAGAGGAACACCAACATCTCCGAAATCTTGAGCAACCCTTGAGACCAGGTCTTCTTCAGGGTCGTTCTTAGACTCGGTTTGCTGGGATGGAACCCTATTTTCTGTCCAGGGTCCGAAGCTTTCGCGAGCTGCTGAAGGTCGCGCAGCAGGGGTAGTCGCGCCAGTTGTTATTCCATAGTGCGAGCTGCGCCTCTTGGATTGAGTGCCTTCGGTGTATCGTCGAGCCTTTTCTTTTGCCGAAGAGCCATGCTCGTCGTCTCTGTATCGCGCGGTCCACACCGTATGAAGCCCAGTGGTTGTATTCGTAGTGACTACCAATATCAAAGGCCCATTTTTTGAGATTTGACTCGAACTCGAGAGTTCGTCCTTAGGGGAAATGTACACGATCTCATCGGCGGGGTCCAGCACATCCAATCCTGAAGGCCTCCGCTTGGTGCTGTTGACGCTGCTGGACAAACCTTGGGAAGATTGTGAGGTTACAACAAGGCCCATCTCCGAATGAGGATCTATGAGTGAAAAGACCCGCGGAAGGTCTGAACCGGAGTTGGACTTTGGAGCCCATGTAGAACTCCGAAGCGCAGAAAGTTTCAAAGATGGCCGTTTCCCTTTGGTGGGAGCTGGTGGAATATCCAATGTCTGAGAAGCACGGGGATCGAATAAAGAGGACGTCAAGAAAGAATTGGGAGGTGCAGGTGGATGTTGGGGTCTGGGATTCTCCTCCGGTATTTTTCGCTGAAAAAGAAGCCCACGAGGAGTTGCAAAGACAGATTCAACTTCAAAAGGAAGTGGAATTGTATGGCTGGTTCCCGCGACGAAGAATATATGAGCTTGTGACTTGAGGACCACCACGAGAGCTCTGGACATCTTCTCATTGACCTGATGAGGAGTAATCACTGCTACCCGTGCATCGCCATGCAGGTCCAACGTCGAATCTGAATTCGTCGATCTTGATTCATTCCCATGGCGCTTTCCTTGACCTGCCCGCGTATTCGTTCCCGCGCCGACGGTTCGAAGACGTTCGGAGGTCGAATTCCCCGTATTGTCGTGAACAGAGCGCTTCACATGGCCCGCGGTAAATTGGGTAAACAAAGCGTGCCGAATATCTTCTTTCTCGGAGTCCAGCCGAAACACTCGCTTCACCATCCCAGCGCGAGACCAAACCACGCAATGTTTCGTCCATACCAGCTCGTCGTCCACGGGGCCGGTCAATCCGTTCTCGTCCACGCATGTTGTCCAACTGTACTGGTCTTGTGACGGGTCAGGGGGCAGTATTCCCTCAGAGACCAGGTAGGAGACGGCCGAGGGTTCGTGGAGGCCGAGCGAGCGAGTGGATGCCATGGTGGGCTGTTAAACAGAGTAGCGATTTTTATGCGCCGTCACGAGCAATCTTCTGGCGGCATGAGCTGCAGAAGGGACCGTTCCATTGCCAACGCAAGACTTAATCGAGTAGTGTGCTCTGCCAGAGAGACATGTCGAGTGGTTGATTGTTGATTGTCGGAGCTGAAGTTGGAGACACGCAGGAACGCGGGATTGGACCGATTTCCCCAAAGTTCTTTTGCCCGACCATAACACACCTTTCTGTCTCCTCAGTCCAACTCACCACCGCATTTTCCCCAGACACATTACAAATCTCCCCTTACAATACCACTGAACTCACAGCACTCGGTTTCTGAGCTCGAGTCATTGATATCCAACTTGCCAGCCATCCCTGTGGTGCCATCTGGCGCCTCTGCTCGAAGCTCCCTCGCCCTCGGTGAGCATCGCCATCAGCACCATGCCTTCCTTTCCCCTGGCGCCGCTGGTTCGGCCAAGAGAAGATGGGCTGCAATTAAGGTGAGCCCTGCCATTCTCGCTCTTGCGACTCGAGTTTGCCACTAATGCGATTGCTTCGCAAATTCTTAGCTACCGGCTTCCCCACCGCGTCCTCGCAGCTAAAGGTTACCCCCTTCGAGCTCCTAACGGCTCATCAATCATTGTTTACGGATATGAGACCGGACTGAAGGTTGTGTGGAGAGGAGGAAGGCAGTTTTCAGAACTGGAGGAGCCCGAATCCTCGACGCAGGGAAAAAATGAGGCGAACAATGGAGGCGATTCAGTCATGATCATTGACTCTGACGAGGAGGATGCGCCTGCAGCATCTACTGTGCGAGAGGGGCCTACATACGACTTTGTCGCCGAGGAGACTGAGGTCGATCCTGCTTTCCCATATGAATCGGTCCTACGACAAATCGATATCCCTTTGGGAAGCCGGGTGCTCGACCTAGCTGTCCCTCGTGTCCTTCCAGAAGAGGCCCGCTCGCCTCTCGATCCATTCCCGCCCATCGTGAAGAACCACATTGTTGTTTCAGCCGTTTGCTCTGATCTTTCAACGCGAGTGGTGATTCTGCCGCTCATCCCTCCCCACCCAGCCCAGACCGATCCCAAGAGCTGGAACATTCAAACTCTCACCATCGATAGGGGCGTGACCCATCAGCATATCCCGCGCGGTGTGTCTCTCACATTCACATGCCAAGAAATCGAGGATGAGCAAGATCACAAAAAGTCTCGGAACCGAGTTGGAGGATCAGGAAAATGGGATCTACTCGTTGCAACACACTCGGCTGAGGGCTCTGGCGTGCTCCTGCTCCGTCGCATTCCAATTCAAGAGGATTCATCTGACAAGGGCCCGACCTACCACCTGTTAGAGGATGAGCTCGTTTCTCAACGGCGTATCTTGCCGTCTCCCGCGCAGACAATTGCTTTCAATCCTTCGACATATCCTTCTTCTCGACACTCAAACTTGCTGGTGGCATTCCACGGCGGGTGCGTCAAGGTGTACTCGTGCTTTTCCGTCCAGAAGTCCTCCAAATCTGGACGACGGGCATCCAGCGCGCATGAGGAGTACGAAACTATCGACACGGAAGGGCGCTGGCTCATCAGTCTATATCCCGGCTTTGAGCAAGGTCCGACCGGATTCCCCCGCCGCAAGACGATCATCGATGCGGAGTGGGTTTTGGGCGGCCGTGCTATCATGGTTCTTCTGGTGGATGGTGAATGGGGTGTTTGGGATATCGAGGGAGCCGGTCCCGGGGCCACCAAGGGCCCATTGCACCGCCAGTCGAGCGTTCAGGGTGTCACCGGAGGCTCACTGACAGCATATGCCGTCAGCGGACGTATTATGACGCCGCCGAGTAACAGTCAGTCTGAAGCTGAGCAGCGTCCACGATTTGCGCCTATGACTCCGTCTACAAAACGAGTTCGCGAGGACACTCTTCTCAAGGGATCGATGACCGCGGCCAGCCCGTCCCTGCGTGGTCAGATCTCCGTATGCCAGACCAACTCATCGCAGGAACAGCTCCCAGATGAGTCGATTCTTGTGCGTCACGGCAAGCAGAGTGCCGTTATCCCAAGCTTGCTGTCTCTCTGGCGCAATGCGGTCCGAGCCACCGGCACATTTGACTCCTCCAATAGATGCCGTGTGACCCCATTCCAGGATGTGAACTTGATGGGCGAGAACTTCCAGGCGATTTGTCACCTTCCCACACCGGCACGCCGCTCGCGGGCTGCCGAGCATCGCGCCTTCGATGTCCTGGTCGCTGCGGAGCATCAAATCATGATCCTTGCGCCGCGTTTGAAAGAGTCCGATGATTCTGCGCCAGTCGCAGCAAAGCCAGAAGTTAACTTAGAGAACGACCAGATGATGCTACGACGAGGAGAACTGGACGTGGAGGGAATGGGACGACTATTGAACGGCATGCAGAGTGGAGCCGCATCTCTTCGCATGGGCAGCCCCGTGAAGCGAACCCGCATCTTTACTTGATTTATGGGCATCAGACTCGACCATAGATGATACCCATGCTCCAACGATGATAATCCACTTTTTTTTTTCTTTGCTCACCCGTTCTCGATCTACTAGGAAACCAATTCGCGCTGTAAGGTGGAGCGCAAGGCGAGGTCCATGCCTTGAAATTCCTTCTCCGGAAGTGAATAAGCTCTGTATCGGATGCGATATATCAAAAACCATCACATAAGGTGCAAATACCTTTGCCCTGGGCTTATGTCCTCTGCGGCAGTCGTGTCGCAACGCCTGCGTTTGATATCCGGGGTCCCTGCTTTTTTCTGCTGTCTCTGCAGTTGCTGATCTGTCTCTTGACAAATTCTACATTGGCAGCTGTGGCAGATCGCAAGGACAAAGTAGTCCGGTACGGATGTGGTGCGTCAATGGGCTCTGATGGGACATTCTGTAGACAAAAGACAAAATAGCCACGTGGTGGACGTAGATGGCGCGATCTGCCGATCTGCCGATCTGTGAGGTCTCCGAAGATCGGCGAACCTATATCAATAACGAATTTCTTCGATCTCAACCCACCATCCTTAATGCCTTCCCCTTCTCTTTTCCCTTGCATAGTCTCTGAGTCTCATATAATTGCATCATGACTCAAACGCACCAAAAGCCCCCGTCCACTTCCAGGCGGAGTAAGTATCCACCTGCAGCATCATCCACTATCCCGCCCGAAGGGGAAAGAGGCAGCTGCGCAAACCTATTGAACAAACAAACCCAGTCCCAGTACTAACACATAAACCCAGTATGGGGATCCCTAATCACCAACATGGACTACTTACCCGGTCTCCTTACCCTCTACCACTCCCTCAACAACCCGCACCCCGACCCCAGTCTCACGGCCACCAACTCACCTACACCACCCAACCAAGGCACCCGCTACCCCTTCATCGCATTCTACACCTCCAGTTTCCCAGATGAAGGCCTCGAAATCCTCCAATCGCGCGGGATCCACTCAAAATGGGTCCCAAACGTAATCCCTTCCAGGACGCGCGAATACACGCAAGACCCTCGATTCGCCGATACATGGACGAAGCTGGTGGTCTTTTCGCTGGAGGAATACGAGCGCGTGGTTCTGCTGGACGGAGATATCCTGGTAAGGCGGAACATGGATGAGTTGATGGATGTAGAGCTCGATTCGAAGACGGAGCTGGAAGATGGGACTGCGAAGCGGGTGTTTGCGGCGGCGCATGCTTGTGCGTGTAACCCGATGAAGAAGCCACATTACCCGGCGCATTGGTATGTTCCCCGGGTGCCCTTTCAAGGTCAAGCACATATGTATCTTGACGGAGACTTGGTATTATGTTCTTGAGGGGGAATTCTATGCTAACTTGGCTAGGATCCCCAAGAACTGCGCATACACCACGCAACATCCAAACCCAAACTCAGCGCAAAGCAACGCCCCGCCAGCAAATGTAGGCGTGGGCATGCTAAACAGCGGCGTGTTGGTAGTAACACCCTCAGCCAAGGTCTACAGCGAGATTACAGACGCGCTACAAGAGACGACGCGGATTGAAAAATACGATTTTCCAGACCAGGAGCTGCTATCAGATGTGTTTGGTGGGCGGTGGGTTGCCCTTCCGTATGTGTACAATGCGCTGAAGACGCTGCGGTGGGAGGGTGTGCACGGGGCGATTTGGCGGGATGAGGAGGTCAAGGCCGTACATTATATCTTTGCGAAGAAGCCGTGGCATGAGGAGGAGGCAGATGCCAAGGAGAAGAAGCTGGATGAGCCGACTTTGTGGTGGTGGGAGGCTAATTGGAGGAGGCAGAAGTTGGAGAGGGATCACGGTGTTCAGGATGGGTTTTCGGGGTGACTCGATTACTGATGATACGGGACATTTGAGTATACCTCTCGCTGAAAGTACAGGGCTCGGTCGGGGAAGTAAACGATAACGTACTGCATCTGCATTGATATGAATTAGTGATCTCCTGTGGGTTGATCCTGTTCGGTCTCTAAAATCGATTTCAAAATATCTCTTTGGTCCTGTAGGTATGGGTAGTTTATGCTTACTTCCAGTGATAAAATCATGGGTATCGAACAGATACACAGGACTAGTCAATTCAATTTCATTTTATATTTTCGAGATAACATGGGGCATCTGTACGGTCTGGAATGCAATATACACAGGGTGTATACAGAACCACGGCACCACATCACACGTCCACCAGTATTTGCAACTCCTCGTCACATTCAACCAGTGTAGCCCGAAGCATCCAGCTCCTTACGGACGGAATCCTCCGTCTGAATCTTCTTCATCTGCGTATCCTCCAGCTTCTCACCACCAGCCAGACGCATCTTCAGCTCGTCAATAGCACGGATCTTCTTGAGCAGGCCGCGAATCTTCTTGTCCTGGGCCGAGGGCTCGATAGGACCGGCAGGGGCAGGGGCAGGGGCAGGGGGAGGCGAGGGGGCGCGCTTGGCGGGAGCATTTCCGTTACCATTAACGGGAGGGGTGTTCTTGCCACGCGAGCGGTTGCGATCGGGGCTGGGGCCGGTAGGGGCGTTGGGGGGCGGGGTGTTGTCGCCGTCGTCACGGGCCTTCTTGGCCGCCTCGCGCTTCTTCTTGTTCTTGGCGGCGGACTTGGACAGCTTCTCGTTCTCGGCGCCGGGAGGGAGGGGGACGCCGCCGCCAGGTGCGGCACCCGGGGGCAGGTACTCCTCGGCGGGCTCGGCACCGGGAATTTCACGGCGGCGGGGCTTGCCGAAGCCGTTCATGCTGGCACCGGGGACACCGTCGCGGACGAAGGCGGCACCACCCTGGTCTTCACGCTTGAAGGCGAGGGGGGTAAGCTGGCCGCGGGCACCGGGGGGACGGTAGGCGCCTGCGGGCTTGACGGGTGCCTTGCGGGTGCTCAGGTACGCGGTGGCGGAGGGGTGAGGCACGGGCAGCTTGGTGAAGGGATCACCAAGAGGGTGCTGCTCGATGGTCTGGGGGCGCCAGGTGACATCGTACAGCTCGGTCATCTCCTCGTTATACATGAGGCCACCGCTGACGTGCCAGATGCGCACACCGTTGTCAACACGCAGACGCGGGCTGGTGGTGGCAGTCAGGATGTATTGACCGTCGGGCGACCAGGAGCACACACTGGCGTTGGACGCCTCGACGGTAGCAATCTTGTGGAAGTTCCTCTCCATGTCGTAGAGATCCATCTGGCCAGCCAGGTTACCGAAACCGGCGACCAGGACGAAACGTCCGTGAGGCGAGAACTGGATGGTGTTCCGCGGGCTCAGAGGGAAGTTGTGCTTGGGCACACCACGCACGTTGAAAATGGTGGTCTTGGCCGGCATGTAGCCGTAGACGACACCGAACTCCTTGGAGTTGGGGTTCCAACTCACATCGTGGATGGGTCCTTCTTTGTCTGTTTCGGACAAATTAGTGTCTGATCAAGAAACTCAATATCCAAAAGACATACCAAGATCAACCCGAGAATCGAAAGCACCGCTGGCGCTGAGCAGATACAAAGTGGTCTCGCCGTAGTAGCTCTTTCCGGTACGGTCAACCTCAGTCTGTGCAAGCACGATCAAGGTAGTGCCGGAAGAGTTCCACTTCAGCTGAACCTTGTCGCCCTTGAAGAAGCTCTTCTGCGAGACAGGAGAACCGAACTGCGGCACAATAAAGACCTTAACAGCGGCGGGCTGGCCCTTACGCTCCGGAATAAACACAGCAATGGACTGAGTCTTTCCAGGAGAGAGAGCAAAGTCAGCCACCCCCTCCACATGCAGCTTATTCCAAACGGTCGACAAGTTGTCGCTCTGGTAAAACTGGACCTGGTTGGTCACGACGCGGGCACACAGCTTCTCGTCGGGGGTGTACTGCAGGTTCCAGCCTGTCTGCGACTTCTGGACATAGCTGCCCACAACGGTGTGCTCGTCTCCACTCTCAACAGCGCGCCACACCTTCAGGTTCTTCGTCGCATCTCCATTCTCGTCCTTGGTGGGGCGTTGCCAAGTGATCACATAGGTGCCGAGCGGGGAGAAGCCCAGCTCAAACACGTTTTCGGCCGGGATAGTCGAGACGATATGACCCGAGGAGGCTTCGGTAATGGTGACCCTAGAATAAGAAGGGACTGTTAGACTGCAAGGTATGAAGCAGACTCTGAGATGTCTACGTACTTTTCGGGGGATGCGTATGCGTAGTAACGGCCGCACGGCGAGTAAGTGCTGCAGCGGAGGTTGCCCTCAGGTCTGTATGAAATACACGAGTTAGTCAAGGAGTTTCGCAGGCCATTCCAGTACCTATCCTACCTCGCAAATCCGGACAAAGGCTCATAAGTTGGGGCGGCATCCATGATGCCAATCCCCTTGAGAGTTCGGTCTAACATCAATGTCAGTTCGTGTTCATCAAAGCAACCAGTCGCTCCAATAAGTTCGGCCAGCAGGCACGCGCTCAGAGGGGGGTTCGGGGAACAACGCACAAGCAAGCTGCGTAGGAGCCGCCATGATGAAATTCGAAATCTGAAAACGAAGTTGCCACTTAGGAAGAAATCTTCAAGTCTGTCCCACGAAGGAAACCAGTAAATCGCTATCAATGTCTTTATCAAGTCTACCAAAAGACCAGATCAATAAACAGTCCGATCGGAAAGAATCAAGCCAAATGTCGCAAGCGGGGTGCGGTCGCGAGCAGGGGGGGGGGCAAGGTTCCAGCGAGATGGAAGGTATGAATGAGACGAGAAATCGAATCGAAGCGACTCAAAAGAATGAATCGATGGACGTAAATCGGATCAGAACCAACGAAAACGTGGCAAGGCTGATGGGAAGCGGGATGGCGGAGGCGAACAGGGCTCAATTGGAGCGGATAGGAAGCAGGGAAGTGTAGATTGCTTGTCGGAGAGTTGGATCTTCAGTGCTAGACAAGTCAATGCCAGCAGAGGGCGGAGCCGAAGAGGAGGGGGAGGTGGAGGTGTTTAGGTGGGGAGGTTGAAGAGTTAAAGAGAGGAAAATTCGGGCGATTCACCTCGGCGGCGGCATGCCGTCATCTGCGGTGCCGAGTGGACTCTTTACTGTCTCTCTTGTTCACTTCTCTCAAGGGCTACCTCCAGGAATAGGTATAATATTACTCATAAACTGAGTTCTACTGCTTTGTGTTAATCTGGTGAAGCAGTGATATTCGTCATTCTTAAACTTGCAACGCACAACTCCCAAAGAATCAGCAAAAAAACCCCACAAACCCCAAAGTATTGCTAAACTGCGCTGAAATAACTCATAGCCGATACATATCTGTCGTGACCACCCTTCAAGATGGCTTGGTGCCGTGTCAAGTCCTCCGCATAGAATTACATTCCGCGATTGTCCTCGAGACCCAGGCAAGGAAGGAAGAAAACAAAAGGAAAAAGTCCGTAACCTATCAAACCATCAAGGACAAACGCCATCCTGCCCATCTTAATCTATCCCAAACCCTAATTCAGGCTTCATTCCCGTTTCGGAACATCAAATCCACTGCTGCTCTGGTTCGGAGTGACAAGCCGCGGAGTACGAGCAGTGGTATCAACCACACCCGAGTCAAAGGTCATGCCATCAACCATGCGAGCATCCTCGGTCACCGGTTCGGGGGTTGTCGAGCCCGTAGGCGAAGGAGACATCATAGAATTGTCACCAGCATGTTGCTGCTGCTGCTGAAGGTATGAGGCGAGAGGGGTAGGCCGACTAACATTGGAGCTCATGGAAGTAGGACGAGCATTGACACCACCCGAGGAAATTCGATTGAGGCCAGGAGGGTGCGAAGTAGGGCCGCTAATGGTGCTGTTGGCGCCCTCGCCAAATCCGACCAGGCTGGCGTTTCCTTCGTCGCTCATGTTGCCGACGCTCGAGAGGCCGTCGTCTACATCGGGTCCTTCGCTCATCTTGTCGGCTTCGAAGGCATCGCTGCCGCTGGCCCAGGTCGTGTGCCCGCCAAAGCTACCTGTAGCGCTGGCGCTGCCGACGGTGCTTCGCTCCTTCAGGGCGCCGTGGCTGTCGAAGTAGCCCGGGCCGTGCGATACGTGCTGTGCGGCATTGGATGGCGACTGGCCCTGTCGCGCGGTAGCGATTCGCTCGAGGCCGGCTAGGCGGGAAATGCGGTCGGCACGCTCGGCTTCCAAAGTGGTGGTGGATGAGGTCGAGGCGGAAGACGACTGGTGCGCGTGGCGGCCGTGAGGGAATGGCTGGCCCTGGTGGCCGTCTTTGATGGCTGTGGTGGATAGAGCGGACAGGGAGGTGGTGCCGGAGTTGGGTGTGCCTCTAAACCATCGTCACACAGTTCCCAAGGTCAGTCAACCGGTCCCAAGTCAAATTGAACACAGAGAAGAATGGAGAGCTTACGGTCCCATATCCGACGGAGTGACGGGGTCCGAGGGAGGAGGAGGGAGGTTGATCAGCGTAGGTGTAGTCATCGTGGCGAGCAGGTCAATGTGTCAGTTTCAATCAGACCGAGATGGCCAAAGCTGGAGTTAGTTGAAGGAGAAAACTTTGAAAGGTTTGAAAGTGAAGTTGAGTTACGATGGAAATTGCGGGGAGTAAGGATGGAGCCGGCGAATCTTTGGGAGCAATCAGTGATCGCCGGACCTCCGACGTCATGTTTGACCAGGGCACCCCACCTTTCGCGACTCGTTGTGAATACATTGAAAGAGCAAGTGTTTCATATATTTCGTTTATACAAGTCATCTCGGCTATAGAGCAGTGGAAGCTAAACAAAAAAAAAAAAAAAAAAAAAAAGGATGCAGCCCGCTGGATCCTCTTTGCTCAATCACTGGCCTTACGACTTTCGTAGTGCCCTCGAAGATCATCCACCTCTTTCTGTAATCGCGAAAGATCTGCCAATATATCTTGTGCATTGGATGGTTGTGGCAAAGGGACATTTTCTGTAGTCATCTTCGATGTACTTCCGTCACTGCTTCGGGTGCTCGACTCTCGTCCCCGACGAGGCGGTGGTGGGGGAGGTGCCGTGGACGGGGTGCCCGTCCCTATACTACCATACGATGAGGCACGCCGTCCAGTATTGTTGGAACTTGAGCTTGGGGGAGATGATAGAGAGTCTGCAACCCCAGATCGAAGCTCCCCGGAGGGAGGGGGGATGCTGATGCGCTTGCGGTCCACAGACGCCGACGAGGCCATGGAACGAGTAGATGGACCCGGGCTCGGAGGCTGAGAGCTATCGCTACTTTCTGAATCAAGCGATGACATGGTTAATCGACTGCCACTGGATTTTGACTGTGTAGACTTTGACCGCCGCATTTGGCTGTGGCGTCGGCTGAGGGGCGGCGTGGGTGGTCGCTTTGGTTGGGAATTGCTTCGATGGAGCGATTCTGTTGAATCAGTCGCCCTCTGGGGTTCTGAATGAACCGAGAAGTAGTCCGCTGCTGGCCGATTAGAGACCGAGCTGGCATTGGGAGTGCCTGATGCTCCTGCAGAGGTCAAGCTCTCTGGGGAGGAGGCATGGTAGGAATGGCGGTTATTCGGTCGAGAAGGTGCGGCGTGCGAGAGAGAAGCTTTATTGCCTGCAACACCAATTCGCTTCCCATGATGGCTTCTCGGCGGCGGCGGAGGTTTCCTGTCCTTGGAACGGCTGGAGCCTCGGTCTTGTTCTGGAGACATTTGACTCGGCCGTTTCACCATGGAGGGAATGTCTTGTGCCGAGCTAGATGTCTCAGTGTCCGCGGTAGACCGCATGTTGTGTTCGGATGAAGTGAACGGCAGCTGTGATAGAGGTGTTGTCGATGATCCGTCCGATGGAGCTGGGTGTGGAGCAGACCCAAACGATGCTCGTGGGCGATCGACGAGAACTGGAGAGCTTTTGGGGCTCTCCGCATCGACCTTGTCGTCACCGTCATTGTCACTCACCGATGAATCGGGATTGAAAGGATCAGCAGCCCGTTCATCTGAGGAAGTCGAGTCATCAGTCTCGACACCTAACGATGAAGATGACTGTCCGGCGTAACCGTTGGGCACCGTTGGGACGGAGGAGGGGTTGGAGAGTAGGGGGGCTACACTGCTCGTAACTGAAGGCTGTGGTGCTATAGCCATTACAGAACCGCCTGTTTCACAGTATTCCATTAGCTTGGTGTGGGGGTTGAATGCGCCTTGGACTGGCGTGTCTTATCGGAAGCGGCGGGTTGGACTCTAGGGAAGAGGAGACGGGGTGGGGGGCTCACCGTCTAAGTTCTTGCGAAAAGGATTGGATCCAGACATCGCCGCGAGGATGATGCAGCTTCGGAAGGGAAACGAGACGAGGACGGAGAATGTGAAGATTGAGGAGGAAGAAACATCCCCGCCGAGCTTCTTATCCAGTTCTACGCGCCGCTTTCCGATTGACTCAGTCCGGCAGCTCCGAGAGGCCTGCATCAATACGGTTATGCAAACATATGAATGAATGATGAAACAGAAGGAAAATAATATCAGTTCGAATGACTGGTACACGAGAAGTGCAAGGCTTATATGGTACAAATGCATATCCACCGCGATAAAAATGGCCCCGCAAAGTACATAAACAAAAAACCGGCCTTGAAGCAGAAAAACCCTCCCATATCCCAGATAAAATAAGTAAAAATAAAAAATAGGATGGCCACCCCTGTTCGGACGGTTCATCACCGCTCGTTATACACATGCCAGGTCTCATCTTCCTCGAAAAACTTCTGAGCCAACCGCTTGCCGCTCTCTGTAGGCTGGCTGAATGCGATCTGGTCCTTGGGGATTTCCATGCCGTAAATGTAATTGCTCACCACGCAATCCAGGAGATCCAAGGCGATTCCCTTTCGTCGCGACGCCCCAGAAGTCCAGATGCGCGAAACGCCGACGATGGCTGGATGCAGCTCGTCCCGCACCGACACCGAGGAGTTATTTCCGTTCGGTTCCTCCTGTGCGACCGGTCGCGATTCCCAGATGCGCTCTGTCAAACAGAGCCCGACACATCGGCTGTCCTTCATGTGAAGGAAGACTCGGTATCGATCCACTTTGTCTTCACCGTCTTGCCGCTTATCCTTCGGGGGTTCCGTCTGGCTCCAGAGCAGCTCATCCTCGATCTCCGGGGATGACAGCTCCTTGTTGACCACCTCTAGCACCCTCTTGGCTTGGTTCTTGGCGCTGGGTGATGCCTTACGGTCCACAATGACCACGTAGCCTTCATCGAACCTCGTGGCTTCGTAGACCCAGCGCGAGGCATTTGCGCGCATGAACGCCTTGCCGAGGTCGACACCGGTCGAGTTCATCTCATGGAACTTCTTGTGCAGAGCGGCGTCCTCGGAGTTGGAGGGGATGTATTCCATGCCACAGGTTGCACAGGTCTTGCGCACCTCGTTCCCCAAATCAATCTGCATCTGGCGCATGGCGGGTGGTTTTTGCGCCTTGTTCTTGGGCGGGTCGGCGGAAGAGCGCACGCTGTTGGAGTTGACCTCAGTCAGGGGCGAACCAGCCGATGCGTCTTTGTGCTTGCGCTTGAGAAAGGCAAAGGTTGGCTTGCGAGTATTTGCTGGCGGGGGAGTCAGTCGCGGTGGCGGCGACGATGGCGGCGTGGTGAGGTCGTCGATATCATCCAACGTGCCTTCGGACAGGACGACCGAGTTACGACGTGATGGACTAGACAAGACGGCGGCGGATGATTCACGGATCGCATTCTGGAGATTTGTCTCTGCTTCGTCGGACTCGTCCAGGACGCGTCTTTTCTTCGCGGCCCGCTCATCGTCATAAACGCGCCATGTCGGTCTTCCGTATGTTTTCATCAGGCCACTGAGGGGAGCGTTAGAGGGGGTTTCGAGGAACAGTGGGAGCTCACATACCGCTTAAAAGAATTGGTGACAGTCCACGGCATCGCCCTTATGCCCAGAGTAATCGAAGGTTGGGTTTGTTATTTCGGGGGGTTTCGCAATTTACATAGGTTCCACCGCACGCGTGGCGCTAACTTGTTTAGGTCATATTGTTCGGTGACGGAGAAAGCTCAACTCACTTTATCCCTTGCCGTTGGAAGTCGCGGTCTGGAGTCGAAGGTGTCAAGCTGGAGGGTATGCGACAGACCGATTCGGGTTTTTCGACAATCTCCGGGGAAGGCCGTGATGGGGGGATTGTTCGGTATTAAGTAGCTCAGGTCCAGCAAGTCGCCACTTGGATGATTACAGTACGTCAAACTGGGACTGAGACGGGGATTCAACTAGGATACAAGGAAAAGAAAAGCAACTGCCTCCAGCCGCTTCTTTGAATTTGCCATTCCTGAATGTGAATTTCTGCCTGGCATGTTGCTTTCGGGCAGGGTTCCTTCGGCCCCTTTTTGCCCAGGAACCAGTCAACCACCGGCTTCTGCGGTTAAGGTCGCAGTGACAGAATCTTGCCACCATTTGACTTGATCTGACTCGCTCGTGGCTTCTGTGAGCCTCGTCCAGCCTACGCCAGCCTACGCCAGCCTGCGCCCGGCCCCAGCCATCGAGACCCCCCGTGTTCCATCTTGCATTTACATCGTGCAAGGAAGCCTTTGGCTGATCATCCTCGCAGACCGCTCTCCAAATCATCCCTGAATCAGTCATTACTGTACAGTACCACTCGCTTCCACCGCAAAATGGACGTCTGGGGCACTGCTGATTGGACCAGGCCGATGAGACGAGATCAGGATTGAGCTCACTGATTGGCGTGGATGGAGAGTTGGCGCGGGGTGCGAAGTTTACAGAGTTTCAATTACGAACTCTCGTCTCCTCCTGTCTGGCACCCCCGGATTTCCGGCAGGGAATGCTTGTACTGCACAAGAGTTTCAAGATGAGCCGGACTCGCCACCCGTGAGACTGGACCGGAAGTCGGATACCATGACGAGCCGGATCACTGCCTCATCGAGCCATGACAGGCACGGGTACAACGGGCACGGGTACAACGGGCACGGGTACAACGGGCACTACAGTACATTGGCACGAGGAACTGGCTTCATTTGGCTCCGCTGAGTTGGTGGCCCTGCCCGTACCACCTCAAATCAACTCACCACTCAAGGTGTCTGGATCTTGCGGACTCCGGCGGTTGCGATTCCATTGTCTTCGATGTTGGAAGTCCAACACGGCAATCCCAATCCCCTCTACTAGGTACAGATTCATTGCACCTGCACCCATGGGTGCTTGTACAAGGCGCCCCGCGAGCCCTCCCTTTCGAGCGGGCAATGCACGTGTGTAACAGGAGTCGCAGATCCGTTCCTGCCAATCACTTCGAGCGGAGCCCGCACATTTAAAAGGTAGACGGTCGTGTAAGGTGTAACCCTGCCCCGGAACACTTAAAAGAAACTCGTACAGATCACTATCATAGCTGAAGGATAGTTAATCAGACAAAGCGGATTATATAACTCCGGCTGCACTGCTCACCATCGTGATGCAGTAGCGTGCAGGGTAAGCTCGCCGGTACCCCGAGTGCTTGAGAGGATCCCCCGCCAAAGTCGGTGATCTGCTCTGACAAGTCTTTGAGTTCAAGGGCCTTTTTTAGCGTAGAGCTAGGATCTATTTAAATACTTAATGGGACCGATTTCTCCATCTCGTCTGTACCGGATAACGAACCTTTGTTGTCCTGAAGTCAAGTGTTGGTCCCGCTTTTGTCCCGCGGAACCGTCTTACGGGAGCCCGAGTCAACTCAAAAATCTCTTCTGATTCTCCCCCAACTTCACTCCTCATATCTTCAACCATGTCGGACGACGCATCAGTGGCAGGAAAGAGAAAGCGCGCGAGTTAGTACACCAATCTGCTTTTTGATTTCGTCCTGAACCTCCCGTTCTCGACCTTTTCCAGGCCGAGGCCCCCCCCAAATATCCAACGGATACCCAGGATCGCCGGCAGTGACTTCGTCAAACGACCTGGCTCCGTCAATCCTATTTCTCTCCGTTTCTCATGCCATACCGAGGCCCGCAGGATTTGAACATGGCTAATTATACCGTACCCCCAGGGACCCAGTCGTGCCCTCCGCCCGAGCTGCCTCAACTCGTTGCGGAGCAGCATGTCGCCATTCCCACACACGACAAGGACACCCAGCGTTTGATCGTCATTCTTTCCAATGCCAGTCTGGAAACCTACCGTGCCTCCGCCGGCCGTGGTGGCAAAGATGAGAAGTACTCTCTGCTGAACAGTGATGAGCACATCGGTATCATGCGCAAGATGAACCGGGATATCAGCGAGGCTCGGCCGGATATCACCCACCAGGTAGGATTTGTGATGTGCATCATCGAGTTACAGCGGTTTAACAGTTTTTTCTGTAGTGCCTTCTCACTCTTCTGGACTCCCCCGTCAACAAGGCTGGCCGCCTTCAAATTTTCATCCACACGGCCAAGGGGGTTCTGATCGAGGTCAACCCGTCCGTCCGCATCCCCAGAACTTTCAAGCGGTTCGCCGGTCTGATGGTCCAGCTGCTCCACCGCCTGTCGATTCGCTCCACCAACTCACAGGAGAAGCTCCTCAAGGTCATCAAGAACCCGATTACCGACCACCTGCCCCCGCACTGCCGCAAGGTGACGATGAGTTTCGACGCCCCAGTGGTCCGCACCAAGGACTACATCGAGTCGCTGGGTCCCAAGGAGAGCATTGCAATCTTCGTCGGTGCCATGGCCAAGGGCCACGACGACTTTGCCGACTCGTTCAAAGATGACACCATCAGTATCAGCAACTACAGTCTGAGTGCCAGTGTGGCCTGCAGCAAGTTCTGCCACGCGGCGGAAGAGGTGTGGGACATTCTGTGAGCGGCATCAGGCTGAAATTGCGCAGCTGTAAGCGCGCCTCTTCTGCCCCTCCGTGCGCAGATTCGGCATATTCCCCGGAATTGCCATGAATCCAAACGAATTTCCTTGCGACGAGTTGACACAACGGGTCGGGGTTCCAAGCTTGGCCTTCGATCCATTGACCAACGGGTCCGTCTCCGGTACATGAATTTCGACAATTTCTGTTTTTTTCCCTTTTCGGCTGCCGTCCCGAGACTCCCATTTATCTACTCTTCTCATTTTGTGTTTTTTGAAGATCCATTGACTGTCGGGATGCTCGAGAACGGGACGACCAGCGTCGATATTGCTCTAGCAGCATGCTAAGGGGGGCACTTGGATGGGTCCCCTTCGACAAAGAGACACTCGGACTGGATGGCATTTGGTTCCTTTTCGCCGGCCAGTCCTGAATCAGAGCTCTCAGCCCGCGAGTGTGGCGAGACCAGAAAAAGTGAACATATAGAGGAGCCTTGCTCCTGTGGTTAGGCACATACTGTGTGAAATACAATGACTTTCGGTTGCTCATTTCTTCCAAGGTTGCTTCCTATAGAGTAGTCCCGACTATCTCGTACCTTTGTATACCTCTGTGGCCTTCGACGTGGCATGCGTCTTGCCTCACTTTGTGACTAAATATGCAGCTACTCGGAACTATGCATTTCTTTGTGGGCGAATGAATTCCCCGGTTTCGTCCGGGGGCTGTACTCGTGCCCGGAGTCTCACGACTATCTAGTTCCACGGGGATCCGAAGATGAGTATGAGATGACTAGATGACTCAAAAAGCGTTCGTAAACCACGTCCATAGTGGCGGTCAGCACCACTGCCCAGAGGCAGCGCAACCAATTCGCAAATGGGCGTTCCAATGGCCTACCCCTGCTCCACCTTCACCACGTCCCGCCTCACCATTTGTCCAGCACTTGAATCCAACCGACAATTCCACCCACTCTTCTCAATCCACGGCAGCCCGCTCCACCCTGGCAAAGTCCCCGCGATGACCTGGCCCCCTTGAGATCCGAGCGGCACCAAATCCACCCAAATCCACCCGCAGACCACACCCCCAATGAGCTCGTACTGGTCCTCACCGAATCTAGCCAGGAACATGTCCAGGGCCCCTCTCCTTTGGGCCTGACTTCCGACTAAAGCAGGACTGCAGCAGGGATTTTGAGCTCTCGCCTCACTTTAACTCCTATACCAGCGTTTCACCTCCCAACGCGCATGTCGCTCGATCGGGCAGGATGTTCTGTTCACGATGCTAAGAAAGCGGACCGGTCCACCCTGCATTGGCAAATATTGCTCCACGCAGAAGAGGGGGACCCAATTTGGCCATGGCCTTGACTTTTTCGGACGACTGCTGTGGACAAAGTTCGGATAACCGGTGGCATCTTGGGCAGAGAGGGTCCTATTTTTATGGATTCAAGGCGTTTCTCTCTCCTTTTTCCCTGCATCCGACTGGTTCCTGGTATTCCCTGGCTGCTTGCGACTGGTGGGGTATCGTAGTTCCTGAATTTATAGACCTCAGTTCCTCACCGTATATATTCTCTTGTGGACTGCTGGGGTTGTCTTTTTTCCCCATCCTACTCTGTTTAAGTTTTCCATCTGTACACCTTTTCATCCTTGCAAGTACGTGCTGGACACCGGCACGTTGACACGCTCCGATTTCCGACATGCCTCTCTCGCATCTCACCCTGACTGTCTCCCACCTGCCCACCTCAACATCCTTCTTCCTGTCCTGTCTCCAGCCCCTGGGTTACCAATTTATTGGTCGAGTAGAAGAGTATATCGGGTTCGGCCAGAAGGCAGGTGCACCGGCCGATTTCTGGATCACCGAACAAAAGCACGGGTGGGTCGTTTGATAATGCTCGCAGGGACCGGTGGCTAACTCCTACAACAGTCTCGCAGTCAGCGCAGTCCATGTCGCATTCCCAGCCCCTTCGAAAGAAGCCGTTCAGTCATTCGTTTACGCCGCGGTAAAAGCTGGCGCTAAGCTACATGGCGAGCCTCGAGAACGGGATTCAATATCGGGTTACTACAGCGCGGCCGTGATTGACCTCGATGGGAATAGCGTCGAAGCGGTGTACCGCCCTGGTGCTTCGGTCGTTGCGTCAGAAGCTGGAGGACCGACGATAGCGCTCCTGGAGAATCGGTCGGTTGTGTCCAAGAGCAGAGCCAGCACTGTCAAGGCTGAGAGCGTTGCGCCTTCCAGGTCCGAGGCTAGGTCTTGTGCTGTTTCGAAGGCCCCGACTGCTATCTCGAAAGCCCCGACTGCAGTCTCGAAAGCTGCACCAAGTGCTGTTTCCCACAGGTCTCAGGGTCCGCCGCCTTCTTATACGACACAAACGGCCCAGAAAGCCGACGATGGTGCTAGGGCAGCCAAAACCATTGTGGGAACTCTGATCGGTGCAGCTGCTGGTGCGGCCATTGCATATGCAATGGTAAAGGGTGACTCCCAGTCAACCAAGGAGGGCACCAAGGAAGCTCCGCAATATACACCCGAATCCCACCAGCTTATGGCGGCGCCGTCCCAGGTTTCTTCTCACAGGGAGGACCAATATCAACAGCAATTGAGGGCCATCGAGGCTCCTCCAACTCGGAGCGTCTACACCAGCGCATCAGGCCCCAGATCTACGGTCACGCGCAGCGTCAGCTCCAAGAACCCGCGTGCCAGTACCATCTATGAAGGCACCGGGTTCTTCCTCGACGAGAGCGGTCGACGCGCCTCGGACGGAAGCGTCTTCAGTATCCCCGAGGACATGCCTCTACGAGCAATCGAGTATCCCCCACCGAGCCACAGCTCGCAGCAGCGCCACCCATGCAGCCCGAGCACCTTCATCAGCAGTTACGCAGCGGACAAGCCGCGGGCCGGCAGTGTGCACTCCGCATCAACGATCAAAGCATCGCAACACAGCATCCAAAGACGACACAGCCACGACGACAGAGATACGTATTCATCGCACAGCAAACACTCCCAGATCTACCGCGCCAGCTCCAGCCACCACTCCTCCAAATCACAATCCAAAGGCCTCGACAATGGCAGCACAACCTCATCCAACCGCACTGCGCGGAACATCCCACTGCCAACCGGGTCCTCCGCCACATACTATAGCGCGAGCCCAAGCCACGGCAACAAATCGTACGTCTCAGCACGCGAGGTACCCCTCCCCGACAGCGTGATCGACCTGGACGTCAACTCGCACGTCACACCGGACGACTCGATCAGTCAGGTTGGAAGCCGCCCGGGCCGATCCAGCCACTCCCATCGCTCTAGCCATTCGAAGACTTCGAAGCACTCGTCCAGATCGAAGATGGACGAGCCTGTCAGGCCGGCTGATAGTATAAGCCAGGTCTCGCGGGCGTCACAGCGCACTATCAAGGCTGGTGGAAGTAAGGCACCGAGTCGACAGGGGAGCCAGGTTGCGTTTTAATTGCATTCAATTCTTGCATATCCTTTTTTTTGTGACTTTCCTTTTACTCGAGTGCGTCGTTTCTTGCATTCATCCAACAAGATGACAGTTCATATTAATATTTGCATGGATATGGTTTGCGTTTCATAGATAGATACAATTCAGACATTTGCATAAGTCACTTTGCATAACTCAAAGAATACTTATCCGTTAACCACCACTCCACCGTTAGGATGCAAGGATTGACCAGAGATAAAACTACTATCCTGGCTAGCAAGGAATACAAAGCAGGTAGCAACTTCACTCGGCTGTCCCGGACGACCCATCGGCGTTCCACTGAAATTTTCCATTGCTTCCGTTGTCATAGTCGCGGAGATAAGAGGAGTCCAAACTAGCCACATATTAGCCGTTGCAAAGATCGGGGGAACAATTGAATGTCCGCTTACCTGGTCCAGGACAAACGCAATTAACACGAATCCCATTCCCAACCTGCTGATTAGAGAGCGCCCTCGTAAAAGCGACCATTGCGCCCTTAGTCGCAGTATAGTCGATAAGATCAGGGCGTCCAATGTAGCAATTCACCGAAGCACAATTGATAATCGTCGAGCCGTTCTTCAGATGCGGCATCGTGTACTTGGACATGTAAAACACAGAGTGAATGTTCGTATCGAACGTCTCTTCCCATTGATCTCTGGACGCAACAAAATTAGCACGAGCAGTAAACACGAAGATATAGCATAAATACTCACTCCTCCAAACTCTTAATATCCTCGACCATATTCTGAGTCCCCGCATTATTCACCAGGATATCAATACCGCCCAATCTCTCCAGCGCGGTCTCAACGGCCTTGCGACAATTCTCCTTCCCCCTCAGATCTGTAGCCAAAGTATAGCAGCTTTGTCCTAGTTCCTCGACCCGTCGTTTCGTCTCTTTCGCATCTTCCTCTTCTTCCGGTAGATAGGTAATCAGGCACGACGCGCCCTCCATGGCATACAGGATGGCAATGGCGCGACCGATCCCCGAGTCGCCGCCTGTGATAATGGCTTTCTTGCCCGTTAATTTACCAGCTGCTTTGTATGTTTGGTAGCCATTGTCTTCGGTGGGGAGTTGGGTCGATTGCGGTTTCGGGTCCTCGAGCTCAGCCTGTAGACCGGGTTTTTTGTGGTGCTGGATTGGGATTTGGTGGCCTGATGTTGTGAGAAAGGTGGCTAATGGAACAATGGGAGAACGGGCTTACCTTGTTCGAACTGCGATTCCGGACCGCGGGCGCTGCGTTCGGTTCTTTCTTGCATGGTGAAGGTCTGTAGTCGAAGGGAGTAGGATGTATTTACAAGTCGACACTGTTAAGTAGTAGAGCAAGATTGATAAGAATATTTACACAGTATGAATAGCTAGTTTCCAGTTTCCAGTTTCCAGTTTCCAGGATTGCGGTGTTCGATGTGATTCGTCAGAATGACGTTTCTCTAACAAGATGGAATCAGGAATGTCTACGACCACGTTCTACGACAGAAGATAATTCAATTCAGGCTTATTGGATTTCAATTCGCCACCTTCGAAAACAGGGAAGACAAAAAGCATTGCGGTGCATTTGGTCGGACGCGGAGTTGCCGGACACGACCTGAACTCCGGATCCGAGATTCACAACCACTTTCATTTAGTGCGAACGTTATAGTGGGGATCTACATGCTACTATACATTTGAGTTGTAGATCATGCGGGAGACTTTAGGATAGTGGAAAAATATAAACGTTGTCAAGTTGTATGGCGTGTCTAGTTCATATCCCATAGGACACACCCAACTATGCATCATTTCGAGGTAAATATCAAGAAAAGCTTTTGGAACTTGATAGTGTTTGAACAAATAAGGTGCATGTACAGGAGATGCGTCCTCATCTACCAGGCATCCAGGGCCTACAAGCTGCTCTCAGGCCCTTGGTAGAAATTACATAGAGATCTTTGGTAAAGAGATGCCCGTGCGAGACATACTTCAAACAACAGGGGAAGTGTTCTCACAGCTTCCGAAAGATAAGAGGAGAATCTCGATGCGGAGATCATTGAGGGGCGCCGAAAAAGGAAAAAGCAAAAAAGCAATGATGAGACGAGGACAGGTTTGGCTAAGAACTCGAAAACCCCCGGGGGGTTAAAAAATATATGATTTTAAGGTATAAAATTAAAAAAAGGAGGAAGTAGACCTGGATAAAATAGATCAAAGGAGAAAAGAATTTGCTCGATTCTCACGAGAGGCAGCTTGCTAAGGAAGAAGACATATGATTGCGTGACCTAATACCCCTGGCCTCGTTCCTCAACTCCCCCTTTCCCTCTCTTTTCTTTCTATGTTCCTCTGTCTTTGCACTCCTTGTTATGGATGTTCAACGCCAATTTCCTGGTGTGCACTGGGTCTGGGGAGGAGGCATCTCCTATGTCTACGAGGTCCATCCTCTCATCGTGGTCAAGGTTCCCAAGTCCGGCCCGGAAGAGAGAGAGAAATTTCGCAAAGAACTCAAGGTTTATGAGATTCTATCTCGGCATCCGCCCTGCCCACATCTAGTACAATGTTTCCACTATACAATAGACGGAATCTTCCTTGAGTATATGAGAGGTGCGACCCCCATTGGTATGCCAATAACGTGTCTACTAACTACGTTTCTAGATATATCTCTTGCGTATAGGAGACAATTCAATCTTACTCGGGGCCCCGAAACTCGTGTGGTTATTAAAGTGGGAAAGCTGGAGCCCTTGGCCCTACGAAAGTCGTGTTAGTAGACAATCAATAACTGCTTGGAAGGAACTGATTCCCTAAGATACTTAGGGATGAACGATCTTGCTCAAGGTGTTGCTTTCCTCGGATCGCTTAACCTCGCTCACGGTGACCTGCGACCTGAAAATATTCTGCTTGATCGTAACCGACTAAAACTGGCGGATTTTGATTGCACAGCCGAATTCGGAACAGATTTCGAAACTTGCCCTTGCCCGTACGGAAGACTACTCAATAGTAACGAAGCAGACCAGGGAACACCTGGAACTGCCGGCCTCCTAGGTCCTCGAACAGAGCAGTTCGCCCTCGGTTCATTATACTACTTGATCAACTATGGTTTTGAGGTTTATGACGATCAATGTCTTGCCGACGATCTTTATGAGCATGGACCTAAGGTCGTGGACTTACTACAGGACATGGAGTTTCCGAAGCTCGATGGCGATCCGCTTATTGACGATATCATCGATAAATGCTGGCACAACCAATATCTCACGCTTGCGGATTTGGCCACACATACAGAGGCTTTGCTTAAGGAACCACAAAGCGCGGCACTGGACCACGAAGCAGCCTCCACTTCGGGGTGGTGCACAGCTATAGACAGAATACTGCGTCAGTTATGGTCCAGACTCGGGGTCCGACGGCGGAGCAATGTGGAGGTAACTAAGGGAGACGATCAGAAGCGCTATGTTGGGGATCTATCTTCGAAAGAGGAATTCTGCCGGGACTTGGAGAAGCGTGGACTTCTTCGCCTACTTACTTCGAGTAAGCCCACGGAGCTTGGATTCAAAATGGAGCACAGGCATGTGTTACCAACTACTCCGGCGAGCTGAGAGGGACGAGACTACTATAGAGGGAGGTCGGAGATTTGGGATCCTTTTCATGGCTACTGCTGGTTGATGATAAGTTAAATGTATACTGTCAGATTACTCAGAGTACGGAGTACGGAGTTAGCTGGCCCAAAGAAGACTTGTGTATGCAATGCCACGTACCATCATGTAATGAATTGCGAAAGGAACAGAATCACATCCCGTTACTTATCAAAAATATAGAAAGACTTTTACCCTGTGAACGATGGAGGGACGGCCGAAGAAGCAGTCATTATGAATGGGGAAATATAGGACTTAGTAATTTACAAAGAACAAATACATGATTAAAGAGAAAGGAACCATCACCGTCAAGTTCTAGCTCTTGTGGTCAATCGCGCTGATCGTCTGAGCTCAGAAGAGACGCGACGGAGGGAGAAGTGACAAGACGGTATATTGAGGAGCTAGTCCAGGAACAGCAAAACTAACCGGATGTAGTACATCACAGATCCACGCTCTAACCTCCGACGGCGCGTCCAGGCCCTCTAGGACCCTGCTCTTCATGACCTCCCGGCCCATATAAGGATAGAGATAGAGACGGTGAGCAAAACGGTGATATTTCTATCCAGCTAATCCTAATAAGGGTATAGAGGCCCGAAAAACCCGGCAATGGGGAGGTTGGTAGTATCAATTCCCTAAATTTTCAAGCATATAATGCTCTTTCATCTCCACTCCTCCCGTGCCCTCCTTTCTTCTCCTTTTAATAGTCTCAAGCTTGTTCCGTTGCACTCGGAGGAACAAACTTAATGTTGTCATGATGAAGCTGAGGCAGATAATCAGAGGGCGGACGGGCCAATACACTATCATCAAGCAACTTCACGAGAGTGTCTGGCTTGCAATGTATGTTTTCTTAGCCTAGTCGAGGATTACTTTTTTAACTGTTGTGGTTCGCAGGAACCAAGAAAAGGACAGCTTCATCGTTAAAAGCGCCAACCATTTTCGCATTCATAACGAAAGAGACATCCTCCTGCGGTTTCAGCACAAATCTCCTCTTCTACGGCCCCTACTGGACGAGGTTCAGGACCCCGCTTCTCCATCGGCGATTGTTCTGAAATATCTGGAGGATGATATCTTACATGCTTCCAATAGAAAACGTCTCGCCCGCACGGAAGTGAAATACGTCGCTCAACGTGTATTAGAGGCGTTATCTGTTCTTCACCAAGAAGGATTTGTTCATACGGGTAAGTTTGCTAGAACTCTTGAGTAATTAACATTTATAATCTCGCTGACTTGTCAACCTGCAGACATCAAGCCAAGCAATGTGTTAGTTAATTACGAAAAGGGTGAATCCAGGTTCAAAGAGGTCCAATTAGCGGACTTCGGAAGCACAGTGCACATGGACTCTGCTTATGCTCGTGATGGAGACTCCATCGGGACTCCAATTTTTAGAAGCCCGGAGGCTCATCTACAAATGATATGGGATACAGCCACTGATATATGGTCTTTTGGGGCAATGGCAAGCCTTTCCCGCCCGGAAAGCTTCTTCCGCACGTCTTGGTCTAACCGTTATATAGCTCACAAGCCTGCTCTATGGCGAGGGCTTCCACGTTTTTAAACCTGATGTCCCTGTGGATCACGAAGATTATGATCTTAAGATCCTCATGAAGCATCATCGGTGTTTTGGACCGTTTCCTGCTTCGTACGATGAGATAGCAAACCAACAACGACGAGCAGTGCTGATTTGGGTCACGCAAAACTGTCCTCCGGACACTATGAGACCTTTTCATCTCACGACCGCACAAGAGATACGCAATGAAGACAAGGGGTTTGTGCTTAAGGTCATGAAACTTGACCCAAGAGATCGGCCTTCTGCCCAGGAACTATTAGAAGACAGTTGGTTTACTTCAGAGGAATGAACCTGGATCAAAACGATACTTAGTGATCGTCCATAGTCTTGGTTAAGCGGGGCCTATTAACAACAACTATTCTTCTCTGGGGCCGCTTCTTTCTTTATGGTGTTTGGAATGGTGCGGTGAGTGAATTAAATGGGCTTGGCTTCCACGCTTCAAGCTAATGCGAAGACATCCAATCCCTCGGGCGTCAAGTAGCACTGTCACACGTTCGCAGCAACGCCAAGTGATTGATTTGTTGGCTCTTCGCCCCAAACAAAATTTAAAAGAGGCGTTTTTTTTTCACGGACGGCAAAAGCCATCAGCCTATCGTTACGCGCCAACGCGAGTTGCCGCTTTACCATGTCTAAACCCAGCTGGATCTGCAAATGGTAGCTGAGTTTGGCGCCCGGTGTTTTACGGCACTCGCATGGGTTATGAATGTCGCATCGTTAGCTGGTTCTATCATTGCCAATGCTATATCAAAATACTTCGAGTCAATAGAGTTTACTCAATGAAGCTAGAGAACTTACATCTGATGATGGAGACCTGGAAATATCAAATCCACCAATCCGAGTACACCAGAGACTGGACCTCTACATTGTACCAATTCTCTACAGTCTATCAATTCACCAATTCATAAGACGGGCCTGCCTGTATTGTGCTATCTGCGACAAAGAAGAAAAAAAATCGTTAAAGCCCTCCACCACCATCCAGCACACAGTCCCAGTCGACCCCGTCACCTCCATCTTCTCTCCTGAGATTCAAATCCACTAGCACCGTTACCACCGTCGCAAAGTTTCTGTCAAGACACCGAGAAAAGGCTTTTATCACCAATGGACGTTGTTTTCTTTTTCTTTTTTCTTTTTCTGAGCGATTAGAGGACAGGAAGAAACCAGCAAAAGAGACAGTGATCTCCAGAACCCCCTCAACCACCCAGGTCAAAGGTCAAGAGATGCCATGAATGCAGGAAAAGGTCATAATGATCGTTTGATATGACATGTCCCGGACTAACACAGAGACAATGCGTAGTTTAGGAAACGGTAGCAACAGTTGCAACGCGCACACATGAAGGAGAAAAAAATGGAAGACAACCAGGTTGCAAAGTTTCTACGACCACGGTACGCCAGGCTTCGCGGGATCTGAATCTAACAGAGAACAGAAAAGAAGATGCAGAGGAGTGACGGGAAAGAATCGAGAGGCTGCGTCACGGACGGATGAAAGGAGGGATGGGCAGATTTGTTGAGAAATTTGCCGTTCAAATAGCGTACTTGCGAGTCCATTCGCGAGCCGTCGCCTCGTACCGTGGGCGGTCCGTCTTGTAGACATGCGCGATCTCGGGAACCAGCGGGTCGTCCGGGTTGGGGTCTGTGAGCATCGAGCAGATCGAGAGCAACACTGGAGATGGGTTAGCCACGTGGTGTGCGGGACGAGGTTCGATGGGTAGGTACGCACCCTTCGAGATGGTCAGAGCAGGGCTCCATTGGTCCCTCAGGATATCCAGACAGATGCTGCCATTGGAGTTGATGTTGGGGTGGTAGATGCGAGTGGTGAAGTTGACCTTCGGGGGCTTGAAAGGATAGTCGGTAGGGAAGTGGATGGTGAGGAAGAAAACGCCTCCCGAGTATGGCGAGTCACCCTGGAGAGTATTAGTATCACGGAATTCATTCCCACCGAGGACAGAATTGACTTACAGGACCCATAATGGTTGCTTGCCAGTGGAACTGTTGTACCCAAAAAAAAAGTTGTCAGTCATCCATTACTGTCATCCCACCGATCTGCACTGGGGAACACTTTCTGCCCCGCCGCACGATAAGGCCGCCACCAGGAAGGGGGCCACGACGGGGGAGAAAGAGGGGAGCGAGCAAGAGGGCATTCAGGGCGTTTCATAGAGCATACCAGATCATCTCCGACGGGGCCTGCGGAGCAGGAGGAGGGGGGATCCCTGTGGAACGAGGAGAGTCAGTTTCCAGACTTTTGAAGGCTCGACGGGCTCAATCTTACCGGCCGAGATCAGTGAGTTCCTTGTTAATGCGCTTGAGAGCCATGACGACGAGAGTGACAGGACGAAGAAACTTGAGAGAGGTCAGCGAGGGACGATATTTATAGGGCCGGTGTGGGCAACACGTACGGATACGCCTTTGTGTGGAAAAGAGAGAAGAGAAAGAAGAAGAAAGAGGGGGGGAAAGTGGGCGAGCGGGTGTCTTTGGGGGTATTACCAATACACGCCACGGATGACACACTTTGTACAGTACTGTGAGGACCCGCGTAGGGCTGTCCTTTATACACCTTGGCTAGATCGTACGAGGATGATGACTACCGTAAGACTCTGTATTATCATATCATTTCTCGATAATATTCACTAGGTTACCCTGTAGGCTGCTTTGGCGGAGCATGCACATCGGGTCTCAATTTCAAATTTAAAATACGAGCCCCTCGATGATGTCACGTGCGGGTGAGGCGTTCGCCCCGTCCCGATTGGGAAAGAGGCCGCGCTTCGGTTTCTTCCTTATTTTGTATGGGATTCGGTTGTATAGTTCGTTTATTTTGATGTATGATGTACAGTATATATACAATTCGTGTTCTAAACAAAGGCCTGCTTGCCAGTGATAGCCCGGCCCAAAATCAATGCTGTGGAATGGAATATCAGCCCAAGTCCGAGGCCCTTTAGGTTGGGCATGCAACCACTTACCGTGAATATCACTCTGACCCTCGTAGGTCTGCACCACAAACAAATTGGACACATGACGTCCAATGTGGTACTCGTCGCTGGCAGCGTTTCCACCAAAGATCTCTTGAAGGCTAGTAACGAAATGGTTAGCATCGTTCGGGCAGAAAGCCACTAGGAGATACATACATCCGCGAGTTGACCAGTGCACGATCGCAGTTCTGTCGCTTGATCATAGAGATCATCTCCGGGGTGGCCTTGCCCGCGTCCTTGAGACGAGCCACCTGCACCGCTGCCAGCGTGCCGTAAGCGGCATCCGTCGCCGCGTCAGCCAACTTCTTCTGGACGAGCTGGTACTTGGCCAGCGGGTTGCCCTTGAACTGCTTGCGCTCGAGCGAGTACTCGCGCGCACGGGCAAGACAGTCCTCCAGCGCACCCATACTACCAAAAGCAATACCCAACCGGGCGCTGTTCAGGCAGGTGAACGGGCCCGTGAGGCCTTCAACGTCCGGGAACATGTTCTCCGCAGGAACAGGGCAATCATCCATGTGGATCATACCCGTGATAGAAGCACGCAGGCCATTCTTGTGCTTGATCGCAGGGGTCTCAAATGAACCGGGCGTGCAGCGCTCACGCTCAATAATGAAACCGCGGATCTTGCCGGTCGACTCGAGCTTCGCCCACACCAAAGCCAGATCGCAGATAGGCGAGTTGGTGATCCAGGTCTTGCTGCCGGTCAACAGGTACATGCCCTTCTGAGTCGGGTGCTCGCGGGCCACCGTCTCCATAGACCCAGGGTCAGAACCGTGATTCGGCTCAGTCAAGCCAAAGCAGCCGGACAGCTTGCCCTTGGCCAATCCAGGTAGCCATCGCTGCTTTTGCTCTTCTGTGCCGAACTCGTAGATACCCGTCATGGCCAGCGAGCTCTGCACCGACATGCCCGACCGGTAGCCGGAGTCCACGCGCTCCACCTCCTTGGTGATCAAGCCCGAAGCCACGGTGCTTACACCGGCACACTCATATCCCTGGATTGAGGCGCCGAGCAAGCCCAGCTCGCCCATTTCTTCAAGGATCCGACGATCATAGTCTTCGTTGCGGTAGGCCTCTGCAAGGAGGCGTTAGCTTATGTCTGAAGTGCAGGATGTAGAGAGAACGCCGTACCCAGGACCCGTGGCATCAATCTTTCCTGGCAGTATTGCCGTGCTGTGTCCTGAATCGCCAACTCCTCCGAAGTGTACAGCTCCTCCGCGAGGAGGGGATCCTCCCAATTGAAGACGGCCGAGGAAGCGTACCGCCGGCCAACGACGGGACGACCTGCTTGGACAGAGCGTGCAGCAGCACGCAGTAGAGATCGATTCATCATTGTGCGAAGAGGAAGAGTTTAGGGAGTGGAGAGTGGGAGCTTCGAACTTGTTCTCAAGGTTGTTTGTTGCGGGGGAGCTCAATCAAATATGGCCTAGTGACGGCGAACCTCGGCAATTATGGGGCGGAAGCAAATCACCGAGCTCAACGAGTGGCGACAAGAAATCAGGACTATCGGAGCTAGGGATTTAGTTTATGCGAAACGATTCGATACAAGACCCGAGTAATTGAATGTCAGTCGTGGGCAAGACATCCGCCTCGGAGCTTTTCGGCAGTTATCTCTCGGTGCTCGGCATCCCACGATCAGTGCCCACGGGGAATCTCCACCCGATATTAAGTGTGGCACCTGTACCGTAATGTAATATTTCCTTCTAGTGCCTATATTCATCTGCCATGGCAATTGACCAGCCGGGGTCGTCATTATTTATATACAAAGGAGGGGTGGTAGAACAAGGGGAACCACGAATGCCGATTACGCCGGCATCTGGCTTTGCAGGAAATCAAACACGCCCGTGGGGAAATAGTCTTCGTCGAATCCCCACAGGTCCGTCATCATCGGGTCCATTGAACCCTCTGAAAGACCTGGCTCCGGTTTGCTCACGGTTGGCTCGAATCCATTGCTGCGCTCGGCAGACAACGGTGCCACGCCTAGTAGAGGCGGTGGATGGTTCAAGATGGTGTCTCGCTCACCCAAAATCTGGGCTCCGGGTATGATAACTGGCTTGAACAAGGAGGGGATCTCTTGTGGAGTCGACGCCATAGACTGCGGGTTACTGTTCCGCTTCTCCCACTCCTCGAGTCCGGTCAGCATCTTCCGCAGACCTCGAGCGATGTGATGGCTCAGGTGACGCTCGCTTGCGCGTTGGCTACATCCAACCATGATCTCGACAATCCGACCGACCAAGACCCGCACGTAGCCGACGTCAACGAGCAAGCCAGCTGAGGCAATCGAGTTGTGCTGACCGTGGCCCGGGTTTGGCCCGTTGGAGCATGACTTGGCTGCGATCTTCAACAGGAAGACGGCCGCAAAAGTGATCATGCTGTGGAGGTATAGTGGTACGCCAACCAGAGCTCTTTGTATGTCACGCTCATCTAGACAGACTTGGAGAGTGGCCGTCGCCGACTCAATGGCAATGTTAGCCCGCTTTCTGCGTTCAGGTGACATAACTCGTGATGAGGTCGAAGAGTGGTAAGTACGCAAGGCAACCGAATTCAACTGGAGCCGAGAGAAATGGTAGTGCATATAGACGGCCTTGTAGGGGTATGCGCCGACATGACGACTCCCAACTGTGGACGCGGGTCAGCAAAGGGAAAATTAAGAGAATATGCAAGTGCAAACTCACAAAGTCGTGGTAGCCATGCTGATTTCCATTCTCCCAATTCCAAGTCGTACTGATCAATTTTAGGAAATTCGCTCTCTGGTACTTCGAGGTCGACATCGGGGCCAAATGCAAAATATATCCGGGTGAGGATTATGAACAGGTCAACTTGACTGTGCAGTCGTAAGTCTCCCTGGGATACGGATTGTGATTGTGTAAAGGTGTTGTGGTTTGTGATTGCGAGATCCTCGTGAATGATTGGAGGTCGACCATATGCGATGGAGAAGTGATGCTCAAGGGTCTGCATGTCTATTAGTATCCTGAGAGGGATTCTTCGAGCAAGAAACATACATATAGCAGGTACCACAGCCTGGCTTGCTCCTTATGTTCCGGAGACCCTGCCACGGCTTTACGATAGAATTGATGCAAGTTGCGTTCAGTCGCAATGCGAACCGCGTATCCAGAAAGCTTCCAGTTCACATCCGCAAGCCAGAATGCGCCGATACACAAGGCTCTAATATCGTCCATGGTATGGTGGTGACCAAGCATTGACTCGGACGCAAGTTTTGCAAACTCCGTATAGCAGGTGTCGAATGTGCGCTCTTTGGTGGGCATATGCAACGCTGTGACGGCCATGATAGCAGCACACAACATGGATGATGACCGCCGAGCAGATGTCAGATCCTTATGTGCCAGTAACGCTCCGTCCCACAGGTAGCGGTTGAGCACTTGGTCAAAGTGGTAGAACAATTCCTCTGCTTCCCGTAGGTCCACCACTCCGCGCGATATAAAATCTGTCACCAATGCCTGATCTGGCGACTGCTGTCCGGGGGAGCTTTCGCGATTCTCACTGAGCTGTGTCACCTCGTATAAGCTCCCCATGGGGGCCGTGATCAGAGAAGTAGCACTCGTTTCCTCGCGATCTATAGAGTATTGCGGCTGTTGTTGTGAAAAGGTGTAGCTTGATGGGCTTGACCCAGTCGCTCTGCCCGCAGTATTGCCTGTTGAATCGGTCCTGTGGTGTCCCATGGCAAGGGTATCTTTCACCGACACAGTTGATTCTTTCCGACCTCGTTTCCTCGAAGGTGTGTCGATAGTTCCATTGCCGGCTTGGTAGTACGATAGTTCCGGCAGTTGGGCCTTCCTAAGAAGGTCCGTCATTGCCAGCTCGATTACGGTCTTCCACCTGCGATACCGGCCCCGTTAGCTTTGGGAATGGAACTCGAAGTAAATAGAGAGAACTTACTCCGCTTCATCCTCCAGCAGCGTCTGAAGACTCTTGTTGACAACACAGTCCAGGCCCATGCGCCGACATCGCGAGCATGTCGACTCACCTGCTTTCATATCACATCGGACCTTGTGTCGCTTACATTCAGTACATGCGCGTATCCTCCGCGAGATCTTTGGGACATGGTCTGGCGCCCGCGAATGGTCCTCCGAGGTAACTCCGCCTTGCGGGGAAGCGGACGAGGCATCACCATTGGCATCAAAATAGATGCGATTCCGCTTCATATTGGGAAGTCGGGTATGAGTCCCGCATGGCAGACCCCGGGGAATAACAGAAGGCGGGGGTTGGGCTACTTGGTTCTCGACCGAATCAATTGTGGCCTGAGGCATAAAACTGGGCCCGGTCACGTGTAATACACGTATGACGTCACGTGGTACTATCCCATTTTAGGCTTAAGTGATTATTGATTATGTCATGTTTTCCTTAGCGGTGCTAACTAACTAATAACCGCGTAGATGCGGCGCGTGTAATCGCTCATCGCAGCGCGTCTTTCGTGGTGGAGGAGCTTGCAAACGACCGACCTCCAACCTCACTCACCTTGATCAAAATCACACTCACCCGCCAACATGGGTATCAAGCGTGAGGGCTGTCTTTATAATTTCGGCTGTGGATATCTACTGACAAGTGCCAGACCTGTACCAGGTAATCTCCGAGAATGCCCCAGATGCGATCAAGACGGGCGAAATTAAAAATCATTTTGGCCGCAAAGTCGCAATTGTATGTTGATGCCCTTTTTTAAATGCCCTCCGTCTTTGAATTAGCGGCTAACCAGGAACCTCGGAGCTGTACAGGATGCGTATGTCCACCGAAGATTGCGAGACAGCTCCCAGAGCCGCATGTACTAACCCGCAACAGATCGATGAGCATCTACAGTTTCCTGATTGCCGTGCGCTCTGAAGGCCAGCAGCTGATGAGCGATTCCGGCGAGACAACATCACACTTGATGGGCATGTTCTACCGCACTCTGCGAATGGTCGACAATGGCATCAAGCCTCTGTACGTGTTTGACGGTGCTCCGCCGAAGCTGAAGTCCGGCGAGCTGGCGAAGCGTGGCGCGCGCAAGGCAGAAGCGCACGAGGCGCACGAGGAGGCCAAGGAAACGGGTACTGCAGAGGACATTGAGAAGTTCTCCCGTCGTACCGTGCGGGTCACTCGCGAGCACAATGCCGAGTGCAAGCAGCTCCTGAAGCTGATGGGTATTCCGTACATTGATGCCCCAACTGAGGCTGAGGCTCAGTGCGCGGTTCTGGCTCGCGCGGGTAAGGTCTACGCGGCTGCGTCTGAGGATATGGATACCCTGTGCTTCGAGGCACCGATTCTTCTGCGCCACTTGACATTCAGTGAGCAGCGGAAGGAGCCAATTCAGGAAATTCACCTGAGCAAGGCGCTCGAGGGACTCAACATGGATCGGAATCAGGTACGAAACTCTTGGCAAGGCGAATCAAGGTCTACTGGCTTACCACCGCGACACTACAGTTCATCGATCTCTGCATTCTCCTGGGCTGCGACTACCTCGAACCCATCCCCAAGGTGGGACCAAGCACCGCTCTGAACCTGATCCGCGAACACGGTAGCCTGGAGAAGGTCCTGGAATACATGAACAACGACCCAAAGAAAAAGTTTGTAGTCCCCGAGAGCTGGCCATACCAAGACGCGCGCGACCTGTTCGTCAACCCGGACGTGCGCGACGCGGATCACGAAGACTGCGATTTCAAGTGGGATGCCCCAGACGTGGACGGCCTGATTGCATTCCTAGTGACCGACAAGGGCTTCAACGAAGACCGTGTCCGCAACGGAGCCGCACGCCTGACAAAGAACCTCAAAAGCGCGCAGCAGTCGCGATTGGAAGGTTTCTTCAAGCCTATGGCACGCACGGACGAAGAGAAGGCCAGCCTGAAGCGGAAGCACGATTCGAAGCTGCAGGATCAAAAGAAGCGCAAGAAGGACGAAGCCAAGGCGAAGAAGGAGGCCAAGGCCAAGCCGCGTGCTGCAGGTTAAGTCTGTGACATGGCACGGTCAGCGCCGATAGGCTGATCACGTTCTTGTCACCCTTTCTTTTTCCACGCAGCTTGCACTGCTGTCGATCTTCCACGAATATGACGTTGGCGTTGCACGGCCTTTCCTTGTTTCGGACTCTTTGCATTTCCTGATCTTAGTCTCGGGGAGGTAGGGGGTGCAATCTTTTACGGAGCCGCCTTGCCTAAGGCACCTGGGCATGAACACTAGCATATCATACAACCAAAAATGAACTTTTCAAGAAATGAATGAATAGATACTGCTTTTCTTTCTCTACTTTTGCTTATTTGGAGAGGGCATTCGGTTCCACAGACCAAGGATCACTAGGCAAAAGACCGGTTGACGTGAGTCTTTCACTGATCCTCGGCGGAGTAGAGTTCAAAATGCATCAAATAGCTTCATTTCCTTTCATATCCACTAACCCGTATACCCCAGTTTAACTTGGGACACTATACAGGAAAGTTCGTTGTGATGATGGTGGAGCCAGTTTTTGAAGATTCTGTATAGATCATCCCGGCTAAGCGAGATACAACCCTGCCGAAGAACCGACAACCATTGATCTACGAACAGAGGATAATACGCTTCCAACATACAAAGTCAGTTTAATATAGTCAATGACTTGGCAATATTTAACTGGGTCAGAGGAATCAAATAACGTGAGGGGGCGTGGGATCAGTGTGTTGCGTGCCGGGTCTTTTGATTCGACGCAGCCGTATGTAGAACGATTCTGCCGTGATTGCAACTTTACAGCAGGGGTATTGGACTAGTTGGGTTGAAAGTGTTCATAATTCAAACTGAGCTGTTTTATTGCATAACTATTGTAATTCAATGTCTCTCGTAACCGTTCTCACCTGGGCGGGTGAACGTCTTGGTCGGGCCGATGCATGATCAACCGGCTAGTCGGACGCGCGTAGTGGACGTGCGGAGAAGTTGACAAGCTCAGCGGTTAGTGGAAAGAGTACCACGCTAGCTAGGTTTCTTATTGGCTACTGTTGCTGATCACGGGTCTTGATAAAAAAGAGCAATAACGCGACATTCGGAGGGGTCTCCGCAGAGGGAGATATATATTCATCTTGGAGAGGGGTTCACCCCAATTTGCCACCCGCCTCCAGTGACTTCCGGTAGACCGATGAGGCTTAAATTTTGAAGATAGATATTCAAAAGCAAGCTGAACTCACTAATAATGTCCTTGCGTAAATTTATATCACAATTTACCTACTACAGAGTGTTTATTCGGTGATCGCGTGTACAGGGCGACGACGATCACGGGTAGCGCAAACGGAAAAGCATCAAGTTAGGGTTCGCAAGACCAGGTGAACACGCCACTCCCCTGCCAACTTCCAACAATGACCACCGGAAAAGAGAGGACATCATCGAGTCACGACGAGAACCGTTCCATGGACCACCATGGACCACACTGGACCGAACAGCAACAGCCAATTGAGGCGCAGCGGGGGAACCCTTCGGCCAGTGCATGACAACACATGTCGCGCCTCGTGACTCTGCAGGTCCTAGGCACCACGCAAGGAGGAAGCTTCGAGATCGAATCTCCTATGGGAAGTATATTCTGCGTACCTTGATACTACATCTGCTAGGTAATTGAGGCACATATTTCCATCGCCGTGCGCAGCATCCTTGGGCGCGTAGATCTTTTCTTGTTTTTAGGGTTCCGCGCACCGAGAACAGGACGATCTGGATTCCATACCTCGTGCACGGGAGAGAGGCTGACAGAAAGGAGTAACGGGGGTGGATGATCCTCCGGTCTCGTTGGAATGTGTGTGTGCCATTACGAAGAACTAAGTCTGGGTGGTGGTCTGGGAGAAGAGAGAGCATCGGAGGGGATGCGCGATTTTCACCATCATCGAGGGGGGTTGCGCGTTGAAGCCAACAGTTTCAGAGACGGTGGGAAGAGTATATCCCAGTAGACTCCATTCTACGGTGCAAGATGAAGGCGCGGGAATGGAGGAATGCCCGCCGGCGGCCATTCTCCAGGTTGGTGTTTGAACGCGCGACATGGCGACTCGATGATAAGAGGAGCACTACAACAACCGAGTATAGAAGATATAATAGAGAAACTAAAACAATGAAATTAAGAACGAAAGTAGATAAGGTTAGAACAGAAAAGCGAAAAGAGAAAAGAAAGAAGGGAGGGGACTTCCTAAGACGGGGGTGATCTTGTGTCAACACCGGCGGCCTATAAATCACGGATGCCCCGCCGGCCCTTCCCACTCCCTTCCGCTCGCTGCTTCTTACCGTTTTCTACTCTCCTCCCAACTTCACTCTAATTTAGGGATTCATCTGCTTCATCCTAACTTGGAACCAATCTAAATCTCAATCCATCACCATGCCTCCCAAGAAAGCAACCAGCGCGTCCAAGAAGGCGGCGCCCGCTGCCCACGCCTCCTATCGCGGTATGTTTTGTCTGATCCTGAACCACCATCACATCGCGTAAAGATGAAATGGATATCGCCCGCGTCGCGAACGCTTGCTGATTCCATACATATAGATATGATCAAGGATGCTATTGTCAACGTGAGTAGATCACCGCCGACGCTCGGCTTGTTGTGATTCGGGTCGCGCGCCCGACCGTGTCACGTCCGGCCGTTGAGCATCGCCAACCACCACATCGACTGGGATCGTTTTCGTTCATTCCTGTTCATTGCTGACTTGCCTTTCTACCTGTAGCTGAAAGAGCGCAATGGTTCCAGGTATGTTTTTGTGGTTTTCCCTCGCCGTCGCCCGTTCGGATTGGGGCAACCCTGGTCGGCGCGTTGTTTTTGTCGCAACCAGATACTAACGTACCTTTCTCTTTTCAGCCGCCAGGCTATCAAGAAGTATGTCACGTCGAATAACAAGGTCACCTTCGCGTCCCAGAGCGCCTTCGACGCTCAGTTCAACAAGGCCATCAAGACCGGTGTTGAGAAGGGCGAGTTCACCCAGCCCAAGGGTAAGTTTTCCGTTTCCTAAGTTTTGCGCGCTTCAATACCTTTCGACTCTATGTGTTCTTGCTTCGTCGAAATTGCCATGGCATTCACGACTAGGACCATATCGTTGTCCTTGTTTTGTGATGGTTCGCTGACGCGTCGTGCTACAGGCCCCTCTGGACCCGTGAAGCTGGCCAAGAAGGACGCTGCTGTTAAGCCTGCCGCGAAGACCGTTGCTAAGCCCGCGGCCAAGTCAACCACCAAGACTGCCACCAAACCTGCTGCCGCTAAGGTATGTAATCGTCGCGATCTGTCATCGCTGCTCCTTACTCACAACCCTCATAGAAGGCTGCCCCCAAGACTGCCGCCGCCAAGAAGGCCGCTCCTAAGAAGACCGCTACCAAGGCTGCCCCCAAGAAGACTGCTGCTAAGAAGTCTGCTGCCAAGCCCAAGGCGAACTCTGGCAAGGCCCGCAAGACCTCCACTGTGGTAGGTTTCGTCCCAACCCTTCAATTGAATTGAGACTTATCCATTCTCCAGGCTCCCGCTATCATTGAGAAGCCCAAGGTTGTTGGCAAGACCAAGTCCGGCCGTGTCACCAAGACCACCGCTCCTCCGACGCCCAAGGCCGCCGCCAAGAAGCGGACCACCAAGAAGTAGAGGACTTTCGTCCTCTTTTCGACTCAATGTCGCTCTCCCATTTTACGTGCGCTCTTTCCGGGAGAGGCGTTGTCGGCCTCGTTTTTGTTCTCTTCCGCTGTAATTTCTTTCCTTCGACCCCGTGTGATCTGGCGGTATTGAACGGCTCTCTTTTGTTGTTTTATGGGATATCTTCGTTATGATGGCTTTGCTTTTTCTCGAAGGTCGAATATGGATGGCGTCCTGAGGTGGGTTCTTTCAATCGGGGAAATTGCTTTTGTGTTGGATGTTCTTCGCCTCGCGTTCTTGGGATTCGTTTGTTGCAATGGAGACTTCGACTTCTCTCTGGAATTGGAATCTCGTTCGATCCGACCTATCTACCACACCTTGTAGGCCGAGTGGGCATAATTCCATCTGTAGTCACTTTGTAATATGAATGCAATCAATTGAAATTGCACATAAACCCCCTTTGTATTTAGGCACCCAAGTTTACCGACTGTGGCGGTGCCTTTTTAAATACGAGAGCCACAATTCCGCAGACGATCGACGGCTGTTCTTGGCGGGTGTCGACTGTCGACTAGTTCTGATTTTGACAGTCTAGGTCTTGTGACTTTTAGTTTTCTCCAAGATCTGTTCTAGATGGAAAGGTTACATGGGAGACGGTCTTCGATGGGTGCCTTGATTGTTTACTGTCGTGGATCTGCAGGGTAGCGTCGTGGCAGTAGAGTCGATGGTGTATTTTATCCAGTTAGAGTAGCAATCAGTATATTGAGCAGAGCTTGTAAAATGTTCATAAAAGTCCCCAGGACGTTGAACGGTGTGGACCAATTTTATTTGAAAGGTAGATGAATATATCCAAAATGACCCGAGATAGGAGAAATGGCCGCACATGGCGTATGGGCCTTATCACCGTGGAGACTCGGGATGGCACATGATTTCATCGCTGTACGGGGGTGGAGCCGTTATTTTTGGAACGGATACGGGCCTCTCTGGGTAAAGGGGGAGACTCTCTCGACTTGAATGATAATAAGTTCAAGAAGTAGAAAGTATGCAGTGTAAGGAGTAGGGAGTAGGGTCCAAGTCGATATTAAGCGCAGATAGCGTTCGGTTTTCCCTGCTTGCGCCACGGTTTGGGTCAGGGACCGATGCCGCCATTGGATGGATAGCCACGAGGGATCGTGGAGTCATCCTGTAGGGAGTACATACGGGGACTCGGTGAAGGCAGAGACCGAGAGCGTAGGATCGAGGGAACTCTATACCACGTCACCGCGATCTCCTTGCACATGCACAGAACCCGGAGGAGGCAGACTTGGGCACGTTGACTAGGAGAGGCACTTTCACACCGAGTTGTCGGGGTCCGTGGGCTAGTGCACAATCTGCATAATGGAAGATTTCCAGTTTTTGCCTCCCGACTAGACTGGTATCATGTAGTCCAAGCGATGCCTGCGCAAGACATAATTGCCGACACCTTCGTTGTACATAGGGCAGGAGCTGAAGAGTGGAGTCGACAATACAGTAATTACAACACGCGGGTCCCTTCAGGTCTTTTACTCTCCCCGACAACCACCAACATTTCCCATCCCCTCTTTAATCTCGTCCGCTCTGCATAGCCTGTCTCTTTCTGTCTGTCTGCTTGAGCCACCCTCGGGCCGACCATGTTTCTCTGAGATCGAAAACTCTTCGCCCGTCCTGCCACGCCCTGGCTGGCCGTTCCGCCAAGCGAAACAGAGATCGCGAAAGAAGAGACTCGCATCCAAGACCCTTTAGCATCCCCTTCTTCTCCGTACCTACTGGAACACGGTCCGATTTACAACTTCACTGCCCGCCAATAAGGGCCATTGCCGTCACCTCGGGCTGCCGGCCGCCCACGCAGACCTCACGTCACCCACGTTTCCCTGGGAGTCGACAGAACCATGCCGTCCTTCTCCAACGACAGCTACCCCACGACCACGGCAACAGCAACGGCTACACATCCACGTTCGTTCGAAACCCCTCATCACAAGTCGCACGACAAGAACTCCGTCGGAAACACCTTCCTGTGGACAAACTGGCCCAACGGCAACGGCAACAGCAACAGCAACGGCGACGCCAATCACGACGCCGATCACGACGCTCACCAGAGTGACCGGCTGCTCACCAACCTAAAAAACGGAAGCGCATACTCTTTGAATGGCCCCCGATCGAGCGTTAGTTCTTATTCGCGCGACCTCCCGCACTCCAAGGACGGTAGCATGCACTCGCTAGGAAATGAGTCGGCTAAAGACACCCGGGACGGTGGTCGGCCGACCGCCATGCTGGACCGGAAGTCATCGGACGCTGGACCTGGAGCAGGCTCCGCGACAGCGTCCGTTTCTAGTCAACAGGTTAATGGTACGACCACCTTCAGCCAGCGGTCTGTCCAGGGGAAGCCGATGGCCAACGGGGATGGTCACCGTCCCTCCGCAGACGAGCTATCTGTTCCCGATCGGGCTGCCAGTCCCTCTATTTCGTTACTACAGATTCCACAACAGGACGACTCGGGCCGTCACTCCCCAGACCCGGATCGATTGGCCCCGAAACCCGGCCAGCATCGCTACTCATCCCCTCCCGCCCCCACGACCGATGTTATCTCAATGCCCGATTCCCAACCGTCCAGTGTTCGACACCGACACTCGCTACAGGTTCCAAGAACGCCCAGCATTCGACGGAATAGCCGAGATACAAGTGATGATATTGCGTACAGCAGTGGTCGACTCTCACCGACCCCCGGTGTTCCTCGGCGAACTTCATTCGGTCTGGTTCGACGCGGAACAAGGGCAAGCGCGCATGATGTGTCGCTGGACGAATCACTCGCTGATGATGATGCGGCACGGTGGGCGGAGGCAATCAAACAGAAGCGCGCATCGCGGCGACGGCGTGAGGAGGATGACGATGAGCGGGTTATCGTGGGCACCAAGGTCGATCAGAACCACGTTAACTATGTCACCGCATACAATATGTTGACTGGAATTCGCTTTACGGTGTCGCGAATCAACGCGAAGATGGACCGGGAACTCACACCGGCCGATTTTGAGGCCAAGCATAAGTTCTCGTTTGACATGTACGGCTGTCTCGATCCCCCAAATGTGTTGCTCACGGTTGGCTGACCTTAAACAGAACTGGCAACGAATTAATACCCTCCGCAAAATACGATTTCAAATTCAAGGACTACGCACCTTGGGTCTTCCGACACCTTCGCGCCAAGTTCCGACTCGATCCCGCCGATTACCTGATGTCCCTCACCAGCAAGTACATTCTGTCCGAACTGGGCTCACCTGGTAAGAGCGGTAGTTTCTTCTACTTCTCGCGCGACTACAAGTACATCATCAAGACGATCCACCACTCCGAGCATAAGCTTCTCCGAAAGATCCTGCCCGAATACTATCGACACGTCGAAAAGAACCCGAATACCTTGATCTCGCAGTTCTACGGACTACACCGAGTGAAGATGGCATACGGCCGGAAGATTCACTTCGTGGTGATGAACAACCTGTTCCCGCCTCACCGGGATATTCACCAGACATTCGACCTGAAGGGCTCAACAATCGGACGAGATTTGCAGGAGTCAGATCTCGAGAGGAACCCGCGGGCGACCATGAAGGATCTGAACTGGGTCCGGAGAGATCGTCACTTGCTGTGCGGTCCGATCAAACGAGATTGCTTCATCGAACAGCTGAAAAGAGATGTCGCGTTGCTCAAGAGGCTCAAAATCATGGATTATTCTCTCCTGGTTGGAATACACGATACAGAGCGCGGCAACGAAGAGAAATTGCGTGACAAGACTTTGCAGGTCTTCCAGCCGGGGAGTGATCGCGAGACCGAAGCGAGTCCGAATATGCTCATGCGCACCCCGTCCAAGCTAGAAAATGAGCGCAAGGCCAGGGAGCTTCGCATGTTGATCAAGCGCGAGAGACCTGTGCCTTTAGATAAAGCAACTGCCAAGATGCCGGATGAGATTCTCGACGAACGGAAGTACCACGTCTTCTACGCCGATGATGGTGGTTTCCGAGCTACTCACGAGAATGGGCAACCTGGAGAAGAGATCTACTACCTGGGTATAATCGATTGTCTGACTCACGTAAGTGGAACCCCCGACGGAGGTACAATGGATTTCACATCTAATGTTTTGCACAGTACGGAACGGTCAAGAAGATAGAGCACTTCTTCAAGGGCCTTTCGAACGATCGAACTCAGATTTCGCCCATACCGCCAGAGGGGTACGGTGACCGATTCATCAACTTCGTCAAAGGCATCACCATGTCAAAAGAAGAAGCTGAGCAACGACGTGAATCGAAGGCCTCCGTACGACCGTCGGGTGATAAGAGACGATCATCAAGATCCTCGTCTGTCGAAAGGACCATGCAGGCAGCCGAGAAGGAAGCGTCGAAGGATGTATCAATTACCCACCCTCGAACCCTCGCAACTGTGTGGGACCCTGCAGATGCCAGCGGCCCTGGCCCAACCTCGACCCTTCCAATTGTGGACGAGGCAGGTGAAGCCAGCAGCGTCGGAGGCCACAGTTCACACAGCCCGCAACCTCCCACCGACAAGGACCTTCCTCCTGTTCCCACCGATGCCCGCCCTCAACCCCCGAGCAAAGACACCGGCAAAGGCAAAGAGGTTGACCGTGGAGAGGCCCGACAGTGAGCTTGTCGAGGCCATAAAAGCCCGGTCTTTTCTGTCTTGTCGCGCGGTGACCGTCTCATGACTTTTGCCTTTGATTTCCGTCCTTGTATTCAGCGAGATATCCCTCTTGTTGCTTGATAGACCGCTTTTTTCCGTTTACATTTGCGTGGACCTACATCAGGAACCTCCTTTTCCCATTTGCTCCTCGTACTGCTCCCAGCGTTTCTGACAGATCCCGCCGATGTTCACGCGTGACGTTTATATTTGTGTTGTTGAGAGTCTCGTCTCGTCTCGTCTCCGTCTTCTCCATACCCACTAATCAACCATCCGGATGGCCCTTGCTATTTGCCGGGGGGAAACGACTTACCCCCAACTCAGCCAACTCTCTTTACCCGAGCACCACTGCTCACAGTCCCCGCGACAACTATACCAAACCCACTTTCGAAAACCCGACCCAACCCAAACCAACTCACGTTCTCTCTAAAGTCTCATCTCAAACACTGAACGCATTTCCTACGTCACGTCATCGCATCAGCCTCGCCATTCATTCAATCATTCAATCATTCAAGTCAATTCCAAGTCTATCAACACATCTCAGACGACATCAGAGGCTCTGCCTCCAATTTCCTTAAGCCTCGGGCTTGTCATTGATTTCTGTTTTCAGTTCTGTTGTTCTCTGCGCATCTCGCCATACCCTGTACCAATCACTATACCACTTGTTATTATCTTGATCGCGTCCTCGATATTGCCTAGATTCTGATTTGCAGATGCTCAGCGTGGTACATTGTTTTTCATTATTATTTTTTTAACTTTTCATTTGCCTTGAACTTTCAAACTCGAGTCGATATATAGATCATTGGTTATGTGATGGTAGAATGTGACTTCTTTTTTGTTCAATTCGGTTGTCGCGTGTATATTTGCTTTGCCTAGATTCGGTGCGTAGAACGGAATAGGGTAGGGAATGGACTTGCTCCTGGCCCTTGATTATCACCGGTCTTCCAGTGATTTAGTCTAGAAGTACTTGCAGATGTCAAGTCTACGAAAAATACTCAAGAAAGTAAATTAAAAAAGAGCCTTCACCCCGACTCGTCGATTTTATCACCACCTAAGCAGAAAACGCCGTCCCCCTCTGAGCAAAACATAAGAACTATGTAGAAAGAAACTCCTCGTCAAACGCCATCGACTTCTCGACCCGCATTGAGAACCCGACTATTAAGAAATAGCACAAGCATCGCATGCAAAAATCATAAGCTAGGACCCTACTCCGAGCGTCCCTGCGTGACCTTAGCGGCCTGAATAGCAGACATCTTCTGCAACCAGCCCTGAGTAGGCTGGGGCTTCTTAACGGTGCGGAGGTCATCGGTGGAGAATCCAGAGATGCGCATGTTGTAGTTACGCTCGAGAACGAGCTGGATATCGCGGATCTCGAGGGACGACGAGGGACGCAGCTTAGCCAGGCGACAGGCCTGGGTGATAACGTCGTCGATGAAGTCGTCTGCCATCTGGAGGATAAACTGTGAGGGTTGAGGTTAGTTGGGGCTCGTGGATGCTTTGTCTCTTACTAGTGGGACGTACCTCTTCTGCGTCGGGGGTCAGCATCTCGCCCTCACCGCCGCCGGTGACTTGGCGCACGAGGATATCGAGCATTTTCTTGCTGAGGACGTGTTGGCCCTCGCCTTCGAGGACGTAGCCGGGGTGTTTTTGGACGGCGGGCTGGCCCATCATGCCGACTGTTGGGTGGCTGGGACCACCTGAGAGGGAGGGGCGTGCAGCAGGCATCTGGACGGCTTCGGGGGTGGAGACGTTGAGGGTTTTGGGGATGGCCATGTTGATGTTGCGGGCCGAGGCGTCGGTGGATCGGTTGGAGAGGTAGCCTTGAGGGTGAGGTTGCTGATTACTTGCAGCCTGGTTGACAGCTTGCGATGGTGGCTGATTCTGGTTCGCGTTGTAGTTCTGCGCTGCCTGCTGCATCGCAGCTTGGTGTGACAGGGGACGCGGCGGGCCCTGCGCCTGGTTGTTTACCGGCGGGCCTGTTGGTGTGGGCGTGGATCCGTCGGCGTTAGGTGTCTGAGTGAATGTCACTTGTGCGCCTGGAGTGCCCTGCTGCGATGGCGGCTGGGGTCGCTGCCCTGGCTGTTGCGCGGGAGGCGCGGGCGTGGCGCTTGCCGATGATGTCGGCGCTTGACCTGGCTGGGATGTCGTGGGGGACATCGCAGTTTGCCCTGCCTGGTTGCGCGCTGCGTTTACAGCCGAGTTTATAGTGTGCGGTGCCGGAGTCGGCGCCTGGCCGGGCATCGCATTTGTCACATTTCCTGTCGGCGCCTGAGGAGCCTGAGGAGCCGCCGGAGCTGTCGACGCAGGTTGAGCTGCAGGTGCAGTCGTGCCCTGTACAGCTTGATTCATCTGAGGGTTCTGTTGCGATTGCATCTTGAAGCTCTCCTGCTGCTCCTTGAACTTGTTCAAGAAGTCGCTGCCCTCCCGGAACAGCTTCTCAGCCGCCAGTTGCCGGTTCTTGAACTCCTGGACTTCATCGTTGGGCATTTGGCCCTGGGCCTGGCGCTGGGAAAATTGCGAACGCAAATCCGCGATCCGTGCTCGTCCAACTTCCTGCTTCTGCAGCGCAATACCATATCGCAACCGGGCTTCGGGAATCCACGTCTGCACTTGCTCCTGGGTCACGTTCGGCGGCAGGTAGAAATTGAGCGAGCTGACCTTGGCCTGGATCTGCGGTAGCAGCTGGCTAAGATTCTGCGGATTATTGGATTGGATTCGTTGCACCGGCTGACCTGTCTGCTGCGCGACGGCGGCCTGGGCTTGCTGCTGCTGGAGAGCCTGCTGGCGGCTCTGCTGGAAAATCCGCATACCCTTCATCAAGTTCTGGGACAGCTGGGACAGCTTCATGTGTGCGGTCTGATAATCGTGGCTCTGAGGATCGCGGGTGTTGAGCGAATCCCAGAGAGAGCGCACGACATTGGTATGCTGCGCTTTCTGCTGGTCATTCAGGTGCGGCAACTTCTGGACCTGATCTGTGCGAATCAGATTGGAGTGCTGCTGCGGCTGCGCCATCGGCTGGCCAGCCTGGCCCTGGGACCCGTCCATCTTGCTGGTTATCGACGTTCGCCGCTCACAGAGGAATCGGCGTGAGGAACGGTGGGATTGGGTCCGCGACGGCGCTCGAATCGGTCTGAGGGAGGAAGGTGACGCTTTGAGTGTCCAGCGGTGACTCTTCGGTCGATACAATGATCCCTAGCCCTGGAGACGTGCAGGACTATAAAGGAGAGGCGTCCTGGAGGATGAGGCCGATGAGATGCAACTTTGGAGAGGAGGTCCGCGTCAGTCTTGGCGCCCGCCTTTCCGGAGCCATAACGCGCTGAATGCCCAGCAGATGGAAATGATCACCACTGACAATGCTAACGGATTTCTTTTAGCTCGAGCATTCATTAAAATTGTGCGCTTCTTTCTGAATTTTTTTTGTAGGGTTCTAGAAATGTTGGAAACGGAAAGAAACTATAGGGCGCCTCAAGTATACAGCGACGACCACCTCCATAGAAATAGCCGATACCAGATGGGATAAAAGCATGTACAACTAAAGAAGACATTTAGGATAATGCCCAGAAAGCCATATAACTAGGTAAAGGCCTCCAGAGCGCCCTTTCTGGGAAGATTTCAGGAGACATGAAAGTAAATAGTCAAAAAAGAGTTCGTCATTGGGTATGTGTAACGCTCATAGAACTCATCAAAAATCACTAAGTTTCGAATATATTCAAAGCATAGACTCAACCCATTAAACCGCCCAGGTCTCGCTCCATGCCAGTGACTCGCTCCTCCAAGGTGCGTTTCCTTTTCTCCAAGTCGTGAATTTCAGCCAATTCGCGCTCGATATCTTCATCTGTAACATCCAGGGTATCTGGCTGTGCCTCGGGTATAGGGGAAAAGTCATCCTCGTCATCATCGTACGAGCGTCGCATAGAGTCCAGTTCCGCCGTATTTGTAGCAACACGATCTTCCAGTTGAGCAATGGATTCGGCAATCATCTCGTGGCGATAGCGTAGACTGGCAATCTTTTCTTGTGCACCAGCAACGGGACTGATCCACAGTTAGCACAATGTCATGGACAACGCGGCGGTACAACTTACTAGACATTGCATAAAATCTCGGCTCCGTGGAGTAGAACCTCAACGTTAACTTCTCCACGCCCTCGGGAAGATGTGCCGGCGGACCGTTTGATCTCTTCCATCATGTCCGAGCCCAAGACTCGGGCCACGGCCGACTGATTGCGGTTGTTCCGGGCGGAGTATATTCGACTGGCCATTGACTCGGACTCGGACTCGGCGGAGAAGGTAGTTCCGCGTCTGGTGGCACGCTTTTGTGGCCCATGAGCCTTGGCAGATGGATCAACTTGGAACAGGGCTCGTTCATGGACCTCCGTATCTCTGATCAAGGCTGTAATATCGTGTGAGCCTAGCAACGCGTTTGTAAAGATGCGGGGTGGAGGGAATCTTCAGATGTACATATTAGCTTAGGGAAACAAAGCCATTAGGGCGGAAGACAAACGGGAGGTCGGCAATGGCATTTGAAGAGAGAGCAATTTGCTCCAGGTGCGACTCGAGAAGTGGCATGGTTGCGGTGCGATGTTGATGCAGCGGCGAACAATCCGCGGCTTTTGTTTGGGTTGAGGAGCTGCCGTGGCATGCCTCAGGCCGACAAGCCAGACAAGCCAGCAACAGCAGACTCAGAAGCTGAAGGTGCAGATCGGAGCTTCTTTTTTTCCTTTCCAATCGCCTCTTCTTCCCCCGAGTCTAATTTAAAGCCGATCACTTCGGCTCAAAAGCCTCGGAGAATCGCCGTTGCGCAATCACCCGTAAGCTCTGCCCCCCTGACTAAGCACTCAGGCGTCTTGTGCCCGTTCTTGTCTCTTGACATCACATCACCCATCCACTTCATCTATCCCGTCGTTCTGCCCATTTTCCCCATCGCTTTCTCGGGAATTGGCAACTTGGCACTCCCGGATTTTCCCTTTGCTTCTTGTCTCTGTTTCGTGCTCCTCATCGCCCTTCCCCCTAACTTCCTCTGAAGCTTGCTTAACTGCTCAGCTGAGCTCAACAGCTTGGGAAAGATGCCGGCCGAGAGGCGCTCTCTGCGATCAAACAACAAATCGGATACCTCTTCATCTGCTAACGGTGAAAAGGCTCGCTCGAACTCTCAGAGCTCGCCTTCTAAAGACAAGGCCGCGCCTACGACTCGCGCCGCCGCCAACAAGGCCAAGTCGGCTCCGGCAAAGAAAGGCGTCAAGGGCGCATCGAACGCTGGTATGGGTGAGGATGACCAGCACGTCAACGGGTCGAACAATGCGGAGAACGGTGTGAATGGTTCTGAGGATGTTGAGATGGGAGAGGATACGGCAGGTGCGCCTACATCCTCATTCAACACCAGTAAGGGACGGCATGGTGACGAGAAGATGACTGTTGTAGTGCCCCCGACCAAGGGTTCCAGATCATCCGGCAAGGCTGGCCAGGATAAGGAGGACGATGTGACGATGGAAGGTGCCGATGATGGCGATGCCGAGAAGACCGAGCCGGAGATCGACCCGGCCGTGAAGGCTGTTCAAGGTTGGTTGTTGCCTCTGTTTAAAAGCCTCTCCCGAGGTCATTTGGCTAATTGAGAACCCCCTCTACTCTCTCCGATGATAGACATCAAGACCAACTTCACCCTTCTCGATCGAGCCGTCGCTCACTTCGATCCCCGATTTACCCTACGTGTCCTGCGGTCGATATCGTCGATGCGGAAACACATCACCCCCGAGGTCCTCGCCGAAGTGATTACGGAAACATACTCGGCATCCAACTCGACAGCCACTTTCCTCTTAGAGGCTCTCGGTCAGGCTGGTGCTTTTGAGGATGCCACGTCGAACATGGAGGTTGATTCGGAGAAGAAGGCGGCCCCGAAGGAGGTGTTGCCCGAGGTGGATGCATACCTTTCTATCCTGGTTCAGATCTACCTCTTCGACCAGCGACAGATCCAGCAGGGTGCGGAGTTTTCGACCAACCTGATCGAGCGCCTTCGGGCTCTCAACCGTCGTACACTGGACTCTCTTGCCGCTCGCGTTTACTTCTACTACTCTCTGTTCTTCGAGCAGATTGCTCCTCTCCCTCCTTCGCCCGCGGCGACCGTTACCACTATCCGCCAGCCGCTCCTGGCTGCCCTGCGAACCGCTGTTCTCCGGAAAGACGTTGACACACAGGCTACCGTCATGACCCTGCTGCTCCGCAACTATCTGTCCACCTCCCACATCACGCAGGCGGATCTCTTGATCTCGCACAACCGATTCCCTGCCGCTGCTTCCAACAACCAGATTGCTCGGTACCTTTACTACCTCGGCCGCATCCGTGCCATCCAGCTCCAGTACACCGAAGCTCACAGCCATCTGATTGGTGCCACCCGCAAGTCGCCGACCAGCCACAGCGCTCGTGGATTTTACCAATCCTCCCACAAGCTGCTCGTGGTGGTTGAGCTGCTGATGGGTGATATACCGGACCGTGCGGTCTTCCGCCAGCCGGCCTTGGAGAAGGCTATGCATCCATACTTCCTGCTTGCACAGGCCGTCGGTGTCGGTGATCTGGATGGCTTCTTGAACATTGTCAACACCCACAGCGCGGCATTCCGCAAGGATGGTACCTATACACTCATCCTTCGCCTGCGGCAAAACGTGATCAAGACCGGCATCCGCATGATGTCTTTGTCTTACTCGCGCATCTCCCTGCGTGACATCTGTCTCCGCCTGGGTCTGGATAGCGAGGAATCGGCTGAGTACATTGTGGCCAAGGCCATCCGTGATGGCGTCATCGAGGCTACGCTCGATCACGAGAATGGATTCATGAAGAGCAAGGATGTGGGTGATATCTACGCCACAAGGGAACCCGGTGAGGCGTTCCACGAGCGCATTCGCGCCTGCTTGGCTCTCCACGACGAAAGTGTCAAGGTATGCTACTTATTCCAAACAAACTTGATTCGTCCGAGGCTCGTGCTGACAACTACTTCTACTAGGCCATGCGATTCCCAATGAACCAGCACCGCCTGGAGCTGAAGAGCGCCCAGGAGGCACGCGAGCGGGAGCGCGAGTTGGCCAAGGAGATTCAAGAAGGAGACATGGACGATGAGGATGCTGGAGGTGATTTCGATGCTATCTAAGATGATGGTGTCTCATCATTGATACAACAGTTTCTCTCCGCGCTGGCCCCAATGCATGGGCCCGTACGTTGTAGCGACCTTCTTCAACTTATGTGTTAATTGTGTGCGACGGGGATGTCGCTATTACTTTGCCGGATGTACCAAGAGGAGGAACGTGCGGACCAAGACGGCCGGCGCGATTTTCCATGTCTCTTATACTGGAATTATTTCGTTTTGCATTTGCTTTGTGTTGAGTAGTACAGTATACAGTGCCTAGGTGTTGTGTAGAGTATGAGGATAAACTGGATGGCACATGCTGTTCTTTCGGAACATGATCTTTTGCGTTGGACCATATTAGCGCTGATTTATTCCAAATACCAATTGTACTGTGTACAAAGGAGGTCGAGTTGAAGTATACCGGACACGCTTCGGGGCTCTTGCGTGGTCCGTGCCATCCCGAAAGCTCGAAATCTTCCGCCCGCAAGTTTTCTGGACCTACCTCTCCCGTTATCACCGTATCACCTCTGCATCTAGCATTGTCCCCGGCCAATCGAATTTCCATGATCTCCTCTTGATTCTCGCATCGAAATAATACAGCCCCTGAGCATGCGAGCTCGCACCCTCTCGGCCACCGGGCTGGCAATCACGCGAACCTCTTCAACCTCCGTGTGCACCCAATGCCTTCGTGACGACCTGCTTCTCTCCCATCTTTCTATTCAATCTCGCAAATACCATCCTACCCGCCGACGAGATGTCTCTCCATTCGGAGCTGCCGTGTCAGCCGCCCAGACCATCTTCAAGGGCATGCCGAAGGCACCTCCGGGCATCTCGGTCGATCCGCTGCGTATCGTCGGAAAGGAGCTGAAGTTTTTGAGCAAGAACATCCGGCAATTGTTGGGATCTGGCCACCCGGCGCTAGACAAGGTCGCCAAATACTATACTCGCAGCGAGGGCAAGCACATGCGGCCGTTGTTGGTCCTGCTCATGTCCCAGGCGACAGCCTTGGATCCCCGCAAGCAGCACAATCCCGCCAGCCCATCACCCGTCGATAACCCCCTCAGCTCGCCGTCAATACTTGATGACGCCAACCCAGACGTCAACCCTCTCGTGTCCCGATCCGCCGAGTCCAAGTACGACTTCTTAGGCGACGACAACATCCTGCCGTCGCAGCGCCGCCTGGCCGAGATCACTGAACTCATCCACACCGCATCCCTCCTGCACGACGATGTCATCGACAACGCGGTCACCCGTCGCGCTAGCAGCTCAGCGAATACGGCGTTTGGAAATAAGATGGCGGTTCTAGCTGGTGACTTCCTGCTGGGACGGGCTTCCGTGGCCCTGGCCCGTCTGCGTGACCCCGAGGTGACCGAGCTGATGGCGACGGTAATCGCCAACCTGGTGGAGGGCGAGTTTATGCAACTGAAGAACACTGCCCAGGATGAGACGAAGCCCAAGTATTCTGATGAGACCCTGAACTATTACCTGCAGAAGACCTACCTGAAGACTGCCAGTCTGATCAGCAAGTCCTGCCGCTCCGCAGCCGTGCTGGGTCGGAGTGCCCCCGAGGTGATCGAGGCTTCCTATGCCTACGGACGTAACCTGGGACTGGCCTTCCAGCTGGTGGACGACATGTTGGATTATACCGTCACCGAGGCCGAGCTGGGCAAGCCCGCCGGAGCTGATCTGGAGCTTGGCCTGGCCACCGCTCCTTTGTTGTTTGCCTGGAAGAGCAACCCCGAGCTTGGACCCCTGGTTGGCCGCAAGTTCCGTGAAGAAGGCGATGTGCAGCGGGTGAGTCTACACCCTCCAACCAATGTTCAATTCTGATACTAACCCAACTTCCAGGCCCGCGAGATCGTCTACCGCAGCGACGGAGTCGAGCAGACTCGCAATCTGGCGCAGGATTACGCCGACAAAGCGGTTGCAGCGATTAGCGACTTCCCGGACAGCGAGGCCAAGTCTGGTCTGATTGAGATGTGCGAGAAGACCATGAACCGGAGAAAGTAAGAGGAGTACCTGTACTAACTGTAAACATATATTTGCCTTTTATTGCTATCGCTCCCCTTCTCTGTTGGTATCCTTTCTTTTTGGGAAGTACATGTGTAACTTAGATATCTAGATGCGTGGTTTTTTAGACTTGGATACGGAATGACTTGATACCACGTCTCACATCTTTCGCCATTGCGCAACTCTTCACCTGTACTTGTAGATAACCTTGGAGGAGAGCGGGGGACTCCGCATTCATGACTCGCAATTCCGCAGCGTGTTCATAGCCAGTCAATGGTATCAAGCAGACTCAACTGAATCGGGCGAGGATCTGGCAGACCCGTGGAAGCCGCGGAATGACCGGTCTGCTACCAGGAATAATTGCCAGATACATCGTTGGATTTGAGGGCCAGCTCTGGAAATACTGTGAAGGTGATTGCCATTCATTCATAATACAGACTAGAGAACCTCGGCATGTTCTGCAAAGAACGGGGCCAAATCTAGTGCCAGGCAGCAATGTCCGTTGCGGGGCAGTTCCTTGGGCCTATAGTTTCTTCAACTGCAGAAATATACCATAGAAGATACCCAGGATGGCCTGTTTACGGTCATTTTGTAGATGAGAGTTCTGCAGACTCGCGGTTCCTGATAGTTGGTCGGATCCTGCGGGGTCGCCGTACTGTACCATGTTATATAACGTTATTTCAATACATATACTGTAAATTACCACACAAGACAAGCTCTGTGCCTAGTTATTCAATGACCTAACTAGCGTAACTTTGGCCTGGACTTCCGTCATTCCCGAGCGCGTGGAAGCTGCAACTTGACCTCTCCAACCGCGCTTTGCTTTGTCTTACTCTGTCTCCTCCGCTATCTTCCCTCGTTTTGTTTTTTTTTCACTGGAGCCGGTCTCTCCCGTTATATCTTGCACGCTTTAATTTCTCTCTAGGGATCCAGTCCCCGAATTATGGAGCTGTCCGCCCTTCCGCTTTGATCGACTGGTTCCCGATGGGTTCGCTCGGCAGCTTCCTTCTTATCTATGTGCTGGGGGGACTTACCTTCGTCCCTCTGGTGCTATCATTGATCTTGCTACATGCCTACCTGACCCTCCCCGATGCTTCATCGACACAACAGCCACGTGGAGCTGCCGATTCCGTTGCTCAGCCCGGCGATGACGAGTATAGCTTGAAGTCCGGTACCGACCAGCTGGCTGAGAAGTTCCACCGCACCCACGATTCTGATGTAGCCGCTGGTTATTTTGCTGTCTGTCGCGAATACGTACCTGGTGGAGTCAATGGGAAGCCTCCAGAGAGAACAACCCCCGCGGGGGAGGTTGTTGCCACTGAGAGCCCCAGCGTCTATCAGTCGATGTATCGGAGCTTGTTCGACCGCAAACATGCGCCTAGTATTGAGCCAGCGAAGGCGAATGGGAAGAATACCAAACGGGCACGGAATGTCTTCTACATTGTTCTCCGGTATGCACTGCGCTGTATTGATTGGGACTCGAAATGATTGGACTGCATATGCTGACGATGGGTGGAATCTGTATTTAGACATGGCCACCTGATGCTCTATGACGATGCAAACCAAGTGGAAGTACGCTATGTCATCTCTCTCGCTCATCACGATGTATCGATTCATGCCGGTGAAGGCGACATCCCGGAGGCCGAGCTGTGGCTCAAGAGGAACGCCATCTGTCTTTCACGACGACTGGATTCGCTGGGAGACCTGGGAGGGCCGACACCGCCGTTCTACCTGTTTTCTGAGAACTTGTCAGACAAGGAGGACTTCTATTTCGCCATGCTCCAGAACCAGACCAAGCTGTGGTCTTCCGCAGACCGACCCCCGAAACAGCAGGACTTTGAAGTGAAGCACATTGTGTCCCTGGTGCAAAGACTGCATTCTTCTGAAGAGCAGCTGCAGACACGCTGGATCAATGCTTTCTTTGGACGCCTGTTTCTGGCTCTTTACCAGACTCCACAGCTGGAGGAGTTTGTGCGGAGCAAGATTGTTAAGAAAATCTCTCGCGTGAACAAGCCAAACTTCATCAGCAAGATTGGTCTACAGAAGATTGACATGGGCGAAGGAGCACCCTTCATTACAAACCCCCGGTTGAAGGATCTGACGGTGGATGGCAATTGCTGCGTGGAGATGGATCTTCAATACGCAGGCAACTTCCGTCTCGAGATCTCAGCCACAGTCCGTATCGATCTAGGTCCTCGTTTTAAGGCAAGAGAGGTCGATATCGTGCTGGCAGTGGTGTTGAAGAAACTGGAAGGTCATTTGCTGGTCCGCTTCAAACCTCCACCCAGCAATCGACTCTGGATGTCCTTTGAAACCATGCCGAGAATGGTGATGGACATCCAGCCCATTGTCAGTTCGAAGCAGATCACTTACAGTCTTATCCTGCGCACTATCGAGAGTAAAATCCGTGAAGTGGTGGCGGAAAGTATTGTGCTGCCGTTCTGGGACGATGCCCCCTTCCTCGAGACCATAGGCCAGGCCTTCCGCGGTGGTATCTGGCAGCGAGATATGCCAGAAGCCGATGCCCAGATGGAAATCCCGGATGAATCCGGCGAACCTCCGTCAACGCCAAAGAGTGTTCGCGGAGACTCGGTCGAGGTCCTTAAGTCCAAGGATGAGCGAACAATGAGCACGCCTGTTCTCTCCGAGTCTAATCCGGCCAAAGTCAAAGCCCGCAAGCCCTTGAAGGACTCGGCCTCGGCCTCGGATTTGCAGCCGAAACACTCTGGCGGAACCTCCACCGGCATCGAAAGATCCGACAGCATGCCTCTACCTCGTTCTATCCGCTCGCAAACCTTCTCCAATGCAGCTGATCCGGTTGTAACTGCGGACAATGCAAACAAGGTTGCATCACAAACAAATCCCGACGATCAGAGCAGCGCGACTAGTGCCATGATTGAAATATCAAACCGCTCTCCGCCTAACTCTCCGAATAAAACTCCAAGCAACTCGCCACCTACTGCTGGTATTATGATACCAGAGGGTGCACTTCGCAGCAGAAATTCCTCCATCGCAGAATCTATCGACAGCGTCGGCCTCGTTAACGATAAGGTCATTACAAGCCCTTCATCCGCTCGCCTTGAGAATATATCCTCCTTCTCCGGTCCACGAAGCTCTCGAGGGAGCTCTACCACCTCGATGTCCAGCGAGAAGCAGCGCAGGCGCAGTACTATCGAGACCTTGACCAAGTCGTTCCAACCACCGACGTCCGACGACAAGGCTTCTGGCAACATGACCATTGGGTCAGCAACAGCCGCAGCAAAGAAATGGGGCATGAGCGTGTTTGGGAAAGGAGAGGCACCCCAGGATCAGGATCCGTCTCGAGCACACGCAGGCACCCCGGGTCAACCCATTGGGCGTGGCCATCCCCACCCCCCTCCTGGAGCTCCCTTGCCGCGTCCGGACAAATACGCCCTGAAGAGAAACGCGGGCACTCTGCCGAAGCGGAAGCCCTTGATGGTTGCACCGCCTTACTCTGAAAGGTCCAACACGGCGGAGCACCGACCCGTACCACCTCCGCCCTTGCCTCGCAGGAAGCCGATTCCCCCTCATCTGCGCACTGACAGTGCCGATGAGGTGCTTGTAGTCGAGGCACCGTTTGATTCTGGACCGGACAGCCCGGCAGTCGGGGATGTGGACTCGGAAGATGGCCCAAGGGAGGCTATCCTCCTCGAGAGCGAGACCTCGTCCAAAGCCGATCTAACCGAGACCAATCAGAAGTGGGATACTGAAGACAGTCAGGACACTCAATCATTGCAGTCTATTGATCAGACTATGGCTTCCACACCTGACAGAAACGAAGCACTGCTGCCCCCCGGACAACTGGAAGTTCCATCAGTATGATATGGACCCTGAATTTCCTACGACAACGGGCAGGCGAGCAACGGCCCGACCTGACCAGAGCCTTGTGTAACTACTTGATCTTGAGATTGAAAGGCGTTTGGAGGATTCTGATTATTCAACGGGCTCTGTTGCATCTGCCGGACAGAAGCAATCCCGTAGCCCTGTAATTTCAGGGCCCCGGTGTACAGTTGCAGTATGTTTCGATGGCGCTCAGTGGCGACCCAGGTATGCAATATATGACACAACTCCTATCACGAGCGTTGTAAAACATATCTTCCTCATAGGTGTAGATTCATGCTGCCTACGTGGCGCAGACGACGCGTAGTACAGTAGATGGAAGAACAAGGGATGAGCCGAGCGAAGCGGCTTAGGCGTCGCCAAGACTGACAGGCGCCAGCTTTCCCCCCAACGTCATTGCTCTCCACGTGCACTCGACATTTGTGCTTCACATCCTCTCTTCTCTTTATCTCCGGCCAGCGCTTCGTCACTGGGATTTCCCGCGCTGTCCGGACTCTTCGTCGACCGTTCTCCCCTTGGTGCATCTGTTCCCCTGAACACGCATCGCCGCCACCATGAGTCGGTAAGCGGGACACTGCCTCAACCCCCAAACCACCTCAAGCAGCCGAATAATCTCAATCGCGCAGGACGGAGGCCGACCTGGCCATAAATATCCGCAAGGCCACCAGCATCGGTAAGTGCTCATCCGGCAGTGCCGGCCCTGAATAGGAGAGGAACGACGGCTAACCATTTGACTCGCGACAGAGGAAACCGCGCCCAAACGTACGTCCGCATACCCATTGATCCTTGCGAAGAAGCCCTATTCGTCAGATCACTAGCTCGGTGTTTCACTCAACTGACATGCTTTCTCGCAGGGAAACATGTGCGCAGCTGTATCGTGTACACATGGGACCACAAGTCGTCGGCGGCCTTTTGGGCGGGCATGAAAGTGTATGCAAAACCCTGGATGGTCCAGTGGAGATACAGGAATATTGGAAGCTGATTTGTGTTTGCGCATTGTAGGCAGCCTGTTCTCGCCGACGAGGTCCAGACGTTCAAGGCCCTCATCACGATTCACAAGGTTCTCCAAGAAGGCCACCCCATTGTGGTGCGCGAAGCGCAGCAGCATTCCAATTGGATCGATAGCTTGATGCGCGGCGTTGGAGGTGACGGCATTCGAGGTATGACAATCTGCACGTTGATACTGCGCGTGAAGCCCGAGGGCGAGTGGATCGTGAGGTGGATACGAATACTGACGATGCTGGATAGGATACGCTCCGCTGATCCGCGAATACGTCTTTTTCCTTGAGTCGAAGCTGGCCTTCCACCGTAACCACCCTGAATTCAATGGTATGTTATTCCGGGTTGACGGGACGAGTGCAGTGTTGTCTAACAGGTGCAGGCTTGTTCGAGTACGAGGAATACATTAGCTTGAAGACGATTAATGATCCTAACGAAGGGTGCGCATAACTCTACTTTGAGGAGTGGGTGATGAGATGCTAATGAACTTAATAGCTATGAGACCATCACTGATCTCATGACCTTGCAGGATCAGATCGATGCCTTCCAGAAGCTTATCTTTTCACACTTCCAGTCTGGTACTAACAATGAGTGCCGGATCTCTGCCTTGGTGCCTCTGGTGCAGGAGAGTTATGGCATTTACAAGTTCATTACTAGCATGTTGCGCGCTATGCACACAAGTATGATTCCCCTAGTCCGTTGACCACGGTGGAGCACCTGCTAAGATTTTAAATTGTTGTATAGCTACCGGCGATGACGAAGCTCTCGAGCCTCTTCGTGCCCGTTATGATGCCCAACACCACCGTCTTGTTCGGTTCTACTACGAGTGCTCCAACTTGCGCTACCTTACCAGCCTGATTACGATTCCGAAGCTGCCCCAAGACCCGCCTAGCCTGCTTGGCGAGGAAGATGACCGTCCCGCTCTGCCTAGGCGACCGGCCAAGGAAGTTGAGCAACCATCGCCGCCTCCCAAGGTCTCTGCCGAGCCCGAGCCTATCAACGACTTCTGGACAAACGAGGCTAGACGCCAGCAAGAAGAGTACGAGGCCGAGCAAGCGCGGCTTCAGCAGCAATGGGAAGACCAGCAGCGCCAGCAGATGCTTACTCAGCAAAAGGCCCAGCAAGACTTCGAGGAGCAGCAGCGTCTGCAGGCCGAACAGCAACGCCTGGCTCAGGAGCAATTGCTTCGTGACCAGTACCAGACGCATACGCAGGGTCGTCTGGCAGAGCTGGAACAGGAAAATTTCAATGCTCGTGCTCAGTACGAGCGGGACCAGCTGATGCTGCAGCAGTACGACCGTCGGGTCAAGGATCTGGAGGAGCAGATGAATCAGCTGAACAACAACCTCAACATGCAGAGTGCCTCCAAGGACGAACAGATCCGGGCTCTGCAAGAGCAGGTGAATACTTGGCGGACGAAGTATGAGGCCTTGGCCAAGCTGTACTCGCAGTTGCGACAAGAACACCTGGATCTCCTACAGACCACCAAGAGCCTCAAGCTCAAGGCCGCTTCAGCGCAGGAGGCCATTGACCGTCGCGAGAAGCTGGAGCGTGAGATCAAGACCAAGAACTTGGAGTTGGCTGATATGATTCGGGAGCGTGATCGCGCCCTGCACGATCGGGACCGTGTTACCGGTACCAACAAGGATGAGTTGGAGAAGGTCAAGCGGGAGCTTCGGTTGGCGATCGAGCGCGCTGAGAATGCGGAGCGCTCAAAGGGCACGGAAATCTCTTCTATGCTGTCCAAGTATAATCGTGAGATGGCTGATCTGGAGGAGGCCCTCAGAGTAAGTTTCCGTCCTCGGTGTTTGGCATTGTAGCAGCTCTGTACTGACCAGTTAAGAACAAAAACCGCGCTCTTGAAGACATCTCCAGCCGCCACTCTGAGCGGGACGGCGACCACGATGCGGTCCTCCGTGAAAAGGACGAGGAAATTGAGGTGTACAAGTCTGGCATGGAGCAGGCTCTGATGGAACTTGAGGAGCTGAAGATGGTAAGTGCTGTTCTCAAGATGATTTCACCTTTGCATGCTAATCGATGACGCCTTTCAGAGCCAAGGCGACACCGACCATGCGCTTGATAGCCAGATCGATACTGTTCTCCACGGCGCAGTGGCCAAGATCAACGACATCATTGACTCTGTGCTGCAGGCTGGAGTGCAGCGTGTGGACGATGCCCTGTATGAGATGGATTCGTCCATGCAGGCCGGTAACTCGAACGCCTCGCCGCCCTATGTCTTGTCACAGATTGAAAAGGCTTCGGCCTCAGCTACCGAGTTCTCCACGGCCTTCAACAACTTCATTGCCGACGGTCCCAACAGCCCCCACGCCGAGATCATTCGCACAGTGTCTGTCTTCTCTGGATCGATTGCCGACACTCTCAGCAACACCAAGGGTCTGTCCCGCTTCGCCAACGATGACAAGAGCACTGACCAGCTGTTCAACGCGGCCCGCAAGTCGGCCCAGGCGACTGTGCGCTTCTTCCGTGGCCTGCAGTCCTTCCGCCTCGACGGCATGGAGCCGCTGCAGAAAACCGACGTCGTCATCAACAACAACCTGGAGGTCCAGCGTGACTTGCAGACACTGTCGAAGATGGTCGAGTCCTTCGCACCCAAGAGCAGCAAGATCACCACCAACGGCGACCTGGGCGACCTGGTTGACCAGGAGCTGCTCAAGGCTGCCGATGCCATCGATGCCGCCGCCCAGCGTCTGGCCAAGATGAAGAACAAGCCCCGCGATGGCTACTCGACATACGAGCTGAAGATCAACGACGCGATCCTGGCAGCCGCCATCGCCGTGACCAACGCGATTGCCGAGCTGATCAAGGCCGCCACCGAGTCACAGCAGGAGATCGTGCGCGAAGGCCGAGGCAGCTCGACCCGGACGGCCTTTTACAAGAAGAACAACCGCTGGACCGAGGGTCTGATCTCCGCAGCCAAGGCCGTGGCTGTATCCACCAACACGCTGATCGAGACTGCCGACGGTGTCATCTCCGGCCGCAACTCCCCCGAGCAGCTCATCGTCGCCTCCAACGACGTTGCCGCCAGCACTGCCCAGCTGGTGGCTGCCAGCCGTGTCAAGGCCACCTTCATGAGCAAGACCCAGGACCGACTGGAGACTGCCAGCAAGGCCGTTGGCGCAGCATGCCGAGCGCTGGTGCGACAGGTGCAGCAGATCATCTCGGAGAAGAACGGCACCGACAACGACTCCGAGGACTACGGCAAGCTCAGCTCGCACGAGTTCAAGGTGCGCGAGATGGAGCAGCAGGTACGTTTTGCATTCCCTCCCCTCCCCTCCCCGCTACAGCAGTTACTGACCCTTCTCCCTTACAGGTCGAGATCCTCCAGCTCGAGAACAACTTGGCCCGCGCTCGCACACGCCTGGGCGAGATGCGCAAGATCTCCTACCAGGAAGACTAAGCTCGTTCCCTGGCTCTCTGTGTATATCCTAGAACCCATGGGTTGGGAATCCATTTCCGTCTATTTCCATTCTTCACACTTCCGTAGCTGCTCGAGTGATTAGCGAAATGTACCCGTTATTATCCGGCATCCCAACCTGCGTAATCCATTCCAGCTCCCCGTAAACAAAGAATCCCCGCACATGGACTGTGCATGAACCGCGAACCGCGAACTCTCGAACTAAAGAAACTCGGCCCGTGGATCCGGTCTTGGCACTGCACCTCAACAAAGACGTCTCGCAGCAACAAAGAAACAGACCAGTCAATTCCCCAATCCCGTATCTCTACACGTCATCTCGACTCCACGGGATCTCGGAGCTCGAAGCTTCAGGTCTGAACCCGGCCATTTTACAAATCCACAATCTAGATCCTTACAGTTTACAGGAGGAAACAAGTAGATGACGAACTGTCTTGAATTAACTATCAAACTCTACCACGACAGCCAACCACGAAAACCCCCTGGGAAAGAAAACCGTGGATGGTGTTGACAAGATGTCGTGAGATCACATTACCCTCCACTTGGAGACCATCAAAAAGCAGAAACGGGAACAGGAGCGGGAAGAGAAAGCAGAAAGTAGAAAGTAGAAACAGAATGCAGAATGCAGAATGCAAGTCCAATGCCCATACGCAAACCGGGATCTTTGGATGGGATCGCGGTCGATGAAGAGCGCATGGGCAAAGCTGGACAACAGGATGGAAGGGAAAGAGAATCGACGGGATGCACGCTGAAAGGCAGGGAATTCTTTTTCAAGGTTTGATGTTTTGCCGTGTTTTTTTGGGGCTCGTTGGGGGTTTTTCTGGGGCTGATTCTGTAGTCTGCGGGATACCGGCTCTCTTGGTTCGTTATCACGCTGTCATGTCTTGGGTATTGTTGGATGTCAGGGTCAACGCTTCATGTTGCCAGGTTCAGTGGAGTTGATGTGTATTCGGCGCAGAGATCAGCGGGGTGGTCGGCAGTCGTGGATGGAGCTCACTGAAGGCTAAAAACCTCATGCAAATCAAGTTTGGAAGAGACCGATTTCAGGGAAGAGTTGTTCAAGCTCATTGGCGAGCTGAATCTCATCGATCTGAGACCCGAGGGACAGCCCCTCGGGCGAAGGGACGTAGAGGAGATCTTGGATGGGATCCATTGCGGGGTCTGGTTCATCGTACATATCATCCAAAGAAAACTCCTCAACAGGACCATCTTGACGCTCCCCGAGATGGTTGAACAACCAACCGAAGGGATCGGGAAGGGACTGAGAATTTGCAGTCTGGTGCTGCGTGTTGAGTGCCAGCGCCGAGTACCCCTGTTGGGGAAGTGGCCAGGCAGATCCGTCCTTGAGAACAAACTCGAAAACGTCTCGGTAATGGGTAAGGATGTTCTCAACAGACACAGGCTGAAGATTGAGAGAGCTCAGGTCAGAGTCCCAGGTCTTGGTCACGTCGAAGCTTTTCTGTCCGTCGGGAAGATCGAACTCGGAGATCTCCCAGCCAAGCATGGTGATGTACTGCATTGCAGAAGGGATCCCAAACATGGGAGCCACGGTTGCAGTAAATTCGCTCAGCGACATTTCTTGGAGATCAAAATTGTCCCGAAGCATAGTGTAAGCCTTCGCCATGACGCACCACTGGGCTTTGAGTGGCTCTGAGGCCCAGAGGTTGGCGATGGCAACTGACTTCTGTTTCTGCATGATTCCATGGAACAGAGGAGCAATGAAGCCTGTGGCATTGTCAGTTCCATTAAGGCATTGGGATCTATGGTTGGACTTACTGCGGAAGATCATGAAGCTATTCAGGGATCGCCGACGAGTCGCAGGTCGAATAACTGGAGGCGCAGCGGGGAGCGATTTGGCAGGCGAGGGGCCATTCTCGGAAGGCCAATTCACCTTAGGGGTCGAGACCGGAGTGGTGAACAGCGTGAGATTGCCATCATGGACCACAAATCGGGTGCCATTAACGACAGGTGGTGGCTGATTGAAATACTGGGGAGGAATACCAGCGACCATGGAGCTTGCGAAGGTCGCGAAGTCCATGTTGGGCCCTTGCAGACCGAGGATCTGCCCAGCCTTGTATGCCGGTACACTTGACAGATAGTCGAGGAACTGGCGTTCAACGAAGTCGGAGGTGGGCAACGTTGAGGGTGCCATGCTGAACAGTTGAGTTGAGAAGATGGATGTGGGATTGATAAGGAAACAAAGAATCCACGAGCAGACTCGGCAGCGAGGTATGAACCACGAAGAGTTGACACCGAGTAAGTCCGGGAGCACGACAACAAGCAAGCAGATGACAAGTCAAAAGTAACAAAGAAAAGTAAGCGAAGGAAGGAGTTGAAGAGAAAAAGGTGGGAGCGAAGCGGACGGTGAGGAAAGGGAAGAAAGAAAGAGAAAGAGAAACAAAGGAGGAAAGCTTTTAAGCACCGGCGAGTGTCTCGGGCGACTCAGCGATGAGGGGATTCACCCAAAGCAGAAGACCGTGTACATCCAGGCAGCGCACTCACTATTGAACTACAGCGACAATGGAGAGTCATGCCTGGGGGAGTTTCCCTGGAAGATTCCTTTTCGACAAGTGCCATTCCCCATGAAGCCGGAACTTAGGGCCAGGGCTCTTTCTTTGTTCCCCTTTGAGACATGTGACTGCATCTGGATGAGGTCCTATTTTGGAATGAATGTGCCCCGCGTCCTGGTGAGTGCATCCTGCACACGGTGACGTGCATCACAAATGGATTGCGGGAGTTGCTTGGTGTGCTGTGTAACGTTTCCACGTGGAGCTCCCTGCAGATCGGTGATCCACAACTTTATTTGTGTGGGGGCACCGATGGTCTAGTACTGTTTGTATACTGGTACAGCTAAATTTTACCACAAATACACTCTGGATCCATGGACTGGGGGGATTGGATTGCTGGACCAATGTGTGACGGCACACCGTGGGACTTGTATCTGAATTGATGCCGCTGGTATATCATTTGGTATAACCCACCATCAATACAAGAACAAAGAAATAGGCCGGTGACTCGGTACTTGGCTCGGGCTAACTGCATTAGACGGGATCTTAGGGCTTCGTGCTCCAGGCACCGATGCCCCTGCCGGGACCTTCCAGAGCCTAACTGTATCGGATCAATGGTTAGGGCTTCATGCTCCAGGCACCCATTCCCCTTGCGGAGCCTTCCAGAGTCGAACGGCATTGGATCAATGCTTAGGGGTTTACGATTGAGCTGCCTCTCACCAGCCTAACTGCATGCAACGAGGACTTAGGGCTTCATGTCCGTGGTTCCCTTGACTCCCATACATGCACATTCACTGCCACAAGGCCACACGGAGAGGATGAGCGTCACGTCGAGTTTAAATGCAGTGTAAATTGTCTTATAGTGGTATCCTGCTAAAATAGATGAAAAGGCCGGTTACATGCCTTCTTATCAGGCCTCAGACTGTGAGATCGAGTTCCAGTCGCTGGCCCAGATGAACGTCGGACACCGCCATTGCGAGCCCTTCTCCTTCTCGCCGCTGGGTCCCAGTGGTCGAGGGCAGATCCAGAATGCTCGGCCACGGTTCATGCCCGGCTTCTTGGTTGTCAGGCTGATGCACGGCTCCTGGTGGCTCTCGCAGCGTGGCACGGCCTTCTTAGTAAACAGCTTCGTCCAGTCTTCCTTGCTGACGATGGGATCGATCGTTGAATCATCTGTTCTGAGTTTGCTGGGGGAGGACTGTGTGGATGGGGAGCGTGTTGATGCAGAGGGGTTGTCGGATGTAGTCTCTTGTTGTTGTGACGCGGCCGGAGCAATGGTGGGATCGGGGACTGTGTTGCTTTTCTTGAGTGATGCTGCTGCAATCATCGGTGAGTGGTGTACTGGATGCCGATAGACCCGAGGGCCATGGAGTGGGTTACGCACCATCGCCGGTCTTTGGCTTAAAGAAGCCCATGAGCGACTTCTGGCCGGACGTTGACGGGGCCGGTGTGGGTTTCGAGCGCTTGGCAGAAGCTGTGGGAGGTGGTTGGGATCGTTTGAGAGGCGGGGCCTTTGTGGCCTGGGCCTCACAAGACACTGGTGGTTTGGGCGTCTCACTAGGAGTAGCTATCGCTGGCGTGGCGGGCTCAGAAGCTGGAGTTGTAGCTAGCTTCTCCAGTGTGCTGGCTGTAGACGGTGATCGTGAAAGGGTGCTGGGTGGCTTGCGGGTAAACATGTCCTTGATACTGCGCCGCTTGTCAACATCGAACTCCGGCAGCAAGCGTCCAGATGCTGGTAACATGAATCGAGACGAGTATTCCTGCTGCCTCTCGCCGTCCTTGAACATCCCTGGGGGGTTCATGATATCGCGGATGTGCGTCAGCCCTCCCTGATAAGGCACGCGGTCTTTGAAGACTGCGTAGACGGGGCAATGGTCCGATCCCTAAACATGAACCTGTCAGCCAGTCTCGCGCAAGTTTATACAAATAAAGACGCACCATCAATCCCTCTTGGATGTTCGAGTCGGAGAACCATTCTTGCATGTCCAAACTACAAAGCACATAGTCAATCCGGGCACCGAAATTCCCTGGCCGAGTGTTGAGCCTCGTATCCCAGCAGGTGTACATGCCACTGCGGTCCGGATGAAACGATCTGCAGATATCGAGCAAGACCGTCTGCTCCCTGCCTTCGTCACGCGTTCCAATAACAACCCCGTCGGAAAGCAATGAGTTGAACAACCTCCGCGATGACGCAGAGATGTACTCTGCTTCCGTCGTGGTCCTCTTGCGAATACCCTCCAGCGCATGCGCAGAGTCAAGGGCTGTCTTTGCAATGTTGATGTCTCCCGTCACGAAGACCCGTTTCCCCATAGCGACGAGGTTGCGCACCCGAGCATCCAATGCACTGAGAAAGTCCATTCGGAAACAATCACGACTTTGGTCTCGGTTTGCCGGGCAGTAGACACCGATGAGCACAAAGGCCGGGAACTCGAGGATGACGCTTCGCCCTTCAGAGTCGAGTGTTGCGGCATCAATTTTGGGATCTGGTGCCGGTTTCTCGTCATCCGCTCCATCTTCGTCATCATCCTCATCGTTCACGAAGGCAGGCCTGGTGAGCTGCTCAGACGTCGGGTACCCGCCAATCTGCTGATCCTCTGGCAGGTCTCGAAAAGAGACTGCTGAGTTGGCCGGGCACAGAACGCCTGTGAGGCCTTCTTCGGCACGAATTGGTGCACATGTGGCGTTGCGCGTGTATATCACCACTCCAGAGTATCCTGCCAGGAGTTAGCTTGACTCGAGAACCGATGCAGAACGGCGACTTACCCTTCTTGAACTTGGGCAAGCTGAAGTAGCAGTCCCAGCCGGGCACTAGGACCATGTCATCACGGAGATCCTTCCGCTGGATCTTCGCTTCCTGGAAGACCACGATATCGGCTTCTAGGATATCAAACATGGACTGATCTTAAGTCAGTATCACCGTCGCGTGCATCACGAATTGGTAAGCTCACCTCGAAGGTCCGATTCCCTCTCCATGGTTCATAAGAGAACGGGTTTCTTTACAATCATTCAGTAATCATCTCCGATTCATAGGTCAGCCTGAACATACCGAATCCCATTAACTGTATGCGGTGTTAGCACCAGGCCCTCGACCAAACACATCCCTCAGACCGGACCAACGACATACCATTCCACGTGGTGATGCGGAACCCCATTGCCAACCGAGAGAAGCCTCAGGCCCAGCATATCCAGTAGCGAAATGAAGTGCAATCACTCACTGTCGCGAGCAAAACAACGCAACGTGACATTTACCCTGTGATTGATATCACGTGAGTGTGGAGTGACATCAACTGACTAAGCCGGGGGATCACGGGAATTCAAGGTCCACTAAAGCGGCTTCGATTTCAACGTACGACACCTTTCCCCCCCCAGCCCAACACCACCAACCATCATGCTCTCCCGCAACGTTGCCCGCTTCTCTCAGCGTGCCTCGCAGCAGGCCCGCCAGGCCCCGGTCCGCCAGACCGTCCAGCGCCGCTTCGCCTCCTCCGAGACCCAGCCCTCGTGGATCGTCGACAACGAGTTCAACCGCGAGCGCGCTGCTGTCAAGCACCACGCCGCCTCCACCAGCGGTACGTGAACCCCCCAATTGGCCCCGTACCGGGTGTCATTGTCCGGTGGTCGCTCTCTGAATGCCGTGTACTGACTCAATGGCTCTGCAGACCTCTGGCGCAAGCTTTCGATCTTGTATGTTTTTGCTTCCGCAGCAGAGACCCATTGTCCCACTTCCCAAGCTGCCTAGAGCTTCACTAACGATACGAAACACAGCGCCGTTATCCCCTGCCTGATCGGTGGCGGTCTCAACGCCTACAACCTCTGGTCCGAGCACTGGGAGCACTGGGAGCACATGCCCCCTCTCGAGGAGCGCACCGAGTACCCCTACCAGAACATCCGCGTGAAGAACTACCCCTGGGGTGACGGTGACAAGGTGAGCCTCAGTTTCCCGTGATGCAACATGCTTAGAGCGTCAAATAGCTAACTCTTTTCCATAGACCATCTTGTAAGTTCCGGCACTTTTGTGATAATCCGAGTTCCGGCAGGGACTTAGGTCTTCTGCCTGTCGCGGTTGCAATTGCAATTCATTGCACCCCGTTCCGAGCTCTTCGCTGGACCCAGTATCAGATCGCAATAGCTAACCATTTCTTCCACAGCTGGAACGACGAAGTCAACTACCACAACAAGGACAAGGCTACCTAAGCAGGTTACCCTGCCAAGATTCAACCACGGAAGCTCGTCCATCGAGCTGTCGAACGTTTAGGAGACCGTCTTTGGTGCACAGTTACATGTATATCTATCGGGGAGGCGTTAGAGCCCGAAACTTGGGGATGTACTCGAGAGAATGAAGTGAAGCCCGTCGTTTCCGCTATTTCTTTTGTCCGTTTTCTTTGCCTAGATCCAATGTTATTGGTTTTGGGTGGATCGTATCTTCTGGACCCTTGACACTCCTGCCCAAGGAAGTAGTAGCCGTAGACCTCGGGAGTCTGTAATCTAGAACCAGCAATGGAGGACCGAGTTGTTCAAAACCGAATGCTGCACTACTGAACAGAGACGCCGCTACTTGAGCAACACACCCATTGGGAACCCCATCGCAGAGCAGACAAGGTGCAAAGCGAATGAATATCATTCAAGACAGATCTGCCTAGGTATCCAATCCATCCAGTCCAGCGACAAGAAACCGCCTCATAAAAATACAATCTCACAAAAAGCACATCACACCTCCGCACCACGCCTCTTCCTGAGATCAAGATACTTAGCCGCATAATCATTCGCCAGCACCGGATCACCCGTCAAATGCATAATTGTAGCCTTCTTCGCCATCATCTCAGTCTGGCCGAGGATATCCTCAATCTCCTCATAACCATAATACGCAGAATCGATATACCCAAGCGCACGATTCACATACTCCTTCCTAGCAGGCGCACTATCCTTCCCAAGCTGCGCCCACAAGTCACCGGCAATGCCCATATTCGCGTCGACGAGTAGCGAGTATGCTCGCGCGACTAATGCTGAGTCTTCGCTCTCGAGGATCTGAGGCATGATACTCTGGACCAGCTGGTCAGCAGCGTGGAACTCGCGCAAGCTGAGCAGGACGGCGGATAGAGTGCAGATGGACTCCCAGAGGTCGAAGAGGACTTTGGAGCGGTGGGCTATGTTGGCGGCGCGCATGGCGAGAGAGAAGCCTCGTTGGGGCTGGCCTGATTTCTCAAGGATGCGGGCCTTTAGGCATAAGAGGCGGATTTGGGCGTGGACGTCGAAGTTTTCGGGTTGCATTGAGTGGGCGGCTTGTTCGACCATCTTAAGGGCGCGGCCGTGGTCGCCTTGGCGGATTGTGAATTCGATTGTGTAGAAGGCTAGGAGGAGGCGCATGTCGAAGTCGAGGAGTTGGACAGCTTGGAGTTGGGAGAGGATGTGCTCGACTGCTACTTTGTCGTCGCTGGGGGTTGTTAGGAGGCTAGAAGGTAAGAAGAGGGAGACGTGGTACTCACCGGCAGATTTGTCGTCGTAATTGAAGAAGACCTGAGTAGTATGTCCAGGCGTTGTTGTATTTGAAGGCTCGGTGTCTTTCTGGTTCGATCTTGTTCATGCGAGCGAAAGCTTCCTTGTAGTTGCCCTTTTCTGCCAGCTGTGGATGTAGAGTTAGTGTTGTTCAATGTTGGGAGATAGAAGCGGCCTACAATTTGGCAATTGCGGAATGTGAGCTTGACAAAGTCGTCGTAGGGCTGGCCCTCCTTGTAGCATTCACGGAAGACCTCCGTGTTTAGCCATGAAAGATGAGTTGCGCCTACCATACGGTGGTTAGCTTCAGTTCATTGACGAGGCCTCAGGCGCAATTACCTATCCGAGCATACATGACACTCTGCAGCAACATGTACGCGCCTGTGGGGCTGGAGAGACTCTTGGTCACGTTGACGTGCGATGCTCGCACGAATGACTCGACAATGGAGGCAAGGCTCTCTCCCTAGCAGCGGTCAATATTAATCAACCCTTCGAACATCAATGACAGGGGTGAACCTACCTGTTGCATTTCCAACTTGGCCTCGCTCAGCAATGTTGTGCTCATGAGGGACCACATATCAGTCTCCTTCGACTTGGCCTTAAGGAACGCGAGTCCCTCCTTCTCATTGCCCAGCATACCGCTGTTCTGTACCTCCCGCATCTGCTCCGGGAAGGCTTTGCCGAAATGATAGAGCCAGCTCATGCAGAAGTTAAGGCAGTTCATGTCATGCGACTCGCGGGCAATGGCGACGGCTTCTTGCACAGCGGAGATGGCTTCGTTGAAACACTCAAAGTCTGCCTGTATGATAGCTAGATTCAAGAGCGCAAATTGATACGCGCTTCGGTCGAGATTACTGTGCATGGTGTAGTCGAAATACCGATGGAGGTTGTCAAAGGCTGATGTATAGTCGCCAGCTCGCCAAGCATCTAAGTACCTAAGCTGTGTCAGGAATAGGCGGTGCAATTCAAAAGCATCCGGGGTAACTTACTCTAGGTAATACATAAGCACCGGTATAGAAGACTCCGATGTCATGATGTGTTTGAGCTGGGCCCTCATCTCGTCGGGGACCCTCCCTCCCAGTCCTGTGGTTATTAGCCTCTGCAAATGCAAACGGAACCAGGGCCAGGATAAACATACGTTGTAACTCTCCAACTTGGAACTCAACTAGCCGCTCAGCATCTTTAACGCTGACGACGCCCTCTTCCTCATCGTCGTCTTTAATGTTGCCGTATACCACCTGAGAAAGGTAGCTGTTGGAGTCCAGAAGATTGACATCGACAGGGGCCTGTTCATGGGAGGGATTCCTCCGCGCCCACATGTGGTATGTAGGCAATCGATACTTCACAAAACCAGACCACAACTTCACCGAGTCGGAGAACTGCAGCCGAGTATATTCAAGGTATGCCCTGCGAACAAACGCGCCAAGCGGTGAGCTCCGCGACAATCGCATACCCTCATCCTCCGGAGCAAGACCATTGTCTCTGTCCTCCATCAATTGCTCACGCGTCTTGCTCAACAGGGACGGCAGGACATCGCTGAAGAACTCCTCGAGTGCATCGAGCGAGTCAAGCGACCAGATCTTTTTGAGGAAAAGATCCCACAGGTTACGTCCTGGAACCGAAGACTCGTGGCCAGATAGCACCTCCTCGAGCTCGGCGATGCTGGGCAGGTAGTGCTTCTCCCATTGCTTATCGGCGGGATCTAAAGGAAACAAACCCGCCGTCAGGAAGGACAACACATGGACTGCGGACGAGTTGGGGACGACACCATCCGTGTAGACGGTGATCAGGCACAGCAGAGAGATCCTCCACGGTGTCAGATAGCGCGCCATGTTGTGCAAGGGCGCATCTTGCAACGAAAAGCGTGTTGATGCGGCGTGTTGCTGATAACTCGATAAGTGCCTGAGGCCATACGGCCGCAATCGGTGCCCCGCCAGAAAAAAAGGCAAAAACGAGATGACGCACCGGTGCTTTCCACCCTCATTTCTCTTCAATTGCAATCAATTATGGCCGAAGCTCTAGCAACAACCGATCTGCAAGGCGCGCTGCCTCTGGTTGCCCGCGGCAAGGTGCGCGACCTGTATGAGGTCGACGACAAGACACTGCTTTTCGTTGCGACTGATCGCATCTCCGCCTACGATGTGATTATGGAGAATGTACGCCCTGGTGGTTTCGAAGTGCGGGATTGATTACTGACGCGGTCTACGATTACAGGGCATCCCGAACAAGGGCGTTCTTCTTACTCTCTGCACCAAGACATGGTTCAAGATCCTGACAGAGGCCGTCCCCGGTCTGCGCACCCACTTCCTCACCCTCGATCTCCCTGCCCAGATCCCCGCCTCGCTGCGCCCGGTGCTGCAGAACCGCAGCATGCAGGTTCGCAAGCTCCGCATCCTCCCCATTGAGGCCATTGTCCGTGGATACATCACCGGCTCCGCCTGGAAGGAGTACCAGAAGTCCGGCACTGTGCACGGCCTGGCGGTCCCCGCGGGTCTGCAGGAGAGCGAGGCCTTCCCCAACGGCCCGATCTACACACCCAGCACCAAGGCCGAGCTGGGCGAGCACGACGAGAACATTCATCCCGACGAGGGTTCGTCTTTCGTCCGATCTTGAAGTTGATACCAGAATGCTGACTGAAACCCCACAGCCGTCAAGATTGTCGGAGAGCGTTACGCCGCGCGGATCGCCGAGCTCGCTATTCAGCTGTACAAGGCTGCGCACACGTACGCTCTGGAGCGCGGCGTGATCATTGCCGATACCAAGTTTGAGTTCGGCGTGGACGAGGAGACCGACGAGGTCGTGCTGGCCGATGAGGTCCTGACCCCGGACTCGTCCCGCTTCTGGCCCAAGGATACCTACGCCATTGGCCGTGGACAGGCGAGCTTTGACAAGCAGATTCTGCGTGACTGGCTGGTGGCGGAGGGTCTCAAGGGCAAGCAGGGCGTGCGCATGAGCGATGAGATTGCGCAGAAGACTGCCGAGAAGTATAAGGAGGCGTGGGAGAAGATCACCGGTGGTAATTAGAGCGAGCTATTAGATGCTTCGCTGTATATTTCGGGGATAATCTCCGTAGAGAGTATACACCCCATGTCTTTTTATGAATGATCAAGGATAAACTGCAAATGAAAAAGAGTCATGTCCAATGTTTTACATGCTGTCTGCTTTTATAGCAAATATGGGACGGGGTTTCGCTAAATTAATATACACAGTCTGCAGATCGATTGCAGTTGGCTAAATTACTCATCCCATTCAGACCGAAGTCCCTTCAGTCCCTTCGCATTGGGACTTTTCTGGTTGTCAGTACCTTTGGGCTTCTTGTTACTTTCCACCCAGCCCGACTGAACACCCTCATCCACCGGCAACGCATCCGCACCGCAGATAGCTCGCTCCTCCTCAATCTCAGCCTCGCTCATACCATTTGTAGCCCAGATCTTGTGAATGCGCAGGTCGAACGGACCCTCGACACGGTCCGTGAGACCGATACCGATACTCTTGATCCGTTGACGAAGGAGAGATGTCTGCGGCTCGACGACGAAGCCGTGGTTAGTTCGGACGAACGAGTTAAACGGCAGGAGAACGGTCTCCCACCCCGTCGTGCCTGATGTGGTTGTTGAAGTAGAGGATGAACCGATAATGGTGGACTCGGGCGGGATCTCAGAAAGCGCGTCAGGCACTCCTCGCGGGGCTGGATATACGTCGAGGTCTTCGTCTTCCAATGATTGAAGGCGACCAGGTTCGTCCTGTTGTGTCGCATTCTCGTATGCATCCTGATATACGCGGTGGTGCCGGCTATACAATCTGTGCTGGTGGATATCTGTTTCGATGACGGAGTCTGTCTGAACGTTCACGGTGTATCGTCTGCCATCGGACTTGATGCGGAGCGCGAGGTAGGCGTAGGGGTCGACATCCCAATAAAGACGGCCGAAAAGCCACATACCGCGGTCCTTGTTGCGGAACGCAGCGTATCCTGTTAATCCCGGTGCGATCAGCTTCATGGTCAAGATATCGTGCTATTGATGAAAAAAGTACCGGTTCTCTCAACGCGCCAGTTATCTGGGAGCTTAGTCGAAATGGAGCCGTGAAATCGAGCGTGTGGCGGCGTGTTGGACGAGGGATCGCCGGGCTCGTAGTCGATGCTAGCGGTGCTGAATCCACCGACCACGCGATCGGCCATGGTCTTGCAGCTCTGAACGGTCTCTGGGTCTTGGAAATCGAGCATGACATAGGGCTTGGTAGGGGTGTGGAGGGCTTCGGTGTTCCATGCTGAGATCGTTAGTTATTTTTAAGCTGGGGGAGGATCAGGGCGACTCTACCAATCTTCGACAAGCGGCCAAGCTCTTCGGCGCTACGCTTGAAGAAACCGCTCTGAGCGGCTAAGCTCCGAGTGGGAATCATGGTTGATGTGGAGAGTCAGGAAGATGGCGCAGGAAGAATTCGGGGGAAGCTTGGGTCTCGGGGATGATGTCGCTTCCCGAGGTGGCGTGAAGACTCGCCGCCGATCAGCCGCGATAAGATAACTCCGAACTACATGAATCGTGTTCCTATATTTACTGTTATTAGCTGCCCATGGCCGATTCTTGCATTTTGCCTAGGGGTTCTCGGCAAGTCTGGATAACTCTAAGGTTCGATCGACGTCCTAAGGGTGAATTGTACTCCGTGGACTGCGCCTTAAGAGATTCGCCGTAACAGGGCTAAGGACGCTTAAACCATAAAAAGTGTGAAAGGAGGGTTTATCACTTACTTTAAGGATGAATGTTTCACGACTCCCCAAATAGTGTAGCGGTGAAACCTAGCTATTTGAGCGCCCATCTGCAGGCGTTATCGACCACGGTCGATGGGCCGAACCGAAACGGGGGTGGAGGGAAACGTCCTCTGGGCGGGTTATCAGATGCCTCTTGTACCTGATTCTTCTTTTCTTCTTCTTTTTTACTTTTTAAATAGCCTATCGTAATACTAGTGGTCCTATGAATAGTTACTGTATCACTGTATACTAGCCGTTATGGGGGTTGGGAGGAGGTCGTGAAAATGTCGTGAAGCCATCGCGAGTTTCTCGCTGGTCCCAGGGAATAGAACCCCGTAGGATAAGTTTCGGCCAGGACAAATTGAATTTTCCTGTAAAACGCCAGCAACTTGGTGTACATGAAGATGGATTATATGAAAAGCTCTACATTTGAAGAGACATAACCTAGGCTGAAGGTATCGCCTTCCTTGCGTAGGTGTATCCTTGCTCACTGGACAATCTTCCGTGGATACACCTTCAGTATAGTTCGTCCTACCCTAAATAAGAAATAGTTAACCCTATGATGAATGTACCTGTCATCTCCGGCTATAACTCTAACTAGACTCCGCCGAGTAGCCATAGTTGGTCTCAACCACGGTCAACAGTTGTTGCAGGACCGCAGCTAAGCGGGCCAAAATAAGCTGTGCCGAATAGTTGCCTCTGCCAAAAAATGGATCCGTGGACTTTATGGTAGATTAGAGCTGCCTTGAAGAAAATATTCGGCCGGCCGGCACACGTTGCCCTAAGACACATTTGTAGTCGGCAGACCCACAAGGGTATGGTCCTGAGTCAAAGTAACCCCCAAGGCTCCTGACCCCAGGACCTACCCATGGATTGGCGGTGACCGTCACAGCTTAAAGGGTGTGCGGCCCACAAACAGGCTTAGTACTGGCCGTGCTGGGATATCGAGGTTGAAATGGTCGCGGCTCAGAGTGATGATGATATTCCTTCCTCTTCCTGCTTGCTCTCTACACATTTTCTCTTTATATATCGGTCTTTCTAGCCACCTTCATTCGCTATTATTTATATCATTGGTTTACAGAAATACTATACCCCTCCTAGCACAAATATATACCCACACGATGACCATCCAGGTCGTCGAGAACAGTTATCCTAGGCGGGGAGATCGCATGCAGGAGGAGCCCTCGGCCAAAAATGCACAGGGCCTTTTTTCTCCTGATGCGTGTATCTTCGTCGGAAAGCAAGTATCTAACTCCACGAGATGATAACCAGGGACTAACCGTGTTCCAGTCTCTCGACCAAGATCCCGACCGAGCAGCTGGCCGAAGATCTCAAGGAGGTCTTCGCGCGGTTTGGCCCTTGCCATGTTAAGATCAAACAAGACAAAAAAAAGAATCTACCAGGTGCCTTTGTGCAGTTCGAGGTATGTCGTGTAGCTTCCTCTATGTTAGGATCTAGCTAATAAATCGAAGCGAGTCGCGGATGCTAACGCAGCCTTGGGATGTGATCAATGTACACAACTACATGAACGTTGGCTAAGGATCGAGAGGGCAAAGGGCAGACGTAAGTTTATATCGCACTTCCGAGTTTGGTGTTCTGAGAGCTCACAATAGCAGGAACGGCCCTCCTCGGCCTCCGCTCTGGCGCGGCCATCACTCAACACGACATCACGTCTGCTTTGGGAGGACGTGGTCCTCTCGAGGCCTGGTGCATCGAATCACACCAGTCGGGATTTAACTGCTGGACCAACGTCGGAAAAGTCACCTTTGCCTATGTCGATGACTGCAGGGACGCCATCAAGGCAAATGCACTCATTCCCTCTTGCAGACCACCACTGACTACCCTCCAGCATTTCTCCAAAGATCACTCGTACTACCTTTCCCTTCTCGACATGGATGGCAGCCCACTGATCCCTGGCTCAGGGTCGGGGAATGACCAACCCCGGACGAAGTCATACAATGGTCATCAGTCGTCCCGGGGTAATCACTCCCAGCGAGGATATCACGGCCAGCGAGGACACCGGACCGGACCACCTCGAGGTGGCAATCGTGGGTTCTCCAGGTTCCGCCAATCACAATATCATCAGGAGAACATCAATCCTCGTGGGGGATACGAGAACTCCCATCATCAAGGCGGATACCAAAATGCCCCCAACATGGTGCACGGAATGCCATACGGTGGTGACCATCCACCCTTCTACCCTCCACCTGCGAGCAATAATTTTGCACCACCTCCGTTCATTATCAATGGCCAGCCAGTATACAGCAACCATCATCCATCTGGCCTTCCTCACCACCAGCCGGGGACCTTCGTTCCCGGCGTCAGCAACGGTCCCTTCATCGTGAGCGGCCAGCCGCCGTACAGCCCTGTCATACCAGCACTCTGGGGCGAGCCTTACCAGCAAAACAATGGGTATTACGGCCCTCAGTTCAATATGCCGAACCACCCCCAGGCATACTTTAGCCAAACGAGTCAGACTTGTTACAATGAGCCCTACCTCCAAAGCGTGACCCACTTCACAGTTCCGTATAGCAACAAGAAGGCAACGTCGCCGTCCATGACCGTCGTGACAGTCAAGGAAGTTCCCAAGACGAGCAGCAGCCCCGAAATAGTCAAGGAAAATGACAAATCAGACAAAAAGTCTGAGCCAGATGAGAGCTCTGGACCAGACGTCGAGGCCAATACTGAAATCGATCTCTTCAACTTGGAGGATCCTAAAAATGGCCCCAGACTGATCCGTGTCCACGACTCGGACACCGAGGATACCGACTATGAGGAAGAACCTTCCGAGCCCGAGCCCAGGATCGAGCTCAAGTCTGAGCCCGAAAAGCCAACCCGTCTTACCCCAGCTTTGGCTCCAGTGGCAGAAGAAGTCGAAGAGGACTCCATGACCCCAGAGCCCATATCTGAATCTGACTCCAATCCAGTTTCTGACTCCGATAAGAGTGCAGACCTCAAGGTACCCAACAGCACCCAGAGCATTCGAGACGAACCCCATGGTCTTAGTGACTCCATTTGCGAACCCACCCCCCAGCCCTGCTCCCACAGACCCCTCGATGTGAAGTACCAGCCGGGAACCGGAAAGACGATTGAGGAATATGTCCGACTGGGAGCAGAGGGTCGACACAATGAATACACCGAGGAAACACTACTGGATATCATTCGCGAGCTGGAGCAGGAGCAGAAGGATCGGAAAGCGCAAAAGGACGAGGATACGAAGGTGTTCGAGTCAGGTTCGAGCTCACAGGGTGGGTCAGTGGCGCGGAGTTTGTCGTCGAAATCGGCTTGAGGTTATTGTTAGGGATGTGGCGTCTTACTTCTTAAAATATTTTATGCCCTGGTTACGTGGCGCGATATTTCTATCTGTCTATCTCCCCTTGTGTGACTTCTCCTGTGTGTTTGATACTGGTTCTAGTTATCGATTATCTGTTTCGACGGCGCAGGGTCTTAGATGGCTGCAGTTCCAGACGGTTGTGACAAACGTATGCCGGAGCGTTAATTAAAAGAGAATATAGCTATGCAGAATTGATATCTTCATGGACTTGCTCCTTACTGTATCCATATGTATCCATATGTATCCATATGTATCCATATGTATTCAAATATAGTGAATCAAAGTTACTGTTCTTGTGTCTTTTGAGTGGTAGGTCAAAGATTTCGCGGGAAATCTCATTTTCACTTCGCGATAATTTTTTTTGGAAGATTACAGAAGGAGGCAACTCCTGATAGCAGAACGACAGATTAAATAGCCTATATATCACAATGTGGTGATAACCCAAAAACCCAGACATTAAGAGACTAGGTCAAGCCAGACGTCGAGCTCCCACTTGCATGAAGTTGTTTGAACAAACCTTCCCTTGCCTGAAGACTGCGTGGAGAGCCGAATTCAACAAGTCGGCCCTTTTCCATGACGGCCACTTTATCAAAGGACATAACGTTATGCAGCTTATGCATGATGCAGATAACGGTATGGTGCTGGAAATGTTGCTCGATGATTATATCAATCCGTTTTTCCATCTCGGCGTCGTCAATGCTGAGGACATGTTAGCCTTTGCTCGTAATTACGATAATGGCAATGCGCAATTGAAGTACCTGCTGGTAGGCTCATCCATGATCAGAATTCTACCGGGGTGACACAAGGCTCGCGCCAGACAGAAGAGCTGCCTTTGTCCGTGTGATAAGCTATCATCAGATAATTCGATATCCAGACCACCCTCCGCATTGATGAAATCCCATAACCCAACAGTTTGAAGAGCATCGATCAAGACATTATCATCATTAATTCGAGCATGCGGGTCCAGGTTCAGACGTACAGACCCATGTAGGAATATTGGTTCCTGGGTGATGGTGTTAAGCTCGGCTCGAATGCGAGGTTGTGGGATTTGAGATGCGTCGACACCACCGATGCGAATAGTTCCGTTGCGAATCTCCAGCATTTGCATAAGCGCCATGACTAATGACGATTTCCCACTAGTTGCCAGTTAGCGGTCGTTGTGGAATTCTATGTCGCAGTGAAATGCTGGAACATCTATGGCCCTGGGGCTGGCTGCGTCAAAGATGGATGAAGATGAATATTGCTTACCTTCCCGTCCTTCCGCACACCGCGACTCTCTCACCGGGTTGGATTTCTAGAGTTATATCTTCAATAGCATTGTTTTCGCCTTGACTGGATCAAATATAAGCAAAAGAACATCAGTTGTTTCGAGATAGTGATTCAATGTACCCGTGATTTCCAGAAACACCAATGAAGGATATTCTGCCTTCCTTCGAACAGTCATCTGGTGAATTCTCAGACTCCTTGTTGATATTCTCACGTGGAGTGTCTTCGACGAAGGATTTGATTCGGGATAAAGCACCAATCGATGTTTCTAACGTAGTCCACTGAGCGATCAATTGTTGTAGACTGCCACTGAAATTGACAATATTAAACAGCGCGACCCCCAAGAAACCAGTATTGGAGTTTCTTGCTATTGTCGTTGCGATAGAAACAACCAGAATGGCTATCGCAGCCACTAGAAGGTCCAATACTAGGTTCAACCATCGCTGTAAGCAGAACAACAGGTAGTAGGGCTGCTGTGATGCAGTCAGTGCTACCTTGTTTCGTTCCTGATAATGCTCCATCCAGCCAAATGCACGGATGGTCAAAAGCCCTGTATGCACTTCAAGAAGCTGAGATTGCAAAGGAGCCTTGAGTTCGATCTCTATAAGTCGGATGACACGAGAAGTGCGGAGATAGAACTTCTGAAGGAAGTACATTATCATGACGCAAAAGGGGACCACCAATGAGACATATCCGGATGACCCAGTGAATATGAGCACGGCTTCGGCGATACAACCAAGCATGGCAGTAACGGTGATGTCAAATGCAGAGGATAGCTCCTCATCAATAATTCCAAGGTCTTCGCTGAATCTAGAGAGTGGAGTGAGTTAGCATTCCAATATTTTTTCAACGTTCTAATTATCGGACCGAACCTATTGAGGGTTGTCCCAACATCAGTGGAGCTCAAGAAAGTAGGTTTTGCCCTATTCATTCGGTACGTGAGCAACAAGCCAACCAACAGAATATTCAACATACATGAACACTGTGTCTAACAAGGCTCGGTGAAACTTGGCCGCTGTCTTTGGTGCAATGATCATCTTGAAAATCCTTTTTTGACTATCAGCAAAAACCTTTCACGTATTTGAACTCGATCAATTGTACCATTCGAGAACAGCAAGTAATACCAAGGTCAAAATACCCAGACCGGCGTATATGCCTATCCAGTAGCCCAGTCGGGCGTTTGGATGCTGCGAGTTGCCGGCGGTCCACCACTCAAGCCAAATCTCTGCGGGAAATCGTGAGCAAAAAGCGAGATAAACACTTGGTGTCTCAAGGAATACTGACGAGGAAAGTTAAGCGCAACCATGAATGCAATAGCAAAAGCAAAGTATAGAATCACCAGTAGCCAACCAACGTTCCGAAAGTAAAACAGATAAACAGCCCGATCGCGATTCCTAGGCCGTTGAAGAGCAATGCGTTCTAGCTCTATGGTATGATCCAGAGGGAATGGCTCAGGTTCTTCTTCTTCGCCCACGAGCGCGTCATGCTCTTGGAGACTCGCAAATTGGTTGGTGGACTGAACATCAAGGCCGTCGGCAGAAATACTACTGTACGTCCCTTGCGCCACAAGCTGGCCTTGAGGACCGAGTACAATGACTGAATCGGCGTGCTGAAGAAGGGGCCCTAGATTTCATGATTAAAAATGAACAAGTTATGCAATACAATTGTCATACCGAATGTTGTGGCTAGCACGACCGTGTGCTTGTTTTTCTTCAACATGCCATCAGAGGAGAACAGGGAATGTAACATATGCTGCACAGTTCTTTGGTCAAGGCCAGATATGACATTATCGAGAATCAGGACCTTCTGTTTTGAGTACAACGCTCTGGCCAATGACTGGAAAGCAGATCAGCCATGAAGCAAAATAGTCACCGTAAAAGAAATCGACTCACCACTCGCATTTGCTGTCCACCACTTATCCGAGACCCTTGAACACCTACCCGAGTATAATGTCCTTCGGGCATGTCTCGAATATCCTCGTCCAGAGCACACGCCCGCAGAACCTCATTGTACCATAGCTCGTCCCATTCGCAGGTTCCTAGAATATTGTCCCGAATCGTTCCTGAAAACAACCATGCAGTCTGACTGCAGTATGCTGCCTGGAAAGAATTTGTCCACATGGTACCAGAGCATGGGATTTCATGCAACAGTAGCTGCAAAAAAAGCGACTTACCACATCCGATCGGACCAGTCACCATGGTCAACCTTTCTTCGTCGATTTCCAAGGATAGATTTTGGAGCAGAGGTAGTTTCATCTCGGGAAAAAGTCCGGATACGTTACGAAGAATGGCATATTTCCCAGGAAATGTCCGTTCAATGCTCACATGGCCTTGAATGGGTGAACGTTTATTTATACAACCTTTTTTATCTTCGGCGTACCCATACTCCGAATCACTTGGAGCATTCAATTGGCGCATCGGTTTCTCATCCCGATCAAGATATGACTGTATTCTCTGAAACCCTTTCACTACCGCTATCAGCTCTTCGCCGCCTCTTAACAGCGTAATAACTGGTGTCTCGAGGAGGGAGAACAGCGTAAGAGCGGAGAAAGCGATGGAGTTGGTTAAAGCTGTCGTATTATCCTTTTGTGAAAGCAGGCTGTATATGGCAAACCCGAGGATAGGCGCAAACGTGGCAGATGTGTAGGCTAGGATATTATATCAGGAAACGTGAGAAGGAAAATAGGTTATCTTGACTCACACATCACAACCACTAAAACGTCAAAAAGTCGGGCTGATCTGGAGCTCCTGATCTCCTCAGTTCTCAAATCCGATATCCCAGACGCAACAGGCCGTGAGATTCCGCTCATACGGATAGGTCTCATTGCAGCGAGTGCCTTGGAGGTCACAGATATGCGCTTTTCAATGGCATCCAGCCATGGTAGGTGGGCATTTCCCGTTGCAAGTGCCAAGGGCAGTCCCGCAAGCACGCAAACTAATCAATCAGCGGTTTGTTTTAAAGGAATCAGGTGAGGAGAAATCGACGAGACTTACCAACAACAAAAGCTGCAGATGCCAACGCGGCTGCATGGAGCAATCGAAACACCAGCCAGATGGCTAAACCCGCCTCGATTACACTGCTGTAGAACTCATGTAGGCCCAAGAGGCCCATACTGACCCATTCAACACCCCCTGTCAAATGCGTGATCCCCGCTGTGTCCGATATCTTGGAGTGTGGAAGTCGAAGCGTCTTTTGAAATATCATCGTGCTCAGACTGCCACGGACCATCGTTATCACACGATAGGTCTTGTGCTCAGAGATCGCCATGGAGATCTGCCAGAAATTGTCAACACTAGTCTCGATTCAAGCAGACCGAGTACACGTACTGCAAGACCTAAGTATACAATGCCGTACGCAGCTATCAGATAATAGGCCTCCGTGTGCGAATTTGGCCCTTGGGCCTCGGATAAGAAGTCCAACACGCGCTGAACCAAAAAAGGCTGCGCGAAGGAAAAGCCTATGTAGGCAAGGCGAGGTATCACTCCAGCTAGAATATTCCATTTGTAGTGCCAGAAAAAATCAATCAATAGCCCATGAGGCCGGCACCTGTCTACAGGCTCGTGTCAACTACCGGATGATCTGTCAGGATAGGCCAGGGCTGGCTGGAATTGCGTACCTTTTTTGTTCCAACTTTCTATCAGGGCTTCGGGGTCAGACGCCGAAACCAAATCGGCATCGAGGACATTGAGCGTGTCCTCCGAGAGAACGCCTCTGTAGCCTTTCCAAAGGAAAGGATTTACCCAGAGAAAGAGGCTACGGCTGTAGATACCAGACACTGCCTCGGGTATAGTATCTTGATATTGCTTTTTCAGAAACGGCCGCTTAGAGGTTCCCTCGAGCACAAGTATGACAGCCTTCAAACCCACACTTGCAGAAAGTAAAGACGCTATAATTGCGCTGGAAGAGCTCAACCAGAGGGTACGTACGCGAATCACATCGAAGACCAAGGAAAGACCGAGATAAAGACTGAGGATGGTTGATGGACGCAGTGATCGGCTGTGTTCGAGGTGACTTGCATAGAGAAATAACAGAAATGTTACTGCAATCACTGCAGTTCCTACAATGCTCACGGGTGTCTTGGATGCACTTCCAATGGCCATGGCAGCCAGGATGATGAAATGCAGAACAGCGTATAGTAAGATGGTGGTCAACTTCGCGACGTAAAGCCACGACCTTTTTACCTTGCGGGACCGGCCCTGCAAGCTGCAAATTCGTACCCCAAGAAGCAAACACGCAATAATTGCGGGAAGTATTGTCAGCACACTCTCCTCGAAGAGGAGGGTAAAGTCAAATCCTCCAAGGCACGATGAATGAACTAGGGGACCGAAAGCCGCCTCATCGCTTTCGAGGCATCTCCGCGACCTGACGACATGTAGATGGGACTCATTCATGGTCCCTTTCCTGCGTACGCCTGGACTGTCTCAGTGGGTGGTTTTTCATGCGCGAAACCAGGTTCATGCGCGAAACCAGGTTCATGCGCAAAAACAGGTTGCTGAATCTTCGCCGACGGGTTCAAGTGCAAGCGTAGTGTAGAATTGGACTTCCGTCATTTAGCAAGTTCTGGATGGCTCGAGTGCTGAAATACTTTGAATTGCCTGAATTGCCTGAATTGCCTGAGTTGCCTTCTGGGGATTTTTACGATAGCTTATCCCTCGTGCAATGAGTAAAGAGTGCTAGGAAGGCAGTCGTCACAACCAATGCAAGGGGCAACAAGGTACGCACTACCGCTTTACGCATTCTTCACCGTCCCCGTTCTACTGTAGCGAGCTAGGAGCTCCCAAAGACATGTTACTTTGCAATGGGATAGCAAAAAATACGATGATATGTCATCTGCAAAAGAGTTTACCTATAATATGCAGCCGACGGCTGCATGTTATGTGGTTGTTTCGTCGGCTGCATATTATAGGTTGTTTTCCGAGGTGGACCGGCGCTATGACCTGTATGGATCATGGGCAAAACAACTGTTCAATAACCTCTGATAAATGGAATGCGCCACACAACTCCATTCCCTCGTGTGGTGTTCGCAGGAACCCAAATCAATATAGCTCGGAACGAAGATCAACCATTTACTCTTTTTAACTTCGTGGAATGGCCCCTACGCACAGGGGCGGCCAATAATATCCCCTTACATTGCCCTCGCAGTAGACTGAATCGCGTATTCGTCATATAGCCACATTCCACGAGGCCACGCGCACTCTTTGATCAATATGCACATTCTATCTCGAGCCTAGACTATTATTACACGTGTATATAAGCACAGAGCAACACCAATAGTGCGGATATATATCTACAGCTTTACTTTTTCATGACGCCAATGAGTTCTTGTCATTCTAAACAACTTGACCCAGCATGAAGACCTTTTTGAAGAACTTATTAAATGCGGCTTTGAACGAAAGGGACCTGACCCAGTCGAACTCTCCACTTGTGCTGTCAGAAAAACATGATCCAGCACCAGCAGAGCCCCAACCCATTCAACTATCGGGACCCGAAAGGCAAATGCGAAGGCTGTGGGCCGAAGCCCTTGGCACCACAGCCGAGTATGTCGGGGTCGGAAGACACGACGACTTCTTTTTGTGCGGCGGCTCGCCTACTAGTGTCCTTCAATTGAGCCAGATCGCCCAGGAGGAGGGCCTTCGCTTAGACCCGCGAGATATTTTCGAAAACTCGCGCCTAACAGAGTTAGCAAAGCGACTTGAGAACCAGACTGTATCAACTCCAAATAAGGCCATTCCTCCCTTTTCGCTCCTGGGGTCTGCCACCGATTGCCAGGAAATACGCTATCATGCAGCCCAGCTGTGTCGTGTTAAGCAGAAGCAGGTCTTGGATGTTTTACCATGTACGCCTCTCCAAGCTGGGCTGCTGGCGCTCACGCACTTGAATGCTGGGAGTTACGTGGCCAAACATCTCTTCGAAATTGATCCCAGTATCAATGTAGAGAGCTTCCGCGCTGCGTGGGACCAGGTGGTAGCGATGAACCCTATCCTACGCACCCGAATGGTGACCTTACCAGGCCACGACATCGTGCAGGTGATCCTCAACGAGGAGATTCAATGGATTTTTGAGGATAGTCTTGAAATGTACCAACGGAGATTCTTGGCCGAAGAGTCCGCATTTAGCCTCGGTGACCCTCTTACCCGCTTTGTACTCATTGGAAGCGACACGCCGGGGCCTCGCTATTTTGTGTGGGAGACACACCATGCGCTCTATGATGGATGGTCTCAACCACTGATCCTGAAGGATGCTGAGCACGCTTACTACCAAGAAGCGGGTCCACGACTATCGTCCATGTCGGGATTAATACAGCATATTCAAAGGTTGGACCCTATCGAGGTGGCGCGCTTTTGGGCAAAGCTGTTCCAAGGTTCGGTTGGAGTTGGCTTTCCCGTCACAAACAAAGGTCTCTGTCTGGATAAATCCCAGGACAGGCAAACGATAACCCACGAGGTATCAAACTTGAAATGGGGCCAGAAAGTTTTTACCCCTACCACTTTTGTACGCGCGGCATGGGCAATCGTGCAAGCCAGCCGCACCAACTCCAGCGAGGCCATATTTGGCGTCACCGTGTCAGGACGGCAGGGAGCTCTTGCGGGGATTGAACATCTGGCAGGTCCCACTATTGCCACAGTCCCCGTTCGGGTCCAGGTCGACTGGACAGGGAGCATCAGTCAACTATTAGAGAGTGTACAGTGCCAAGCGGCCGACATGATACCCTTTGAGCAGACTGGTCTTCAGCATATTCGGCGCATCAATGACGAGACTCGGGCTGCTTGCGGCTTTCAATCACTTTTGGTCATTCAACCAAAAGATAAAAAGTCGGGAAATACTGACAAGAGACCCTTTCTGAGTAATATTCAAGATACCAGCAATTTGATGGATGAGCGTGACTCTGGAACCTATGCTCTTGAGATTGAGTGCGAACTATCATCAAGTGGATTACGGGTCCAGATTGATTTTGATTCCAACGTCATTCCTTCAGGAGACGTGGAAGAGATCATAGACGAGTTGCAGCATGTTGTGCGCCAATTGGCAAGCTTCAACGATGATACACAGAGATCAAATGCCCCAATTGCATCCGTGGTGACACCGACCAAATCAATGAGCCAAGTTTCCGAATGGAATGCGCAGTCTAGTCCTCCAGTTGAAGAGACTGTGCATTCCGTCATTGAGAAGCGCGCTAGGGAATCTCCACAAGCAATGGCAATATGTGCCTGGGATGGAGAGATTACATACCATCAACTAGATGAACTCTCCAGTCGATTGGCAGGTCATTTGGCTGGGATTCCAGTGGCTGGTACCCTAGTCACACTTTTGTTCGAAAAGTCCCTCTGGATGCCTGTGGCAGCACTTGCCGTGATGAAAGCAGGAGGTGCCTTGAATGCTCTCGAGATGAAACAGCCAGAGGAACGCCTTCGACAGATTGTGGCACAGACCGACTCTCCGTTATTACTTTGTTCTATTCAGAACGAGGAACTAGCTTCAAAGCTTCAACCCAAACGATTATTGGTAGTGGGAAACAATTCCGATGGAAGCAAAAAACCTCCAACTCAACTGCCTTTTGTCAATCCTGCAAGTCTTCTTTATGTGGTCTTCACCTCTGGTAGCACCGGAACCCCCAAAGGTGTCCAGATCACACATCGCAACATGCGCAGTGCTATCACTTACCAGCAAGCCGCATTGCAGTATAATGAAAAGTCCCGAGCGTTTGACTTTGCCAGCTATGGCTTCGATGTGGCGTGGTCTAATCTGTTCATGACGCTCACCGCTGGCGGGTGTTTATGTATCCCATCCGCTCATGAACGAGACAACGAACTGATTCGTTGCCTCGTTAAGTACAACATCAATCTCATGGATAGCACTCCTTCACTTGCTCGGACATTAGGCAAGGAGGTCATATCTCGCTTGGCCACGCTCATTCTCGGAGGGGAGGCGATGCTCCCCTCCGACGCACTTCTCGCAGGCGAGCGAACGACAATCATCAACGCATATGGACCTTCCGAGTGTACACCAACCGCTCTTATTTCCAAGTTTCACGCAGACGGTGTCAGAATCGGCCGTGGGCATGGTTCTTGCACCTGGATTGTTGATGCGGAAAACCCAAGCCGACTGGCCCCTGTTGGATCAGTCGGTGAGCTCTGGCTTGAAGGGCCGATCGTGGGCGATGGGTACCTCCACGACGCTGAAAAGACATCTATGGCGTTTATACGAGATCCACCATGGCTGCTGCGTCACGTCGGCCGAACCGGACGTGTGTACCGTACGGGTGACCTCGCTCGCTATGAATCAGACGGTTCACTTGTCTACATCGGACGGAAAGATCACCAGGTCAAAATTCGAGGCCAGCGAGTCGAACTCGGCGAAATAGAAATTACCTTGGAGCGGATCCTGCATTCCATCGGAGCCCGCGTAGTGGTCGAGGTTGTCCAGCTAACCAATGTGTCAACCTTGACTCTGGTGGGATTCGTGACACTTCCGGAGGTTGAAGGGATGATGGAGGCTGAACACGAAGTCGCAGTTAAACAGACAACGGATGGTTTGGCCGACCGGCTGGCCCAAACTTTGCCATCATATATGATTCCAACCGCATTCTTCTCATTGCCGGTTGTTCCGGTGACAACGACGGGGAAGACCGATCGACGTCAGCTTCGCGAGAAAGCTAGATCATTGTTGTTGGCTATACGTGCGAATGAAGCAGGCCAAGCAAGAAAAGACCAAGTATTCAATTCCACAGAATCTATTATCCGTGACGTTTGGATCGCTATCCTCAACCTGACAGAAGAAGAGACATCACTCGACGCGGACTTTGCGCGACTCGGTGGAGACTCAATCTCAGCCATGCAAATCGTTTCACGATGCCGAATGCACAATCTTCAACTGACCGTCAGCGACATTCTGCAAGCGGGTACCATCAGAAAACTAGCCGATCGCTGCAAAACACCACCGCTACGGCAGGAGCTGGCAGATATACTTGGGTGTGAAGACCCATCAGTTCCGTCGGAGCTCTCACCAATCCAGCAGGATTTCTTCGATCTCTATCCCGATGGTCTGAATCACTACAACCAATCCTTTTTGCTGGATCTTGGGAAGCCTGTCTCAGCACCCACGCTTAGGAATGCCTTGAGGGCGATAGTCTCTCGTCACCCGATGCTTCGTGCTCGTTTCCAAAAAGACCCGAACAACGGTTCCTGGCGGCAAAGGATTGCCGAAGACGGACTTGAGGCATTTGCCTTCGTTATCCATACCGTGGCTGACGAAGCGGCTGTTTTAAGCGCTGCGCAATGGCGACAAGAAAATTTGGATATCCGAGAAGGTCCTGTTTTTGCTTGTGACTTGTTTAATATTACCTCTGGTGTGCAAATGGTCTTGCTCTCTGCCCATCATCTGGTGATAGATC